CTCTAGCCATCTCTGGCTTCGCTGCTCCGGGTCTGCATCATCGGGGGTGTTGTTGAACTCTCTACAGGCTTTAGCACACCGGTTCCGTCCCGCCCGGAAATCGGGGTTGCCAGCGGGGAAGATGACGTCGGGATAGTGGACGAGCTCAGACTCGTCGCGTACGCTCGTAATGGTTGATTCGCTGCTCATGTTGGCGGTGGATGAACGGAGAAGCAAGTTGGAGTGAGGATGAAAACAAGGTCTGATGAAACGTGTAGGTCAAGGGCCAGGCGGATTGTAGGCCTTTTGTATCAAAAGTAGGTGGACTTTGGCTAGTGATGGACGAGGTACGTTTGTCGCCAGGCCCCACGGTGTTGGCAGGGGACTGCGCAGTTGATGGTGCCTGATATCTGCGAAAGGGGGCTTGTGGGAGCTGAGGGCGGCTCGCGTGACTTTTGCCTGGCGGTCCAACGAACAACAAACCTCCCGTTTTAGATCACACAGTTTCGGCAACCAGCCAACAGATGGTGTCCTCCCAGTGTTCTTTGTCCGGCAGCCGTAAAACCAGGTTGGTGCGCGGGAAAGATGGCTTGACAAACGACCGAGAGAAGGCTGGAAGGCGGGCCAGTGTCGGCTGTCAACTGTTGTGTCCCTGTGATGTGGTCGGCGTGCTGTCCAGAAAACGAATCTGCGGGAACACGGTTCATAGTCGTAGTTTTAATGCCGACCACGGATTCCTGAAAAAATGCCAATTATTGCTGTTGACGAACGAACAGGGCAGGGCTGTGCGAATTGAGCAAAAGGGACGCAAGACTTTTGGTCGGCGAATGTGTTGCCGTCCCTCGCAGTCTTAAAACCGGGGGAGGGAAGATCAGCAAATCCGACCCCCCCGCGCCTGTTTCTGTCAATCTTCCACAGACACTCCTGGCGCCCCCCGGCCGCCAGACAATTCTTGATCCCGCGACCGATGACACGCATGGGCCGGGTCGCGGTTGTCGACACCATGTGTCGAGACTTCACTGGGCATTTCGAAGAGATTCTCCGCATATGTGGCTGCGAGATCGACCCTGGCCGGCGTCTTCCCCGAATGGGTTACCAACCTGCAAGCGAATTTTCGGCCCGCCGTCGTGTGACAGCGCCCCGTGGAAGCGGTTCCTTGAACCTTACCCCCTGTTCCGGCGACCTGCACAGGCTGTTTCTCCGGGATGGGCCAGCTGCAGACCGAGCCGACGCCATACCCTGCATGGAACAAGCCACTGGCTCACGTTAACGGACGGACAGTCTGACTACATAACCAAATAAAGGGGATCCCGCATGAGAGGTGAGAAGAAAAAAGATGGAGGGGGGTTAATGAGGCGTCTCAATGGCTCGTTCTAGCCATCAGCCACATCGCCGGCCGGCCTCGATCCCTCACGTTCGTCAACGGCAATGGCGCAGCGACGCGGGTTGGTGGCATGGATCCGAAGCGTTGACGGGGGTTGAGCGTCTGGAGTGTTCAGGCTGGCCAGGCACGCAAGAGCCAGCGCGATGCTTTCCAGCGGCGCTTGCCAAGGATGATGTTCATTCTGGAGGGGACGCGGGTGTTCGTGGGCATGAGCGGGCTCCAGACGCAATTCCGCGGTCCAATCGCCGTCGGTGCAGAGACGAGGCGCCCAGCGTGTCCCACCGGGCCGGGCGATCCGCCCATTCCGGGGCCGAGCCGGCTGCCTCCCCGGGCGCCCCTTTGCTGGGGTAGTGTGACCCAACTCTGCGCGGATTGGCCGGCGTGTCTCTCGCGTCGGGGAGCTCATAGTTTTGTTCGTTGGGGGCTTGGAGGAGGCCTTGTTGATTGATTGCTTTTGTTGCGCAGCTGAGTCTCCTAAAAATGCTTCAGAGTTTCCCCCCCTCCAAATTTTCCTATTCTTGGAGTTATCCTCGGTTAGGTGGGTCTGACCCCAATCAGGCTCTTGTACGGATATCACGGTCACCGGTCAACCGCCCGCGATGAAGATTGTCAACGGCATCGAACGAGTTACGAATATTGTGGCGACTTGAAACTGGTTCGTTGCTTTTTCTGGCCGAGGTTTGCGGAGCTCTGTAGTTAAAGCTTGGTTCAATACCTTAGCTCAATACCGGGCCTTCCTTTCAATCTTGGCCCTCGACGTGGCGGACGTGGTGGATGAGACATCTCGTTCTTTTCTGGCGGAGGAACACAATACATCGAACCACGGCCATTGTTCGCCGGCGCACTAGTGAAGCAATGCCCACCTCGAGCTGCAGAGATGTCTGAGTACCCAGGATTGTGAGCTCGACGAACGCTTTTACTATCTCATTAGGGGAAAGCAAACCGTTGCAGCTGCAACTCACCTTCGTCCGGGTGCCGTCAGCCGTGACCCCTGGGCCGTGGCTGGCCGGCCCACAAGGGCCGAGCTGGGGGGTGCCAATGTCGCAACCGCGGCACCGTCAGCGGTTTCCCGCAGCGTCCGATAGGCGAGAAGCCACCAACCGCACAAGGAGTGACACAGCGCGGCACTGGCACCAAACAGCAGCCGTGGCGGCGGCGTGTCATTGCTCACCTCGACCTTGCGCGAATCATCAACGGCGCATGCCTAAATGCAGCCATCTTCCCCGAGGTGACAGACAGCCTCAGCTTTAGCCAGCCCTGCCAAGCTGTCTCTCACATCATCCATACCGTCTCTCGGCCGCGATTTGCCCTCGGTGGGATCAGAGTCATGGGACGCATATCCTATTGCGGGCTTCGGGCTCCATTTGCGAGCCGAAGTTGGTGGATGCCCGGTGGTTTGCAGTGGTCTCGTATTCGATCATCTTGCTGGTAGTATCGAAGGACTGCGAGGGCGCATAAACAGCACGCGAACTTGGGGCGGCGACGGGATTGACTCCGAAAAAGTGACGGGGAACGGCTGTGACCATGGCAGCCCCAGCGCTGGTCATGCAACGAGACGTCTAGTGAGAGAGAAAGCTAGATTGCGGGAAGGTCAATGTCCCGGGGGAACAATGGGAACAACGGGAGAAACCCATGGGGAACAATGGATAGGGCGAGCCGCCGGGATTAAATGCAATCTCGAAACGAATGTAGGGTGAGGGGCATCAAACGATCAAAGCCAAGTGTGACGGGATCGATTATCTCCAGGGTGGCTGGCACCGTTGGTGAAGGTGGTGAAACTTGGGTGTGGAAGAGCAAAAGGGAAAAAGCGATTTACAACGTGCGAGAAAGAGCGGGGGGCTGCGAATACCACTTGCGCTCGCACTGGGCTGCACGCAGTTGACGGAGTCAACTCCGAGGGCAAGTGCCATCAGGCTAGGAGATTGTGATATCAATCGATCAGGCACAGCCCTCCCGCTCCTTCCGCCACTCATTGTGTTGGCTCGAATCTCAGAGATCAGCAGTGACGCGGATCGGACGAGGCTAGGGCTGCACATGGGCTGATGGGAGCATGGATCACCCCATTGATGCATCGGCCGCTTCCTGACAACTTACACATCATATCTGGCCGGGTTTCGATCGAGACCTTGTTTTACCTCGGGTTGTCATATCATATCCATCGATGACAACAGCCATATTGACGTCTGGAATCATCGGCAAGGGAGCGCCCATTGTGACGAGCGAGCCGTGTGGAGGCGAAGGTTGGCGTTCTACCTCGGTTCTTACTTTCGTTTCTCCCCTCCTTCGTTTGTTTGCTTTGGAGAGCCGTCCCGACCGCCCGGCTGTTTGTCCGGAGACGACGGGTGATGGATCAACCCGGGCTGTGACGGCCACATAAACCTGACACACAGACTGGTGGCCAAAGACCGATGCCAACTGCAATCATCAATGGCCGCAAGGCAAGATGGGCGACCAACAAGAGCAATGACCAGGCCTTGTGGGCCCATGGTGGTAAGCGTATGTCGAGAGATGGGCAACTCCCATAGGACACGAGTCCGGTTGTTTCCCGGGTTGGGCGGTTTCCCAAGGGCTTCATGTTGCTTGGATTTACTGCAAGATGTCACTGTGGCATGGTTTGTTTAGACTTCGTTGTCCTCCTTGTTCCAACACGTTATTGCATTGCTTTTGAGACTGATGAGACCCGGCACCAACTCAAGCTACCTCTTACTATGGAAGTCCCAGACCCAAGCAGGCCCACATCAACGAACCCGACTCTGACCGGCAGCTGCAACACACCCCCAAGACCTCGAGACCACACCTAACAGGCTCCTACTTCTTGACCGGCTTGTTGAGAGCGTCGCTGTAGGCCTTCAGATTCTTACCCGTGAGCTTCTCAATCATCTTGTCGTACTTGGGACGGAACTTTAAGAAGTATCGGGGGTTGAGGTCGGCCTTGAAGACGACGTGCTCGTACTTGAAATGAATCCTCTCTTGAGTGTTGCGCTTGCTGATGCTCTTCTTGAACGCGTCGGCGTCCATTGTTAGGTAGACGAGGTACGTCATGGGCTCAAACGCGTACACTGGGTTCGCATCGTCTGCGGAGATGTTGGTGGCTGGCACGAGCCCGAAGCGCAGCGCAAAGTCGAGCTTGCTGTGGTCACCTCCAATCTCGATATTCTTGAGCGCCTTGACAAAGTTGGTGATCTGGCTGTCGATTTGCTTCTTGTGGTTGCTATCTAGTCCCATGCCGTCAAACATGGTCTCCAGGAGCTTTTCATGGATCTCGCTCATGAGGATGTCGAAACTGTGCTCCGTGTGCACGCCTTCGCCGAAGGTGTAGACACCCGCCATGGGGCCCGTCATTGCGTTGTATGCCAGCTTGGCTTGGACATTGAATGCCACGGCGGCCTCCTTGGTAATGTCAAAACCCTTCGGGTGTTGCTTGATGAGGTCGATGTTGGTGAATATCTGGCAGACCGAATGGGCGTCCTTGAGGTAGCCGAAGTTTTCCTCGGCCTTGGCCTTGTCATAGCCGGTGGTGACACCGATCGGGTCCTCGACCACGACCGGGGGAGGCTTGGGCACCTTGCCATTGTTGACCTGGTCTTCGGCAGACTCAGTGTCACCCTTCATGAGATCGACAAGGTCATCGAATCTGTCGTGAGGCGGGGTGGGAGCACCAGGGGCGGACTCGCCCGCCACGAACGCTTCAGCGATGGGCGTGGAACGGCCAATGTGTACAGCCACCATGGTGTCGAATGGAGAAGATGACAGAGGGGATGGGGATTCAAGGGGTAAAGGAGCTTTTTGGTGCTGACAGCACGTTTTTCTTTCTTGTTTTTTTGTTGGCTTTGGGGGGGCTGAGAACTGCGAGAACTTGAGACAAGTGACGAGTTGGGAGGGTGATAGATGAATTTATTATCTTCTACTCCCGGTACTTTCCAGTTTATCTCACTTTATCACATCTCTGCCTCCCCGAAATCCCTTATCCAGCCGAGTTACCGCTCAGCTTCTCCATTCGTCGAGTGACGGTCAAAACGTAACCTTCCATCAGTTGTCTGTCACTCATCTTGGCTTGACGTCGCGTTCCCTCGACCCCCGCGCGGCCGTTTCGAAGTACAGGTGAAACAGCTGCGGATATCGCGGCGCACGAAAATATTTCAAAAGAGTGGCCCAAGTCGTGGGGTTTGTTGGCCGCGTCAGCTAGTTGTGCCGCCTCGGACTAGGTCACTAGAATTCTAGTCTGTCATTATTGGAGCAGCTGGCCGACACCACTATCAATTTTGACTTAATGACGCACGCTGTAATTCAGGACCGAGTTCAAAAACAGTATCGATTCGCTTCTCGCCCCGCGTTCTTCGTCATGCCAGATGCTCGTTCGGGGCTCGTTTCGTTCGCCATGTCATTGATCTGCTGGGGCTCCGTAGTGACTGTAGCGCTGGCGGCGGGTTGGGCATCCCATTGGGCCTCTCTCGGTGGTGATAAGCGCTCAGAGCGTCGCGCTTCCCTGTTCTGGCTCCTCCCACATGCACACCGGTCCGGCCCGCTTGAACTATCCGCCAACAAGAGAAAACCCGCGATAATACCTTATGTAACCATTGCGGGGTGCTAAGAGCCTGAGATTGCTGCGTGATGGTAGTATTATCACATTTTCTCAAGTCACCGGCCGAGCGGCTATTGACCTGTTGGTTTTCAGCTGGTCGATATGCTTCCCCAACTACCAGATGCGTTGACGCGCATGTAACGAGCGGCTTGTTGCCCCACACCAGGCTCGTTGATCGCCGCCGTTTTGTTTCCCAGAGCGCAGAACAAACAAAACGGAACGGCGAAGTGGAGACTCTAAACCTACGGTACCTATGATGGGCTACATCGTGTATCTCACTACCCAAGTAATTAACCACATCTCCGCGGGCGATCACGAAAATAGTGTGCGCTTTGGACACGAGTATGCTTCCCGACTTGCCTCATCACTTTCCGGGCGTTGAGTCGTTTGTCCCGTCCTGTCCTCCGCACGCTTCTGAAGTTCTGTCTGAGTTCCAAGTCGCCCCGTTACCCTTTGCCATTTTGAGTTTCGAATTTCCTTAGCATCTACGTTTTTTTCCCTTCTCCTCGTCTCTCCTCTCTCCTGAATCGTCTCATTACATCCTAAGCATCACACAACACTTGTTGTTCCCGGAAAGCCATTGCCTACCTAGCCATGAGCGCTTCACACCCAGCCGCGGCTCATGGAGCGCCTTCCGCAAGGTATACAACCCGTAGACACTCCCTCTCACAACAATTCCAAGCCGGCCTGCTAACCTGAAGATGTGTCAGCACGCAAGTTGACAGCATGGAGGACCTTAAGCGCCATCTGAAGGAGGCCATGGCCGATCCTACCGATGTGATTGAGCAAGGGATCGCGCCCCCGCCCTATTTCTTTGTCTTGGAACCAGTGACCAAAGACGAAGAAGGGGCAGAAAAATTCGAAGCGTTACTGAGCGCTGCAGCTGTCGCACGCATCTTTGCCGCGATGGACTTCGTCCAGGGCAGCGGTAAGGGCAAAGCAGGCGGACCCTACAGCCTCCGTAACCCGGACGAGTATGTCCCCGCGTTCAACGAGAAGACCAAAATAACCGTCAACACCTTCCTCACCCGCTCCATGTCGGGCATGTACACGCAGCTCCCGGGCGGGACAGTCTCCAAGCTTAACCTCGACATCACCCGTCGCGACCTTCACGCTAAGATTGTTCAGCTCATTTTTGGTGGGTTAGATCGAATCGGTGAGAAGCACCGGAAGGATCTTGACAAGCTTCTGACAAGCTTCACGACGGCACTCAAACCTTTCAAGGTTCCTGGGGCAGACAAACCGGAGAAGGAGGGCGACGAGGATGACCAACCCGAGCTGCAGCACGCCGTGATTGTCAACTACGTGAAAGCCACTGATATCACGGGTGGCTCAGGCGGTGATGGCGGCCTCTTCATCTACAAACCATCCTCCCGGATCGTGGTCTTCTCCGTCAAGCCGCGGCAGTGGTCCATGGCCCTTGATAAGTCGTCACACACGAAGCCGGACCCAAAGCCGGACCCGAAGCCGAAGCCTGGGCTGGGAGAGGAGCCGGAGCCATCCGATCCAGATTCGACTCCATCCGGCCACGGACATGATGCTGGAGCTACTCATGGCACCGCTGATGCCGCTTCTGCTTCTCACGGTTCCGAAAAGGTGACCACAAAGGGTTGGTGGTGGCCGAAGCCCAAACCCGACCCAGAGCATGAGAAGATCAAATTCACCTTGACTACGACCATCGTCGAGTTGGAGCTCAACGAAGACAAGTTCAAAGCCGGTAAAAGCAAATTTGAAGCGGTCTTTAGGAGCGTGGCAAAGGACGACCAGGAACTGAGCGTCATTGCAGACAATGGTGGATTGAAGGCTTTGGGAGAGAGTGCTTGCACGGTCTACCGCGAGCTCGAAGCATGATTTTTCTTTCTCGTCCTTTTATTGTGTGTCTTTCTTGTTGTTATTCTATAGCAATTGTTGAATTTGAGCAAAGTCAGTATTAGGCTTCTCTTGCCTCTAATTCATTGATTCCACGATGGTGGTGGTTGAGGACTGGCAAATTCGGAACGTGAAAGTAGGGCAACCCCTTTTCCCTGGTCAAGAGAAGGTACGTATTCTTTGGACAACCTCATGGGCTAAAGCCAGGTCCACAACCACGCCAAACAAGCGAAGGAACCGATAACCTAGCAATCAAACACGTCGGAAAGCGCGGCAGGACCGAAAATCAGAGTCACCGAGGGTGATTGGTAACGTCATGTTGCAGAGAGTAGGCTAGAAAAAGCGGATATCCGGCTCGTAATCGCGATGTAAGATGCCCATTCTGTCTACGGCCAAGTCCAGTCTGTAGAAACTGGCAAATAAACACCAAGGAAAGCACGGTAAGATAGAAGAGGAAAGCGCAGTAGGAGGGAAAAGGAAACCGCGACTGTAACGTCATGCCACGAGAAGTAAGCCAATAAAAGCGGATATCCAACTTGTGATCGCTCTGCAAGGCGCTCCTTCTGTACGGGCTAGATGCGGCCAAATCTGCCCAAGATGCTTGATTGTCACATCGCGTACAATGCTCATCCTGTGATGATACGGTGGAGTGGCTTATGGCGCTCATCACTTTTGTCCTATGTCGCTCAACCCTAATTACCGCCTTGACAAAGAGCTCAGCTCGCTTCTCTACGTTGCTCATGCCTGGATCCGGAGCACATGCATGGGCCGATAAGATAGGAACTCCGAAATGATGCCTACACTGAGTGATATTGGCTTTCACGACAGACACGTACGCCAGCGGGGTGGTTGATCAGAGCGGGGGAAAGTCCGAAAGACTGCATGGGAGCCAATGGAAGATTTGATTTATTAGGACTTGTTTCCAGGCCCTTCCGCACGAAGCAGATCTAGTGATAAGTCTGTGAGTGACAACATTGTGGAGAAATCTGTTGTCAATTTAGAGCAACTCCTTACTCCTCGCAGAAGTGGGGCGTGGGGCGTTGAGGCGGCGAGGCCAAAACGGAGAAACGTTACGGAGGGATGGACAAGCGACAAAACGGAACGACCGCTTTCGTTTACACCGTTTGGGAGTTGTGAAGAATCCGATCTCGACGACTTTCACTATTTAATGACGTGTGCTGCTTGCTGGACAGTGATGAGAAAAGGACATGTAAGCGGCCATATCGTTCCTCGATCTGACTTGCGATCTTTGCCCACTATCACCCTCTGAACCGCCAACCCACGGTTCATTTTCCATCAAGTCTTTGTTACCTACCCATTACCAGACATCATGACGCTCACGAACGGCCCGGATATCGGGGACTTCCACCCCGTGGCTTCCCTTATGAGCCGGGCCACAGACCCCTTGCTTTCGGCGTCCGCTGCGAGAGAGGTTGCGTCTTCGGGGGTCCGAGGCGCGGTTGCTGCTGCAAGCAGCAGTTTTGTGGCAGACGACCCTTTTGCGTCGCTACGTGATCGGATGAACTCAGCCGCTGGGGGTGCAGAAAGCGAGACCAAGAAGAAGCTGGCCCCCATGCCCCAGGATGTGGCCGTCATCCCTGACAAGGACGAGGATGACCCGCTGACGGACGAGGATTGGAAACGCAAGGCGATCAAGGACGTCCAGCATCTACGTGACATTGCATCCATCGCGGATCTGTACATCGCCATGTCGAACCTGGAGAAGCGCAAAGCACGTGGTCACCCAGAGGAATACCGCATCACGGACCCGAAAGAGGCTGCGCAAGCGTTTGCTGACATGGCTGACTCGGCGTACCGCGTCATGGCGGGCCCTCCCCTTGTTGGCTTGTATAGCTTCTCGAGCGGCACCGTGAGGGAATTTAGGCGGAAGATGTCCAAGACGGAGCTGCACCTGGGCTTCCTGGCTGAGATCTTCACGGGCTTCAGCTTCACCAAGGCGGCCACCAAGCAGCTCGACGGCATCCTTACCAACTTCATTAAGTCCCTGGGTGACATCAGCGTCAGCACCGAGAAGACCAACAACTCGGTCGACCAGACCATCCGCATCCACCAAACCATCGCCATGAACATCACAGGTGACGACGAACGGGCGATCTGGGTCTACCAGCCGCGGACGCGCATCATCTACATGCACGTTGACGGCAGCACCTGGAAATGGGCCACCAACAAGGCCAACCACGAGGAGAGCACCTTCTACATGAACTATGTTGTCGTCGACTGTGACCTCAATGTCAACAAATGGCTCGGGGCCAAAGCCCAGCTCGAGGCCATCTTCAAGGAAGTCACCAGCAAGACTTTCGCGGACTACGGGAAGATGAGGTATCCTTCTCCGATAGACTCGACCACCAAGTAAGCAGCTCGGAGCGGTGACTGTACAAGGAGTGGAACGCAGAGTGATGGGATTGATGCGGAACAGAATGGTCTTGGTTGGAGGATGAGGACCACATAACTAGCACTCAAAGATAGCAAGATCTGAACCCTCGAGCCCTGGCTTATTTTGCATGCTGTGATCCCACCGAGACCGAAGTTTTATGTACCAAGACAACCAAGCGCCGTAAATCCTTTGGGCAATCGGGGGTCTCGTTAGCCAATCCGATGGGCCATCAACCACAGAACGGAGAAGACTGAGGGGTTATATATTGCGCCCCCCCTTCTCCTGCGCTCAGTCGCCGCTCTTTCCCACTTCCCACCATTTCCCTTAGACTTCAGTCCATTGCAGCACCCTTAAACCCATTGCGCAGCACTGTCTTACGATGGCCCAGTCTCTCGCAACCAAGACCCTCACTCTCACCTGCGTCCCGCCTAACGTGGACAAATTGCCTACCGAACCAAAGATTGAGGACGATTTTGTGCCTGCCACGGGAACGTTGAGCCCAGTGGGATGGAACACAACCATTGGCGGCGACGGAGGCAATGCGCTTGCGCGTGGAATCGGAGTCGGACTCATGGGGAACTTCTTCACCCCGGGTATTGTCCCAGGAATACCCTCTACCATCGCTGACATCGTCCGGGGCGCTCGGCTCGGTAACACTGGGATCCCCGCCGCGGAGCTCGCCCGACTGGGTCTCAACTCGCCTGACTTCTACTCTGCGATCGGGGCCGTCACCGGCGGCTTAGTGTCGTCGGCTACTGCCATTGCGGCGTTGGCGAAACGAGTGAGCCACGACTTCCCCACGCTGTGGTATGTCAACTTCCCGCATAACATGTCGGCTGCCGACGCCGAGTTGGTCGCGCGGCACCGGGAGAGTATGCTGGATTTTCGAAGCTGGTCGTCGAAGAAGTGGTGGGAGGAGGTCGACCGCCGGTATGGACGGGTCGATGACACTGTTGCGAGGTTGAGTCAGAGTAAGGAGTTTGCGGAGATTGCGTTTGAAGATATGGTGAAGATGTCATGGTAAGAATATCCATTTCCCTTGGCCTTTCCGGTTACTATCTTTGTGCAATTGTTGCTGATTCCATGGGGCAAACCACACAGGCTTCGCACCACTCGCCCTCCGCACCCCGACCAGTACAACTTTGATTGTGAACGTTATCAGCTCCACACCCAGATGATTTCGTGGGTGCTTGGCCGAGGCTGGTGGACGCCCAGTGAGGATACTGCGCGAATCCTCGAGCCCATCTTCGAAAGCATTGTCAGGGGCGCTTTGGCAGGAAGCAGAAATTACAGCCAAATGCACAATGTCGTAATGGAAAAATACGTCTATGACGAGTCCACCAAGACCATCGATTCCTGTACGTGACGTGACCTTATCACCGAGCCTCCGTCGCGGGGTGACAGGAGGCTTTCCACGGTGTGTTCCGCTCCCGGCTAACGTCTTCCTAGTTATTCGCCTCCTCTCCTTCGAGCTGCATGAGGATTGTTATGAACACGTCACTGAGGGTAAGCACGGGACGCGGCAATACCGGGTAGCAGTCTCCCTCAAGCTTTGCATGTACGAAGCCGTCTTCGACATGGCGGTCTGGGACAAGTTTTCGGCTACGTTGAGCGACGACGACACGGATCCGCTGCGGGACTTTGTCAAGAGTTGCACTATTAATGTGCCAGAGAAGCGATAATGGCGGACTGAGACATAAGTGTTTGTTACCCACCGCAGGTCAATCGAACTGGAAAGCCCCCCTGGAGAGGTACACGAAACCACATCCATATCAATAACGAATCATCAGAATGCTTGATGCCACACTCATGAAAGCCGAAAGGCCTTCATAACAGCTAATTCCCGGTCTTGCTGTAACTGCCGTAGCTTGGTTGAGCCTGTGCGTGAATTCAAGGCCCAGCCTTCTAGAATCCCCATTCGTCCAGAAAGCACTGCATAGTCTCCAATCGTTTCTCAACATCACCACCGGCTCCGGAGGATCCATCACCACACAGCTTAGGAAGCGCGTTAGCGGCCACCGCGACCATCTTCTTGGCCTCCTGCCAGTGTCCCGTCCGAACCCTGCAGCCGGCGCAGTCCAGTAGCAGCGCTACCCACTCCATGGTGGAGGTCAGCATGTCTGCAAGCGCCGTATAGCACATGGCGACATGTTCCGCAGAGTCCAACACCCAGCCGAGCTCACTCAGATCTTCCTTAGAAGAGCCTCTGATTCCCCCCGTGTCAGGGACATATGTGCGGACGAGCAACGCGGCACGCTGGAAGGCTGTTTCAGCAGCGCTTCGGTCGAGTTTCGAACGAACATAGCTTTGCGTAATTCTGTGTATGGACAATGACCGCTTGGGTTTGGAGCCCGTTTCGGTGTCGTCGTCTATGGTTCTAAGTCGGACGAGCGTCGAAGATACGAGCTCTTCCAGAATGGGCGCCGTCCTGGAACAAGACATTAGCATTTTCCACACTCAACAGCCTGTCAAACAGTCGCTGGCTTACGTGCGAGGTGTATCGTGAGTTTCACCGGTACGTTCTCCCCCTTGTAGGACCCGAAGTAAAACGTCCTCATCCAGGCCGTCCGGGTACAAGAATGCCAGCAGTTGCAGGGCTGCAGTGCCTTCAGCAGAGAGACCGGCAACGGTGGAATAGAACGCCTCATTCAGAGACCAGGAGTAAGTGGAACGTGAGTGCAGTTCCCACTCAGTAGTTTTGATTTCTTCCAAAAAGACGGATAGTGGAAGTGCGTTCTTCCTCACACAGGTCGCAGCCACATCGAGGGCGAGCGGCAGACATCCCAGGGCATCAGCCGCAGCCGAGGCCAATTCTACCTCTTCTTGCGCGGGGCTGGCGTCTAGGCGGTCCAACCTCTGGAGCAGGAACTGCGTTGCCTCGCTTAGTGTGAAAGCGGAAACCTCAATAGATGCTGTTCCTGGGTCTGGTGCCGGCTTTCGTGACGTGACGAGAACCGAGCCGTGGCCTCTGGTTGATTCCGGAAGGAAGCGGTGCAAACTTCCCATCTCTGGATCAAAGTTGTCGAATACTAGGAGCCAAGGTTGATCTGTTGGAGACATTAGGATGACAATCATGCAAGAAAGGGAGAGCTGGTTGCGCACCCATGTGCCTCAAGCACTCAAGTATGATGTCCATATGCAAGGCTGGCTCTGATGAGCTCGTAAGCCCCAGGCCACTGACGATAGACGAATACGACATGGCAATTGAGGCCGGCGATTCCGCGTTAATGTGCCAAATGATGTGGTACACAGCAGATTGTCCAGACTCGGAATGCCTATAGCCGTACTCATTTGCAATCTGCGTCTTCCCAATCGCACAGGGTCCATGCAGAGTGCACGTTGAGATGTTTGCATGTTCCCGACGGAGGAGCGTCTCATAAATTACGTCGAGTATCTCCTGTCGCCCGAAAAACAGCGGATTTTGGGGTGGACGGAAATTAGCTCTCGTGGATGTCCGTGATGGCGGGGGACTGGTGCCCGGGATAGTGTCTGATGGAGGGGAGCAAGATGGCCCACTAGCCTCATGATGGACGGTGGTGTCCCTGAGCATAGAGTAAGAAGCCGCCCGCTGGTATACCTTCGATGACTTGAGTATCTCGCTGAAGGCGAAGTGTTCCGTGTCGCTGGAATCCACCAGTTCGGCATCACGGAGGCTCGCGACGCTGTGGCGGACGGACGCAATTGACTCGGCATAATCTCGACTGAGCCGACTCCAATGCACAGGGTTCTCAGCCGGATCAAATTGACTGGTGAATGTGGTGGTTGTCACGTTAGAGATTGGCTTCATGCTGTGGGACAATCCAGTTACTTGAGAAATACGGAGGCTTACAGACGCGTGGCATCCAACAGGAGGTGCAGGGCACTGGACAGATAGTGAAGCTGCTGGAGGTGCTGCCCCATGAGGTCCTGATTCCAGACGAACCGTAGTCTCTTCCGGCGTCCCAGTTTCTTCTCATCGACGACCGTGGGTCCTATAATTTTGTCGATATCGTCTTTGAGGTCCTGCACGACTTGGGTATAATCCTGGAATGCAGCCATCATGGTATCCAGCCAGGGGACCGGCCGTCCAGAAGACGCTATCGTCGTCTCCAGCCATTCCTGGATATGTCGGGCAGCCAGCTCAATGGTCGCACAAAACCGCTTGATGTTGCTTATCGTTTTGGAGGCTTCGTCATACTTGCCCTTGAGATTCGCAAGTGATTGTGGGACGGAAACACAGAGGCCAGCAAGTTGCAACGCAACGCCGGCCACACTCAACGCCGAGACGGGATCCATGTGGGCCGAAGAATGCGAATTTGATGTCAAGATAATGAAGATGGAGCTGGAGAGAATGCGCAGTAATGATCCCCCAGTCCGATGCGAGTGACCAAAATCATGCCAGTGCTCTGCTCAACAGGTCGGTTTCTCTCGTCATGTCAGTTGAGTGGCAGTGCCTAGCAGCTCACCATTCAAAAACTGGAACCCTGAGATCAAGGGCGGGGTAAAAGGGAGTGCGCCTTATCAGAGCGCCTTATTGATCGCCTTGGCGCTGATCTTAGGGCTGGCTGGACTGGGTCAGGCTCCCCGGGTAACACGATTAATGAAAGACTCTCAACGTTGGTAGAGGGTAGATAGGTACTTCGTAAAGGCTTTGACAGCTACCGGAACCGGGTTCACGTCCCACCACAGACTCCTCAAGCTTCCAGTTCCTTTATGTTCTCGATCCAGAGCGTGGAGGGGGCCACACTCGTGCGTGGCTCATGTCAATCACCGCTTTAAGCAGTCCTACAGCTAGCACCCGCCATAGGAGTTCGGAATTGCCCTCACAGACAGGGCCTGCTGCGCCTTGCGGGTAGGCACCTACAGGCTCAATAATTGGAGGACAGAAAAGCTCCTGTGGGGATTCCCAACGTGCATATTGTTGGTTGCTTGTGAAGAACGCGACAACCTGCGGCCTGCCTGACACAAGCCTACCAGCTTAGAGATACCAAGTACGAATCTCACCCAGTTTCAGCCTTTCGTGTTGTCCACAGCTTCGGGTGAGCGAAGTAGAACAGGCGACGCTTTCCGGCCTCAGTCGCCGGTGCCGTTTACATTCGTTACGGAGCGTCCGGGAACGCGAACGGTTCTCAGCCGGCAAAGCCTTGGGCGAGCGTCGGCCTTACGCTTGTTGAGTCATCAGTTGCAGCTGTGCAAAGGGTAAGATTTTGCTCCTTCTCACCATCTACTCAACGCTACAACCAGGGTTATGGTAGATGTAACATCTGTAGGGTGATTCCCACATCTTCAAGCCCCTTTATTCCCATCAGCCCAGCAGCTCTAGTGAAACCTAGGCGGCTCGTAAATGTCATCCGGATCTAAACGCATGTCAGTCATCCTTGTCAATACGGACTGGGTGGGTACGCCAGGAGAACAAGTCAACTCCAACTCCTGCACGACGAGGAAAACTCACCTTTTCCGTGCTCCAAGATAAACTTCCTCACATCCTTTACTCTCCTGTTAACCTCGCTCAACAGGCCATCCAACTGTCCCTTCACAGCTTCATTCCTCTCCGCACCGGCCTTCAACGCTTTCCCGGCCAAATCAAACCGGCTAACTCGGTTGACAAGCATCATATCAAACGGCGTCGTGGTGCTCCCTTCCTCAATATACCCAGCCACATCCATGCGGTCTGTAGCCGGCCGGCCAAACAGTAGCCCTTGCAATTCAGTCGGATAGCCGTGATAGTTAAACAGCACCGGCCGGTCGGCTGTGAACATCTCCTTGAACTTGTCTCTGCTCAGAGCGTGCGGATGTTTGGACTCCGGCACAAGGATCATCAGATCGGTCACGTTGATGACCCGCACCCGTAACGCTGGGCATACGGTTCGGAGCAGCTCGGCCGCTTTGACTACTTCGAAGGTCACCTCGACGCCGATACCCACGAGCACGACATCTGTATCCTCGTGGTCACTACCGGTACCCGCTGAGGAAGAGGAAGAGGCAAATTCCCACACGGATGCACCCAGACGACAGTGCTCGGCGGCTTCGTCGGGGGACAGGTACACCGCGGTGGGCTGCTTGGAGCCAATGACAAGGTTGGTCTTGTTGCGTGATTGCAGACAGTGGTGGACTGTCGAGAGGAAGCAATTGGCGTCCGGTGGGAGGTAGACCTAGTTAACGGTAGCCCAAGATGTTAGCATGCATGACCCACAAAGACTAGTGATTAGCAACACACGGCAATAAAAAATCTTACCCTCGCCGCCTCGGGCTTGATATTCAACACCGCACCAATAAACGACGGGTTCTGATGCGAAAACCCGTTATGCTCCTGCCTCGCCCACGTGCTAGTCTCGATGTAATTGATAGACGGCACGTCCCCGCGCCACGGCACCTCGCGAGCGATCTTGATAAACTTGGAGTACTGCACCATCATGGTATGCACAATCCCCAAGAACGACTCATAGCTCGGGAACAGCGCCGTCCGTCCCGTCATCGTGTACCCCTGCATGAAGCCCTGGCAGGTATGTTCCGACAGCACCTCGATCACGCGGCCGCCGTTGCCGCGCGAATATTGGTCCCATTGGAAATTGCGCTGGGTGTGATCCAGCACGGCATCCAGTTTGTTGCTTTCCAGCTCGTCCGGGGAGAAGAGTCGGATTTTTGTGGGGTTAGCTTGGAACACGCTGTCGAGCAGCTTGCCGGTGAATTTCATGCAGCTTTGGGAACTGCCTTTGTCGACGCCGAATTGGCGCCAATCGACCGGCTTGAGGGTGAGATAGGGCTGGTATGTGACTTTGAGCTGGCCGAGCTTTTTTGCGTCGTTGGTGGGAAGAATGTCGAGGACGGTGTTGGTGGGTGTGCCGTCAGACTGCAAGAGGTTGCTGATCTGGTAGCTGGATAGCCACTGGCTCAAGGCGTTAAGCTGCTCTGGGTCTTCGCGGTCGTTGGCCTTTGGGAGTGGGACTTGGTGGGCGTGGAAGGATCCTTCGATGATCTTGCCTCCAACCTCTTTGGGACCTGTCCAGCCCTGTAGGATGAGACAAAGTTTTGTAGTTAGTCGATTGCACTGTGCAAGTGTCGCGATATGCCATGGACAGTCCAGTTTCGTGGTGGCATTGCTATGGCCTTCTTACCTTGGGCGTGCGTAGCACCAACATCGGCCATCTAGGCTTTGCGATCGGTTCTCCCGAGCGCGCAGCCTTTTGGATGTTCTTGATCTCCGCTACCGCCCATTGCAGGGCATCTTGGAGATCGTCATCAATATTGTCTAAATCTTGAACGATGCGCACCTGGTAGCCGTAGCCACTGAACAGGCAAACAAGTTCCTTGTTATCCATGCAACCAAAGATGGTACGCTCGCTGATCTTGAAACCGTTGTCATGCAAAATGGGGATTACCGCCCCAGACTCCTTCGGGTCAAGGTACTTGATAGCATGCCACGCTCTAAAATTAGGTCAGAAGCCTGAATTTGTGGTCGTCTTTATGCATGATCATTTCTTTTCATCAGTGAAACTTACGCAGCTGTTGGCCCAGTCTCAGCCTCGCCATCTCCAACGATGCAGGTAACAATGAGATCAGGATTGTCCATGACGGCGCCAAATGATGCAGCCAAAGCATACCCAAGTTCACCACCTTCGTGGATGGCTCCGGGTGTCTCCGCGTTGATATGGCTAGATTATAATTGTCAGCGACCACCCCTCGGTACGTTTACCCCTGTCGTTCCTTGATCAGACACCCACCTCGGAAACCCGCCCGGCACAGAAAACCTAGTAATGAGGTTCCGCAGCCCCTCAGCATTGCGGTTGTATTCGCCAGGATAGAACTTCTCGAGCGACCCCTCCAACCACAAAGCGGCCAGGGCAGCAGGGGCACCGTGACCCGGCCCAACGACGTAAATCATGTCGAGATCCTGGATCCGGATGAGCAAGTTGAGGTGTGCCCACACTAAAATGATACCCGGGCATGTTCCCCAGTGGCCTGCAAAACATTAACTTCAACGAACGAGGCAGCGCAGAGGAGGACAGAGTCAAATTTCCGACAGGCAACGTACCCAAGAGTCTAGGCTTGATGTGTTCAGGCTTCAGTTCGGATTCAAGCAAGACATTGTCGCAGAGGAAGATCATTGCTGTGATGAGGTTGTTAGCGCGTACTCGCCCAGGATATCATAGGGCTGAGAAGGGGCTCTAACCGGCAGCAATGTATTCAGCGGCATGCTGGAACCCCTGGAGAGACTTTCGGACATTGTCGGGCAGCGGTTTCCGTTGGGCCTGCACAGACAAGTCCAGGACGCTGTCGGGGAGGTGGGAGGGCAAAGGCGGGGGATTGGCGATGGGAATTTGCTTGCTCGGCATGTTGGTATTGTTTTTCGTTCCTCTTTCTATCCTCTCGTTGCGCTCGCTTCGCCGTTGTTTACAAGCTGAAGCTAACAATCTTGTGGATGGCCAAGGATGAGAATAAAGTCGCCTAGGGTGAGCAAGGTAATAGTGTCTGAATCAAGATACCCTCAATTGTGTCTCCGTGAGATCTAAACACATCCAGGGCAGCTGCACGTCAAGCTGGTACAAACGTGAGTATGACGTAGTTGATCCGGGTCCATATTTCCAGTGGTTGCATCCGGCCCCATACCGGACTCCGGCCCCGAGCCGGAGATCATGCACGGGAGTGGGTCCCAAAAGACCCATAATTTGGCCGTGGGCAGCCTCGCTCGACAGGTGCATACTGTGTACAGGTGCATTACAAAAACGGCGACCTGCGGGAGTTGACGGTACCATCGCATTATGCACCAAGTATGAGGTTAGACACAAAATGGAGGAACAATCGAGAAAAGTGGGAGATAGAGATTGAAGGCGTTCAGCCAAAAAGGGAACCTACTCAGGAAGAAGGTTCTGACGATTTGCTGGTGAGCGATTCTCGCCGAGGAGTCCTGCAACCTTCGAACAGTGCCACAAGAAATTGGCCATGTTGCCATGGTAACAAAGTAAGTAGAGAAACACAGGTTAATATGGTAGTCATGGAATCAGACTTTAACGACGTGATTCCTTCAAGTTCCCCGCGTGAAACGACGAAAGACAACCTCCCAAAGTTTTCAGGCAGGAGCTGTGCAGAAGCTCCTTCCGAGTATTAGCCGGGCATGTTTTCAATCCTACTGCCTCTCTGGTCTTCCCCACTTGATTTTGTAAATTGTTTGGTGAATGCTAACCAGGGAGCGTCAGAGAAGGAATTTAGGCTTGGGGTTCTTACCAGAAAGGACAAGGCGTGCTCATATATTTGTGATCTCCCCCAGTTTAATGTTATGTGATCCACCCAGGTTGAAATCTCAGCCTATTGTGAACCTGAACCCTGCGGCTTCTTTCTTCCGTCGCCCCTTCTCTGTTTCCTTCTTCCAACCACTGACTGAAAGTTTACACCCATTCGGACGTTCACCACAGCAATGACGTTCCCATACTTTGATAACCCGCAAATTCGTGGTGTGGTATTCCCAGCACCAAAAAATACCCAGGATAATTTGGCTGCGGTTGACATCGCTCAGTGTGCAGTGAGGAGGAAGTCGACCTGGGGCAACATCGCCCTAAACATATTTTGCAACGCGTCGCATCACGCCCAAAGAAGCACTGGCGGTTATACAATCACTTTTTACCCCTGTAGGTCATTAAAATCGTTAGAACAAGGGACTTTTCACTTATTTTTATTCCGAATCATCCCACCCTGTCTTTCCTTGTCTTTTCTTTCTCACCCCGCTTCATAGGAGCATTCAATTCCCCCCTCCCCCTTTTTTTTCGTGTTGTGTCGTTTAGTCACTTCCCTGAATTCCTGTCTTTGACATTCCTGCTTTCTGGTTTTTTTTCTGCTCTCTTATACATTTCATGGTCGCTTTCCTTCAAATTCTTCACCGGACACGGTGATTGGGAGAAAGCCGATAAACAGGCTGCAGCTGTTTGATTGGGATCAAAGTAACTTTCACTGACTAGCATGCAGGGATGGCCAACACTAAGAACGGCGATACTCTCCATGAGGTTGCGTGGCCGATCGATCCGATGTACGACGTCAAGTTGGGTGAGCTCGTTGCGATTGCTAAGAGCCTCGCAATTGCCATCCAACAAATCAGGGACAACCGAGCTAGTGGAGCGAGGAGACGCAGTGACCGTCACCATATTCAACGATAGCAATGCTGCGCTGACGATTCTCAACGGCAAAATATCGCCCCTAGCGTTGTGGATAACCGTCGACCCCATCCTACGATTGATCGAAAGGCAGAGCGATATAATCGCGTCTTTAGGGCCCACCGTTCGACTGTACTTGCGCTGGATCCCTGGACATGGACACAAGATTTTGCCGCACCAACGAGCCGACAAGTTGTCGCGGATCTCCCGAGAACGTCAGCGGTCATACTGGTATGAGTATGACAATAACTAGGAGTATTACATGGAGTCTTCCACCATGCACTAGTTGAGAGAAAACCTCGTCTTTTCCTACCAGCGCGCCGTTCCGCTATCACCAAGCCTTCGAAGGCAACTACGCCACCCACACCCCCGAAGGCTCCCGGTAAAACAAGGCATAATCCTTCGGGCCTATTTTCGACGACGGTATTGTCCCAGATCTAAATCATGTTTTTTCTCTCATCTATATAATTTAGTCCCGTTTGCATTCGAAAAGTAGCTACGAAGTACATGTGGATGATTCACTGGCTTCCACAAACAGATTCGAAATCAGAATTCAGAAGGATTGTAAACGGTAACGGTAGTATATACGTATTAGCCGGCTAGTCCCGACTTCCCAGCTCTGTTTTTCTCACCATTGGTAACCTCGCCTCTCGGAGTGATATCACCCCATTAATCATCGAACCGCCGGCCTTGGTGGTTGGGATTCACGTTCCACTTCCAGGCCTCGATAACACTGACAATAACATCACCACGAAGGGCGAAGTTGAAGGGTTGAAGTCAAATTTACCTACTGTGGAGTCGGTGGAGTCTTGGCGCCAGTGAGCGGCTATTGAGGCTTGCAACAATGGAGCTTGGCAGGTGTTTCGATGACACCCTGTCAGCCCGTTTAGCGAGATGCCTTGGCTAATTGCGACGACGTCCGAGGTGGGAGGCCTCCCACGGCACATTGCCTCAGGAAGAAAGTCGTGTCGTCACTAACTAACTAGCCAAAAACAGAGACGGATCCGAATCCGTCGACTAGGTGGGTCAGTTTGGTCGAGTTACCTAGCGATTCGTGGCAAGAGCATCGGGTGCTGGTCTCAGCCTTTTTAGCTCAATGAATTACTGCGGCTTGCCTCCGCGCGTTACTTGAACTAGCTATGGTTGGGCCTGCGATACGAGACTTGCAAGATTCTTGTAACGCTATCGTTGGGTGTTCATTGTGATGAGGAATTGGGAAAAGGAATGGATGACTGGTTTCCCAATTGGGGTATGGGTTGTGGAATTCCCCTGGGCGCGATCGGATCTGGGCAAACGATGGGGCGTGGTTGCTTCCGCCGCAGAGATTGGCTGCTTGACCCCAGCTCAGTAGCCCCACTGCAGCGCCCGCCCGTCCACTGCCCCGGAAAAGAAGTTTCCCAGAACACTCGGCTTTGTTTCGACGACGCGCATGCGCCTCTGGGTTGTCGGACGGGGCCAAACAGGCGATAATAATAAATGTCTTGCAAACAGACGAGTAGAACGGCCCTGTCTTTGTTCTGTTGGCGCGTGCCATACTTCGTAGAAGCGCCGTGTTGGGAAGCGACCGTTGCGCCCCATGACGCCGCCCGCAGTTGGCACTGACTGGCTGTGCCTTCCTCATCCGCCTTGCCTGCCCGCATTCCATCTCGATCCGCCCTGAGAGATCCCCCCTGCGGGTTCGGAAAACGCCTTTCGTCAAGTTTAGCTGGGCAATGCGCCCGGGTACGTCTCAACGGCCCGCGCAGGTGGGCTTCGGAACGGGATCCTGTGTTGTCCCTGCCTAATTTGTCGCATCCGTCATATGACTTTGCGGTGAAGCACGTTGCACAGGTCAGCACCCCGCTTCCCCTTTGACCGTTGGACAGCGAGGCCCAACACGGTGTTTCGATCTTCTGTGAGTGGACGGGACCGGATTGATCACGCACGCTGCATCGACAACGCATGCCAGGCCGGGTTTCATCCACGGTGGCCAACACCGCGCTGGGGAAAATGCAAGCAGAGTGGTCCGTTTACTAGTGTACATAACTAGTAGTTGGTTCCTCACTCTTACATCACCGTACCTAGAGCTTTCCCGTACAGTACGCACTACTGTGCAGCGAAAGATCTAACACAACTGATGAGGTATTGCTGTGGCTCAGCCTTTGAGTCGGTGCTGTGATTGCGGGACGCTCGCCACATGCGCACTCCAGAAGCGGCGCGGTCCATGTGTTCATTCAGCATAAACACACACTGTCTGTACCTGCCAAGCTGGCCAAGAACAGCCAAGAGCGATGGGCTCTCTGTGTCTGGTCCTCGAATCCGCACGATCGTCATCGCAATCAGAGTGCAATGCCAAGTTCGCCGCCCTGCCGCATTGTGCCTTGGTGGCATGGTGCTGGTATTTTTCTTGGTGGAGCGCTTGCGGCCTTCCACAAGGTCTCAAGAGCCCGCTGCCCGTTGGGTTCCTGCCCCAAACACGCGCACTCTTGTCATCTGCGCAGCACGAAAGCGCCCACACTGCCCGCATTGAAGTCCCAAGACCTCATCAAGGGTAGATTCCATCCAGGCGCTATTTAACAGCGTGGACAACGGAGGCCTCTCCTGCTTGCCACCCTCCCAGGTCTTAAACTTCTCCCCAGTTATATTACATCATCCGTGTCTGCGACTCGAGTCGCGCAGTTTGGCCCTGTGGTTATCAGTGCGCGCTTCCATCTCCCCTCCTTGGCCTCCTGGATCAATTGGGCATTTTTGAAGAAGTTCACATTCTCCATTCACCGCCGCCGTCATGGCGGAACCCGATGCCGCAAAGGTCGAGGTGTGTTTTGCGCGTGCAATTGAGTTTTCCGCGCCTGTCCTCTAACTTCACCTCAGCCCGCGAGCTCCACCACAACCACGGCATCACCACCTAACCAGGCCGATGATGCCTCGACGGCCTCGACGCCACCGCCCACACGCGGCGGCGCCAAGGGCGGCAAAGGTCCGTTTAAGCTCGATGTTTCCGACGCGTTGAGCCCTGACCCCACCAACGTGGACATGTACGATGTGAAGAACAACAAGTTCGCGTTCTCGCCTGGCCAACTTTCCAAGCTGCTCAATCCCAAGAGCCTCGACGCTTTTTATGCCTTGGGCGGCTTGGCTGGTATTGAGAAGGGTTTGCGCACCGATCGCAAGGCCGGCCTCAGCAACGACGAAACTAGCCTCGATGGAGCCGTAGAGTTCAAGGACGTCGCGCCCGAGGGAACGCCCCCATACGGCTCCAATGGCGACACGGTACCAGTGCCTAAGGACAGCGATGACCACCCAGCGGCCCCACCGGCCTCGGGTCACGAAAACGATCAGTATGCCGACCGCAAGCGCGTTTTCCGCGACAACAGACTGCCCGAGAAGAAGAGCAAGTCGCTGCTCGAGCTAGCCTGGCTCGCTTACAACGACAAAGTCCTCATACTGCTGACTGTTGCCGCTATTGTCTCCCTTGCTCTGGGCCTGTACCAAACCTTGGGTGTCCCCCACGAGCCTGGTGAGGCCAAGGTGGAGTGGGTAGAGGGTGTGGCCATTATGGTGGCCATCATTATCGTTGTCTCTGTGGGCACGCTCAACGACTGGCAGATGCAGCGCCAGTTCAACACACTCAACAAGAAAGCCGGAAACCGCACCGTCAAGGTAATTCGCTCGGGGAAGTCGGCTGAAATCTCGGTTTTTGACATCATGGTCGGTGATATCATGCACCTCTCTACGGGAGATATGGTTCCGGTGGATGGTATCTTCATTGAAGGTCACGGTGTCAAGTGCGACGAGTCTTCGGCCACCGGTGAATCTGATTTGCTCAAAAAGGTCGGCGCCGATGAGGTGTTTTCCGTTTTGAAGAAGGTCGCCGATGGTGGCGAGCCCCCAGCCGACATCGAGAAGCTCGACCCGTTCATCATTTCCGGCAGCAAAGTCAATGAAGGCACTGGCACGTTCCTAGTAACTGCCGTCGGCGTCAACTCTAGCTATGGCCGTATCATGATGTCGATGCAGACGGACCGGGAAAACACGCCTCTCCAGGACAAGCTCAACGTGCTGGCCGACGGAATCGCCAAGTTTGGCGGTGGTGCTGGTCTTCTGTTGTTCATCGTGCTTTTGATCAAGTTCCTTGCGCAGCTTCCTAACAACCACGACACGCCGGACCAGAAGGGCCAGACTTTCCTACGATTGTTCATTACCTCGGTCACTGTGATCGTCGTTGCGGTTCCGGAAGGTCTCCCTCTGGCAGTAACCCTCGCTCTGGCCTTTGCGACCACGAGGATGTTGAAGGACAACAATTTGGTTAGGGTGCTCAAGGCTTGCGAGACAATGGGAAACGCTACCACTGTTTGCTCTGACAAGACCGGCACCCTCACGCAGAACAAGATGACCGTGGTCGCCACCACCCTGGGCAAACATATCAGCTTTGGCGGAACCGATGAACCACTAGAAGGCGATTCTACGGCCAAGAAGGTGGTCGATTTTGACGTTCCTAACGTTCCGGTTGGCGAGTTTGTGAATGGCCTCAGCACTGCGACGAAGAAGCTTCTGATCGAATCGAACGCCGTGAACTCGACTGCGTTTGAGGGTGATGTCGATGGCGAAAAGAGCTTCGTCGGGTCGAAGACAGAGGTAGCATTGCTCACCTTCTGCCGGGATCATCTTGGTGCTGGTCCTATTCAGGAGGAGCGCTCGAATGCCAACGTGGTTCAGGTCATTCCTTTTGATTCAGCGGTCAAGTACATGGCGACGGTCGTCAAGCTTCCCAACGGGAAATTTCGGGCCTACGTCAAGGGTGCTTCCGAGATTCTGGTCGAGAGATGCACCGACATCATCGCCGACCCTTCTGCCGAAGAGCTCTCAACGATCCCCATGACCGACGACGACAAGGCCGGTTTCTCGCAGACCATCGACTCTTATGCTGGTCAGACCCTTCGCACCATTGGTTCATCTTACCGGGACTTCGAGTCGTGGCCCCCGCAGGAGCTCGCCAATCAGGAAGAAATTACCGCTAAGGAATTCGTCAAAGTCCACGAAAACATGACGCTCCTGTCTATCTATGGCATCAAGGATCCGCTTCGCCCCACTGTCATCGACGCCATCAAGTCTTGCCGTCGTGCTGGTGTCACGGTTCGGATGGTCACTGGCGACAACATCACAACTGCCCGTGCGATTGCCAAGGAGTGCGGTATTTACCACCCTGAAGAGGGCGGCATTGCCATGGAAGGGCCTGATTTCCGTCGCATGTCTGAAGAGCAACTCCAAAAGACCGTGCCCAAACTCCAAGTGCTTGCCCGGTCAAGTCCTGAAGACAAGCGTATCCTGGTCAAAACTCTTAAGCAGCTCGACGAGACGGTAGCGGTGACTGGCGACGGCACTAACGACGCGCCAGCTCTCAAGATGGCCGATATCGGGTTCGCTATGGGTATTGCGGGAACTGAGGTTGCCAAGGAGGCCGCGTCGATTATTCTGATGGATGATAACTTTGCGTCGATTGTGAAGGGCATTAGCTGGGGCAGAGCTGTCAACGATTCGGTCAAGAAGTTCTTGCAGGTCTGTACACCAAATCGAGAATTCGGTAATGATTAAAGCTGACCATATGACAGTTCCAACTTACCGTCAACGTCACGGCCGTCGTCCTGACTTTTGTCTCCTCGGTCGCTAGCAATGAGGAAGAGTCTGTTCTCAACGCCGTTCAACTTCTCTGGGTCAATCTGATCATGGATACCTTTGCCGCTCTTGCCTTGGCCACGGACCCCCCTGCTCCATCCGTCCTCGACCGGAAGCCGGACAAGAAGAGGGCGCCGCTTATCAACACCCGTATGATGAAGATGATCATTGGGCAGGCCGTCTGCCAACTTGCCATTACCTTGGTGCTCAACTTTGCTGGCGCTTCCCTCCTAGGTTACGACGTCTCGAACCGCAACCACGATATTGCGAGTTATGAACAGGAGCGCCTGCGGACCCTTGTCTTCAACACGTTTGTGTGGCTTCAGATTTTCAACGAGCTCAAGTAAGCCTACGATTTCCCCCCATTTCCCATAATCCTAATCCTTGACTACTAACGTTTCTGTGCAGCAACCGCCGTCTTGACAACCGGCTCAACATCTTCGAGGGCATCACTCGAAACTACTTCTTCATGGTCATCAACCTGATCATGATTGGCGGCCAAGTGCTCATCATCTTCGTCGGCGGCGCAGCTTTCCAGATCACACCCCTCAACGGCAAGGAGTGGGGCCTGTCGATCGGTCTTGGTGCCATCTCTCTCCCGTGGGGTGCCGCGATTCGCAAGTTCCCCGACTCCTGGGTCGAAGCCATGATCCCCAAGATCCCGCTCCCCAACATCTGGCCTTTCAAGAGCAAGAAGAAGCAACGTAAGGCAGCCGATGCCGAGGATGTCGAAAAGGCCACCTCGACGTCCGGCTCCGAAGTGACCAAGGATCGCGATCGTGCCCGGGCTACCGGCGCGGATGTGGACGAAGATGCCGAAGCCTTCCGCCCACCACTTCGCATGCTGACTAGCATTCGTGGGCGTCGTGCGACAGAAAATACGCGGGTGGGGCTCCGCCAATACATGCACGACAAGAAACTCAAGGTCAAGGATAAGGCGAAGGCTCTGGGGGGCAGCAAGACAGATGTGTCTCACTCATCGAGTCCTAAGGTTGGGGACCGGTTGCCCAATGCGTAGTCAGTCACGGGTTTGGCGGAGACGCAGATGGAAGGAGTTAATAGGCGGTGATTTGCGATGATTCGTTGTGGGCGCTTCCTTGCCCTCTCGCCTCGCGCGATTTTCTTCATCCTTTTCTCTTTGTCAATTGTCCACCTCTCTCTTGGTGAGGTCGGGGCAAGGGCAAGACACATCTGTTCAGATGATCTTTTTAAATCTTTGTTTTGTTTCAATCGCAGTGGGTTTGGGGATTTGTGCGATTTGCAGGCTGGGGTTTCGGTTTGGGTGGAAAGGCACTCGGATGGATACCCTGATAGACGTTGAAATGGGTTTTGCTAACAGTAACACGAGCTGGGGAGCGGGGAACTGGATGGGCTGATTCACTCGCATTTTGCGTTCGATTTACTAGAAACAATGGACGAGTAATGGTTTTCGCTATTGCCTCGGTGCTGTATCTCAGTGAAGAAGTCAAGAAGTGTACGTCGGGGCCTCGGTGACCCCCTGATGTGCGAGATTCCGGACGACGGCCCCACTTGAGCTCCTTGCTTCCGGCCGGGACAAGGCCGTTTGCCGTTAAACCCGCCGCTCAAGTCTCCGGTTTTCTCCATGGTAAAAAGTGGCTTACTTTCCTGATCTGGTAAGTGGGGACGTTTCCGGGCCGGGTTTTGTTCCACGGGGAGATGACTCTCGTAACTGTGGAATGTTTCCAGTGGATGGAGTAATGGGGTGGTGATCGATGATGGGTCGTGATGCATGGTAATCGTTTCATTTGAATGCGGTGAGGGCAAAATAGGGGAGGTTGAGGAGCTGGTTGTTGTAGGCTTGTGGACGAGAGCAAAGAGCCGTCCGAGCATCAAAAATTCTGGATGGGATTATAACCAGGGTCAGCTAGTTGAAGGCTATTGTTTGTCCTACCCTGGTGACTTCCACATTAGCCAAGTCGCCCTATCGCTTCTGGCGGATATTCGGTTCGAGGTTGTTTTGCAATTCGGCTTCGCTGAGTATCGAGAACGACTAGGGGATCGACATACGTAATGAGGGAGATATGAGAATGTGACGTCAGCCAGAGGTATTATGGCAAAGGAAACATCGCAGACCGTGCTCCTGGAAGCAAAGTGCAAGGTCATGTGGCCAAAGTTCCTGGAACTCTCGAGGTAGCACTCTGAGCATTCCATTAACACCAGGCCCCTGGCCACGGGGCCGGCGTTGGCAGGCATGTGCGACTTTGGTACCTATCAGAACAGAGGGGACATTCTGTTACACTACTTCGTCACCACCCGGGTAGATGGTTTAACTTCGGTATGTCCATCTAATTTTGTTTGAAGCTCCACGGTATAACGGGGTACGGCTGAGAGAATATAAGACGTCCATACACCGAACTACTTTGTAACGGTGGGCCCCGATTGGAATATTGTTCGTCTTACGTACATGAGACGTTTAGTTCCCAAGTCAATATTCAGATATCTTTTCGGCAGCGAGATTTCCAGCTTGTACTCCCCTTCCACAGAAAATGCCTCCCTAACAACTGTTCGGTCACCACTCGGTAGGTTCAGCCCGCACCCCTCGACTTCTTGATTGTACATTTAGGGAAGCGAGGCATCAGGAAGAACGTTGAGACTCTTAGGGACCTCCAATTCTAGCGAAGCGCTCTTCGACACGATCAAATTGAGAATCGCTTACGACGCCTGTTATCAAGCTTGGTGTAGAATATTTTCAGCTGTGAATTTCCTCCCTAATTGCCTCCATATCCTCGCCGCTGTCATTTCTGCCCTGGACAAAGAGTGCGGTCTGCCAGACGCCATGCAATGGGAGAGCTGAATCGGCAGGCTGTTGTTCTAGTGTCCTTGCGATATTGGGTTCTGTTTCCGACCCATTCGGGTTTACTTCAACAAACTTTTAGGTAATTGGTTCATTCTATGCTTTTTTGTGGCGTGTGTGCGTGTTTCACGGTCGGGTGGCTTCCACTTACGTCTTTCAGCCCAACTGGAGTTGGCGATCGTGATAGAACTAGAGTTATCGTCGTTAGGCTAACGTCACTGAAACAAGAGAGTTTCCTCATTTTGTCGTGCAGGCCCCAGGTACCCAGGTTGGAGAGGTCAATGGTGAGGGGCACTGAGCTTAGCGGATAAAGCGCCCGTTGCGGCTTGGTGGTAATTAGTTACCGGTTAGTTAGTTGCGTTAGTTACTCTTCTATACTCTTTGTGATCCTCGTGAAAAGCATGTTGGAGAGAGCTAGTCACTGAGGCGCACCGCTGGGCAACTGGATCAACACTGCAAAGCAACTTGTTTTTGATAGGCGCAACTCATGATTTTCGCTTTGAAATCCATGGCGCAAGCTAACAAAACGAAGCAACAAGGCATTTGTCTTGGTCGTCTTAGCCTAAGAGCCATACGTACAAAATACGCTGATCAGGCGAAGCGAAGGGAGGCACGAAGGAAGAACTCCCCTCCCACCTGTGAATTGATCAGGGGCGGTTGAAAGCAAGAAACCACACTTTTACCGGCCCGGCCGTTAACATGCAGAAAGCGATAATTTTGACCCTGCGTCGTGCGTCCTGCATGCTGCACGAGTGTACATGGCACAACTTGTCAAATCCGGAGCCTCGAACTGGGTGAGGGGAACTTCTTTGTGGGGTGTGAGGGATCTTTTTCTGTTCTCCTCTGTTGGCGGGGGTGGAGCCCAGAGCCCGAGCATCGCACAGCGATTGACAGATTGGCACAACGTTGGGCTGTTTCCGCTGCAGCAAGCAATCTGACAAAAACACGATCAGCGGATCTCCCTCAGCTGCCTTGCGACAGGAAGAGAGGCTACGAACGGTTACTACTATGTTTTTAGTAGAGCGATTGGGGAAACCCTGAAAATCGAGGGAAGGAAACAACTGCAAGAGCTTTGGAGAAGTTGAAGAGGAAAAAGGGAGAAAAACCACGCATGGAAGGAAGACCTTTTCCTGCCGTTGCTTCGCGATGTTCTCCTGCATTGCAGACTTGCCTTGTTCGGCCATGGTGCGGGCACAGCGTCGCATGCACCAGAGAAGCGAACGGCGCTAGCCGCTTGGCCTTTCGAGGAACCCCTGGAAAAAGCCCGCCCTGAGACGCCGGCCCAATGATGGAGTTGGCCAGTGCGCCCAAAGGGTGCTCCCGTCTCCTCTGCGATCGCCAGGGGAATCGCCGAGGGGCGAAAAAAAAAAAAAAGGACTGAGCAGGCTCAACCAGAACTGGTCGAGCTGGGACCAAATCCCGCCTGCCAACCACCCTGCCCACTGCCAACTGGGCTCGCTACATTTGTTAACTAACTACCCGACTTGTGCAGAGAGCACCCGAATGCATCAAGAAGCTCCGTGGCTCCTTCGCTTCGTTCGCTGGCCCTGGGCGGATAATTGGAGTGGATCCACATACCCCTGGCCAGACCGGCCGGGATTAGGGGCCCGGGAAGCCAACTCGACTTTCCGCTGTTCAGGGAATTGGCCAGGACATGCGAGCATCCACTCAAGAGCTTCCGTTGCAGCGCCAGGCCTCGCTTTCTTATCTCTCCCTCTTTCCTCTTGCGCGCGCCGTTTCCCAACCACCCGCAAACCCCACGATCGTTCGATCACCACTTTGATGACTTTGACAGTCCATCCGCAGCCACTCCTTAATCCCACCCAATCCGGTCCTTCCAGACGCTAATCCCAACTGCTTTGGCCCAACGCCCACCTCACCAACGCGACACTCCCTCCTTTTCCACAAACCCCCAGATTCTCACGCAACAACCCACGGCTTTTCGCAAGCGGCATCTTTACGAACCGGGACACGATCGCCACACTCGCAAAGTTAAGAATACAAGCTCTTCACCTGCTACCGATACTCGTGACGTTATCTCCCTTCTTTGTATCACCATCGAAGATACCCAGCGCAGCCTTGCCTTTTCCTCCCGGCTCTTACGCTCCGACCCACGCCAAAGAAAACAGGGCTCGGATTCCCCCATTTCGTGCCGTACCATACGCACCCGTCTCCCAACGACCCGTTTCACGCCTGTCCACACACACCACCGCACACAATGGGTCTCCTAGATCGCATCCAAGCCAAGATCGAGCTCTTCCGCCTTGAGCAGCGCTACACTCGACGCCGTCACCGACGCTCCACCTTCGTATCCAACGCCATTTACGTCGACGGCGAGTACATCTACCAGTCGCCCAACACGACGGGTTCCTCCGCCAACACCTCCCGCACCAACAGCACCCAGCACACGTCAACCACACATAGTACCGTACCTTCCCCAGCGGTCGTTGATTTCGCTTCAGCAGCCAGATCGACAGAGGACGCCGGAAAGCAACAGAAGAGGTTGAACCGGTGGTCATCAATGCCTGGATTCGGGTCCACCTCGAGGCCTGAGGGAATGGGGCCGGGATCTGGGATGCCGACAGTGACGGAGCAGGACTGGAGAAAGAGGACTAGTTTGGACGAGGCAAGGCGGTACTAAGGGGCATGGTGTATCGGGTATGATGTGTGATGGAATGTCTGGCGTGAGGTGTTGGTATTTTTTTTTGGCTATTTCTGCGAATTTCTGGCGATTTCTTGACAACACTTGGGGACAGTGCAAGATGGTGGATCTTGGAGGTTTTGCTATCATTAAGCTTGATTGCAATGGTGGCACGCGTGCGACGCATCGCAACATTTTACCTTGATGCGGTGCAGGGCTGGTGACACAAGGTCAGGCCCTTCGTCTGGTCAGGGATCACCGCCAACGCATCGGACACGGGAGTCCGAGCCATCTTCCCCCATTCTTACCTCTTCACGACCAAAAGTTTTACTTCCCTACGCATACCATCAGCGTTTTATGGGAATTTTTATGACGAAAACTGGCTCGACCACGACTGCGATCTGCCACACTCTTTTTCAATGTTTGACGACTTAGACCCTTATGGTATGCGAGCATGGTCCGCCGCAACGCCGAGAGGATAGGTTATTTGAGGGATAGGGAAGGGTCGGTCCAGGCGGCACGGGTAGGCCCGGTCGTTGGGCATTGGACAAAGTGGTGCTCGCCCGGTTATTGTAATTACATGACATGGAGACTGTGACTAGTTTCCTTATTGATGGAATATACCACGATGCTGTCTGCGTAAGAATGCCTCATGGCGTGTTCCTCTTGGTGTCTACCGTTGTGAAGCTTCCTTCGTCACGACCTACCGCACACGTTGCCAGCACCGAGTTGTAGGCTCTCCTCAGATGTGTCATAGGCACGAAGGTATAGTCTCGTCATTCACAATCTATCCACCGAAACGCTCACGTATTTAACTAGGCTAGAGATATAACATGTCCTACAAGGTAACGAATGTCGCCCAGCCGTATTCCTGTTCCTTGGATCCGTCCTCTCTGCGCCTGAGGCAAGTCCCTTTGCCCTGGCCTTCACAACATCACCATCAGTTACATCTCCATGCCGGGGAGGTGGTCGAGCCCTGCACCATGGTATGTCAGCTATCACTACGCAAAACTAAAAACGACAAAACAATAACAAGTGGACTTACACCCATCAACATCCTCATTCACCTGGCTCTTAACAGCACAAGCATTCATCGCCTGCACATTCTGGCTCTTCAGCGGGTTGCCATTCTCACACCCCTGGAACATGCAAGACGAGTCCATCGCCTTCTGTAGCGAATCGCCCTTCCAGCCAAAGACGTAGTCGGCGTGAGTGCCGTACCCGACGTTGTCGCCGTAGCTCAGCACGAAAGGGTTCGACCCGTCCTGCGGCCACATCGAGCTGAACTGGGTCGTGTCCCAGAGCGTCTCGTAGGCGACTTGCGGCATGCGGACTGGGTGTGAGGAGGGGCAGGCACCGGCCGGGGTGAAGGCTTCGCGGACGGTGTTGTACATGTGGGATTGGTGGTCGGGGGAGTCGAGGTTTTTGCCGTCCCAGCAGCTGTTCGGGGGTGGTTAGTTCTCCCGTCCGTATCAGAGGTTGTCAAGGGGCAAGGTGGGATTCACCTAGGGAAGTGGTGCACCGTCATGATGCCACCGACACAGGGCTGAGTCGGGAAGGTAGCCAGCTCCGGGAAGCGGGTGCCCTTGTTCTGCAGACAGACAAACCGCAAGCCGGGGTTGCCGCTCGAGCCGGGTTCGGCACTATACGTCGGGCTGCCGACGGTCATGCGGAAACCCTGGCGGGTGTGATGTTAGTAGGGTAACGACCCTGGCTGGTCCTCGAAGGTATTGACATGCTCAGATACTCACCGGCTTGAACGCGGTAATCTTTTGATTACCGTTGGAGTTAAAGTCCTGCTGGGTGTAATAGATGGTCATACCACCGTTGATGCCGTTAGGCAAGGCTGTGTTCTGCATGATGGGTACGCGCTTGTACGAGCCGTTGCTGTGCTTGAAGAACATGACGGCAGTCCAGTAGTTGGAGAAGTCCTCGGAAAAGGTACACGTCGTGCATGTCGCCTTCTCGCTGATGTCGCCCTCCATGGTTGCGTTGAAGGCATTGCCGCCGACGATTTGGTGGACGTGGGCCGAGGGCAGCTTGCCGGGCTCAACAAGGGGGTCGAGCCGCTGGATGCTCACCGTCGAGCACCCGAAGCGGAGGGCCGCCTCGGCGGACCCAGCGAGGACAAGGGAGATGGTAGACCACTTCATGATGAGCTTAGGTATCACAGTTGGACGGGGAAATGACGGTCGTATGAGGGGGAACAGGAGCGGCGGAGGTCTATCAACCTGAGGGCGTGGCAAGAGGAGGCTGATATATACTCGTGTTCTACGCTGGTATCTCCCTGCTCTACTCGCCGGTCTCCCAACGTTTTCCAACCGCCGTACCAAAAACTCCCACCTGCACCTGCCGCCACCAAACCCCTCTTGGCTAGAGGTCATCTATCAAATTACTCCGAAGCGGGGATATTGTACTAGGTGGCCCCGATTGGGAGGTCAGCCGCCCTTGCACTGGTGGATTTGTGTCTATTTTAGACGATGTGCTTGTCGCACGGCTTCTCGAAGGCTGGGATTGGCCACTAGGCTGGCGCTTCAATCTATGTTTCTTGTAAAAAAATGGGTTAGAGTGTCCACACGAGAATGAAAGTGGCCTATCCAATGGAACCCGACTCGGTGGCCGGCAAGGCCGGTCTCTGGCTCGGGTATGGCCAAGGCAAACTGATCGCCCCTTGTGATACCCCGTTCTGAGAATCCCGTGTTGATATCGGCCTTGGCAACCAGAATACTACTGTAGCTGCCGGCCGGTGCATCTGCCGACATTAACGGAGAGATGTGCACCGTATCGGGAGTTTTCTCTGTTTAACCGGCTGCCGGTTGAGGGTGTCCCCGAGTCCAACGTTTATCAATCATGGTTTGTCTCGAGCTATAATCGGCAGGAGTCCATGTCTTCGGCACAGCAGTCCCGAGCATGATGTTGTTGGTGCCTTCGCCTTAGGCGTGTGGCGACGGAGCAGTTGAAGACCATAAACCTTGCAATTACGTGGATAATTATTGCCGCGTCTACACAACAATTTACCGATTTGACAGAAGCGTGGCACGCTGATGTATGATGCCCCGTGCTGCGTATCAGTCGTGCAGGGGAGTTGTAATAATTATATTGGAAGAGCAAACAGAAGAAGACTAATTACAGGCAAGGTGCTCATCCGTACTCCTCTATCTCGCGACAAATTTGCAGCCCTAGAGCATGATGTGGCTGCTCGGTGGCATTCCTAACGACTCCTATAGATGATGGGTACCTATGTTTGTTATCGAGTCTCCAGTGACTGTGGTTTCGTCGTGCTTTGTATACCCTCTGAGAGAGAGGTCAAAATAGCAACCTCTTTTGCCATGAAATTGATCTCTGCAATTTGGAGTTACGTATCTGAATACTTCGGGGGCAAACACGACCGGCAGACCTGTCCATGAATTAGTTTTGGGTGCCGAAACCACCGTTACTCGACAGGCTCGTTTGTCTAGACCCCATCCACAATTACCTATGATGCTGACGCTTGATGGCCGAACGAGACAGTTGCTGAAGGTCGAATACATTTTTTTTTTGAAAAACTTAGGTACCGGGCCAAATGTAGATTGTGAAGACGTTTTGAACAACCACTTGATTCTGCCACGACGAGGAATGAGGAGCGGGAAGCATAGCGTGAGGTTGTGTTCTGTTTGCCTACTTTTTCTGCGGTTTCCTTTTTTGTCATCTCCGTCACTTGGCGCTTGTATCGAATCATGATATATCGCACGCGATGTTACAGTCACCTGTGTGTAAGCCAAGAGTATGGTCTTGAACTTTGTTTCATCAGGCTACCATGGATACCTACCTGTCTAGATTGATATCTTAACACAGCTTCATAGACACTGCATCGCTGAATTTGCACTGTAGGCACGTCACATGAATCCTCCTTTGCTCTTCCCATCCATCAGACCACATAACGAAAGCCGTCGGGAAGGTGCAACTGACAACCTTCAGTAGGGTCCCAGCTCCGATGGATTCAATCACAGTCACCTTACCCAACCCTAATTACCTTCCCGAGAAAACAATACCCAGCTCCAAATTTGTCATAACCCATCTAAGTTTCTTCGAGTCCTACATGGATAGTTTTAAACACCACGATGGTAAACATACTGCAAAATTTCCAAACCGCGAACCACTTCAACTTTCCTTATCTCTACGAAGAGAACGTTCACATATGTCTAAAAGCCGGCGGCCTTGTTCGTTGCAACATCTACCGCCCCAAAACGAGCGACCAGGTCCCTGCGCTAGTCACATACGGCCCGTACGGGAAGGATATTTACTACGGACAGTGAGTGACTCATGACTCTATGGTCTAGGGAAACAGCGATTGATAGTCCGTCAGCTACAGAGTCAAACCTCCCAAGGCTAACCCCCGCTACAAATCTGTTCCTCCGGCCTGGGAGACCCCTGATCCCGGGTTCTGGACAGAACATGGGTATGCCGTGATTCGTGCCGACGAGGCGGGCACGGGTCAATCACCGGGGGTTCTGGATCCCCTGTCACGGGCCACGACTGATGGGTTTGTGGACGTGGTGGAGTGGGCTGCCGAGCAGCCGTGGTCGTCGGGTAAGGTTGGGTTGCTGGGTACTAGTTACTACGCTGAAAGCCGTGCGTATTATTTTGTCCGGGCAATGTGAGAATGGGAACAACAGTTGACCGAGCTTAGAATGGCCCGTGGCAGCTCGCAAACCCAAGGGGCTTGCCGCCATCATCCCGTAGGAGGGGATGTCGGATTACTACCGAGATCGCTGTCGCCATGGCGGTATTTTGTCCAACACGTACATCGAAACATGGTGGAATAGTCAGATTGTCGCCAACCAGTACGGCCGACCAGGAAGAGCCAAGTGTACCCGGGGTCCTGGTACGTTGTGCCCAGCTCATGGACCGTGTCTACCGGTGGAGCACTAAAGAATAGAACGTAGAGACCCTCGACGGCGATCTTTCCGAGGAGCAGCTCATGGCCAACCGCCGCGACCAGACAGTGGATAATCGGAGCAACTACTTCCTCGACGACGAGTACTACGCTTCAAGAGTATACAATTTCGGCGACATTGAGGTTCCCCTACTATCAGTCGGGAATTGGGGGGATATAACGCTCCATCTCAGGGGCAACATCGAAGGTTTCACGCATGCCGGCTCCAAATTCAAGTACCTGCGCATAATCGTCGGCCGACACGATCGACCCTTCTACTATCAGGAAGAGGTTGAAGTCCAGCGCAGCTTCCTTGATGCCTTTCTCAAAGGCGAGGACCGAGTCGGTTGGGCAACGCCTAGAAAAATGCCCCCAGTCAGTATCGTCGTGCGTAAAGGCGACGTTGGGGTCGACAACCCACGAGGTGAGAGAACCTACCGGTGCCGCGAAGAAGACGAGTGGCCCATCGGCCGCACCCACTACAGCAAGCACTGGCTCACTCCCTCCCGAATTATCCACACGTATTGGACACCAGCCGTCATCGAAGTCACGACGCTGGGCTACCGTTCCCTTGGAACGCTCGACAACCCCCGGGGTGTTCGATTCGCTACTTCGCCTTTTTCAGGGAGAGACCGAAATTACCGGCCACATCACTGTTCACCTAAATATTTCCCGCTCCGCTGAATATAGCCTGGATGAGGGGGCTGTCCCATGTGACATTGACATCTTCCTTACCCTCCGCCACATTTCTCCGGAAGGGAAAGAAATCTTGTACACTGGCCCAACCGGCGACCCTGTCCCGGTCTCCAAAGGCTGGCTGCGTGTCTCTCTCCGAAAGGTCAACACAGAGCACCCGTACCATCGTGATTGGTTACCGAGAAGGGAGTATCGACGTTGTGACGTACAAGCCGTTGTGCCGGGGAAGGTGTACGGGGTAGATGTGGAGATGTGGCCGACAAACGTGGTCGTGGAAGCACGCGGGAAGTTGATATTGGACGTGACTTCGGGGGATACGCAAGGGTGTGGAGACGTTCAGCATGATGATGTGCTTGATCGGTGGGTTTTAAACCTGACTGCCCTGGCTTCTCAGACTCAAGTACAACTTTCGTCACGGGAGAGCAGATGCTAACGCGAGTGTTGGGCAGTCCCGTTAGGACATTTGCGGGGATGAATTACATTCATTTCGCACCAGGGCTGGAGAATTATATAATACTACCGGAGATCCCGTCCAAAGCCGAGACGGCTCGGGGTTGGCCAGGTGGCGATCTCATGATAAACGGTTGGGAAGGGGAATATATTCCGGGCAGTAACAGTGATTAGGAGGTGAGGCTTTTTCTTATACATGCAGCCTATGTAGACTACGGCAGCCCAAACCCGTCTAGCATTCATAGGGATACGATGTATCCAAGCAGCTTTATGTTTCCCGAGTGTGATCGCAATCAGCACTCGAGCCGCTTCACTCAACGGAAGTAGCTCCTGATTATAGTACCTTGTCTAATCCCTTCTCCAGCACCGGCTCCCGATCCTGCATCAACATTTCCTGTGCCATCCATAGTTCTGCGTAGAGCCCATTGAGCTCCATCAACTCCCGGTGACTCCCCATTTCCACTACTTTACCCTCTTTCAACACAATAATCACGTCCGCGTCATAAATAGTTCGCAGTCGGTGCGCCACGAACAAGCTCGTCCGGCGCTTCTCCTTGAGCACCTCGTTGATGTTCGCCATCAGGGCCTGCTCGGTATGTGTGTCCAGCGCACTAGTGGCCTCATCAAAGAACAACAGTGGCGGGTCCTTGAGAATAAGCCGCGACACAGCCAGCCGCTGCTTCTCACCCCCCGAAATCATCAGCCCGCGCTCACCGACCTTGGTCTCGTACCCATGCGGCCAGGACTCAATCTTATCGTGAATATGCGCGCGCCGGGCCGCATCACGGACTTTTTCGGGCGGCGCATCGAGGTTGCCGTAGCGGATGTTGAGCTCGACGGTGTCGTTGAAGAGCGGGGTGTCCTGCGGGACCACGCCGATGGACCGGCGGAGCGAGTCGAGTGTGACGTCGCGGATGTTTTGGTCGTCGATGAAGATGCGGCCAGATTGGGGATCGTAGGAGCGGAAGAGCAAGCGGAGGAGAGTGGATTTGCCGCAGCCTGAGGGCCCGACGACGGCAACCTTTTTTCCGGCGGGGATGGTGACGGAGAGGTTGTTGAGGATGGGTCGGTCTGGGTAGTAGCCGAAGCTGACGTTCTCGAAACGGATTTCGCCACCTCTGGGGAGGGTTAGGGCTGGGGCGTTGGGGTTTTCTTTGATGGAGACGTTGACCTTTTGGAGGTTGAAGAGGGTCTCCATGTCGAGGAGGGACTGGCGCAGCTCGCGGTAGACGGAGCCGAGGAAGTTGAGCGGGACGGAGAGCTGGAAGACTAGCTGGTTGATGAGCACTAGGTCACCGACGGAGAGCGTCCCGGCGACGATGCCGTTGGCGCCGAGCCACATCATCGTTGTGAGGGCAGACGAGAAGATGATGTTCTGCCCGCTGTTGAGGAAGGCCAACGAGGTGGCTACCTTGATGGAGCTCTTCTCATACTGCTGTAGCGCTTTATCGTACCGCCCAATTTCGTACTTTTCGTTGTTGAAGTATTTGACTGCCTCGTAGTTGATGAGCGAGTCCACGGCTACGGTAGACGCCTTGTTGTCGGCCCCGTTAGCCTGGCGTCGGAACTTGGTCCGCCACGCCGTCGTGAAGATCGTAAACGCCGTGTACGCCGCCATGGTGGAGGCTGTGATCGCAGCAAACTCCCACCCAAACTGGTAGGTCAGGATGCCACACACCATGCTGATCTCTAACGCGGTGGGCACAATGTGGAACACCATGCTCGTTAGCAAGAAGCTGATTCCCTTCGTTCCGCGGTCGATCGCTCTCGTCAACCCGCCCGTTTGTTTCGACAGATGGAAATTCAGATCCAGGTTCAACAAATGCCCAAACGTTTTGGTCGCAACCCTTCGAATCGCCTTTTGCGCCACGGACGAGAACACGGCGTTCCTCAGCTCCTGAGACACAACAGCTCCGATACGCGCAGCGCCATACGCAAAGATCATAGTTCCCGCTACAGTAGCCACTGTCCCACCCATTCCGGCCACATCAACGTTTAGCGAGTCAACAATTTCTCGAAAGTAAAATGGCACCTGCACGTTGAGGACTTTCCCACCCACCAGCAGGGCGATAGCCAGCGACACGCGTAGCTTGTCCCCCCAGCTGTCTTTTGGCCACAGGTAGCGCGACATCTCCTTCATGATTGCCCAATCGGCCTTGCGTTGTTCTTGTGCGCTCTTATCGAGCGTTGCGAGGGGGTCTGGTGGTGCTGGCCGATGCGTCTTGGCGAGTGGGGAGGTGCCCGTTACGGGCTGCTGTTGCTGCTGCTGGGGCGGGAGGTCGGGGGTCGGGGGCGTTCGCGGGCCATAGTTACGCGGCGCGGTCGTGTGGAATATGGCTCGGAGGGGGGTGGTTGAGGCTATCGCGGTTCGTGTTGCCCATCGAGATCGGGACAGGCAAGGGACGGAGAGGAACATGTGGTTTCGGACAAAAGGCGCGACTTTGGCCCCATGGAGGCTTTTCGCCATTATGAGTCGGGGTTGAGGAGCCATTGCGAGGACGGACTGTGTAACGTCTCCATTCCCCACGCCAGAGGGAAGAAGGGTTCCTGAACTCCTTTTCTAGATGGTAGAGGAGGAGTCGCGTGCCGCGCGATTTGTGCGGATTTCGAGGCCCAGGGCCTGTGGGGAAGGTGAAAGAGTGAAACTCAAGCGTGTGCTGTGACTCTCGGCGCTTATTTTCTCGGGGTTCTCAAGGATATGTCGGCTTCTCCGGGCTTGGGTAGCTGCTGCAGTTGCCGGCCCGCCTTGGCCTCGGCGAAGAGATAAAGAAGACCAAGAGGCCCGAAAGCTCCGCGCTGCGATGCTCGGCTCCGGTGTGGTGGGGCTTACAGCGATGATGCAATGTGGGGCTGCTTCAGCGCCATGGTGCAGGAAGTGGTGGACCCCTAATCACAGGTTGTGAATGTATGAGTCTTTAACGCTGTTGCGTCTCGTTGAGTCCAGTCAGTAGCTGAGGAATGCTCAAAACACTAAGGCATGAAGAGTAAGTGCTCACGATACAACTGTGATCCCAAAACCTAGTTCCTTAACATTGGGCGCTAACTACAATGAGCCCATATTAAATGAACAAAACTGGTCTGTGACCAAAGCAAGCAGCATCTATCTACGATGTGAATCCAGGCGCCATGTCCCAAAACTCCGAGCCATGCAAGGCTATGCAACAGCAAGCAGGCGGACGAAGAATGGATGCCAAATAAAAAAAGATGACAACAAACCAAGGCGCAGACTCCATTGAGCTGAACCGATGCAGGGAGAAAGCGATGCGCCGCAAACGACGGACCAAAAGGAGGCGCCTACCAAGGGGTAGGTATGCACGAAGCCCAAGACGAAAAATGACGCCGACGACGAATGCAAGACCGAAAGAAAGGGCCAAAGGGAAAGGGGGAAATCCTCCGCCAACTCACACCGACACCGTCGGAACCAACCCTTGATATGCTCTTTCCACCGTTCGTCCTCCCATCCCCGGCAGCATCCGCAGCTGCGCGAGAGATTCAACCTCGTCACCCCTCGAGGCGAGCGAGTCGACCAAGTCCTGTGCCTTTTTGGCCCCAAACCCGTGTAAGCCCTTGATGAGCGACAGATCACGAGAGTTGACAATCTCCAGGAGCTGCTTGACCGCCAGCAAGGCAGTTTCATCGAGTTCTGCCTCTTCTAAAACGGGCCAAACCTTCACTGGGCGTTTTTTCGATCCTTTCCCGCGGACTGGGCTGCGTCCACAGACGTTCTCGTCGTCGTCGATATCGGCTTCGGTCCCTTCCTGGTACTCGTCATCTTCGTCCGTCCCACTGGCCCTAACGGACCGTTTTCCTTCTTTGCAATCCTTCATTTCGGGTTGATTAAGGTCGGCCTCTGCCAACCCAAGCTTCACGCGTAGCCGCTCGATCTTGCCGAGTAATTTGGCCTGGCCAGGGAAATAAACCAAGGCCTCTTCATAGAGCTTCAAGGCACCCTCGTCATCGCCGTGTTCCTTGGCCTGGCGAGCTTGCAGAAGGAGTCGCAGTCCTTCTGAACGCCCGCTGTCAGACCGGGATTCCTTTTCGATGCGGCGCTCCAGGGCCTCGAGTCGACGCTGGACTTCTTCACTGATCTCGTGCTGAGCTGCGGTCGAAGTGGCAGGTTCCGAACCTGATGTCGGTTGAGACGGGGGAGCCGCGGCTGCTTCGGTAGCGGCCCTTGACGCAAGGATCTCTGCGACCTTCTTTTCAACCATAGCCTCAATCTGGTCTGCGGTCATGGAGATCTGCTTTGGCGAGGGCGAGGCCGGTTGTGGCGGGCGAATACCGGTCAGTCCGGTTGGCCGCGCCAATTTGGAGGGCCGTGGAAGAGAATCACCCACTTCCGATGGCCGCTTAACCTGGAGAGGCTGCCGAGGCAGCGAGGTGTTGGCAGAAGGGGCAACTATGGATCGGATAGCAGGCGCGGGCTTCTTGTCAGGAAACACCGCGAAGGCCTTGACCGGCTTGTCAGCCTTTTCAGCCTTCTCAGCGGCTTTGGCAGCCGCAGCACCCGAATGAATATTGTGGGCATTGTTTAGAGGCCGAAGCGGCTGGCGTGGAATGTTCGAACCGCTAAGGCCCGAGTTGGTGCGCGGAGCCTGCTTATACACGATCTCGTTCTCAATCTCTCGCACCTCGATCCGCTTCGCCCTGGAGCTGACATTCAAGCTGCTGAGCGTGTCGAGATGGTAGCTACGCAACGGGGCGAGGTTCAGGATCATGATGGTGATGCCCTGGTTTTGTCCCAGCGAAAGAATACGCGTCATCTTGGACTCTCGGTACGGAATCCGCTTATCGCCGCGCGAGATGGCGTCGATGCACTGACTCAGGACAAACAGGCTCTTGTTGATGGCCGCCGACTCGATCAATCTCTCTTTGCCATTGTCCGTCCTTCGGTTGTCCTCCGATCCAGCCAAGTCAATGGCTGAAGCAGTGCTCTCCTTCACCATGTTCCCCGTCGTTTGCGTCACCTTGACCCGCAAGATGGCGTGGCTGCGGCTGCTGTGAGCGTTGAGCTTGGTTGCAGCGGTCACACGGTTGTTGTTCGCTTCGATGTACAGTCTCTCGAAATCCTTGAGGTCGTCGCAAGACCGCTCGGACAGCCCGACGACCAGGGTCTTGCCGTCCTTCTCGCACAGTCGGAGGCCGGTTGCGGTACGTTTCTCGGGCGGTTCGAGTAGGTCGAATACCTTGTCGTTGTAGATTTCGTAGTACGAGAGCGCGACTGCCACTGTCGTCTCGCCATTGGTATCCTTGATAATCTTCTTTCCGCGCCGGAAAACGTTGCTCAGCAGTCTCGGGATCACACCCCGGTCAGCAAGTCGCAGCCCGCCTCGCATCGTGTGCGTCTTCCCGGTACCCGTGACGCCATAGGCAAAGATTGTTACATCGAAGCCCTGGAATAACGCCTTCAGGTGAGGGGCCACTGTTGGGGGTTAGCAACTCCTTCGTCGGCGGTCTTGCTTTGTTTGTTCCTGTGAATCGGCGGGCCCGGGGGCAATTACCCTCTGCAGTGAACAGCTCCTCTTGAGAGGTGGTCTGCTCATAGACACTGTTGAACGCGAACGAGAACTCTTCAGCTCCGTTCTTTGGACTCGGGATCTTGACGAGGGTTAGGGGCTTCGCATCCTCGACGCGGTCGGCGGTCACGATCACATCTTTGTCTAGCTCTTTCTCAAGCAAGGGACGGATTCTAGCGACGACACGGACCGACATGACTCGGGAATGGGCATGAAAGGAAAGCAAAAGAATAGCAAACGACGTGAGAGAGAATGGAATGGAATTGAAAACCCAATTGGGCGGGTAGCGTTGTGGTGCAACGGCGGGATTGTGCTGCAAAACCACAGAAGCTCATCCTTGCCAACGCAGAGCTCAGCGTGTTTGGCTCGGCTAGCGCCCCGAAATGATCACCAAGGCAACTGTGGGTCCCCAATTCCATTTGTGGTGGGTCTGAGACAACAAGCTTCAAATGGTCTGTGCTTCTCCCCGGCGGCTCCCCGCTAGCCCGCCAAGGCCGATTCCATCGCGGCATCCATGGAATTTTTTGGCTGAAGCCGGGAATCAGGACCCAACAGCCAGCATAACGTCCGGATTTGACGTCTGCGCAATCGACGACGCACCGTCGCCCGTGGCTGCGCCAACATGCGACCACATACGCCTCTAGTCCGGCAGCTTCGGCTCACGGCTGCCATTACCGGGGCGGCGAAGCGACCGGGCTTTGTCTGCTGGCAATGTCGGGCCATCCAAATCAGCGCATCCCCCACCACAGATTCAAGACCCGGGACCGATGCATTTGGAGCTTACCCCGGGGCACACAGGGACTCTTCGGGTGCGGAACTTCTCTAATATTGTCTCCTCGTACGTCGCTAACTGTGAGTAGATGCTCGGTTCGAAGTCCTCGGTTCTCCATACTCGTTACTCTCCGTCAACCTGTCGGCGTCACAGCGGCTCTACACAAGGAGGGGGACGCTGGTGTCTGTCGTCGGCAAGGTGGAAAACGTACGGCGAACTACCTGGCCAGCCTCCCGCAACGTACTACTACTGACATTTACGATTGACAGGTACAATCCACGCTTTCACTTCTCTCTCCGCTTCAACGAGCCCCCCTCGGCGTTCCATTCCTTTACCAACGCATCTCCTCAACAACACCAATCACCGCGATCATAGCTACGAAATCCCCGAATACCACATTCTCCGTCCTTCGCCTTGACGGCACCATCGATTGGATCGTCTCTCAACGAAATGCCCTCCTCGCATGGACTGGCCATACCCTGACCCCATCCCCGCGCATCCACCACGGCCTCTCGGTAGCCCATTGGGGCAACACACATTTGACCGGCCGCGGGCTGGCAGCACTCTCTTCACCAGGCCAGATTCACGAACTCACTCTCGCGGAAGGTGAGGAGATTGTGTTACATCCCTCACACGTCGTGGCTTATCCAGTCACTCGCAACCCTCCGTTACCATTCCGGTTCAAGAGCACACGCCTTACCCTCCAGGTTCCCGCTGTCCCCGCCTCGATTACCAATGCGGCTGGCCGGTTGGCTCCGGAACGTGTCTCGACGTTCTGGAACGCCATGAGGGATACAGAGACGTTCAAAGCCCTTGCGCGGTTGTTCTACGGGTTGCGTACGACAGCAAGGAGGACGATCTGGGGTGACCGGTTGTTCCTGCAGTTTAAGGGCCCCATGACACTATTGATGTCAACGCGTGGGGTTAGGGTTAGTGATGTGTTGAGCAGGGAGGATGTCAATGAGATCGCGGACAGTGAGGCCGGTGTTGTGCCCAAGGCGGTGCAGCTCGCGAGCGAACCAAAGGTCAAGGAGGACAAGCGGCCGGAAGAGAAAGTGGCCGCGCTCCACGTTGCCAATGTGAGCAAGGATGGAAAAGTCAGCTTCGAGGATGCGAAGAACTTGAACGACTTTGTCCGGTAATATTAGATTTAGATACCGCCGTGTGTATCAATCATGTAACGATACGATGTAAAGCAAGACATCCACGCAGTGCATGGATCTCCTTTTGTTGTGGACTCTAGTTTCAGGAGTCGGCAGCTGGAAATGCCCCACTCCTTACCAACCCACGAACCTCGGCTGCTTTGGGGACGCCAGGGAGCCAGGGCAGCATCTTGACCTCAACACAGCAACTAACTGATGCGTTGAAATGCGACACCTCGAGAAACGGCCTATTGAGACAACGTCACTGAAGGAAATCCGTGACTTGGGTACACGGCCATTCTCAATTCTGAGGATCGGCCGTTTTCAGTTCCCCCAATGAACCGCCTCAGCCACGGGTCTTCCCGAAATAGTAATTTCATCTCGACTCTCATCTCATCTCATCTTCAACCTCACGTGCGCATCATGTGCGCTCGTTCTCGACATCTTCTCTCCAACAACATGTGGCAAATACCGGCCCCGGAAACAAAACACTCCTAAACAAGACCTGTGCCCTTTCTATCACGATGGCCGGGCTCTACCTCGTCCCCATCCCCATCGCAGCCCCGCTCATCATTCTCACCGTCGCGCTGATCCCCCTAACGCCCCTCGCGTGGGTCTGGATCGTGTGCACCGGTGTTTCGCGCGGTATCCGTGACGGCGCTCGGCCGGCAGATGCTGTCAAGACGATAGGCCGCAGGTTCGGTCTTACTGTCGGTGTGCCATGGGTAGCGGTCATCGTGTTGTGTGGGATGGTTGTGGCGCAGTTGGTGTTGATTCCGTTTGTGTTTTTACACCAGCTGCGTGCATTTTGGGAGAGTTTGGCGCGGGCGTATGAGTATTTTGGTGAAACACAACTTCAGAACACCCGACCGGAGGATGGGGACGACTTGGTTGCTCATGGGCCATCTGTTGAGGGGTAAGATTCCCAGCTCTATTTCGTAAAGTTTTCTTGCAGTGACTGACGCGAATGTAGACTTGAACCATACACCTTCACACCTCTCCCACCAACTACGAGGCACGACACTCCGATCCGTCTCTTAACCCTCTACCCAGGATCCTTCAACTCACCTCTCTGCGGGGCATTACTGACAGCCTCCCTTTCTTCTCACCCCCCATACGACGCCCTGTCCTATTGCCCCGACCTCCCAATCTCCAACCCGACCACCAACCCCCACAACAATACACCTACCCTCTTCGTCTCAGATTCCCGGCGACCAGAAGCGTCGCAACCCCGCGACGACACGGACAGTAAGGCCTCAACATCATGGCACACCCTCACCCTTCCACACACCCTCGCTACCGCCCTACGGCAGCTCCGACACACCACCACGCCACGAACGATTTGGGTTGATACGGTGTGTATCAACGGTGCCAATCTCGCGGAAAAGTCCCAGCAGGTGGGCGTGCGAGATTCCATATTTTGCGGGGCGCGTGAGGTCATTGTCTCGACTGGCCAGGATCGTGGGGTAGCTGGGGAAGATGGAGATGATGTGGCCCAATTGTTTGAGTGGGTCAATGGTCTTGGTGAAGATGAGGTGTCGTCCCCGTTGGGTGGGTTGGATTTACGAGGGAAGAACTTGCTGGGGCAGGTGACAGCTTCGCAGGAGTGGGGGGTAACGGGGTGGGCTAGATGGGCCGTGGGTCACAAAAGACAGGAGAGGGTGGATCAGATCATTGCTGATGTTGAAGTGGTATGGATGAAATGGGGAGAGAAGGTGAGGAAGCTTTGGAAGCTGGTGCAGGAAGAGTATCGGGTCGCGGTCTTGGGGCTGACCCCAATTCGTCCGGCTGCGGCCCCGAAGGACGTTTCTGGTACGATACGGGCGTTCTTTCGTCGGGACTGGTTCCAACAACTTTGGTCACTCCATGACATGGCGCTACCAGAGCTATCTCGAATTCGGATCGCTTACGGCGACAAGTCGATCTCGGCCGAGCGTCTGATCTATCTTTCACAACTGGCCGGTCGAACAGAACGCGCACAGGGATGCGATTTTGAGAGGATATGCAGGTGGCTTGGGGGCCAGATGGTGCGGAAGAACTCGGAAAGGCTTTCATTGCTGAACATTCTTATCGGAACGCGAGAGCTCAAGTACATCGATCCGAGGGACAAAGCTTTTGCTGCGCTCAACATTGCACGACGGATAAACAACAACGAGTCCCGAGATCCTTACACAGGCCTGACAATCGATTACAACAAATCGGTAGCTGATGTCTTTGGCTCACTTTCGGCTCATCTCATCCAACAGTACGGCCCAGGCTTTTTCTTCGCTTTGAACAAATCTCCTCCAAAAATCGAGAACCTGCCATCCTGGGCAGCCGACTGGAGCGTGCCGTGGCCAAACGACCGTGCCCTATCCAAGGTTGACCCATCAGTCTATTCCCAAGTACTCGACGAGAAGCAGGAGACGTTGGAATTCACCCCCGACAAAGACGGCCGACTTGTGTTCTCCATCACGCGGCCAAGAGTTGTCCGTGGTTTCTTCACGCGGGACGGGCACATTGACGACGAGTCGAGGGCCCGCATAGAAAATGTTAGGCAACTCGATCGAGACGAGGTCCTCGTTGAAGTGTACCCAGGCTTAGCCTTACTATTGCGACAAAAGAAGGGACACCCCGAACACCACGAGCTAGTGCGGACATGTCCTCATGCGCTGTCCCGCGTAGGCGTGGAGAAGGCGGTGGCCAACTGGAGTGGTGTAGTTGTTCACAGGCGTAATGTCGGGCAGGACCACGATAAGGCGCCGCCGAAAGGATATTTAAGTTTGCCGGGTGTGTATAGAATTAGCTGATGGCAGTGCTTGTTGCCTTCTTTGCCTCCCCTTCGTAATATTTTTTTACGAGTGCCCAACACTTCCTCATGCCTGTGCCCATGGACTCTGCATCGATCTCGTCAGGATTCGCCCATCGTTTTTGCGCGTCCAACACTGTGACCTCATTTTCTATCTCGAAAGCATGGATATGCATCGTGAGTTTGAGATGAGAAAACAACCATGGCACACTGTCAATCTCTCCCAGATACTCCCAGGTGCTCGGAACATTGTCCCCCCGGTTCGACACCACCAAGTGATCCATGAAAAACCTCTGAGCCTTCACTCTCCGCGCCCTGAGAATACTGTCGTTGGATGCCGGCAATACTAGGCTGGGGAGTTCCCAGAGGTTAGCCAACAGGCCCTTAGCCGGTCTTCGTTGGATGAGATACTGCCCGTCAGAAGGGCGGCGAATAGCACAAACTACCGTCTCTTCCTCCCGAATCTCCTTCTTAGGCTTCTTGAGAGGGAACTTCCGAGCGTGGTTGACGATGATGCCCAGTGTCTGAGGGTCCGGCTTAGAAGGTTCGGGCCCGGTTTCTTTTGCGGAGCCTGTCGGTGCGAAGAATCGAGATAGTTTGGAATCGCCTCGAGTAGTTCTTGGCTCTTCCACAGCTGCGGCGTCTGCCTCCTCTGCCGCTTCTTCGAGCGGAGCACAGAGGGTACAAAGATCCTCAATATCGCCCACCATGCCAGCCAGTGGGCGTTTCTCGGCCAGAGCCAACCCTTCCGCATATGCACGACATGTTTCAGTGATTGGACACGCCGCGCAATTTGGCTTGGGGGTGCAAACGGTACTCCCCAATTCCATCAACGCTTGCCCCCAGCGTCCCGGTCGATCGCTCGCTTCCTCATCACCGCCATCCGCCGCAACATTCTTCGCCAACTGATCCGCCACATCCCAGATCAACTGGATCACCTTTTTGTCGCCCTTCACGTCCCCAAGCACGCCCAACTGCCGACTCAGCACCCTCAACACATTCCCATCCACCATGGGGGCAGCCACCCCGAACACGATCGCTGCAATCGCGCCCGCCGTGTACCGCCCAACTCCAGGCACACGCATCAGTCCTTCGACATCACAAGGCATCAGCCCCTCTCCGTCACCTTCTTCGTCCTGCTTACAGACCCACCGCGCGGCCTCCCATACCCGCCTCGCCCGCGCATAGTACCCCAAGCCCCGCCACTGCGCCAATACTTCCTCTTCAGTCGCTTGGGCTAAATCCTGAATAGTAGGCCACCGCGCCATCCAACGCGTCCAGTAGTCGACGACGGTTGCCACGCGGGTCTGTTGGAGCATGACTTCTGAAATCCAGACCTCGTAGGCGCGTTTGGCAAGGGCGGTACGAAAGGACGCAGAGACCTTTGATGTCGAAGGCGCGGGGAGAAATGGCTTCCGCCAGGGCATGGAGCGGTTGGAGAGGGCGGATGTGAACCAGGTGAGGAGGGCGTCGCGAGTTGTGCGGGAGGTGAGGAGAGTTGGGTGAATGAGTGGGTCTTGATGATAAGATTGGGGATGGTTGCGAAATGGGGCTGCGAGATGTTCTTTCGGGAGCGGTGCCGTGGTAGTTGGGGGGATTTGGCGCGGTCGCGATGCTGGCGTAGACTTTGACTTTGCCGATGTGGTGGCCGTTTTCCGCAGTTTGGTTGGGCGCGTCTCATCGTCGGCGGTGTCGTCGCTCATCTCGCGTGAGGGCGTACTCCATGGATCGGAGCCGAGCTCATCCTGCTGCTCAGTTGAGCCGTCCTGATAGGTTATGGATGACCTGAGCGCAATGCGCGCGCTTTTGCGGGTTGCCATTGTTCAACTTTGTTTTTTTTTTTTTGCTAGGGCTCGTTTCGATGTCAGGTTCGTCTTCGCGAACCGTTGGTCCGGTTTCCTTGGTTTATGCTGGGCACTCATTTCGGATACCCCCCGGTCGATCAGGTAACCCTAACCCTCTCATGTAGATACCCAGGTACGTTCGCCGGATGCCACAGCGTTAACGTTACGAAGTATACCCTCCCTCGAAAGCGCAGCTGACGTTCAATTTCGGGTGACGCTTCATCTTATTCCTAATCCTAATTCTAACTTGATTATGCCTGTATTCAAGGGCTCAGCCTTTCCTGTTCACTGAATAAACCTTGAAAACACGGCCCGTTCAACATGAAGCGCAGTCATTGACGAACCCGCGATATTAGTACCTAGGGTTCATATTATTAAGCTGTTGACCGATTGGCCAGCTCGAAATTCATGTCTAATCTATATCAACAGTATTGCAACCCCCTGGAAATATCATATTCAATAATCTCGTAGCTCAATTTTCATAATCATGCTGGAACGTTCCTAGAAAAAAATCACGATGCCCGCCAACAACCCTGCGCCATCTCACAAAGCAGCAACCCCCAACAGCCCGACGACTAAAACCGCACCCCAAACCCTCACCACATTTGGTGACATCGCAGTGCCAGCGTTCGGCCCCGGGCCGTTTTGCCGCGCTTCGCAGACGCCGGTCGGGTTGACCTTCTTCGTCTTCTCAGCACCACCCGTAATCGAGACTTGATGCACATGGAAATCGGTGCCCGTGTAGATCGCACTGTCGACGATTGTCGTTGAGGTACCGGCAATTGAAACACTCAGAGACACAGTGCAGTCGGCTTTGGTAGTGCCGATCACCTTGCAGCTTTCAGCGACGGTACCTACCCCATCCTCGCCTGCCACCCGAGTGGCGATGGAGTACTCGGCAAAATACGTTGAGGGTCCGGCCGTGACGGTGAGGGTCTAGGACGGGACGTGTTAGCCATGGGCATTATTTCGTAGATCTGCTGCCCCTCTCGTCAAACGGGTACGAACCGGAGCGTCGGAACCACACGTCCGGGAGTCGACATAATAGTCGTCGTCTGCGACACCGGTACACTGAATTGCGTAGACGGTCTCCAGCGGATTGCAAGCCTCAATCACGGACGCGGCGTACATGCCTTGGCCATCGATGGAATCGTCGAGGAAAAAGTTCGCATGGTTTCCAGAAGCCGTCGTATTTGTGGCATGGATAGTAAGGCCGGCCGCAACGCTGGCGGCCGCAACCGCAACAGTGAAAGAACGCATCATTGCTGTGCAAGGAATAGAGGGATCTGCGGTGTGAAGGTTGAATGAGATTGAGGGAAAATAGCACGATCCCTAGAAAGTGGGATGCTCATCAAGACATTCTTATAACAAGTTACATTTCACGAGATTCTCTGGCGCTAGAGGAACTTGTGCGAACGCCAAGGCGGGCTAGGTTTTTGAAGGATTTGCAATTTAGGAGGAATGCCTTGATCGGGGAGGAGTCACTCCTGGCTATCCTACGCCCCAAGACCACGGCAAAAATAGAGGAAGATACCATGGTAAGATGAAGCCTAGAAAAAGAAGCTGGATAGAAAACAACATGTGCGGGAGAAGGCGGCGATCTGATTCGGCTCAATCCGAGATCAGGGAACGATTACCGTAGTATAAACTATATTACTGTGGTACAAGTCACCAAACCTTCGGTCTCGCTCCTGCACGTGCAGACGTCTGTATTAGACAAGTCCGAGTGCTCCATTCATTTCATTTCTTCAGTGGTTGTGGCACCCGTGGAGCTCCGTATGGCACCCCGAGCATTCCTCGGTTGCGCCAAAGGGATGGGCATATTTGCCAAGGCATCCAATATTACCGCACTGCCCCATTTACAGCCACACTGAATGAGGTTACCGGACCAAATCCACCGTCCTCGGTATTCCCTCCCGTCAGGTGAGGCGCAAAGGACCTAAAATCAGTTTACCTAATTAACAGGTATCGGCCTCCCCCAAGGTCCCTTTCCTCGGACTTGTGGTCAAACACAGCCCGCCGCGCTTTTAGCAATACGAGCCCCCGCCTCCCCTAAGACTAGGAACTGATGTTTCTTCCAATCATAAGAATTAAATCAGTATTTAATTGTGATTATACTTAATTGTGATTGCGCTGAACCAGAGCGCTCAATATGCGAGAATAATGCAATTGGCTTCGGACTGGGAACATATTCTCGGGGGCGTTCATTGAACAGGAGTGAGAGTAGAGAGTGCTACACTTGATATTTGGCTGCAGGTCTTAATTGCATTGATAAGATGGTTTCGTCGAAAATAAGAAAAGATCAAGGATTCAATCGACACCAAGTTCCCAAGCTTCGAACCTTACTCCCATCCGGCGATGGCATTCTCCCAGGGGACAATCTTCGCTCCCTTGGTCTTCAGCCGTTCTTCAACCTCCCGCTCAATATCCACGGCGGACTTGCCGCTGTCGTCGTAGGTCGAATGAGCGCCGGACAACACCGTGACGCCGAACCCAGCCTCAAGCGCGCTATTGCAAGTAGATTCAACACAACATTCACTCTGGATCCCAAAGGCAACGATCTCCTTCACACCAACAGCCCGGAGCTCAGAGGCAAGATTGGGGTTTGACTCGAAGGTGCTACCTATAGAGGGGGTAAGTAATCGAGTATCGCCCACACAAAGTTCAGTATTCGGGATTAGGAAACAAAGACTAACGGGCTGACTTTGCAACCAAACGCTCTTTCGCCACTCCCGCACGTGGCTCAAAGACCAACTTCCATGGCTCGCTACCTCGGACTAGCGGCCCGCTTTCGGGCGATTCTTCATGCTGGACGAACACGATAAGCGATGGTCGGCTACCACCCGGAGTGTTGCTTTCTAAGGCCGCCCGCGCGCTAGATAGGATCCAGCCGCTGGCTGTTTTAATCCGGTCGGAGTGGGGGATCTTGGTGTTTGGATCGGTTGCCAGATCGTTCTGGATGTCAATGACAAAAAGCGCGGTTGCCATGTTGAAATCAGCGGACTGGAGATCTGGGGAAAATTTTGCAATTGGGCAAGGAAACCGAAGAGGCGCTTGTCAATGAATTATAAAGTCCAAAGATATCTGTTGGAATGTTGCGCTCCAATTGAGTCGGAGTTCGTCTGACCCGAAATCAGGGGAGGAGGGGTCGTCGCAAACCTTGATTTCACCTCTTAAAGTCATCCTGTCACTGTGCGATGATTCACACACGGCAGCCAGCAAAAGCGGGGCAGCCGTGAATGGCTTCACGCAGAGCCTGTGGCTTGCGGGATGCGGCTCGAATGGTGGCTGGCCTGATTGGCCCCAAAGGTCAATAACGAAACCTTAAAAACAAGCGAGGTGTGAGCCAATTCTTGGCACTCTCAATATCCCTTTGACACGGCCCATTTCCATCAGGTTTGAACAAAGCTCCTCAACAATTTGCAAGAGTCTTCACTATGGCGGGGACTTGGCTTTGCTTCGGGATGAGCATCCTTCACCCAGGACCAAGGTGGGGTTCTCGGTGGCTACTGCAGCGAAGACGAAGCTCGGTGCTAATATCCCGAGAAGGGGCACCCCGCAACGCCCGGTTCTTGTACTCCTGACGGGAACTCAAGCTCCAATTCTAACCTTTACTTTTGAATCCTGTCCTTCATTTCATCTCATACCCTTTCGTTCCCCTCAAAAGTTCACCCTCTTGCCACAATCTAACCTCAGACTCCAACCTAACAGTGCGATATCCTTTTTGAAATTGAACAACATCCCTTCAACACCAAGCTTCTCCAAGATGGCCCCACCGAAGTTACCCCTCGTCCCACCCAAGGGTGTCTTTGTCCCGTCCCCGACATTCTTCCTCCCCGCATCTACCGCCGCCTCAGAAAAAGTTGTACAAGCGCCTGTCGACACCAAGACACAAATCGAACACACTCTTTTCCTCGCTCGCGCAGGCATCACCGGCCTCACCCTTCTCGGATCAACCGGAGAGGCCGTCCACCTCTCGCGGACCGAGCGCAAGGACCTGACGGTCGCCGTCCGTAAGGGCCTGGAAGATGGCGGGTTTCCCGACTACCCGGTCATGGCTGGTGTCCTGACGAACGGCGAGATTGAGGAGACTCTAGAGTGGCTACATGACTATGCCGAGGCGGGTGCACAGTGGGGATTGGTGTTGACGCCGGGGTATTTTGGCCCTGCGGTGTCACAGGAGGGATTGGTCAAATGGTATCAGATAATTGCCGACAAGAGCCCCATCCCGATCATGATCTACAACTATCCTGGCGTGACGAATAACGTTCAGGTGTTGCCGGAGACATACCGGGTGTTGGCAAAACACCCAAATATCGTCGGTTGCAAGATGTAAGTGTTCGTTCGAACACGCCACAATTTTGGGATATTTTTTGGGCTGACAAACGAAACTCAGGTCCCACGGGAACGTGTCGCACCACATCCAAGTTTCTCTCGATCCAGCAATCGACCACGACAACTTCCGAGTCTACAGTGGGTTTGGCAACCAGCTTGGCCCCATCGTTGCGTTTGGCGCGGCGGGTGTCATTGACGGGATGGCCGCCTTCTATCCCAAGACGGTGGTCCGCTTGATGGCTCTGATGTTGCAAGAGGAGAAGACAGCCGAGACATGGGCCGAGATTCACCGTTTGCAGTACGCCGTTAGTCAGGGTGAGGAATTCGTGATGCGGTCTGGCATTCTGGGAATCAAAGAAGCTGTCTTCCGGGTCACTGGGTTTGGAAACATGGAGGGTGGCAGGCTTCCTATTCCTGGACACTTGCCCGATGGGGCGTGGGACAAGGCAAAGGGGCTGTTCCTGGATGATATCCAGGCTACTGAATCTTCCCTTTAGGGCTCCCGTAGCAGAATTCCATTGTATACTATTCAGTAGCAATAGGCTGAACCTCTTAATACTATGAAGTCCATTATTCCCTGCTGCTGTTCTTTCGAAGGCCGTAACTTCTACCGTGGGACGGCTCCTGATCTTAATAGCCTGTCCTACAGGCACCTGATACTGTTTGACATCGCCCTGGCCGAATATTCAGTAATCTCCGGGTTGGTTAAATCTCACTAAATTGGTGAGATGTGGGGACTTGGGAACTCTTCTTGGCCGGTGCCTGGTGTGGTATTACGACTGGGCCCTTTTAAGTGCCGGAGCCTGTGTTATCATGTGCCTAAAGAAATTTCTTTCGCGTGTTGTTGCTCGTGTGACCTTGTACTTCAATGGGCAGTTTAAGGCATCGTACAACAGGTCATTTTCGGGCCAATTCATACTTCATCCTAGCCAGTTCCTTGTTGCTGTTGTCGTGAGTTCCTTGTTTCTGTTATCGCGACTCCATTGGTGTTATCGTGAGTGCCTTGTTGGTGTTGTCAGGAGTTTCTTTTTAATGTTGGGACGGAGTGCTCAGAGCCGCGACAACCGCCCATTATGGTGAGTCGCCATGAGGACTAACATGGGAAGGAAACCTGTCTTCTTTGAGTTTATGGCCCGCTACTAGCTGAGTGATCCGGGTCCTGTGAGCGTTTTCGGCCCTGGTGGGATATGTAGGGAGTCTCACCTTTGAGATTGAAACGTGCTACCACCTTGTTCATCGGGTCGCGAAGCCCAAGATGCAAGTATATAAACCCAATGGCTTACACCCATACAACCTAGAAGAAGATTCCTAGCCCATTCCAGAGATACAGCGAGAGATCCATACCCACAGGAGGCATTCAGAGAAGCCCTTCGTCACAGCCATCAACACGCTTATGCACACTCATGGTTATTCGAACCAGCGATACATACTTCCCCGCCGCTATCCCACACCAGGCCGCGGGCCCAAGACTCCTCAGCGCTTCAGCGGCGTGATCAGCGGCGTGATCAGCGGGCTACTACTCAAGCCATCGATATACCCTTCCCCGCCGCTATCCTACAACAAGCTCCGAAGCCAACGCCCTTCAGCGCTTCACTGACCAACGCCTCGGTGGTTCAGCGGCCTCAGAACCAGGCTACTCCTCAAGCCATCGATATACGCTTCCCTGCCGCCGTCCCAGAACAAACGACAGACCCGAAGCCCCTCGGCGCTTCGGCGGCGTGATCAGGGCGGAGGCAGCGGGCTAAGCAGCGGGATAAGCAGCGGGCTACACCAAACCCCAAGCACATGGTCCATAGCGGCCGCTCAGACACATATCAAACTTACAAACTCGACAACAAGTATGTGCTTGAGTGGCTGATGGCCACCGCAAGAAGCCATCAGTGCCCTGTCAGCTTATGTTTACCCCCTACTACCTCCACGCCTCACCCACCACGCAGCCATGCACGCCTAGTCAAGGTGAACAATATCCTTCCCTTCGAAATGGCTCCAGAGCGCCCACCCCATGCTCCATGTCCCCCGCACCATTCTCTAGGCACTGCGAAGGGTCATTCGATTACGGCACGAGCATAGCCTGATGCTTCGGATGAATCGACGTGGTTAGACTGCTGGCGATACTGCCAGGGACTGCAGCCAGAACCATTTCCTAGGGGTGTTGAGGGCTCTAGAAGCGATTCTCAGTCGGTTTCCAGCTTCCAATGCCGCGGGTCAGTAGGCCAAAACAGTGAGGGAGAGACCTATTTCAGGATGAATCCTCCGACCCGGGCTAGCCGATCTGCGTTCGAACGACGGGTGGAATATAATTCAGGGCACCGTAAGCTTCAAATATTCTTTTTAACGTTTCAAGGAGGCATCAAGTTGGTGGAATTGGGAGCTTTGGAATAAAGAAAAGTTTGCTCTGTTAATAACCGCTGGAGGCGAGAAGCCCTGCGTGAATAGGTAATTAGTGACTCGGTAAGATTTGACCGTCCCGATACTTAATGTGCGTCGTGTGGTAATAATTAACTATGGGACGATGTCGTTGTACTGTATGGCGAACCTTTCATTGCTGACTGAAAAATACGGATGCATTTTTACGCAGCTCTACCGTAATTAAATTTGGAAGCAACTTGATGCAATTATTCTCAAAGGCAAGGCTTTGTTACCTGAATGAATGCTTATACTGAGGGAAGAACCCCAACTCAATTCTTTGGATGAGGTTCACCACCTAAATACCATACAATCTCGTCCCAGAAATTTTGCATGTGAGCTTTGCGAGTTGGTGACAACGGGCGACCCACCTCACCGGCACATAGGGAACTTTTCGACGCGGCTCATTTAGTCTGAAGTTGACATGTCGAGAACCCCAACGAAAGTCACAGGTTAGGTCATTTCCCGGCGTGAAGCTTTTGCTTGTGAATGTTGAAAATAAAATTATGAAGTGCTCTGCTGCGCATTGTTGGGCCACCTGCTCATCAGGTTGTTTATTGGTCTAAGCCTGTATTCATCTCACGCTGGCTGCGTTCAGACTTACTGCGTCCTCACGTGGTTAAAAAGAGATGGTTCAACCCAACTCAATTGTTCGGAACCTCCGAGCCCGCAAAAGGTATAGCCGGAGTTTTGTTCACGATGCCCGATGGTAGTTCATGGTTGCACCAGGGGACGATAAGAAATGGAAGTCGGGAACCGATTCAGGCTAAAGGTTAAATTCCCTGCCACGGACCCCTTCTGGCCACGGCCCTTTCCGAACAATGTGAAGCCTTTCTGTCCGTGGAGCCGCGTTCCGGGTTAGCGTTGATGCATCGAAAGCATGAACCGGGTACTAGGGTCAGATTCAGGGGGCGACTCACCAGTTGGGAAGTCAGAAAGACACTCTCCCGAGATCCTCCCCCCAATGCAACCATGATTTCGGGTTCGTTGATTGTGTTTGCAGACGCGCCTCTTCCATTTCCCCACACAAACGTTTCCCAATTCCGGGTCATCCCCCACAGTCGCGACTGTTCGAGAACAAATCGCCGGGAAATGCATCGCTTGGTTGGTGGAATGAAGATCGGAACCCTCAGCCCTCCTTTTCTCCGAATCTTCCTTACTTGAGCTCGGAGCTTCAACAAGCGAGCGGTTAGCTCGATACTACTGTAATAGCTGTTATTGGCCCAACACTAATTGCTTAGCGTCTCGGCGATCGTTATGGGCCACAGTTGTTGATACGGTCATAATACCGGAAGCGTGGACATGTGGCAGCATCTTTTGGTCACACGCAACGGTTCCCACGCGTCTCGGAGAATTCCCTTCCCTTCAGCTCCCGGCTAGTGGATTGTCGCCGGCGAGGCGGAGGAGCGGAATGCAACAGGCGAAAGCCCTGCAGGACTTCAAGGTCGTAGCCGGGCGTGGGGAAGCTGAGGCTTGGATGGTCGCTTCCCTGGCCTATGACTGCTTGCCTTGTGTTTGACCGCTCGGATACCTTTGGAATGGATATTTAACATTCCCGGGGACGTTCTGTTGTTTTACTGGTGTCTCCTCATCATTCACAACTCCTATCCCCACGATCTACTAACCCCGGACTCCCGAACGCATCTACACCATGTGGCCCACTCCCAAGGTCGCCTCGCTGCTTCTCGCGGCGCACTCACTCCTCGTCAGCGGGTCCCCCGTCGACGCGGAGGCCGTAGATGCCGCAGTCCTCGCCAAGCGCCAATGCCCTCAGATCCATGTGTTCGGCGCCCGTGAGACCACGGCCCCGGCTGGCTATGGCACGGCTGGTGTTGTTGTCAACCTGGTCCTAGGTGCTTACCCCGGTGCCACAGCTGAGGCCATCGTCTACCCGGCATGCGGTGGCCAGTCCCAGTGTGGTGGCGTCCAGTATGGTGACTCCGCCCGTCAGGGCACCAACGCTGTTGCGTCGGCCGTCAACAGCTTCAACCAGCGCTGCCCGAATACCCAGATTGTCCTTGTTGGTTACTCGCAGGGTAAGCTCAATTCGTTCACCCTGGTAAAGCCGAATATGTCGTGTCTAATCCAGAAACATAGGTGGCCAAATCATGGACAACGCTGTCTGTGGTGGCCCTGACAGCGGCTCTGGGATTACCAGCACCACTCCCCCCATCTCTGCTGCGGCGCTTGGCCAGATCAAGGCCGTCATTGAGATGGGCTCTCCGCGCTTCGTTGCCGGGTTGTCATACAACGTGGGCACCTGCTCCGCGCAGGGCGTAAGTTTAAGCATCCCAAACCTCACCTTATCCCTCGGTCTTAGCGAACTTGATAACATTCACTGACACAACCTCTCAAGTTTGCCCCCCGCCCTCGCGGCTACGTCTGCGCGTCCAACTCCGGCTCCAAGATGAAGAGCTACTGCGATTCGACCGACCCCTACTGCTGCACAGGCAACGACGCCAACTCGCACCAGCAGTACGGCAGCAAGTACGGCCAGCAGGCTCTCGCGTTTATCCAGAGCCAGCTCAGCAACAACGGCGGCAACCCCGGTACCCCAACTACGACGGCGGGCGGATCCACGCCGACCAACGGCGGCGGTGGCGGAACCTGTTCGGCTTTGTATGGGCAATGCGGAGGTCAGGGTTGGCAGGGCCCGACTTGCTGCTCCCAGGGATCGTGCAAGGCGTCGAACCAGTGGTACTCACAATGTCTGTAGGAACAATTAAAGCGGAGCGTCATGTAAATAGTCTCATTCTGGGTAGTTATCTACACCCGCAAAGGTGGATCAAGCAACATACCTTCCTTAATTATATCGCAGCCCGGGAGAGAAAAAATAGCAGAAGAAAAGACGACGAAAAAGGAAATGGTTTTGATTAAAAGAAAGCAAAAAGCTCGCCATCGAACCCTATCCCTATCCGGAAGGATAGCGGTCGGTGGTTATGAAAATCTTTCCGGTGAAAGATTGTTCTTCGCTGACCTAGGATTCGAACCCAGGTCACTTCGATTTACAACGGGTTGGCGCGGCCCTCCCCCCAATGCCGCGGAGCTAAACCCGGTGGTTCAATCTCTATTGGGAGGAGCTGGTGACTGTGGGAGCTGGAAGAGGTGTTAAATAGGGGGTTCTGCGATGGGAGGGAAGGTGCAGGTTGTAAAGCCTCTCAGTTGTCATCTTCACAAGAATAGTCTCGATGGCCAGGACGAGCCACCACCTTAGGGATACTTGTTATTGTTCTTCCGTTGTTCAGGAACATACTAAGCAGAACCGCAAAAGTCGGAGTATCAAGTTTCAATGGTACATACAACTACAACTTAAGACAATCCTTGTCCTCCCCCCCAAGTCCTTTTCCCGAGCTACCATCCATCCACGTTGCCGGAAAAATACCCTAATGACTCGTCTGAGGAATCCAGGTCGCCGCAATAATTCTCTGAATAGCCTTCCAAGGTAGTGCCAAGCTTGGCCGACAGGGAGACGACTTAGGCGAGGCTGGCTACGTTGGAGATGAGATTCACCGCATTGGCTGCGATGGTTATAGCGGCGGGGATTGGTAACCACGTCATGGGTCAAAAGCAGGAGTAGTTGCTGCGCTTCCGGGCGAAAATCACTGGGTCAAAGTAAGACGGCGTCAGGCCTGTGAACTTTGCCGTGATTTGGTCGATGCGTTTGGGAATACTACATTGTGGTGGGTGCTTGGGTTGGGCTCCTTTCTTTGCGTTTGAGTTGGTTTTGGGGGCCTCTTTATAAGGGGCGACAAGTCTAGCTATGTTTTCTTTGGGTTTTCGAGAGACATGCTCTATCCGATTGTTAACATCAAGGGAGGAACACATTACCTGGTTAGGCTAGGATCAGACAATACGCACAACCTTGACCTCCGCATCGTGATTGTTGAATAACTCTGACAGCTGCGTTGAGGTGTAAATTTCTTGATATAGTCATAATAATCATGACCCAGATTCTCCTTGGCAATTAGTTGATTGTTTTCGGTTGTCCCAGAGCCGAAGGGGTCACTGGTACAATGGTGCTGTAGTGGAATTAGGTGGAATTCTCTTACCAGAAATCACTCCATTAATCCTCATTATAGTTGCAACCATCCGCAAACGCAGTCGACAACCAAGCCCCAAGTTTTGGTTGTCAAAGGGGTGTGGGTGTTTGTGGAAACGAGACACAGCAGGGGAATGAGAGCCCCACTCCCACTGTACTTGCTAAATTTAGGTTCAACATTTGGATCGATGCCATGTTCGAACCAGCGCCTTTTCCCTTTTGGGAGTTTTTGGCCCCACTGTTTCCTAGGGATTGCTGCAGTGGGCTGGTCTTTCTCTTTTTGTTTCCTCTCCTTCCATCTTTTTTAGACTTTTGAAACGTTTTGTTTTCCATTGACCGAAAGCAAATTTTCTTTCGCTAGCAAAATCATTGGGGCTACAACCTGAATCGTGATATGAAGCTCCTTAAGGGCTCCTGGATGGCGAAGGCTGTAAAAATGCGTTCCCGATCTTGACTATCGATTTTTTTTCCATGTTCCGGCTGCCGGTCTAGATCTTTCCATTTTCCAAACTTGATCATTTCGCTAGCGCTTTCCTTTCCCTCTGCTAAAAAATTAGTTCGACTGCAAACCGTAGATGTAAATGAACCTTTCCTGTCGCTTGTTTCTTTCTAAACACCAACATGCCCGAATTCTCGTCCTCCTTCCCCCGCTTCATTTAACCACTCGCCCACTTGCTGTCGCCGCAATTTTTGCCAATCATGAAGGCCGCCCTGGTCGCTGGGATTTTGGCTGTGACCCTTGCTACATCCGGATCAGTCAGAATTGAGCACAATCCCGACGGATCATTTCGGGTTATGCACTTCCGGGATGCACCCGAGACACCACATGGGAAGCAGCCTCCGGTCAGGCGCAAGAGCTGCCGCGACAATTGCCTTCGCGCTGTCATCGACGCTCCTGAGTTCTGCAACTGGTTTTTGGCCGCTCCCCGCACCGTAAAAACCGACTTTGGCCCGGTACAAAGCCAGTGTCTCGAAGCGAGTCGCGTGAGCTCAGCTTGTTCTGGTATAGCTCAACCAGTCGTAAGTCGATGCATGCTATGCAAATGATGGTGTCGCTGGTGGAAATTGTTAACACGAATAATTTGAAGACTGTTTCGACAGCCAGTCCGACATCTTCCATAGAGGCCGTATCAAGTGACGGCATCTTGTTGACGGGAACTTCAACCGGACTAGCTTCCACGGGAGCGGTGTCGAATGAGCCTAGCTCCATCCCGACCGAGTCGATCTCTTCCCTGACCCCCACCGGGTCGTCCACGGAGCTACCAGTTGACCCCAGCTGTACGGAGTCTTCCATCCAGCCTTCTGCTACACCCACCTGTTCGCCTGCGGGTGGCCACTGCACCCTCCAGACATTCATGATGGACTGCTGCCCTCCCCAGGGATCGGATTTGGGCGTGGGGTGCTTTTTTGCAACTGGGGACCCTCAGAATGGTGTTTGTTTCTATTAACCTTTCCAGGAGGTTGACTGAAGAAGAACCGACTTAGTTCGAAACTTGAAGGATGATGAATTAACTATTAAAATCTCATTCCTACTAGAATTACCCCAAAATCCCACAAGCAGAATTGTCTGTGTTCTCAGATGCAACGCCATGTTAGGCTACATGTCCCGCCAATTCCTTTTCTGTCCATTCCCAAAATTTCTTCGTAAGCTCATCATCCCTCCCAAGCGCACTCATCTTGCCCGACACACCGACCGGCTCATAATACTCTCCGCTCACCACTTTCCCAAAATCATCTGGCTTTGCCTTGCCATCCTTGGTGGTGGACCTCGGCGCAACCGATGCCCAAAGCTGGCTCCTCACGCCTTTTTCCACTGGGGTGAACGCATTCATCTTCACCAGCCCTTTCGTCAGCCCACGCATAAAGAAGCCCATGTCGTCAGTGTTGTTCATCAAGTTGGTCTGCACCGTGCCTGGGTGCATCGACACGACCGTAAGGCTCGGGTAGAGGGCCGCCAGTTGGCGGGTCCAGAGGACGTTGGCAAGCTTGGATTGGAAATATCGGCCCAGGGGGCCCATCTCGTCTGCTGGGGTGCGGAGGGTCTGGAAATGGATGCCCGGCGCCGTAGCATAGATGTGGCCATTGGAAGCAACAGTGACGACGCGGACGTCGGAGGGCTTAGCCTGGGAACCATTGGTCGTGGTCCCGGCCGCAGTTTTGAGCAGGAGAGGGAGGAGGAGCTTGGTGAGGAGTGCGTGGCCCATGTGGTTGGTCCCGATCTGAAGTTCATAGCCGTCTGCTGTGAGCCCAGGAGGGTGAGCCATGATACCGGCGTTGAGCATGAGAATGTCTAGGCGATCTGTGGTACTAAGGACGGTTGCAGCGGCCTTTTTGACGGATGCGAAGGAGGCCACGTCGAGTTCGAGGAATTCGATGGCGGCTTTGGGGTATTTCTCTTTGATCTCCTTCGCCGCTGCATTGGCTTTGTCGGCACTACGCGCTCCAAGGTATATCAGGCGAGGATTGTGTTGCGCATATTCCAAGACGGCTTGCTTGCCCAGCCCGGAGCTTGCACCCGACACGAGGATCACTTTGCCCTCGAGGGACGGAATGTCCTTCGCGGCATCGAATGAGACTGATTTGGCCCAAAACATGGTGGTCGGCCGCGCTGGTAATGGGGTATTATAGTGGTTTTCGTTTGTCGGGTTGCCGGGGCGGTGTTGTCACGAGAGTTGGCCTGAGGAAGTTCGGAGAAGGGGGAGAGAAATATGCCCGGAAGCCAGAGAAGACTTATATGCCCATGATTTCGAAGTTTGAGTTCCACCTTCGCGGATTGTTTTCACGATATGTCAGCTCGCACATATCTGCGAATACTTTCGAATCTCGACTCCCAGTCTTGAACCGGCCGCGCAAGTTGGTGTAAGTCAAGCCCTTGTCGCTTTCCTAAAACGGCAAACAATCTTGTGGGGGCGATCAACTCTTGGCATCTCAAACACGCGTTCCAGGCTCCCTTGTCGAAGGCGAAGCCGCCCCCAACATTTAAATCTGACCTCGCTCCCGAGAATTAACCTTCAACTGCATAATCTGCAACTTTTTTGGGAAAGCAATCCTGTGGAGTTGTAAGGCTTTTCCGAGTCTCGGAGACATTTTCATCGCCTTGTCCGTTTGTCTCCTGCCGAAATTCCGACATTTCTCATGGCGATTGAGAACTAGTTTCGGAAACGATAACCCGCATTTTCGGACATCCAACCAGCCGTCGTTGAGTCCGTTCCATGGCGCCCGCTGTCAAACGTGCCGATGACCCCTTCATAATCACAACATCACTGGATAAGCCCGATGCTAGCACGCGTCGGTACATCCGGAGCCATGTGATGCGCGGCAAGAATGTGGGCAAGTTTCGGCCTAAGAAGAATTCGCCGAAATCCGACGCCTCAAGTGACACCAGCGACAAGCCGGAACTGGCTTCTGCAAGGACGGACAAGCGAGATATCCGGAAAGAAAGAATAGTCCGGGGACAAGTCGAAGTTTGGTCTCCTGTCACACCTCGAAAAATCATGTCTGAACTCTCGTTTCTGGGCCTGGATAGTGAAATACAACACCAGGGGTATGGGCTCATGCAGACGGGTATGTAGGGTGCCACCTGGCGACATCCTCTCCACCACAAATCCCTACGATTGGTATTGGTCTACAGAAGCTAATACATATATGTACCCTTAGCATTCACCGCCGTTAAACCGACTCTGTACGGCCTCGGGGCCCTGACTGGCCGAGGACCTACCGACGAACTGTTCTGTTTCACCAACATCGCCCAACACCCCGGCCTCCTTCACTCCACCCTTTTCGCTACCCAGGCGTTCCATGATCTGACCGTCAGCCACGCCTATGGCCCCGTCGCTCGACGCCACCTTGCCAAGGCGCTGCGTCACTTACAAATACGGCTTGATGACCAGCAACAGGCTGTGGAGCTGTCAACGACAGCCATTGTGGCATCGTTGGCGATGGCCGCCGTTCTTATTGGGGACCATGAGACCGCTGCGAAACACATGGACGGGCTGAAGAAAATTGTCGACCTTCGTGGGGGGCTATCGTCTCTAGGAGAGAATAGCATGATCGTGTACAAGGCGAAATCGTAAGCGGAACCGCACTTCCCCTACCCCTTCATGCCTCCACACGACTAACTACGCTCGGCTGAAAGCCTGGACATTGGCCTAGCCATGGCGTTTGGCCAACCTCTCCGATTTCTACGAGCTAGTGACATCTCTTGGTCCCCTCAGTTCGCCGAGGGCCGCTCGGCAAGCCAGTTTCCCGAACTCCAAGCCGTTATGCAGCGCTACGGTCGCCCGGATCCGCGGCTTCTCAACGTCTGGGCCGATTTGCGCGCGCTGACCAAGGCCATCAACGGTGTAACCTCTTGCGGGGGTGGCATTTCAGCAGATACGGCCAACCAGCTCGCTCAGTCTTTGCCACAGCGGTTGATCCAGTTGGGGCTCGAGAACGAAGTGAAAGGTGGACACCCGAGCTCACGGGTGTCGCTACATGAGCTACTGAGGTTAGGGATGATGGCTTATGCAAAGACGCTGCTTGTAAAAATGCCGGGCATAGGGAAGAAAATGACACACTTGGTGGATGGGCTGAGAACTGTGTTGGCGACGTGGCATGCTGAAGTCAGTATTCACCTGGCTTGGGAACACGGGGCCCCCGCAGAGGTACGCAAGTTAGTTCTATGGGTTGTGGCCGTGTCCGCAGTATCCATATTCGAAGGACTAGATGAGGGATGGATTGTGGGTTTGATGCGAGAGTTGCTCTCGGCATTAGGGCTACGGACGTGGTTCGAGGTACATGGAGTTTTGGAGTCCTTCTTATGGATTGACAGTGTATTCGACGTACCAGGAAAGGCGTTGATATCCAGTCTAATGGTATGAAAGATGAAGAGTTTGGAATCAATAGGGCAGGGAAGGCCATTGGCGGTCTCTATGAGGGACATTTGCCAATGTGGTGTTTAATATAGGTACTTAAGTAATAACAACAGTTCATGTTCATTAGCTAGGCATTTTTATCTTTATCTCGTACATCTGAAACGGTTTACTTCATGTCACACAGCTTTTTCCCTTCTCCATCCACATAATTACCTCCTCTTTCCCAGATATCGGGTTTCCTTTTGTGCTTTCGTTACAGTGGTTGGTGCCAGAGATTGAGTCCAACATGCGGTGGCCAATGGGCACGCACCGGTTACATTGTCACGACCGACGTCCTAAGAAACCACGAATGCCCAGTTGTATTCTCGGAAGAGCTTTTATATCTAGGGACTCTATTTTTTGAGTCCCCGCAATACGAATATTGAGTTACGTCCAACGTTATCCCAATGGCCCTCTTTAACGCATCACAGGTGACCCATCCCCGCATGTACGTGGTAAACCTTGTCTCCCCCAGCTGTCTACCGCGCTAGAGATGTATTCATCGCGGTTCACACGAAATCCAACCCTAAAGTTAATTACCTGCGGGTATGTCACAATAACGGTGGTATGATAAACTTCCTCTCGAATTTATGATACCCCACGGTTCTTTGTTACGGCTAAGGGACAACCTGTATTACTTCATGATTTTGGTTGTACTGGGACTGATGCCGGCTGAGGCTTGGCCCAGAATGCGGACAGCCTTGCAGAAATATTGTGTCAGTCGAATTACGGGATTATAACAAGTAATGAGAATCTCAGAAAGAAGAACCGTTTCTGGTAGTAACTAGGGCTAACCTACGATGCTGTACTCAAAAAGCGACAAAGAGGGTGTGGCGCGAACTTGTAGGAAAATCGGGACGGATCTCTCTGAGCTTGTGCTTTATTACCGCAATCTGGGCCCGACGAACATCTTGGATGAACCTGAAAACCGTCGAGGAATTTTGTATCATTGATTGGGGGGCAGCCTGGTAATTATGTAGCAAGGCTCTGGCATAGAATGCCCCGACCTTGGAGGCGCGGATACGTGGGATTCGCGGCGATCTACGTTCGGAAGCTTAGCTGCAACTCGGTTTGATGAAGATATTAAAGTCTGATTCCCGTCTCAAAAAACAAGAGAGCTTTCGGTATTGTCAACTGCATGTATATACCTGACTATGCATGAATGTACCTGACCTGTATGCGAGGCAGCCCAAGGCAAGAGGAAGTGACGGGGTAATTATCAACATGTCAACGCGGCTGCATTGTGCCTGTCAGATATAGATAGGATTGTGCAGCCAGAAGGAGCCTGAACACACCAGGTGAACCTGCAAAATTTTGTCGGATTAATGAAAATTTTCAGTTGCCCCGAAAATGTATATAAAGCACTGCTAATTTCGGCCCACCCTTTGCCCCCTTCAACTCTTTTTTCCAACGCTAGCTTCGATCAACTTCCCACCTACACTCGCTTACAACGCGGACTTGCCGAAATCCTTCCCGATCTTCTATCCTAACCTCCAACATGTCAATACTTGACAAATTCCCCCTAGACATTTGGCTTGTCATCATCTCGGGATTTGGCTTGGAGGACCTACGCTATCTCCGGTCAGTGTCGAAAGGCCTTAACGTCATCATACGCCGAAAGTTTGCCCAGAAAGCATTCAATAGCCTATCTGTTTTGCCGACGCAGAACATACTCAACACTCTTGTCAAGATTTCCATGGGATCCTGACTTCGCGAGTGCGGTAAAGGAACTGACAATCTGCATCGACCATCCGAGCGACCAAAACGCCGCGATGTCATCTGGGCACAACACCGCCCAGCTGATTCAAGCGCTAGCCGCATTTCGCAACCTGAAGAAGATCAAGTTTGGATATGAGATCAGAGCGTGGAGCGAAACTGCCCTAATACAAGAGTCCGAATACCCTCAACTCAGCAACATCATTGCCCGCGCCGAGAGCATCCGGTTCGTCCGACAGGCCCTTCGTGCCGTTGTTTCCGCCATGGCTGCGACTCAACGACCTTGGGACGAACTACAGATTACCCCACACTTGAACGGCTTGATTACAGGTGGAACTCTAGACTTGAGCATTCTAATTTCCCCTCCATCGGTCACTCCGATCCTTCTGGAAAGCTTGGAGCTGTCTTGTTGCGTTCCTCGCAAGAGGAAGGTCGGCATCCCAGACGTCGACCATGTGTTGGGATTTATCGACTTATTCTCGGGGATTCAACGTCTCGTTCTGGGGCTTAAGCTGGGCCCCAACCGCGAAGGCCAATGCGCCACGGCAATCTCGCAACGCCTACGCCTGCGCCTGCCCAGCCTCCGCATCCTGTGCCTCAAGTACATTCAATTCACGGAAGCGGAGCTAACTGCGCTGTTCCTTGGGCACAAAAAAGACGCTTGACTAAATTCAGCTCTGCGAGATAAAGCTTCGCTCCTCAGGTGGCGGCAGATGGAAAGGACTCCTCACTTGGTTGCGGGACCAGATGCCGATTCATACCCTAGTGGACTTCGGCACTGATTCAGACGGGCGGCTCATAATATATTACCCTCCAAAGGACGAGGATGACTCGCCAGCGGGGTGGGCCAGGTTCTCGATTTGCGGGCTGGAGCTTGGCAGGAGAAAAGTTGCGAACTTTGATGATGCCATTGACAACATTGTCCCGACCGGTGATCCTGTGGGCCCATTATTCGAGACACAGGGAGATTATGTCGGCGCATATTGGGGCGAAGAGTCTGACGATTCTTCAATCGAGGACTTGGTTAGGACATTGCCGGTCACCGTGTCGATAATACTTTGGAGCTGGGCAATGTTCAAGGACACCGGGTAGACATCGCCTGCTCCCGGGGACGTTGCGTGAACATCGGGCTCGGGGGCAATGGACGCAACTGACGGAGCGAGAACAACCGACGCAGCGGGATCCACCGGCTCAGCGGGGGCGACCAACGTGACGGGGGCGGACAGGGCGACGGGCTTCTGATAAATCTGGCACTCTTACGGGGAGCTGCCGGCGGCGCGTAGCGGACCCGTTTCTTCGGGTTCGCGTTCTCGTCGGTGTTGCCGTCGTCTTCGCCAGCTGCTTCGGTAGCAGCAGCAACGGTGGCCCCCGAGGCCCCCTCCAAGGCACCTTCCTCCTCGATGTTTGGTATCTTGTTCTCCCTGCGGAACCTTATGTCAAATTTGGCAAATTTACCCTTAATAATGCTCAAACCGTTGGCGATTGTCCGAGGGCTGAGCTTCATGCGCTGGCCGATCTTGGCATGGTCAAGCTCAAGGACCTGCAAAAAATGTGTTAGCTGGTTGGTTTGGAAGTCATCAATGCGATGTGAGTTCTCTGCTTCATTAAAATGCCAAAATTATACTGGCCCCCCATCGACCCGCTGAAAATGCAACGAGGCACGAGGTTGCAGAGATCGAATTGCGGACACAGAGAGAATTTAACATGTCCGTAAACTAACCTGGGGGAAGTCGGGGACGGTCAGCAGGGATTGGAACAGGATTGCCTGTTCGCCGGGTGTCAGGATAGACATCGGGCCGCTGTCAATCGGCTGGTCCTCCCAGGAAGCCACGCTGACTACAGGCTGGATCGAGGCGTCGGAAGGCATTCTTGATGAATATGTTCTTGAAAATTTCGAGAGAAAAGTTAGCCATAAGAAATAAAATAATGTAACATGAGACCGACGGAGGTAACATGGCGGTGTAGTCTCCGCTACTCGTGGGGTTGGGGTGATGATGGTGGTTGTTGAAACCGGCCGATTTATTTAACCGATTTCCAACGCGTTTGACTCGACGGAGATAACGTTCCCGAGGAGGGTTGTAAAACGGAGCCGAAGGGAACTAAGATATCGCCACGAGGAAGTTCACTTACTTGAGTTGGAAGCTTGATGAAACGCCTGGTTGTTTGGAACGATTGGACTGGGAAAAGTGTTTTGGGTCTGGGTTGCACTTGGATCTAGGTTGGGTTGGTGTTGCGCGGTGAAAGAAAAAACGAAGGTTGGAGAATCAGAGTAGATATTTTAAACTCGGGCACTGGGGGGTGTTGCCCGATTGTGAAGCCGGGTTTGGTTCTTGTGGTGACTAGAGAACCGGAGCTTGGAGAATGAGAGCAGATATTTGAAGACCCGGGTAATCGAGGTGTCGCCGGATCGTGGGGGGGGGGGCGGTCTTGTGGTGAAGGAAGGGGTGTGATCGCCGAGAGGTGAGGCAGGCGGCGGCGAGCTCGGTGTTGCGGGTGAAGGAGGCAGTGTGGGTGGTCGAGAGTTGAGGCAGGAGGTGAAGGGGAAGTTAGTGTCGTAGGGTGAAGGAAGAAACTGATGTTGGAGAATTGAGGCAGATATTGATGGTCCCGTATAATGGGTGTGTAGCCGGAAAGTGAGGCTGGGTTTGGTTCTTACGGCGAGAAAAGGAATGTGCGTCGCTGCGAGGCGAGGCAGGTAAATGTGAGCTTGGTGTCGTAGGGTGAAGGAAACACAGAGGTTGGAAAATAAAGGCAGATATTTACCGTTCCACGGGATGGGTCTGTCGCTGTAGATTGTGGGCAGGTTTGGTCCTTGTGGTGAAAGGAGTGTGGTCGTCGAGAGGTGAGGCAGGGGAAAGCGAGCTTGGTGTCGCGAGTGAAAGAGGAAATGTGTGTCGCCGAGATGTGAGATAGGTGGAGGCCAATTTGGTGTCATGCGGCGAAGGAAGAAACTGAGCTTGGAGGATACAGGCAGGTATTCATATACCGTTCAATACTCGTGTCGCCGGAAAGTGTGACGGGCTTTCGTGTCATGTGTTCTGAGTCGTGAAAGAAGAAGTGTGTGTTGCCGAGAGCTGGGAACGAGGAAACGGAGGTTAGAGAATGAAGGCAGATATAGAGTACAGTGTGTTAAGGGCGTGTTGCCGGAGCGTGGGGCCGGCTGTGATGAAACACGAAATAATATATGTCACAGAAGTGTGGTGAAGGAGGTGAACAAGAACTTGGTGTCGTACGGTGAGGGAAGAAACACAAAGTCAAGAGTGAAGGGACATATATTACCGCTATATGGGTCTGTCACCGGAGGGCGAGTCAGGGGGTAGAGGTGACCCAAGTATTTTGGAGTTAAGAAAAGCTGTGAGTGGGTGAAGGGGGCGGGGAGAGGGGGGGCATTTGTGCTTCTCGCCGATCGTGTGTCGCGAGAAATCGTGCCCGAGTTTGGTGTCATATGGCAACGGAAGTAATGTATGTCGCTGCAAAGAGACTTCGGTGTCGTGTCGCGAAGAAAGAGGTACACCTTGGAGGCAAAAGAAGTTATGTAGAGTGCTGAGAGAAGGATCATCATGGATGAGTGAGCATGTGCCGCGAGCCCCATGAAGTCCGATATAGGTGGTTCCCGTGGCTGGTTAACTATGTCGTGAAGAAGTAAGGGCCATGCTGATGTCGCACCTTCAAAGGAGAAAGCAGGTTAGAGGGAAAGGGAAAGGGAAAGGCATTTATAGTAAGGGGGTAAGTTTGTGTTCCGAGACGTCGTGGAGCTCAAGAGTACTTCGCCGAGACGTGAGTGTGAACTTTGTGAAGGAAAAAGGGCGGGTCGGAAAAGAAGCGATATTGAGAGCAGGTATAAAGGGTATATTTGAAAAATAAGCATTAATTCGGTGTCATGTGAAGAAGTATGGAACACCACTGGACGACGTTAGGCTTTTCACACCACACAACGACCGTTGAGAGCTCTAGCTTGTTCTTTGAAGAACTTCATTTTAGTTCACGATGTCAATAGAGTGCGCTCGTGTTTGCACAACTTTGTTGTTACCATTATTGACATGGCTACAAAATGACAAAACTCAGTACAGCCTTAGTCGTGGCATCGGCCTGATCAGTCGAGGAACAGGCAATTGTGAAGGTTTAATCAACACTTAGACTTGTTTTTTTTTTTTTAGTATAGTAAATTGCAGCGAACATATCGCAAAACTTAGGGTACCCAATTAATGGTATGTACCAGAACTTGATGTAATTATATATCCAGTACTTTAATTAGCTGGAGCGAGAAAAACATGATTACTGCAGGTAAATGTGTTCAATGTTTACCTGTTGGCAGTCGGGTTTACAAGTCCCCCGCAAAATTTGCGATCCGGACTAATTACTGCTTTTTCCTTGTTGAGCAGTGGGGCAGCTTTGGTGAGGACCGAGTTTGTGGCAGACGCCGGAGCTTCGGGGAGCAAGGTGGGGTTCGCCGGGAGTGGGGCCGGGCTAAAAGTGGGTCGCCTTCGGCATTTCGTTGACACTGTCGGCGTCTGGAAAAACGAAAGAGAAGATACTAGGTTGTGTTGACTTGTATTCAGACCACATTTATTTAATCCTTGAGCAAACGACAGTACACAGGCACGAATTTAGTAGGGAAAGGGAAGTTAGTGTTTTTCTACATTTAATCTGGAGCCATTCCAGGCCCCGAGCCTCAACTGTGGTTGAGAGAATGCCCAGCCTCTAGCTCTCACGCCCAGCCTGCTAACCCGGAAGGTCCGTGGCGAGGGATGTCGTGATTTACTCTTCACCTTCCGCTTCGGGGTGCTGCACGACAAAGAGCTTGGCACTTTATGATAAATGGCGGGGAGCTCGAGCCGCCAATTGTCGGCTTGCTGCTTGCAGGCTGGTTGGTGTCAAGAACAGCCTGAGAGCTTGATGAAAAGAAAGCATGGGGTCTGACGACATTGCGGGCTGCATCACCACCTTCTATCTTCAGCACAACGGAATAGTCTAGACCAACGATGAGCGATTGAGGAGGGGAAATAAGATCGCATGGTTCCCCTCAAAAAGGTTGGGGCGACTGGCGACAGTTTCACTGGCCATTAATTTGTACGCAGATTCAATTAACCCTTTGGTCCGGCCTTTGGGAAGGTTCCGCTCTGACAAGCCTCGAGAATGAAGGTTCACCGCTCAACAACGGCGGCAACGCTGCTGTTTGCTTCTCACGCGATTGCAAACAACAACCCATTGACCCCGGATAAGCTCGAGGCCGACATCCGGACCGAAGAGTAAGCAGAAGATGTCTTAAGCTTCAATCAATCAATCCCCCACCGTCTCCGCGACTAACAACTTCCCCAGACTGCAAAACGTCCTGTGGAATCTCAACCACATCGCCTCCAACAACGGCGGCAACCGCGCGTTCGGCGAGCCCGGCTTCAAGGCCTCAGTCGACTTCATCCTCGAGCGGGCGCAGACGCGTTTCGGCGACCACTTCGATACCACCGTTTAGCCGTTCAACCACACTTACGACAAGACGCTCGAGATCAAGGTGACGGGTCCCGGGGGTGAGGATGTGTTCGTCGTGAGCCCGCAGTATAACCCGCCGACCCCGACGCCTGACGGGGTCACGGCTGCGTTGGTCGACACGCCGGTGGACGATGAGCGCGGATCGGCGTGCTTTGCCGATCAGTGGGAGGGTATTGATGTGAAGGGGAAGTTGGCGCTGATTAAGAGGGGTGTTTGTGCGGTGGCGGACAAGTCGACGCTGGCGAAGGAGCGGGGAGCGTTAGGTGAGTCTATATTCTCCATCTCCAATTACCTGATTACGGGAACAGCATGAGAACATTGTAAGATTGTGAAGGTACTGATATTAGGGTTCTTTCTTGGCTAGGCGTAATCTTGTGGGACACAGACGGTGGAAACAACATTGTGGTTCCGACACTAGGCGCGGACAGTATCGGCCATACAGTCCCCATCGGTATCATTCCCCTGGAGGTCGGAGAAGCCTGGAAACAGCGTGTAAACGCAGGCGAGGAAGTTGTCGTGTCCCTGCTGGTGGACGCCATCTCCGAAACCCGTGAGACCTGGAACATCATTGCCGAGACCAAACAAGGCGATCCCAACAACATTGTGATGGTTGGTGCCCATCTTGATAGTGTGCAAGCGGGCCCGGGGGTCAACGACGACGGCAGTGGTACCGCAACGCTTCTCGAGATTCTGACTGCCGTCCGGCAATACGATCACTTCCCGAACAAAATCAGGTTTGCCTGGTGGGGAGCGGAAGAGAGCGGCCTTGTTGGCTCCCTTTACTACACGTCGCATCTACCTGAGGAGGACATCAACAAGATCAAGTACTACTTCAACTACGATATGACGGGTTCCCCTTTCCCGGTCTTTAGTGTTGAGGGCAGTGACAATGCTGGCATTGGCACGCAGCTCCTGGGAGACTACCTTGTGGCTCAGGGGAAGAACATCACCAACGAGTATGTGTCCCTCACCTTTTTCTTCCCTGTTGTGGATCATGTGCTAACGATGATGGATCTAGGGGCCTCGGTGGCGGCTCAGACCACGTTGGCTTCGTTGAGCTTGGTATTCCGACGGCGGCCATACATACCGGCGCTGGTGCTCCGTACGACCCGTGTTACCATCAAGCCTGCGACACGCTGGACAACATCGACTGGGACGCCCTGACGGTGAACGCCAAATCCGCCGCTCGCGCGCTTGCTACCCTGGCCTTGTCGTTGGAGGGTGTACCGCCGCGCTCTCAGACGAGCGAGAACCTCCGCACTCGCCGTGGTGTGGCCAAGAACTTCCGTCGGTGGTCGGCGTTGGCTGCGAAGGCAAGCCAGGGCCATACTTGTGCGCACAAGGGGGAGAAGGTCCGTGTGTGAATGGTTGACCTGAACGTTGGTGGCTATGACTGTATGACAAGACAAAGAATGGAGTAAAATGCGGGAGGACGACATTGACAGAACGCAGTTGTAGAAATTAAGAGTTGGTTGGATATGGTGGTCATCGGCTATGGCAAGTCAAAGTCACACATCACCTCCGTCGCGACATACATAGTATTCCCGGATAATTAGCAGGATAATTATAGCGCTATCACATGCTCCAAGGGCAGATACGCTGGATGGGAGTGCAAGACGTCTCGATCTATTTTTAACAAGCTACGGGCAGAACCCCCCCGAACCCCCCTTGTCTAGTGTGTCTGATCTCCGCCTGAGGGCCCGGAACCCGGGTTTGCTTGGGGGATCTACCCAAGGGGTGACATCGGAATGTGATCGAATCTTGTGTTGTTTCTTTGATCGACACAACGATGGTGGCCGAGTCCTGAGGAAAACCGGGTAAACCGGTCGTTCGAAACTACCGAATGTTCACAAGGAATCAAACAAAGAACCAACTTCCCAACCAACCAATCGTTGTCACCCATCAGGAACACACTGCACTATCATGTCGCGACACCCTCATTATCCGACAAATGTTTGCTGCTTTCGTCGACGGCCCTCAAGGAACGCGGCTCCGGAATCCAAGAGAGGGTAGCAGGGGTGCAGTCCGCCAACTTCAGGCTAAATGCCGCGTGGAAGCTTGGGCTCGGCGGATCCTGGGCATTAGCAACCCTGAAAACCCCTGCACGATCCCTTCAATATCCCCTGGAACATCTGGGACGCTCGCCAGCAATAGGGGTTCGAGTGGGGCATAACGGCTTGAAAGAGCGCCAAGTTCCGGGTTCGTGAACTGCGGTTATCGCCTTGGCTTTCCTGTTTCCGCATCCTCGGAGCATGCTCCGAAGCAGAATCGGGTCGACCGGCCGCCCAGCTGAGCCTCGAGGGTCGTCCCGAGAGGAACTTTCTCCACACCACAGAGTCGGCGACGCGATGACATGTCCAACCCCAGGTCCTTCTAGGGCGTGGGCAGCTTCGGCTGGCTTCGACGGTTCCAGACCGTACGCGCCGACGTTCGAAGCACAAAGTTGAAGTCCCTGGCATCGGCTTCGCGCGCCTAAAGAACGATGGCGTTTCTGGGCGATGTTACCCCGTGGGACGACGCGCCGGCTGCCCCTTTACCAAGGTCCGAACGATACCTGGCGGTCGGCTAAGGCAGTCGTCGCCGGGGATACCCGAGTCCTCCGAAGCGTTGTTCGCTCTCAGATAAAAACGTCACGGCATGCCCGGCGATAGGATGCCCTTCAGCGCCGTAGCTCTTTCACCACAACCGATACTGCTCACTCCCTTCTCACCCGGTCGTCCAAGATGCATACCAACGCGCTCCTCGCGGCGCTACTCGCGCCCGTGGCCTCGGCCCAGCTCAACGACCTCGCCGTGAGCGCAGGTCTCAAGTACTTCGGCACGGCTCTCAGTGAAGGCACTATCAACAGCGACGGCACTTATGCCTCTATCCTCAACAGCAAGAGCAACTTTGGTCAGCTTGTGCCGGAGAACGGCATGAAATGGGACAGCACTGAGCCCAACCGCGGTTCCTTCAACTTCAACTCCGGTGATATCACCGCCAACCAGGCCAAGAAGAACGGCCAGGGTCTGCGTTGCCACACCTTGATCTGGTACAGCCAGCTTCCCGGCTGGGTAAGTCATTCCAGGCTATGGCCTTCAACACGAACAACAAGAATCAACAGCGCGCTAATCTTTCTTGTACGGCTAGGTCTCCGGCGGGTCATGGAACAGGGACTCGCTCACGTCGGTCATGTCCACCCACATTAGCAACGTCATGGGCCACTACAAGGGCCAGTGCTACGCCTGGGACGTGGTCAACGAGGCGGCCTCGGACGACGGCGGCTGGCGTCCCAGCGTCTTCTACAACACCTTTGGCACCGACTACTTTGCCATTGCCTTCAACCTGGCCAAGAGCGCCGACCCCAACGCCAAGCTGTACTACAACGACTACAACCTGGAGTACAACGCTGCCAAGACCGACCGCGCCGTGACCATTGTCAAGACCATCCAGGCTGCTGGTGCCCCTATCGACGGTGTCGGTTTCCAGGGCCATCTCATCGTCGGCAGCACCCCGAGCCGGTCCGCCCTGGCCACCACTCTTCGGCGGTTTACCGCTCTCGGCCTGGAGGTCGCCTACACCGAGCTTGATATCCGCCACTCGAGCTTGCCCGCGTCGTCCTCCGCTCTTGCTGCCCAGGGTAACGACTATGCCAACGTTGTCGGCTCTTGCCTTGATGTCGATGGTTGCATTGGTGTCACCAGTAGGTTTCCTTCTTAACCCTAACCCTCCCTTTTACCTAGCATCCATTGTGATCTGGTGGCTGACTCCACTCTCTCTCTCTTTCTTCTAGTCTGGGGTTTCACCGACAAGGTCTCCTGGGTCCCGGGCACCTTCCCCGGCTCCGGTGCCGCCCTCCTCTGGGACGAGAACTACAACAAGAAGCCTGCATGGACCTCCGTCTCCTCCGTCCTTGCCGCCGCTGCGACCGGCTCCCCTCCGGCCTCGTCGTCCACCACTCTGACTACTGTCACCACCAGCAAGCCGCCCGTCTCCAGCACGACCACCACTAGCACGACCATCACTAGCAAGACCACCTCGGCTTCGGCGACGCCCACCGGTGGGAGCCAGCAGGCCCGCTGGGGCCAGTGTGGCGGTATTGGCTGGGGCGGCCCGACCGTGTGCCAGAGCCCGTGGACGTGCCAGAAGCAGAATGATTGGTACTCGCAGTGCCTATAAGCGATTAAGGTGGTTGTTTTGTGTAGATAGATAGGCTTTAGCAGTTACCTCGGGGATGAAGTAAGGGGGGTGATATTGGAGTTTGATTTGGCCAGATCCATTTAGGTGATTAAAGTAAAGCGTAAGCCGTGAGAATTATAAATTTTCTCAATAATTTCCAATGTGGCTCTCAAGAAGGACCGTTTGTCCTGGTTAGAGAACCCAGGGCTGTGTCTGCACAATGATCATGACATCACCAACCACATTTAAGGGTCCATCCAAACATCCATTCGACAAACGGGGCAACGGTTGGGAACGCCGGAAGAAATGCTACGGGGGGCCAGTTAAAATGCTCCAATTGCAAAACGATGATCCTCTGACATCAGCGGTTGGTGTCATAAGTGATGTTAACACACAGCAAACTGGACGAGGCGACTAACATAAAATAATACAATGAAATAGAAGGATCGGTGGTACAAAATGGCGACTGCCTCTGCGTTCAAACAGTTGAATAATTTCCCACAATTGTGCTAGAGTCCCAATCAATCCATCTTAGCAGTTGTCTCAAGCCAAACACAATTAAAATCATGTCTCGTCAAGCCTTACGCACCATCACAATGTTAACCCCACCAGTCCGACGGACCCTCACTACAAATATCAACCGCCCCCTTTTTACCTCGTACATTCGCCTACAATCTACCGACACCCATCGGAGCACCGGCACTCCGCCCTTTGCCACCAGTGCTAGCGCACCAGCTCGTGTGTCCGACCGTATCAAGCACGACCACCGCGAGCTTCAAGAGTATTACCACAATATCAAAACGGCGCAACGTGACGATGACAAGGTCCGATGGCAGAACCAATTCGTGTGGGAGTTGGCTCGGCACTCCATTGCCGAAGAGATGGTGGTGTATCCTGCTTTCGAGAAGCATATTCCGGATGGTGTGAAGATGGCGGACAAGGATCGAGCTGAACATCAGGTGGTGTGTGGGACCCTTCTTGTTACCTGCGATATCAGGACATGCTAACGACCGGATTCAGGTCAAACAAATGCTCTACGACTTTGAGTCGCTCAGTCCCTCAGATCAGACATTCGAAGAAACCATTGACACGCTCTGGCAGACTCTTGCCCAGCACATCAAGGAAGAAGAACGGGATGACTTGCCGGCGCTCGAGAGGGCCTTGGATGCCACAGCATCGGGGACGTTGGCACGAAGCTTTGACCGCACGAAGCACTTTGTGCCGACCCGTAGTCATCCTTCCGCGCCGGACAAGCCCCCGTATGAGACAGCTGCAGGACTGCTGGCGGCGCCGATGGATAAATTGATGGATATGTTTCGCAAGTTCCCGTAGGGAGGCTGAGAAGTAGGTGGTAGAAGTCGTCACGTGTATCTTCTTAAGGGGTATCAAATGGCATGGTGTTCTTTAAGTTGCGCCGCAGGAGAGACATCCATGGAAGTCGGCCTTGTCTTGCCGGCAGTATCCTATCATTGGGCGCTCCCCCAAAAATCTACACTCCAGTTTACCCCATTACCGCGTGGCCCGTGATCCACCCCAATGCCCATGCAGAATGTTTCTTGTACGGGCCCGTCATAACCTTGGCGATGTCTTGAATGACGCCTGCAGCCCATCCCTCCATGAACCAATACCCCTGCATTTCGGCCGCGTGGAGCACCACGCAGTAATATGATAGGAGCGCCAGAGCAGCCTGATTACGCTGTCTCAGCATGGGTATCAGGTCGTCGGACGTCTGGATGGGCCACGCCGCTACTACGCGGTACTCCGGCCCAGACACCTTGACGAATGACTCACGGATAGCCGACACCAAACGATACGCGTCCGTGTGCACAATAGCCCGGACACGGTCGTCTGTCTCTGTCTCGGCAATTTCCACCAGGAAATCCCCCACAGCCAGCACGACCCGATCCAAAGCAGGGTTAGGCTGCTCCGCGCAGCCAGTTTGCGTCAGCAACGCCGAAAGCGGGCCAGAGCGCAACAAATCTTGCGATGAGAACAATACGGTGCCCACCCCCTTCACCAATATGAGAACATCCACGAGCTCATCAATGGTCGGCGCGGCGGCCTCGCGGTTTGTCGATGAGGCAGCGAGAGCGCCAATGAACAGGAGGGACGACGATGCAAACAAGGCGTGGCAGTTGTCGGGCGAGAGCTCCGACAATGCCAGCCGCATACGCCGAATTCCGGCATTCTGATGCTGCGAAGCCCGTAGTGAGTAAGCCTGGCGGTTTTCCGGATGTAGGTAGGCGAGGTGGTACCCCCCAACCGCCAACATCTGGTGAAGCAAGAAGACGTGAACAAACGCCAGCTTCGGTGCTACAACCTGCCAGAGGCGTCCAGTCTCCGGCCTCGCTGGGTCGAGGAGAAACGTCGAGTACGTAGACGTTATAAAATGATGGAGCAGTTCGAGGTCGGGGACCCAGTCCGTTGTATCATCTTCGGGAAGGCCGTTGGCTAGCTTGGTGAGGTAAGGAAATGGGTCGGATGTGTTTGTCGCGGGAGAGTCGGCGACGGCGGGAGTAAGGGCGGACGCGCTCGGGGACGGGCCGGTTTCCGGGCCATTTTCTGGTGGCGGCGGGCCGGATGTTGGCGGTTGTGGGTTGATTGGTCTTGTCCTATTCCTTCGGGAAGGCGGTAGTTGGGGAGAAGGTGCGGGTGGCGGCGTCCCGGCAGCGATAGAGCTAGCGCCCGGGGAGTGAGCGTTTGTCTGGGTCGAGAGGCTGCACTCAATGCCATGTCGGAGGCACGCCTTGCATGAGGGCCTCGTCTCGTCGCACTTGGCCGTTGTCAGTTTTTGCCGCGCTTCGGTCTCGTTTTGCAATCTCTTTTCGCGTCCTTTGCTCAAAGCTCTGGGCACAAAGAAACGAGGGGAATTATACGCGTACCTTGACCCTGCGCTGCTTACACCTCAAACAACCAGTGCGTGATTTGGTATAGCCCAAACGAAGCCGCGCCATTGTCGAATTGCGAGCCGGGCACCTGAGGAGCTTGGAAGCGAAAGCGAGCCCGAAGGTTGCGTTGCTGGTCTCCGCCGCGTTGTGTCAAGTCAGAAATTTGTGGGGTCAGGATCTCTTTGCGTGTCACTTCCAGCCAATGAACGGGGCCCGAGGGGACAATTTCGGGTGGGTCGATGGCTTTCTGCGGTGCATAACCTGCTCTGCAGGCGTTGCATTCGATCCCGCTCCACCGATGCAGTTGCGTGCAACTTGCCACGAAAAACTCCTTCCGGAGGCACGTTCGACACGCAGTCACAGTCTAACGTGAAGTTACGGTTGATCATCCCGGTGAGGAGCTCGGCCTCGGGAATAATTGGGACCCCGAGGAGTCCCAGACCGACTCTCTTTTCATTCCGTGGTGATGAAATCTTGCAGCAGCTGGGGCTCGGATTCCCGTCGCTTGGCAAGCGCGTTCGACGTCGAAGCCGTTTGGTTGTGGAGCTTGTGCCCAATGATGGCACGATCCGAAACCGCCCCGGCAGATCGATTTGGTGGAACCACCAGCACAGCCTGGGGAAGCACTTGGCTCATCGGTGAGTTGTGGCTTTTTCGACCCTTCCTAACGCAATGGATGCGAAGACTCTGGCCGAGCCCGCATTTATGTCTTCATGCGTGGATGGTTGGTGGTTCCCCGCTAAACTTTCCTTCGTTGACCGACCTGCCGACCTTCCCCGCCCTTGACTTGCTTGCTTTCTCTCCCTCCCGATCGTCGTCCTCTCGTGAATTATCAGGGGACCAACGTGCACAACCAGGATGTGAAGTCTATCTGTTGTTTGCCGACAGTGGCACTTTAGGCTCGCATCTGTCGTGTCACTCCACCCAACCGTCGAGGAACAATCTGGAAAACGGCTCAATCCATGCTTCCACAATGGTTGCCGTTGTTTGTACCACAGTACGAATCCAGATCGCTTCCCCCCATTGCAACCTGTATACTAGTGTAAGGCCCGCCAGCCCCATTTGTGTGCCCGCTGCGATCGACGCTTAATTTCCCGGCTTGGCCTCGATTGTGCCGTACCTTCCTATCGGGAAACGGCAGCTGGACTTGGAACTCACGCTTGACTGGCCGGTTTGCCGGTGAAGGCCTCCAAGGGCAAGGCCGAGGATTTTAAAAGGGCCGCAGGTTCGACGAGAGGTCCGCAGTGGGTCCGTGTTCGTCTCAAACCCGCGTCATGGGCGGGCTCGGCGGCCAGGGTCAAGACGGGACAATCGCTGCTACGGATCCCCTCATCCCGGATCAACCGAACCGACCCACCAAACAGGATGGATTTCCCTGAGGAAACTGGAGCACCCACCGAAGCCCCGAGTACGAGACACCGTCACACCGAGTACGAAGTCCGGGCAGGATTTATAAAGGAACGTCGCCCACTCATACCGGTTCGTGTTCCCCTACTTGTCGGGAGTTCTTGTCCATCCGATCCGCAACTTATCAGTGACAACAACTGAGCGAGACATCATGGCAGGAGTGCAAGCCATATCAGAGGCGATCGGCGCCCGGCTGCCCCTCATCGTACCGACACTCGCTATTCTCGCCGTAGTGCTCGTCCTTCAACATGTCACAAGCCGGAGCCCGCTAGCTCACATTCCCGTCGTGGGACAAGAACTCGGCGGCGATGAGAAGAGGAGAGTGGCCTATCTCACCCGGGCCTTGGAGTTATACGGCGAAGGGTACAAGAAGGTGAGTGTTGACGGTGTGCTATTTTCTGCGCGGGTGTGACGTTCATTCCGCTAATAGCAAACACTCAGTTCAAAAACAGTGTCTTCAGGATTGTGACGCCCAACAGTACGTGCAAACAGGCACCCATGCGCAAAATCAAGCACAAGCAAGCGTAGCTAACGCAGAACCAGAGTTCACCGTCATCGTCATCCCAAACAATTTTCTAGGCGAGCTTCGAAAGCTTCCGGATGATGTAGTCAGTTTCGACGACGCCATTTCTCAGTCGATGCACGCCAAGTACACCAAGCTCCCGCTCGGCGAGACCCTCGTCCCCCACACAATCAAGACCAGCCTGACACCCTCTCTGGCACGCCTGAACCCCGCGATTGCTGAAGAGGTCGAGGATTCCATTCGCAACGAGCTTCCCCCCTGCGACGACTGGACTCCTATCAACATCAATCGCAAACTTCTTCGTATCGTTGCCCTTGTTTCGGGCCGGATCTTTATTGGCCCCGAGCTGAGCCGCTCCGAGGAATACCTTGATGCCGCCATCAACTACACGATTGAGCTGATGGAGGCTCGGCGTGCCCTGGACGCTGTCCGTCCCTTGTTCCGCCTCTTTATTGGCAACCGTATCCCAGAGGTCAGGAGACTCGATGAGCGCCTAGTCCAGGCCGACAAGTTTATGCGCCCCGTCGTTGCTGCCCGCCGCGCCTTGCCGGATCACGAAAAGCCCGACGATATGCTGCAATGGTTGATCGATGGTCAGGGTAAATTTCGGCAGCTCACGACTGAAAGACTCGCCAGGACTCAGCTTGGACTCTCGTTCGCCGCCATCCACACTACTACCCTAACAGCAACGAACGTGTACGTCCTCGTATTTAACAACTTGTGCGCTTTAGAGATGATGGCTGACACTAATCATGTGACACAGGTTTTACTCAATAGCTGCCCACCCCGAATACATCCCGGAGCTCCGTGAGGAGATTCGCACAGTCTTGGCTGATAGCAATGGGGTATTCACAAGCCCAGCGTTGCAGTCTATGAAGAAGATGGACAGCTTCATCAAAGAAACTATGCGGCTGTACCCGGCCGGCGCGTCGACCTTCCAACGCAAAGTAAACAAGACATTCACCCTTTCCAACGGCCAGGTCATTCCCGCCGGTGTTGTGATTGAGGTTCCCGCCGCAGCGGTCGGCCTCGACGAGCGAGTCTTCCCCAACGCTGACAAGTTTGACCCCTGGCGTTTCGCCCGCCTGCGCGAGGAGGCCCGCGCTTCTGGTGAGGTTGAAGGGGCGGCTCGAAACCAGTTTGTGTCTGTCAGCGCCGAGGCGCTCACTGTACGTGACCTTGATCCTTTGGCTTTATCGCACCTCACTTCGAAATTTCCGGTACTAACAGCTTCATAGTTTGGTTTCGGTCGCCACGCTTGCCCCGGGCGCTTCTTTGCGGCTAATGAGATCAAAATGGTGCTTGCCAATTTCGTTCTTAATTACGATGTGAAACTCCCCGATGGTGTGACCGAACGGTTCCCCAACCTCAACTTTGGCGCCAGCGTGAGTTTAGCCCTTCCTCCCATGATACTATGTGCAATGCATAGTTCGCTTCGCTAACCGAATATTCCAGTCTATTCCTGATCCGTCAAAGTCACTACTCTTCAGGAAGGTTTCCCTGTGACAAAAGGCGTGCTGTGGCGTTGCGGGCGAGAGTGCACAGCATACCACCCGGTGAAATCGCGATTTTCAAGTTCAGAGCTAAAACAAATGATGATATTTATTTCCCGTACTTGCTGCTTGCAATCCCTTACGCTGTCTACTCTGGCTTCGCTGTAGCCGGTAACCATGGGGCTTTCCACACCCAAACCATTTGCAGATATCAGAGTCCATGTTCCCGGGCCAAACATCCACAGGAGTGCCAGCCTACTACTGCAGTACTTGTCCCTTTGTTGAACTGTTTCTGAAGGCTGACCTTGGTCCACCCAACGGATACAGGCCCCAATTTAATGATCATTGTGCAAGTTATCTACCCGTCCTCACGACTGGACACGGCGAGTCGTGGTCTCATCGGCCCTCGCACGCTCCGTCCGTTGGCGTTGCAGGGGACGAGGACCTTGCTCCTGGCCCTGACCCCGGCCTGCACCGTTGCTAGTGCGGGAGGCAGAAGCATTGGCGGTGTTGTTGGAAGTGGACGTATTATTGGTACGAGAGGCAGATGGACGAGTGGTAGAAGACGACGCAGCAGGGCGAGTGGTGGACGAGTTAGTCGGCCGAGCCGTGCCCGCCGTGCCCGCCGTCGCGCGTGAGGCACCGTTGCCAGTACTATTACCAGTCGTGTTGCTGTTGGTGTTCCGCGGCGGGCGGGAACCGGCGGGGCGTTCAGGAAGGGTGGTCTGGTGAGACGGGGCAGCCCGGCGCCGTGGTGCTGCCTCACCGGGGGCGAGGGGGACCACGTCATCGCCTCGGCGCATCTTCCTTTCCTGCTGGTTGATCTCCTTCTCCGAGAAGACGTTGTCCGTATCCATCTCATCTTCCGTGTTGTACGACTCTCGGCACCACTTGAGCCAGCCAACGAAGCGCGAGCCGTGGCACGTCTTGGGGAGCTTCTTGATGCAGCCGGCGAGTTCCTTGATGAGCTCTTCGCCGTCGGGACGGGTCCGTCGGTTCCTAACCCCATCGAAGTCGTACCGCATCGCGCTGATGTGGAGGGTGAGGGCGAGCAACACGCGGCGGATCACAGTCTGAGGCGAGGCGGCACCGGCTTGACGACGGAGCTCGACGGTGCCGTACTTGTTGACGGGGTCGAAGTTGGTAGACATGTACCGGGTCGGGTTGGACCCATTTTTCATGTGGTATACAAAGGCATCCTTACCGCTGGTCGCCATACCCTCAAGGCCAGAAAACACACCGTCCCAGCCATTTCGGAAGGTGGACGCGTATTCCGCGCGGAGCACATAATGGTGGTTAGGGTACGCGTACCGATTCATCCGGCGCTCACCGGGCATCAGTTGAAAGAGCGCAGACTCCCAAAAGTACGCAGCCTTGGCCCGCTTCACAAGCTGCGGGAGGGAATAAGAGTTATCCCTGGTCGGCCCTGGCGAGACATGGACGTGGCACGAACAGCACTTGTTTGTCCAAAAGTCAAAGTACTCGCCGAGGGCCGTGAAAACGTTTTGAATTTCCGACTGCCACCTCTTCCCCACCGACATTGGCGGTGAGATGATCTCGACACCATCTAATTGGTTTGTGAATTAGTGTAACCATATAATATAATTAACATGATCACCGCATAAGAAAACACTTACACCACTTCCGGGCATGGGGGGGGTCTCGAAGCTCCCATTCCCTTAAGCTCGCATCCGATTCGCACTTCCACCCATTCCTCGGCCCCAAGGTTGCGTCGATGATTCCCTTGATCGCTTTGCAAGTGCGGAACCTCTGTGCTTCGAGTCTCCGATGATCGCGCGTGTCGTTGTCAAAGGTAGTATCCCAGTCCAGCCAGTAATCCGGAGTATTGAAAGCATCTTCGTTGCCCATGCGGTCCACCCGAGCCTCCGCGGCCGGGAGAAGCCGAACATAAACCTCAATCTCAACGCCAAAGAGCGGCTTCGGTCCAGCCGGGGCCGCCGCACGTGTCGCGTTGTTTCCAGGGCCGCTCATCTTCAATGATCAACGGGTGCTGTTGGATGGAACAAGGTTTTGTAGAGGATTGAAAAAAGGGCGAAAATTTTTGCGGAAATAATTATGTACTTTGATGGAACAAAGTTGAAGGCAGCGAGAGACATCGAATCCACAACTCCAGGGTGCTTTATAATTATAAGAAAACGGGAAACCAGATTGATTCCATGTTCCATATTGAGTTTTGGGGAAGGAGATTGGAGCAGCCAAGCAGGCCCTCAAGTTTGTGTCTGTGTAGCTCGGTTTCTTCGCCTTTCCTCAAATACCCCTTGTTTTACAAATGGTCGCGACCTTAGGCGTAAAGGGAGATGCTACAGTAGTGACTCTGTATATTCACCAGGCTCCCACTTCGGCAATCGCACTATTTATCATAGTCCGAATGACTATCCATTGCCTGACGTTCGCACTTAAAGTTTCGGGGGTTCCCGGCACTTAATAGTTCTGATTCGGACTCTGCGCGGCCGGGTCGTGGCCCGTGGGACGCGGCGCATTCGGACTCTCCGATCCCATGGCCGCCCGGTTTCACTCCGTTAGCGAGAAACCCTTCTCACCTTGGTCTTGGAATTGAAACCATAGCAGCAATTGCAGGCAACACCGTAAGGTGGATAATGAGACGAATATCACGCTAGCGCTAAAAATCCGTCCTCTATGCTCGTGAACAAACTTTATTAAACCCCCCTCAATCCACACCTAATTAGCTCTATCATCAATCAATCATCGATCGGAACACATCTCGCACACTTCTTGATCCATTTTAATATCTATTTTCCTCTCTACTCTATCCCCGACAAGGAAAATTCTCCGTCTTAGCAAGACTTAACCGGGTTACCATACTCACAATGTCCGGAACTGGCCCTACACGCACTACACGCCCTGCGGCTGCGCCACAGGGCAACACGAGTACCAACACGAGTTCGAACACATCACGTCCTGCCGCCTCAAGTCAAACTCAGAACACGAATAGGGCCTCGACCAGCGCGAACAGAAACGCAGCTTCTAGCGGGACGCCGAGTTCCAACCGGACTGCTAACACCAACCCGCCCCAGAGTCAGACTCCCAACAGAGCGGCGGCTTCTAGCCAAAACGCCAATGCAAACCGCACTGGCCCGTCCAACTCTACAGGCAACGCTAACCGGGCTGCAACTTCAAACCCCGCCTCTAACGCCAACCGCACTTCAGCTACGAACTCGGCCGCCCCTAACCCGGATGCGCCGGTTGATCCCGCCGAGGTGCAGGCGCAGGCACGCAGGGACGCTCTCATGCAGGAACACTGGCTGAAATGGGCTTCCTTTGCTGAGGAGGATCGGTCGTACGTCCTCGCCCTTGACAAGTCCACGCCGGCCGTGATGAACGAGGTCAAGACGATCCTCGGCCCGGGTGTCCGCTCCGCTAGCGTGCCCCGGGTGCGGGGGTTCTTCGAGGATATCCCCCAGGGCACGAACCTGGGTAATGTGCAAGTTGCTATCATCAGCGCGAGCAGCTACGAGGAGATCCAGGAGAAGTTTGATTTTCAGAGCATCAACGTCAAGGTTGGGGAAGATAGGCGCACCGCCTTTATCCCAGTTCCCATTCCGCCCAACTAGGTTATTTATGGGAGAAGGTAGCATAGAAACGATGGTGGTGGGAGTTCTGGTTTTCATGTTCCCACCGTACGCAAAGAACACAAATACAACTAGTTTACCGACATCAGGTCCCTACGTGTGACGTCCCTTTGTGTAACTGTAAGCCAACATGCTGCTCGGAATCCCAATCCCAATGCATCTCCTTTTCTTTAGCTCCCTATTTCAGCGCCATCTCTACCTCTCTTATCTTCTCTTGTTCACTTCGTTCTTGCGGTGAAATAATTATATGTTTTTCCCTGCTGCTTGCAGACTTGTATACTGTTTTCTCGGTTTTCTACTTGGTAGACTTGGATTCTCACGCCCTTGGTTTTTGAGGCCGCCAAGCCGTACCCAAAGTTAGGGCAAAGTCTGCCTTGGCACATTACACCCACAGCCTATCGGAGCAACATCGTCAAGGCAATAGTTCAGCCGCAGACCCCCGCATTCATGCTATTTCATGACCTTTCCTGTCCCAGCTCTTTCTGTTTTCGTTCCGAGAACTTCCACAACCTGACTCTGAATAGGACAAACTAATACAGCCCCCGCCCCTCCCAAAGATCAAAATTGCAAAGTTAGTTATTAGCCTCATACCCATCTGACTTGACCTTTGTAACGAGCTGACTACTAATTATGGGCAGAAAAGGGTATAATGAAGACAGACGAGGACCGGTATGCCGAACGGGTCACCTCTACGGTGCTCGCTCCTCTCCGCCAGCGCCTGGTCCTGCTTCCAGACACCGAAAAGCTTGCAATCCTCCAACAAGCCAACCAAGCCATACACGGGAGTGATAGTAGGGCCAGAGCAGCCACAATTATCACACAGCTTGAACGACTGAATCCAGACGTTGCCAGAGAATTTAGACCCAAGGAGGATGCGGTGGCTAAGTTAAATCTCCGGATGATATGCTCCACGTCGGCTCCCAGGGCATCTTCGTTTGTTGCTATCAGTTACTGTTGGCACAAAACCGACTGGCCACTCCCTCCCGCCGCCACGCCTGTTTCTCCCGGGTGGGAAATTTCGGAACGCATGATGAAAGCAGTACTGAGTCTTGAATCTCTCCGAGAGAGCCCCGACGTGGAATCGCTTGTATGGCTAGACAAACTGTGTATCAACCAAACCGACGGGGCCGACATAATTGCTCACCTTGGAGCCATGGACCTCATCTATCGCTCTGCTCGCCGGGTCGCGATTCTCCTGGAAGACGTGCAGCTTACTTCCGATGAGGAGGCAGCCGGGGGAGCCTTTGCGCGGTTCTATCAGTCAATGTCAGACGATGTAAAACATCGCGGATTGGTCGGGGAAGAAAGAAGCCGCTTTATCGACGAGTACTTCCCTCGCGAGTCACAAAAGCTCGAGCCCAAGATTCTAGCAGCGGTGAAACCGTTTGCTTTGAAGATGCTCAACGCACGGTGGTACAGTCGAGCCTGGTGCGCTCACGAGTCCCGCATGATGAAGCACCAGAAGATCAACAATCCCCTTTTTCTGTGTTTTGGGGCCAACGGAGAAGTCTTGTCTTTTGAGTTTCGGTTCATCCACTACCTTGGCCTGTACCTGCTTGAACTTGAACCCGCCCCGCCACTTTTCCAGCAAAACCTCATGCAATCCAATAACAGCCCAACATCCCTGCGTCAACTCTGGAACAGGATACAACTCCTTATGCCGGACCGAGGCTCGAGGGTTTCATCTATGCAGCACCTTGTGAGTGTCCTCGCGTCGGAATGCTGGAAAAAGGGCGACCTGATGTCCATCGCCCTCAACACCGCCGGTATCCCGTTGTATTATGCCGGCGATGGCGCTCTGTGCGTCGAAGAAGTGATCTGGAAGTTCTCCCTGTTGGTCTTGGCCGCTGGAGACTTGTCCCCTCTTGTCACGGCAGGCAAGATGCTCAGGATTCCCACCACCAAAGGGCCCGTTCTTTCCTGGGCCATTGCCCCAGATCAAGGGGTCCTCGATGACGAACTATCGGATCCTCGCCCAGGCTCTATTACCGCTGTCGCGAGGGAGTACATCGAGCTGGACCTGCTTCTGTTTGAGTCTCGTCCACAACAAGCCTCTGACAGTTCCCGGGAGCAGGCGGGTCGTCTAATCGAGGAACACGGGCTTGATACCGTCGCAGATCAATTGCTCGACTCACTCGAGGTATCAACTCAGTCTGTCATCCGACGGGTTACAGGTGAAATGGACCGCAACAGGAGTGAAATTGGCCACTCGCTCTCCCTACAGAGTCTTCGGCACAATCTTCTAGCTTTGGCACTCGACAATGGTCTGGATTGGTTCTTGGAGTTTCCGACCGCGATGGAAACATCAACCGTAACGTGGATGCATGGCACGCTAGGAACGTTCACTAGCCCGTCTGTGATCGCAGCCGCTCAATCATTGCTGGTCCTCTTATCGTCGGCCACTGGCAACGCCAGGCCTCGAGACGCAGACCATGACCAAGAAGTGGTTAAACAATTAGCCCTCGCCCTCACCACCCTTCTCGATCCCCGTTTATACCTTCTCACACCCAATCCTCGCCGTGTCCCTGTCCTCCCCAAGGGTTCCAACGCTAGATCCGCCATCCTTACTCCATCTCCTAGCAATCGCTCTTACATCGCCGTTCCCACGTGCTTAGCCCACCTCCCAGGTTGGTTTGACCGAGCATGGGTCATTGAGCCGTTCGATCCCGCGACATCTGGGAAGCCGGAAACGGTCGAAGGTTGGCTACCTCGAGCAAACACACAAACGGGGGGCGCTGCCTTACAGGCGGAACCACAGAACCTTGAACTCGTGATGCCTGTGATGGGTTCGGATCATGAAGATCGGAGGGCGCCTTGGGGCACGGGTTCTTGGAAAAAGAGGAGGAGGCAAATGGTGTTTGGGGCGCATCAGCGGTTATTTGAGGCGGAAGATGGCGTGCAGCCAGTCGGGAATAACGCAGGCGCCACGGTGGCTGCTCGAGAGGGGGTGGTGCTGTTGCGTCGACAGAAGGTGTACGGAGTCGAAGATTACCCCTGGCGGGAGATCAACTTGGCCATGAGGCAAGCCGACGTGAATAAGGCGGTGAGTGGGATAAAGCCAGCATAGCTTTCCATGCGATAGCTGGAAGGAGGTACGTGGCACACGAAACTCAGGGAGCATTTCATGGTGTAAAGGAGGTTTCTTTCAACACACAGGCCCTAATAACATCTTGATTCCTTCCGGCCTGCCATCAATTCCGTTCCCAACCGTTCAGTCATCGAAGTGAGATTGTACGTGATGTGTCAGAGCGGCTTCGTCGCCTCGGAAGTCGCCACAAACGGGGCACGTTGTGTCTGTCTTCTCGCGGGATTGTTCCTCAGAGAGATCAGGCATTTGAGGAGGGGAGGAGAACGATACTGTTGTGGCCTCCGCAGCATCGCTGGGCTTGTTTTCTCCTTTCCCGCGCTTCTTCGCGGGCTTGATGTACGCTTCTAACCCAATTGGCTGAGAGGATGAGGGCTGCTCCTGGTCGTACCTGGCGTCGACATACTGTGGGGCCGCTGCGCTGCGTGAGGTAGCCTGTGTTGTGTCCTCAGCATCGGTGTTCTTAGTATATCCCTGATGAGAGACGCCATCTGCTAGACTCTGGACTCTCCCCACGCGGCCGTCCGAGAGCCGCACTTTGATTCCCCTGGGATGGTTGCCGCGCGTCAACAGTTGCGACACTGTGCCCTGCACCGTGCGACCGGTCGGTTGGTCGGCTTTAAGAATAATGTTGACAAAGGCGCCCGGCGTGACATCGCTAGTCGATGGTACTTGAGGCATTTTATTTGTGGTCGGCGTGTTGCAATCAGCGGCGGTTCAGAAATTGCGGTTGTTCCGATGCTTCCATGATGGTGTGGAAGCGGGAGACGTGGGGGATCCAATTCGTGAACCCCACTTCAAGAAAAAAAAATACATTCAGGCTAACCCTAACCCCGAAACCTTGTGAATTAATGAAGCTGGGTACCTAATTATCAAGTTCAATCAAGAGTTGGGGGCGGGACGTTCGCGATTTGTGTAATTAGACGAGAATAGGAGTGAAAAAAACGCAAGATACAAACAACTCCAACAAGGCGTGGTTCTGTCCCCGCCTCCAACGGCGATAACAGCGAGGATGTAGAAAGAAGCGTGGTTTTAATGGGCACCTTGGTTAGATTTAAGACCTCACTTTACTCCGCACATTACAAGAGGCGAAGAGACTTGACAGTCAGGGAGTGGCACCGGGTGGCTTGGCTTTTTGGCTGGCTGGGGTAGTCGGTAGCGTCCCCTATTGGTGAGATGGCCCACAGATCATGTTTATTTTGACTGCACCTGATTTGGTCAACATGCAACGAACATCGACGTTACGGACGGAATTGTTTCTGCTTTCCTCACATCGTCTTCATTGGATGCACGTATGGCTGCAACTGAAACTTCGCCTTTAATTCCGACAAATCGCCTTATTGACTCACCCGAACACATTGGTAATAACTCCGACCACGCCGACGAAACCGACGCGATGAGCGGTCTTTTGTGGAAAACGGGTGCCGTGTTCGGCGCCACCGCTGTCGGTCTTGGGGCCTTTGGCGCCCATGGGCTCAAGAAGCACATTTCTGACCCCAATAAGTTGGCAAATTGGTCGACGGCGGCGCAATATCAGGCAGGTCCTACGCGCGTTCATTCTTTTCGTGCCGAATCTAGCTTCCCAACAGGTTTCGGGAGATGACGACAGAACACCGCTAACCCCCTAACTCCGGCGCAGCTTATTCATTCTATCGCCCTGCTGATCGCCAGCAACAACCCCATCGCAGGGGGGCTGTTTACTGCAGGCACGGTCATGTTCAGCGGGAGCCTGTATGCCCTGACGCTCGACACGGAGCGCTTCCGCTTCATGGGCCCGGTCACACCTCTCGGTGGCTTGTGCCTCATTGCTGGGTGGTTAGCCCTAGCCTTTGGGAAGCGAGGGGCAGGTGTCAGATGGCCAAGGCCATGAAGCCAAAAAGCCGATCCAGTACGCCCCGCGTCCCCTCAAGTTCCATCCGCCGAATGCAACATACGAGACGCCGCGCAGTTGGTCGAAGGAAAGACTCATGGGCCCTCCATCATGTATTTTATCACCAAATCTAGCATCGCATCCCCTACATGGACCGGTGGGGCTGCTGACTTGCATTCGTTCTCCCATTTTGGGCATGTTATTAGTTTGGGAGTAACTGGACCTTTTGCCCAGTCTGGCCAAATGGCTCGTCTGGCTGTGCCGCTGTGGTAATCGCCGAGCACCGAACGCGCTGACTGTACATACATGTATGTGTGCATTGCTTGGCACCAACCGACTCTCTTCCCTGTGATTGCCTAGCGACTTCGCTCCACACGAATGCCGAGCGTTACCCAACACTTGACCTGTCTCCTGCCTCCCCGGTTTTTTCGCCAAAAATGGCGTCCCGTGACGGCGGTTTCGGATTTACCCAAATCGTCGGGCGACAGGCTGCGTAGAAGAGGGAGAAATCCGTGCGCGGGGCGAATGTGGCGGGCCCAGAGCGGGGTTCGCGCGTCCGGAAATGGAGCCGCCCCGGCGGATTTCGTAAATCGCGAGGTGCCGTTCCGGCGCACTCTGCGACGTGATACGCGGCTAACGACGTTGAGACCGATTATGACTCGCCCAAACCGCGGAATTGGGGGGGTGTTCTCGAGCTAGGACCGGTAGTGAAACGATCGTCGCTCGCGGAAGCTTAATCTGAAGGAACTATTATTTCGCGCCGCGAGCAGCTCCGGAAATAAGGCTACTGAGGCATGGGTCTCGGGCAAAAAACGGCGTTACGGCGATCGCGATGCGGCGATGCCTCATGTGGTGGTGCTCTGCTTGGGGGGCTCACCACGGCTTGCCCCGGTCTAAGGGTACAAAAACACCTTGTCCACCCTCCCCGGGGTGAGAAACAAGACCCCAGACCGCTAGAGACGACAATTTGAAGCTCGAGCCGAACAGCCAACAAAACAACGTTAAATTTGATAAGCTGTGCAGTGCGTTACCAAAGCCGGCACGTAACAACATTGAACACCGTAACATTCTCCCTCGACATGCCTGGAGCAGAAGAACAAAAGCCCCAGTACGGCAAGCGGCTACTAGTCAACATTGTCGACGAACGGGCGAGGAACGAGCCAGACAGGGAATGGGTGTCGATACCCAATTCATCCGATCCCAAGGACGGCTGGAAGACTATCACCTATAAGCAAGCCGCCAATGCCATCGACCGCGTCGCTCACAAGCTTGTCGACTCCACCGGCCGCCCAGCCAAGAGTGAATTCCCCACAGTTGCCTACATTGGTCCCAACGATGTCCGCTACCTCGTCTTCGTCTTCGGCGCTGTGAAGGCCGGCTACCAAGCTCTGTTTGTTTCCCCACGCAACTCATCGGAGGGCCAACTCAACTTGTTTGAAAAGACCAACTGTTCGATCATCTGGTTTGACGCAGTGTTTCAAAATGCCGTGCAGTCGTGGGCCCAAAAGCGCGAGATGCGCACCTTCATGGCCGAACCCATCCCAGCTTGGTTCTCTAACGAACCGGTCGAGCCGTTTCCGTACAACAAGACGTTTGACGAAGCCGAGTGGGAACCCTTTGTGGTCCTCCACACGAGCGGGAGCACCGGCTTCCCTAAGCCCGTAGTTGCGAGGCACGGCATGCTCGCGATCGGGGACAAGTTCCACAATTTGGACGAAAAGAACGGCGTGAGGTATTGGCTCAACGAGATGGCACGCCGGTCCAAACGACTGTTGTACCCGAGTAAGCGCCCATTAATCAACCACAATCACACGAAAACCGACTTACAAGCGCCCAACAATGATTCTTAATGTATGCTGACATATGTCCTCGCTCTCTCCTAGTGCCCCTCTTCCACGCTGCTGCGCTTTACCTTTCTATCCTGATGATCCACTATTGGGATGTCCCCGCAGCATTTAGCATCGGCGACCGGCCGCTTACTCCAGAATTGGTGACACGATGCTTGAAATACGTCGAAGCCGATGCGGTAGCCCTACCGCCAGCCATTTTGCAGGAGATGAGCCAAGTGCCCGAGCAGGTTGAGGCCTTGAAGAAACTCTCCTTCGTGGCCTTTGGGGGTGGTGAGTAAACTCCCTCCCACACCATAACTACACCTTCGGTCATTAACCGTGAAGTAAAAAGGAAACCTATCACCTGAATCCGGAGACCAGTTGGTCGCCCACGGTGTTCAACTCGTCAACCTCATCTCTGCCACCGAGTACGTTCAACCTTTCGCCGAAGTTGGAACTTGAAACATCCCGCTGACATCCATAGATTCGCCCCGTTTCCGATCTACTGGCCCCAAGATCCAAAGCTCTGGCGTTACTTCCACGTTGACTCGGAGACTTTTGGGTGTGAATGGAGATTGGCCACCGAAGACGGCGCCTACGAACAAGTCATTGTTCGCAAAGACAAACACCCAGGATACCAGGGGTTCTTCTACACTTTCCCCGACGCTAAGGAGTACTCCACCAACGACATATACAAACCACACCCGACCCTCCCCGATCACTGGCTGTATTACGGCCGAGCGGATAGTATCATTGTCTTCTCTAACGGCGAAAAGCTCAACCCGACCTCGATCGAAGACATCGTCAGCGGCCACCCCAAGGTTAAAGGCGCCCTGGTGGTTGGTAGCCAGCGGTTCCAGCCCGCACTCATCCTCGAACCAACAAACATTCTCAACGGGGCCGATGAGGTGGAACAGTTCATTGAGGATGTGTGGCCGACGGTGGTTACCGCCAACAAGGAGACAGTCGCCCACGGGCAAATCAGCCGCCCGTTCGTATCCGTATCCAATCCAGAAAAGCCGTTCCTTCGAGCCGGCAAAGGCACCATTCAGCGGGCGGGCACCGTCCGCCTATACCAAGATGAGATTGACCGGATCTACACCCAGGCGGATCAAGTGACGTTTTCTCAGGCCCCCCCGCTTGACCTAAGCTCCAAGGAATCGTTGACCCGGTCTGTTATTGCGTTGTTTGAGCAACAGCTCCATGCACCTGCGCTGGGACCTGAGACGGACTTTTTCTCTGTGGGTGTTGACTCCATGCAGGTCATCAACGCGTCTCGCCTCATCAGGGCTGGACTTGAAGCGCAAGGCGCCGAGGTTCACTCGTCCACCTTTGCCCCACGCATTATTTATGGCAATCCAACGGCTAGCCGCCTTGCTGGGTACATCATCTCCGTGGTGAGCAAGGATGCACAGAATACGGATACCACCGATGCGAAGGAGGACATCCACACAGCGGAAGCGATTTTGCAGAAATACACGCAAGATCTACCTCCTCCCCGGGCGGGGAAACCTGAACCTGCTGATGAGGGTCAAGTCATCGTGATTACAGGCACGACGGGTACGCTGGGCTCGTACATGCTCGACATTGCCTCGCGGTCGCCGAGGGTCCAGAAGGTCATCTGTCTCAACCGGTCCGACGATGCGGAGGCGCGACAGAAGAAGAGTAATGAAGAACGGGGTCTCCATACGGACTTCTCCAAGACCATGTTCCTCCGTGCCGACTTATCACAGAGCGAACTTGGTATTGGGAAGGAGAACTTCGAAGAGCTGCTAACCAACGTGGACCGGGTCATCCATAATCAATGGCCGGTCAACTTCAACATCCCCGTCGAGTCCTTCGAGCCTCATATCCGCGGGGTTCGTAACCTGGCTGACTTCAGCAACAAGGCATCCAAACAGGTACCCATTGTGTTTATCTCGTCCATCGCGACAGTCACCGGATGGAATCAGCCAGGCGACGTCCCGGAACAGTCGTTGAGGGAGATCGAGAACAGCACGGGAGGCTACGGCCGATCCAAGCTGGTGAGCAGTCTCATCCTAGATGCGGCAAATAAGATCTCAGGGGTCCCAGTAGCGGTTCTCCGTGTTGGGCAAGTTGCCGGCCCGAGCGGTGAAAAAGGTGTTTGGAACCGGCATGAATGGCTCCCAAGCATCATAGCCAGCTCGCAGTACCTTGGTGTACTTCCAGACAGTCTTGGGCTCAGCGATTTGGTTGACTGGATACCGATCGAGGGTATGGCGAGCGCAGTCTTGGAATTATCAGGCATCATTAGCCACGCTTCAGTTGAGGAGATTCACGGATACTTCCACGGAGTTAACCCACAGCACACACAGTGGAGCGCCCTAGCGGACGCTGTCAAGCAGTTTTATGGCGGCCGCATCCAGAAGCTGGTTAGTTTGGAAGAATGGGTGGACGCCCTGGAAAAGAGTCAACAAAGTACGGAAAACTTCGACAAAAACCCCGGCGTGAAGCTTTTGGACACCTACAAGGCTTGGGTGGCAGCAGCCAAGGCAGGGCACGGACAGGTCGCATTGGACACGTCTCGTACGACAAGCCGGAGCAAGACCATGAGAGAGATGCGGGCGATTACGCCCGAGCTGATGAACAATTGGTGTCGCCAATGGGGATTTTAAGGATGCATTTGACCCTCTCCACTCGACTTTGGTCCTAGCGTTGGAATTGATAGCTTAATACAAGATATGCGTTGTTACTTAATGCGAGTCCCAAGCCTCCAACAGAGGTAATTAGGTAGGGATCTAAACGCTCTTTCGTAACGCCTGAGTGCCAAACCGGACATCCGTTCTGGGTTCATTGTATTTAACGTTCTAACGTCGACTCGGGCGATCCCAGGGGCTCGACCCCCTCCTTTTCATCCACCCGTTCAGCTTCCTTCTTCTGCACCTCCTTCATCGCAGCTTCCGCAATGTTTGTTTTGGTGAATTTAAATTGCCGCGCCGGAACGTTCCTTTCAAACAACTCGTCGATCTCCTCAAGAGTACGCCCCTTTAACTCGGGCAAACAAAAGTAGAAAAACACCCCACAGACGAGGTTGGACGCAGCCCAGATGTAATCGTATTTTGGTCCCTAATTACTTGTTATCAGCACCTTGAAAATGTACGAAAAAGAGATCCTCAACAACGACATACCCAATTCAGGTTCTCCGGGTTGATAAAGTAAGGCGAACAAAACCCAGTCAACCAGGCCAAGAGGTATCCGAGACTAATCGAGGCGCCGACCGTCCACGATCGGAGTCTGGTGCTGACCAACTCGGTAGCGATGGGATAGCTTGCTGCCCCGACAAAAGCGTTGTAGCAGAACATGAACAACGATGTGAAGGCGATGAGACAGTTGCGTCCAGCCAAGGTCCCCGCCGAGGTTGTGGCGGTGATGGCGACAACTAGCATGCAGGTACCTTGCGTTGCTGCCCCGATCATCATGATGCTCCGGCGGCCGACTACATGGCGCATCAGGTAGATTCCAACGTTGACCCCGATAAATCCTAGACAGGATTTCATGAGCGAGTACTTGAATGCTTCATCGACGCTGAGGCCAGACACTACGAGGAAGTATGTGGTGTAACTGATCAGGAACCAAGAGCCGCTGAGGGAGATGTCAGTATGAAACGGTAATTATTAGTTAAGACAATAAGCAGAAGATGGAGAGTTTCGTATTACCTTCCGGTTTGACCTGAACAATGCTTGATGGTTAGAAGCGAGCCCTCACGCCGTAGTTTGGTCAGCTCGACTTACTAGCAATAACCCCGAAGCAGAGCAATGTTCGTCTTAAATTACTCCCTGCCACCAAACATTAGCTGAGCCCGAGACAGCGGGATCGTCATGCAGACTGAGGCATACCCCTGAACATGTCCAGCGGTCCAACTGAGGTTGCAAGCTTCTTTTCTTCCTCGATCCCCTTGACCATCTCTATCCACTCCAATTCAAGCTGCTGCCTGCCTAACGAATCGCTTCTGAGGAACTCCAGTGCCCTTCTCCCTTGATCCAGCTTGCCCCTGTTTACCAGATACCGCGGCGACTCGGGCACAAAAAACAGCCCCACCGACAGCAGAACCGGGACGACAAACTGGATACCGAGCGGGATTTGATACGACGACATATCCAACGATTTGGAGGTAGCATTGGTCACGGTCCCGCCGACGATACTTCCGATGTTAACCCACTCAGAAAAGAGCGCGACAAGTACTGCGCGGAGATGAGCCGGTGCTGCCTCGGCGCAGTAGATGTTGGAGAAGGTGACGAGAAAGCCGTTTCCGATACCGAGAATTAGACGCCCTAGATACACCACTCCCCACTGACTAGTGCCGATTTGAATAGCAGCTCCGAGTGCAGTGAGTAGGCTAGCGAGCCATAGGGCCGGTTTGCGACCAAAAAACTGGGCGAATGCGCCAGCAAAGATGGACGAAAGAAAGGCACCGAAAGTGAGAAGGGAGCCGATGAGCTGCTGGAATGTTCCCTATCATAAGGTAGTCAGCAATATATCAAGGCGAGAGCGACGAAATTCTGTGATCGGAGTAATTACATCAATGCCGTAACCCCCATTCTGGGCAGGATCTGGGTAGCCAAAGACTCTCAGGAATCCCGGCATGGCTTGGAGACTTGCAAGGCAGGCCGAATCGAGGCCATACTGCATATTGGCGATGGACACAATGGCGCAAATCAGCAGACATTTTCGATTGGCCCACAAGGACGTTTCGAGGGACTCTATAGGGTTCGAGATGCAAGTCATGATTAATCAAGTATCGGGTTGTGGAATAATTAAACCGCCCCAGGAGTTGCAGGCAGAATTACAAACTGAGGAAATCGGCTCACTCGCTGCGCCGAGTAAGAGACTTTAGAGAGAAAGTAGAACATCTGGGCAGCATTGAGGGAAAAGTTTCCCGGCACGACGCCAACACACTTGTTGGCACGGCTGCAATATTAAATACAGCAAACGCAGTTTTAGATTATGTGTGACATGACATCCATGTGGTAATGCAGCGGCCCCAAGGGGGGGAGATCGCCGGATATGGTTTCCCCGCGACCAACGCTCTGTGGAGGGTCCCGCCAGATTTCTTCGACCCAAGGATATACAGTACCGAGCACCACATAGGACGTGGTGGACAATGCCGGTATTTGAAAAATTCCCGAATTGTCCCTCGGACATTCAATAATTTTATTAACATGGTGAGATATTGTACATCAAAAATGAACCCCAAAAATTCAAGGCGAAAATTGTTGGTACTGGCGGACCATGCTGAACAATTTTCGGGCCCGACGTACGAGGGGGGGGAGGGCACAAACATGGTTCGTGTGATTGCACCAAATTTCCCCAAAGCCGACCCCGGCTGCGACCGAGCCAAAACAGCTGCTGGAAGATTTGTCGTCGACACACCATGAAATTTCACGCACATTGACATAACGTACGACGAGGCTCGCTGACAAGACCCAGCCATGCCTTTGCTTCAAGACACTAAAAGGAAGCCAGAGACACAAACTTAATTAATAATAACTAACGTGAGGACTCCGGTTTCCTGACATCTCCATCGTTTTCAACCTCAATTTAACACGTCTAAAACAATACAAAGCCCACCACGATCCCAATGCGCCATGACCCATTCTAACCCATATATCCTCTTTTTCCCCCGTGTTTAGACATTCATGCCGCCCGCCAGAACGGACCAACATGTCGGAAATGGCCATAATTGACTTCAGATCCCTTGACGAACGGAACAAGGAAATATGGCCCACAAGACCTTGAACAGAACCCGTTGTGTTGTTTTTTAATCATCTGTTCTTTGTGTCTTCCGGAGTCAACACTTTAGGAGTTGCCTGCGGTTGGGACGGCGAGGTTGAGCGAGATGCCGGAGATGGCGCTGATGCCACTGATGCCGCCACCAATGTTCTGGCGAGGGCGGTAGCGGCGGTTGGCTGCCGCGGACGATGTTGCACCGGCCGTGGCGACGGATACGCCAGATGGCAAGGTGATACCCGAGGGGAGCGAGACACCCGACGGCAAAGTTACGGTGACCTGGGCCAAAGCTGTGGCGAACAGCGCGGCGAAGGCGGTGGCGGTGGCGGTGAACTGCATTTTGGAGGATAGTTTGTTTTATGAACAATAATTTGGCGGAGGTATAAACTTGTTTGGTTTTGTGGGGAACGAAGTGTTAGACGAGCAGGTGTGTAGCGAACGTGCGATCCTTGGACGGAGAGGAGGAGAAGCAAGGACTAGTCGTCGAGTGCAAAGGCCCTGATTTATACCCTTCCGGTATGGCTGTGTGTCCCGCCATCTTCAACAATCCTCCTCTAAGCTGCTCCGGCCCTCTCCCATGGCGTCATACAGGCCACGTAATTTCCCTTGCTTTGACTTCATCACGGGGCTGAGGTATACGAAAATTCCCTCCCAGCTTGAGTTTTGATGGTTCCCCGCTCGAATGGAAACACTTGGATTCATGAACTGTGATACTAGCCCGACCGAACACCAGCCAGAGAACGGGTTATTCCGCGAGATGGGGTCCATCAAGCCGACAATCACTGCGGACACGTAAGCCAGTGCCTCGGAACTAATACGGTTTACTTGGGAGAGGGAGCATGTGCGGGATATAGGCCAAAGCGGCGAGAAACGTGCGGGACAGCAGAACCTTCTTCAACGGGGACAGCGGGATAATCACTTAGATTGTTGAACCAACGGGCAACTAAGGTAATAATACTAATGATTATAACAAGAATGAGCAGGCTAAACTACTGCAACGCAGCAAACCGCAGACGGAAATGAACCCCCAAATCAATGAGCTAAATTATCAGAATCAGGGAGCAAGGTGTGAAGTCGACCCGTCTGATTGATGACCGCACCCAAGCAGTCAACGCAAGACACGACAGATCCTTCGGCGTGAAAGGCAACCCCCGAGTCGCCACACGGTATATCCCGACTATTGGTCACGACAAGCATGCCACATTTCGTGGCGCCATGACCTAGACCGTTCTTTGTCTATTCGCGGCTTACCAAGTCAGCGCCCGTCCCAGCGCTTCAGCGGGCGAAAAGAATGCATAGATAAGGTATGCTCCAACGGTGGGGACCGTCGTCAAAAGTGTGGCTGTGGATTGATACTAGCTAGTTGAGAGGAGCGAGCAACACGACGGCGGGCCTTCATCCACTTAAAGCGGAGAGAAAAAAAAAAGGTGATCATTAATTGAGTTCATACACTACGTCATCATCCATCACGTCCATGCCCCCAGGGCCAGAAAACGCTCCTCACTCACCCTCTTACAGCTATGGTAAAGACCTTGGCTGACCAGATTAACGGGCCCTGGGCTTCACCTTGACGGAGAAATCAATGGGCCGAATGTTAAACCAACCGTCCTGCTTGAGCTTGTAATCCGGGTCCACGGCCTCGAAGTCGAGGTCCCGGATGAGCTTAGCCGTAGTGATAACCAGGAACTCCCACGCCCAGTGCTTCCCGATACACTCACGCTTGCCATTTCCGAACCACTTCTTGGCGCTAGACGGCAGTTTCTCGAACGCCTCACCGATCATCCGTTCCGGGCGGAAGGCAAGGGGTTCCTCAAACACGGCCGGGTCGCGGTTGACGCCGGGCAGCACGATGATCATGGCCTGGTTGTGCGCCACCTGGTACTTGCCGCCCGCGAGCAGAATGGGGGACTTGTCGCCCTCTTTCGGGATCGGCTCAATGTTGAAGCCTGGCGCGGCAGAGGACAACCGCAGGGTCTCGCGAACCACCCCGGCGATGTACGTCAACTGGGGGACGTGTTCCTGGCGGAAGGGCCCCTCTCCAAGCACCGCATCGACTTCTTCCCTCGCCTTAGCAAGGACGTCGGGGTTCTGAAGCAAAAAGAGGATACTAGCGGTGACGGCACAGGGGGCAGTACTGCTACCGATGGGCATGCTCACGATCTCATCAATCACCTGCGATTCGGTCAAGGCTTTGCCCGTCTCGGGATCCTTGGCGTTGAGCATGCTCCAGAGCAGATCGTGCTGGTCGGTCGGGTGCTCTTGCCGGTACTTCACCAAATCCGCGGCGTAGGCACGCATTACTTTCGTTGCCTTCTTGAACTTGCTGCCGTAAACGAGCCAGTTGAGGAAGCCCGGTCGGGTCGGCCGCTTCATGGCCTCGGACGTAGAGTTCTCCATTGCCGCAAGCATGGGATGGTCGGCGCCTTCAATGCAGTTCAGCTTCTTGCCGAAGAGCGTCAAAGTGGTCGCCTCGAGGTTCAGCCGGTTGAGGTCACTCAAAGGTTGGATCTTGTTGTTGTCACCAAGGCCATGCCATTTCGCAAGCAGCTCGTCGGTGCACTGAAGGAAAGCGTCGAAGTGGCCGCCGACGGCTTCTGTCGACAGCTGGGGGGCGATGATCCGATGTGCAATCCCCCAACTCTCTTCATGATCGAAGGCGGTAAATAGTGCGTCATGGACGGCGTAACGGATTTCGACAACGGGGCCACCAACGAACTTGCGGAACCGTTTCTCGTCGCATATTTCCTCGGCGAGGGCAGCACTGGCAACGAAGACAATGCGATGGCCCAGTGCGGTGATGGAGAAGATCTCGCCTGTCGGTGGGATCGAGGACTCGCAGTCAGTTATCTGGTAATTACATCCTCATCCATGCCACATGTCCAAGGTTATTCATGACCTACCGTACTTCTCGGCTAGCGTCTTCAGCGACCACCAGGTGTTGGCCGGGTCGACATCGAAAATGTTGCCCAAGAGCGGGACGCCGGGAGGTTGCGGGATTGGGGTAGACATGATGGACCCTAGGGCAAGCGTAACTACGTAATAGCTGCTGTGTGTTTGCTGTAGGAAGAAGCCTCTCAGAGAGCTACCTAACGTGATATAGACCCGGAGAACTTGCCGAGGGAAAGAGGCGAAAAGACGCTTCGGCTGTCGAACCTTTGCGAGAATTGGTGGAGCAAAAGCCTCTCAATTTTTCGACCCCTCGACTCTCTTTTTGAAGAATCCGCATCGTGATCAGCGGAGGGCGAGCTGCAAACAGCAGTGCGTGGTGGCTGGAAAGCACCGATCACAGGCTTTTCGCAGCACAGCAAGGCCCACGATCGGCCTGCGACAGCTCCATTTGGGATTAGCTCAGGTGCAGCAAGCTGCTGAGTCGAGTCCTCTCGCCAATGGCGGATGTTGTTGAGAACAGGGCACGGCTTGCTGCCGAGCGCCCCAGCGCATTTTGGTGCGCCCCAAGGCGATGGTCAGCCAGTCACGTCGAGTATTTATTCAGCAGTGTCTCCAGCGGGCGAGAGCTGCAGAGAACTTGTCCCAGGTCGGCCAGCGGTGACGGCCCGACGGGCGGGTGATCGACAACAGAATTGCAACCAATGACGTGTCAGGAGACGAACCATCATCCGGGTTTCTCGTTTGAGAAAAGCACAGTGGGGCGCCAGGCCTTCCCGTTTGATCTTGTCCCTTTTTCCCCCATCGCAGAGGCGATGGTGGTGAAACCGGGGAGATAATCCAGGTGCGAGCAAAGAGCCGAAGGGGAAGCATCAGGGAGTACAAACAAAAAGGAATATATTGGGGGGTATACAACACGTGAATGAAAATCAGACTCTCCCACCATCCCACATTTTCCCATCGACGCCATAGCCCGGCCATGTCTCAGTGTAATGCTGGGTCCCATCCTTGCTCACCCATTCAAGTCGCGATCCTGATCTCTGCCCAAAATAAATAGTGTCCTCCTCATAGCCAATCCCCGGACCCTGCATCTCAACCTGGTGGAACGTTTCGTTGCTCCCGAAAGTGTCAAATCGGCGCTCCGTCGTGACGTGAACTTCCTTCGTCACGAAAATTTGTCCAAGGAGTTGCGATGCCGATGTCACCAGCGGTCCCCAGAAGATAGGAATGCTGGCGCACATGCACGATGTGGCTGTCTCCAAACCGGCCATGACAATAGTGATCGGGCCGTACCAAGTCGGGTCGAAGGTCGGATACGTCGCGGCTCTGTGCTGCATGGTAGTGGCGAAGCGCCAGATTGAGAAAACGTTGACCCTAAGAGCAGACAATGTTAGTGCTGTATCGCGCAGTGCAGAGCGATCGGTTACGCCTGTTGTGTTGCTGCTTACATTGTCCCCATGGCAATAATGCCAACAAGGCCCAACCTTGTCCTCCCATGAGCTCCCCTCTCAAAGTAAAGCGGAATTGGCAAGCCCATCACCACAAGATCAAGCATCATGTTGACCGCAGCATGGCTCTCGTATGTGGCTGTGAACACCGAGACATACTGTGAGCCGTAACCATAACATTTGAGTCCTGACATATCTTGCTCGTAGATAACGGTCCAGTAATCAGATACCGGAACACAGGGAACCCATGCTAGGATGGAGTATGCGGTTCCCCAGAGTCCGATGAACACGACGAGTATCCGGCATGTGTTGTGAAAGGGCGTACCCGGTTGGTACAACCGCATGTATTGTAGAGGTAGCGATATTTTGATCAGGGCTGTGGACATAGCGTAGGAGCCGTTGAAAACATAAAAGCTCTGGGCCGTTGTCAACATCGCGCATTGAAATCTTCGCCCCTGACAGACCGTCCTTCGTTGAGACCTACATGCAGGAAAGCCGATGCTTGGCCTTCTGTGAGACTGAGAAGGTGTTGTCCCAAGCCTTTTTCAGTAGCTAAACGTCGAAACAAATCAGTTTTCTGCTTCGCGTTGTTGTCGTCCTCGATCGGTTGGGGAACCCACAGATACATATGCTTGCCAGCCCAATCGACATGATCAACTAAAACGCTGTCAGAATTTCTCGCTCTGGGATGTTATGAACCGGTAATACAAGGGACATACCAACGATAAGACAACAAAGAGATCGTCTAGTCCGGGTGCCCGAATAAGTGCGAGCCTCACATAAATTCTGCCGGTAACACAGAGCCAGGACAATATCTGGCGCCCGGTTCGTTAGCGCTTTACATTGTACGGCAGAGGAACCCTCCTTACAGCAAATGTGATGCATAAACCCAGAACTGTCTCTCGTCTGTTGATTTGCGGTATCGATTCCCCCGAATTATCAGCAACCCCAATCAACCCCATCAGGGTGTCGTCTCCACCAAGGCCTCCCATTATTTTGTGTGTGATTGCGTTTCGACTTGCTTGTTCTCGGCTTCGGGAACTGTCGAATTGGGGCGTGGAGCACCCTCGAAGGCTGCGGCTTACAGCCTGTGATTCTTCAATGACCAAACAAGTGATGAACGATCATATGAACCACAGACTCAGAGGCGCCAATACACATCAAATGATCAAAGCCATGGAAAGTTTGGTGTTTGGGGAATGGGGTCAGAAATTGGTCAAGAATTCTTCCTCCAGCAAAGAGTGGCCCACCCAACATATTGAAGGCTGACGTGACCGCAGGCGCTCGAGATGCCATGGGACTCCCCCAACATGCCGCTGATCGATCGGCGTGTGGTACCTGCGGCGCAACGCACCGCGATGTTGCGGCGGGTGGGCGACAACAGTAACCACAGCACTCTGCGCCACAACATGTCGGCGGTTTCAATCGCACCTTCAAGCCCAAATCAATCTAGCCCGGCCGGATCTGTGCTTAGACCCGGACCGCCCGGGTGTCGTCTGGTAAAACCACGCTTCTCGAATGCAGGTTTCCGACGACTACGCCGTTTTTCCATATGGCTAAAGGTGGGGCGAAGCGGCTCGGGGGTTGCAATGTGGGGCTTGCGCCGTCTCTGAGCAGGGAATCGGGTATCTTCGTGTGGTCAAAGGATGTCGCGACTCGGTGAGCGGTGGCTGCCTGTCTTCTGTCCCAAGTACTTTTGTGGCACAGCACAGTCCGTCACGACCATGAAACGCGCGAGATCTGCGACGAAGTGGCACCTGACGACGTGAGATAGAATGACCCTCCCACCCTCCTTTCGAGATTTCTCGAATCGACAACAAACTCCAGCTTACTTCGTACCCAGGAAACGAGGGGAGTGTGGTTTACATGGTATTTGTGTTCGAGGCACATCTTCACGCTCTTTCAAACCCTGACCTTAATTATGTGCCCGACTCATCGCGTTTGACTTCGAAAGGTCGAATTCATTATTCGTAAAAGGGCCCAAAACCTGTTCATGTAACCTAGGGAGAGGCGCTAACTGACACCACCTGAGTGTCATACATGGTGCGAAAGAAAAGCTTAATTATCCGGACGAAAAGTTGTGGGGGATGCTTGTGGTGAGGAAGGCCGTATTACCCCATACAACAGTGGGTCCTTCCTTCCACACACGATGATGGATGCTGTCCACGTTCATCCAAACCGAAGCTGGGCGAAGGTGTATTGAGGTGGGGTTCCAATGATTTGGGGAAGGGATGCTGAACGAGAAAATGCTTTCTTTTTTAAGAGCTTGTGAAGCTTACGATAAGGAGCGGCCAACTGTGCGCCGCAGGACCAAATACCACCCGACGAGAATTCGGTATTTGGTAACGAGTCAGGGATCAGAGCATTGTTCCCCACCATGTCGGTCTTATCGAATTGATAAGAGATAACCTGAACGTTGTGATCGGGCTCTTGCAATTCTGCGTTCGAACTGTGTGAGGAAATGTTGGCTGGATTTTGACACTGGCCACTCGACTCTTGACGCCTTGAAAGGCTGATGGCCCAAATTGCGTTTGACACCCCAAGCCTGGTTGACAGATGAACCCTTGACGTTTGATGCAGGGGCGTTGCCGGTTGAAGCTTGCTGCCCGGCGAGCCCGCTTCCAACATTGGGGGTCAGAGCGGACGCGGGTGACTCGAGGCTACGATTGGGCCGCAACCCTTTCGTATTTCTGAGCGAGCTCGTCGGATTTGTCCCAAGCAGCGGGCTTGCATGGTCCACCTGCCCGTTTGTGTGTGCCCCCAGCCCCGGAGCCGGAAAACCGTCACTGCAGTTTCGGGCCTTTCTGGGCATATCCACGGGGCCACGCCCCCAAACCTGAAAAAAATGTCGCCAACATTTTTGCAAAACGACCGCGTTCCTGCTTCCCAGGCGATGTCGAGATGCCTGGGTTCCCGTTCCCCGCCGCGCCTGCGGTGCTGCGATACAGGCTAAACAGGCGACTCGGCCGCAACCTTGCGATCGCTATTTTTTTCTTTATTGCGCTATTCGCGTTATGGGATTCCCACCACGAGAAACCGCTTCCGCCAACCTTCTACCCGTTCGAGACCACGAGCGCGTTTTCACCCGTCTCGCTGGATCGCGTCAAGAGCAAGACCTTGGAGGAACTATGCGACACCTTCCCCCACCATCTCGCGCAGCGTATTCAGCCCGTCCTGAAAATGGGCCACGGCGAAAACCCCAAGATGGTTGACGCCCAGTTCGGCAGCGTCTCCGCTTGCTTCCGTCCAGATGAGCTGCTCGTCTTCTCCGACCTCGACGAAATGGTTCAAGGTCGCCACGCTATCGACATCCTTGCCAACCTTCCCCAAGCCTATCGCGACCCGGACGAGCAAGGCCGCACGAACCAGGATTACATGAACTACGAGACCATGGCGGCGCTGGCCAGGGCGAAGAAGTTGACGCCGGAAAACGACCCGGCCAAGGGCAAGAATGGTTGGCGTCTCGACAAGTACAAGTTTCTCGCCGGCGTCGAGCGCGCATGGCAGATGCGACCGGACCGAGACTTTTACGTCTTTTACGAGACCGACACCTACATCTCCTGGGACAACATGTTCCGGTTCCTCTCCACACTCGACCCACACGCGCCTTTGTACATGGGCAGCCCCTCCCCTGGCAGGCATGACGAAAACCAGAACAAGGAAACGTGGTTTGCCAATGGGGGGCCTGGGTACGTGCTGTCGCGCGGCGCTATGGAGAAGCTCTTTGCTCGCAAGTCTTCATCAGAGACTGGCCACCTAACCGAACCGCCCGTGTCACTCAAGTACCTCGACCTTGTGCGGAGTGATCCTTGTGGCGACTCGGTCCTCGGCTGGGCACTGTGGAATGCTGGAGTGCCGCTGAGCGGTTTCTTCCCCCTCTTCAACACCTACCCCGTCCACTCTATGCCATACACCGAGCGGTTGTGGTGCCAGCCATTCTTGACGATGCACAAGCTCACACCAGAAGACCTCATCGGGGTCTGGCGCTGGGAGCATGGCAGGCGGACGTTGGGTAACCCTCTCCTGTATTCGGACCTTTTTGACTATTTCCCCTTTGCCACGCCAGCGATTCCCGACGTTCGGGAGGATTGGGACAACACCAACTGGGACCGTCTCGGGCCCGGCCGTGACGTTTATGTGGACTCGGTCAAGGCTTGCCAGAAAGCGTGCGAGGACAGTCCGAGCTGCCTACAGTACCACTACCAGGGGACTCAATCAAGAAAATGCGTCCTGCAACAGTTCATCAACCACGGCGTGGCGAAGAAACCCGAGACGGTCGAGAAAAAGGTCCCGATCCCGGGCACCGGAAACGAAAAGGACAAGGGTGCGGGCAAAGAGAAGCAGAAGTTCAATACCATCAAGCACAAGCACAAATACACAAGTGGTTGGATGAAATCGAGAATCAGCGTGTGGGTCAAACAGCACTCCTGTCCCGCGCCGCAATGGGTATTCCCAAGTATTGAACGACATTATTAGTTTGGAGCAAATCAGGCGTGTATTAAGGCATGAAATGAACAGATTTGGATATATCCGTTTTGCTTTTTACTCTTTGGATGTTGTAGAGCGAACAGGGATGTACAACGTCAGGCAACGTTGGACGACAGTTATGCAAGTGACACAAATATACATTAGACCCGCAGCTTACCCGCGCATAACGAACTCTGTGTGACCCTTCTGCCGTTTCGATCTTTGATCTTCTAAGCCCGATTCCTCCACTCGAAAAAAACAGAAGAAATACATCATCATACGCCCTGCGTTCAGTCCTTCCCCATGTACACATTCCAGATTATAACCGCCTGGGGGTATCTATGCAGATTGCAAACAAGTCATCCACGAAGGTTGTTATCGTGTCATCACCACCCTTTTTCACCTCCACACGCGTCAAGCCCATGCCGAGCGCCGTTTTGACCTCGGTCAGCTCCATATCCTGCCCATACTCAGGCGAGTTCTGGCCATCATCAACATGGGTGGCATTACTCAGACCCCGTTGGCTCTTCTGGCGCACCAGCTTCACTGCTCCGAGAGAAGAGTCTCGCTGATGTGTCGCCGATGGGATATCTGGGACTATGTTCGTCGTTTCTGTCGCCTTTTCCACATCTACAGTGACTTCTTGAGAGACCATAATCCCCCCGTACGTGCCTTTGGCGGGCTGTTGCTGTCTGCGGCCTGTTTTTACCGCCAACTCCGAGATCTCGCTCGGCGCCTTGCGGTCCGAGACAAGATCAGAATCGCGTCCGCTCCCGGCGGTTTCCAGAAGGGACGAGACGCTCTCACCGCAAGGTTTCAACGTTATGGGATCCCGGCTCGCTGAAACGAATTTGGGGCCATCGCCGCGACGAGAGTACGGCCGGTTCAGTGGATCCGCGTGAGATCGAGCGGTCCTCGAGAATAGCAGATAGCCGGGCACGGAAATGAACTTTCGTACCCGGCCTGGACTAAACAAGGTCGTATTGGTTGACGATGAGTCGATTATTGGTGAAAACCTGCGGTGGACTGACCGGCCAAACGCGGCAGTATGTGGCGAATTCTTGCACACCAGCTGTTGTGTCTTGAAGAAGGGGAGTGGGATGAAGTCATAGGTGGGCACATCGAGGCGCATGTGAATCGGGATCATGAGTGTGAAGGCGATGAAAGAACAAGTTGCTGGCCGTGTATCTTCGGGCAGCGATGTACATGGTACCTGAGTCACCCTGCTCGCCAACTTGGCGTTGTCGATGGTGGGATCCTGAACCGATGCACGAAGATTCCGGATTGCTTCCAACAAATAGCCAGCAAACTGGGCATCTTTCGGGGGTAGGTCGCCTGCTCGTTCCAACCGCCTATGGAGAGCACCAAGGGTCATTCCCTCTAGCCTCTGGAGGAACTCGACGTTAGCAGATTCCAGGCGATCCAACGGTAGCTGAATGCTCGGGAGAAGGTTGCGTGCTTCCTTCTTGACGAGTATGTCGAAGCCCATTTGATGTACCTGCGTCCTGACGGCAAAGAGACCGAGATGGACGCCTGGCTCTAGCATGTTTCCATGGGCATACTGGTACATGCCTCTCAGCTTGTCCTCCAAATTGTGTGTCCTAATGTGCATCTTGGACCGGATTATATGCGTCACCTGACGGGGTTCTGCAAAGCAGTACCCCGAGGCTGCGAGATGGTCCACATGACTGCTATCCACCTTGCGGACAAGAAACATGAGGTGCCCATGGCCACTGCGTTTCCCTGGCGCGTTTCCTTTCTCAGCTACGTCGTCTGGGTCATCCTTGAGACTCCCGGAGCCGGTCGATGTCGAGGCTTCGCTGATTGAACTCGGGAGTTGGCTACCGCCCGTGGACAGAATCTCATCCCACAGAATACCGACATCGACAAGATCGACACTCATTTGGCGGGCCAACTCCGAGGCCGCAATGCAGAACAATTCTCGGAAAATGATGTCGTAATGTTCGACGATATGACCCTCATTGTCCACAAGTTCAATGCCCGTCCTCACGTTCCGACCAGTGTGGGGGAGACGAGCCAGATGTTGGCCCATCTTATCGAGAAGGGCTGCGATGCTTCCCCAACTCCGCGAGGCCTGAAATAGCCAGTGGAAGAGTGGATGTGCAGTGGAGAATGTTTCGTTTTGTGTCTAATGGTTCACGTCTATCAGTGGCTCTCGTCTCCAGTGGAGGAGTTGTCCAGCACAACATACCTTTTGCAAGAATGTACTAGTCACGACTTCGCTTGGCAGAAAACCATCCGGAGTCACCAGAATATTCCCGTGTTCGTCAAAGACAGCGGCGGCCACAGTGATGCGCTGGGCCCTTCTTGCGTACCCCTTGCGCACCCGCGCTGAATAGATGGCGAGCCCCGCCATGATTAAGCAAGCAGCAAAGGACTATTTAACGGCTTGTCAGCACTTCAAGTAGCTTTGGGGGTCCATGGGGCGGTTGCCATACCAGACAGGCCGTCACAATGACGGTTGTATTTCGGGAACTCGTGTCGTTGGTAGAGCCGACGTGTAGCAGCGTGTACTGCGTGCCCATGACAGCACACCAATGCATTCCTGAGACGGCACCGGCCAACACGACGGCGCATCCGACACGTTTCCACCACGAGTTGGTCCAGGCACTTTTGAACACGAAGAACAAGGTGAGGGCCACCGTGCTTGCCACCGCTGCAATAACCGTAGCGCTGGCAACAAAGGCCGGAATATAGTCGCAGCGGTAGTTGCTGATGGATGCGTTTCCGAGGTAGTGCATGCCAGAGATAGCACCTCCGGAGAGCGTTCCGGCCATGGTAACACGCCACCAACTGACATGGTTATTGTTACGGCTACTGCTGGTGCTCGTGACGACGAAGAATGCCACGAGAAGCACGAATATTGGAACAAAGAAGGAGGCGACTGTGACGCCAACGGAGTAGGCAATCTGGAGGTTCGGCTCGCCGTGCAGTAACGTTGTAGCTCGGTTGCCAATATAATGCTAGAGGGAAAGCAGCCGGCCAATTAGTTCCATGCACATGATTATTCCTGGTGTCGAGGATGTGTTGGTGTGGCGCCTTGGGCAGGCAAAGCCAGACATACCATGCTCCAGATGGACACACCACCCATGCTCACCGCGGCACCGAGAAGGAGAAGGCTGGAAAATGGTAAGCGCCTAATCAGATATCTCCCCCATTAACCACAACTTACTTGTTGTAGTACCCCCTTCTCGACGTGCGGCGATGAATCAGCTCCAGGGTCGATGCGGCGCCGACAAGGCTGATCACATAACTTAGGACTAGAAGCCCTGGGTCGAAGCTGACCGGTATGACTTCCCCGACATACTGACGTAGGCCGTCTCGGTCGTTCGCTGCCAATGCCGTTCCCATGCCTGCCAGCCGGGCGAGTTTGAGACGGGGCCCAGAATAGGCGCTCCACTCGTGCGCACACCGAGATCAGCTTGGCTCGGTCGAGGATGATATTCGTTCGTAACGATGCCACAACATCAGTCAGCGGCAGCGCAGAGAGCGCGTTAGGCCGCGTGGGGGACGCCAGGAATCCGGATGCAGAGATGTCGAGTAAGACTTTCGCCGGTGAGGAGAAGGCTCCCGCTCTCTCTTCCGGGGGCCGCCTGCATCATATCGGAACGGCAGCCAGACCAAATTCTTGGACCCGACGACCAAACACTCACGCTACGCAGAGCCGACTTTCCTTCCTTCCTCGGTGATTGGTCCATCCAAGGGTGGATGGACGGGACAAGGGACCGCCGTCCGACGCATTGGTTACTCGCGGTGCTGAAAATGCAGGTGGCGGCCGTGCGGCAGCATGCAGTCCAGACCTCGGGCGGCCCAGGGACTTGGCCCGAGGGATTTCTCGGGTTCATCCAAAGTGACACCCCATCGTCCCAACACATAACTGGGCGATGTTGGCGGGCGGAAGGTGGGACGAGGTGGGACCAGACCGGCCAGGTTGTTCTCCAGCCCCATCTTCATAATCCATTGGGAGGGGAAGGTGAAGAAGGATCAGGCGAGCAATATGCAACATCCCAACGCCCGCTGTGAGACAACGTGTCGGGGCCGCACAGTTGCAGCAGTCCAGGAAAATGGGGACAGTCGAGTGCAGCGACCAGGTTCCTGCCGCACGGGCAGAGTCGCAATGACTAGCGTATCGCAGTTACCTCGAAAAGCTGCAGGAGCCAAATGTTTGAGGGTTCGTGGACGGAGCTGGAACACGTGCGCTCGGCCAAGGGCTGCTCCCAGCTCGCACGAGGAGCTCCACAGCAACGAACAGGGGGGGCGCGCCTTAAAAGGAAAGAGTGAACGAGCCGGACCGGAGACGACAGGATCGGAGCTGAAAGCCCTAAGAAATCGGGAAAGAGGGGCCAGAAGCCCTACCAAAGTGCTTGGAAAAATGCAAATTGGAGTTCCGAGCCATCCGTGTCGCATTGTCCCCGACAGGGGTGAGCACAATTCATCCAGATCTTGGAGGGACTGAGCGGATTCCAAACAGGCGACAAGCCCGATGGGGAGTCTGAAACACGGTCAGCTCGCAGGCAGACATGCGTGAGCCTGTTCGGTCGTGTTCAGTCTTTGAGGTGAACGGACCCAACTTGTGCCCGCGGACTTTCTTTGAGTTTTGGCCCACACAACCACCTTCCCGATACGTTGTTTTTATTTGCGATGCTTCGCTCGATTCCCACCCTACCACAGATCAGCTCAACCCTGGATGCCGGTGAACCCACCCATCTGAGATCGAACATCTTCCCGCAACGCCGATCACCGATGCCAAGTCGCTTTCCTGTTTCCAAAAAGGAACGATTCTGCGTCGGTTGGTAGGGCTTTGGCTGGTCTGCTACAACCATGTCGTACCTTACTTGGATCTCCGTAATGCGACGGTAATTATTGATTTTCATGGACTCATCAACCACATTCAATTATTCACGGTGTTTCGCCAGTTTTGAATCAGCCCCCATCCTCCCCCGCGATTCCCTCACCGACTGAACTCAATGAGCTTTCGAATATGTGGGTTTCAACAACAATAACGGGAATGGAAAGGGGAAACAAGAAACCCGGAATTAACGGTGAGAGAAAGAGCAAAAAAAGGCAAGCTAGGAAAAGCTCACGAGGTAATCGAGCAATCAATATTATCGACCCACCACCTCTAGCTGACCCCTCCCAGTAATTACCAGCGCTAGCGACAGTTACAGCATAACCATGTCTGGGGGTTCTCCCCCGACCTCTGAAGCCGTATATTTGACATTCCATCTCCAACTCTACGCCAATCCTGTAGTCCAGCTCCAGAAGACGAACAAGTGAAACAGACCCTGATTTCGATGCTAGGTTACAACTATCAATGTAAAGGTAGAGCGCTGGCCTAGGCCAAGGTATTCCGAGATCTGGACAGCACTGTAAAAGGATGATTTGTCGTGGATTAGAATTAACCCGGCGACGGGAGATGATTCTGCCCGTGGGGAATTTCGGCCGGCGTATCTTGTACATACCATCGGCATTCTCAGCGTGATGGTCCTTTACGACGAGCCCAATGTAGTTATAGCATAACGTGAAGTCGGATTCTTTTGCCTCAATGTCTGACGTGCTGCGTAGGAAAGACATAGAGGACGGCCAAGCATGACGCGATATTATGGCAACCCAACCACATGGTGATCAGGGGTTAATTAATTAAGGGATTCCCAGCCCCACACAAAGAGTAACGGCTGAGACTGTACGTGGTAAGTTTTCACCATGGAATACATGGAGCGTCAAGCGCGACCTAACACGTTCCCGTCAAATCCAACTTGGGCCATCAGGTCAGCGAACCGGGCATGAGGTTAGGGTTGTGACATCTGGTGAATGGGAGGACAACTCCTCCCGGCAATGAACGCAACGATCTCCTTACCGTTTCCGATATTGTTGGCGCCATCATTGCTTATGGAATCCAGACCTGGGCAATATGATAGACCACGCGGCGAGATTTTGGCTGGTTGACAATCGGGACTATCATTCACAGGGGCACCTAACCTCGTAGAAACAACACTGGGTATCAAGCTTAATAGAGGAAAACGCTAAGATGGTGCAGATCAACTCCTCCACGCCATGCCCTTCATAGCCCCCACAATTTCATCAGCCTTTTGGAAGGTGAGGCTACCATGCCCTTGATCAGGAATCACCCTCAGCTCGGCGTGAATACCAAGCCTCGCAGCGGCCTTCTGCGCCATTGTGAGAGGGACGTTGGTGTCCAAATCCCCATGCCACATGACAAGTTCATTATCTTCGTCTGGTCGGACGTCATCCAGCTCAAACCCCCAGTCACTGCCCAACAACTTCATCTCCCAAGCCGGTCCCCACCCACCATACCTGACTCCTTCCCGCACACTCATGACAACAGCCTTCCGAATCTCCGGGCTCGCGGCTTCCCACGCGAGCCTCTCGCTCTCTGGTGTTGAATCCTGCTTCATGTCGGCTTCCAGGAGGGCTTCCAACTTTGATTCATCTTCGTCCCGCGCCACTGACCCGAACTGCTTGTCGATAACCCAAGCCACAAGTCCTGGGAACCATGTGGCTACTTTCAACATTATCCTGGAAGGCCACTTCATCCCCTCTGTGCCGAGACTCGTGACCGGGTAGAGACCAGCGACTACCCCGAATCCCTGAATACGCGTCGGTGGGATCCGTCGCAAACAGGCAAATCCATACGGAGTACCGCCTGAAACGGCTATAATGCCGAACTGCGTGACGTTAAGGTAGTCCGCCAGTGCTAGAATGTCGTCGGGATAGTCGAGGATTGCGCCGTTGTCGCGGAACGTGGAACCACCGCTGCCCGGTCGAGATGGGGCGATGATGCGGATGCCATGGCGCCGCCCCGCGCCTGACAAGACGAAGGCTTCGTGGTGAGACGACGGGCTGCCGTGGAAATAAAACACGGTGGATGTCGCGTTATGCGCGCCATATATGCCGTACGCGATTTGCCGCTGGTCGGGAAGCACGAAATGACGCGTTTCAGGCAATTTCTCCTCAGTACGTTGCCAAAAGAAACCGATCCTGTCGCGTTTCAGGAGGAAATTCCAAAAAGTCAGAACTGCGAAGAACGCCGCGAAAATGAGCACCAAGGGGCTCCGCAGCTGATGATGCAGCGGCATGATCGGTGAACTTTGTCGCGGTTTTCCTTCGCCAGCCACAGATTGCACAGTACTAGGGGGATCCCGAACAATTAAGTCCTCTAGATCGAGCAACAAGAAGGGGGAGGAGTCGTGAGAAGCCGCGTCACGTTGGCGGTTTGCTCCCCCAATTCAGCATTTCCCTGTGCTTGGCTCCTGCTAATAATAAAGCGTGGGGCGTGCTCGCGATTTATCATTGGAGGTTGCGGGTTGCGCTGCCACGATGAGCTCCGCCAGTTCATCGCTGCGCTGGCCCCTCTCGGTAAGCGCGGTGTCGAATCCGCCCGAGTGCCTGAACTTCTGCAAAGGAAGATCGCGAAGATACGAATAATAATAATAAAAATAAAAGGAAAAGTAGGAACAGAAAATGGAGGGAAAAGAGGCTATAACGTAATCACTGGTGCGATAAAAAAGATCAAGTGCTGAAGATAATTGATATGTTCGAGAAACTAATTAATTGACAGTACATGGGTACTTTTGTGATGATGACATGTGATGGCAATGATTGTTGTCTCAATCATGGCATCCGCATGAGAATGTGCATCGGCGCTTCGTATGTACATGATTTGGTGCTCATATGCGCTCCAGTTCAAGTAACTACGATGATTGCCCCTCATTTTATCCAAGTTATGTAACTTGAGGCCTTAAAACTCTAACCATGAAGACTAACAAAAATACATATTTTTTTGAATGACCAAGGAGAGTTGTTAACACCCCCTCGTGTGTGTTGATGTTCTTCACCACCCCTCCTCGGTCACATCCGGCTCCTCAAGCTCTTCAGCTCCTTCCTCTTCGTATTGAGATTCGACTTTGGGGATAAGGCCCTCGAGAACGTCAGAGAGCAGGCGAACATTTTCGGCATCCCGTGGGACGATGTGACCAAGGCCATGATCGAACATGGTGGCGTTATTTCGGTTGCAAACATTATACAAGGCAACAGCACCCCCCAGGAAGGCGTCGTTGCAACCGAAGATGTGAAACGTGGGGATGTCGATAACCTCGCCGGCTTGGTCTGCCAACTGGGCAACCAACCGGTTGTTCCCCTCAAACTTGAGAGGAGGTGAGCCAGAAATAAAAATGGCAAACTAAGACAAGCGGGTTAGACGTATGAATCTGGTTCTTGTTGGTGCGTCCTGGACATACCTTGATTTGTCGCTCGCAGCCGGTTTCTTGTGCTCGAACGGCTTCTTCGACCACGATGCTCGAGCCGACCATGGCGCCTTCGGAGTACCCAATAATGGCGTCCACGTCCGGATTCTCGTCGAGTGTCTTACGGACGTCGTCCATTGCCTCGCGCCATACCAGCTGGTGCCAATCCTCGCCACCACCACACTCTTGGAACATACGCATGGCATCTTCAGCATTAATGCTGTAGGGCATGTGACGTAGACGCCGCAAACTTTCAAAGGTATCTCCCCGGCGAGTGTCAAGAAACCGGTAAAGTGGCCGGGCTCCGAAGTAATCTTCCCAGCCGGCGGGAGGATCAACCTCGTGGGACCCCTGGGTGTAAACGAAAGTGCCCAGCCCTCGCCGCTCTAATTCATCGGCTAAGGGCCCAAGTTGGACGCGAAAGTTCTGATATGAGTATTAGCGCTCACCTCACGCGGATTACCCCCCACAGTATCATGGAGCTGTGTTCATCTTTCGTAACTTTAGCTTACCTTGGCGCTGCCATAGGCACCGGGAAGGCATAGGAACCTCATCTTGCAAGTAATTAACCCCTTGATAACGAATGTACGGGTTAATTCTAGCAGATCTTATGGGGAAGTTAGCCCGAGGTGGGAGATGAGAAGCGTGGAATCAGCGTTGGACCGATACCGTAAGCTAGCCGGGAGAAGGCTATAACTTGCTGCATTATACCCAGTGGGGGAAGAAGCGGGTTTTGCGGGCATTTTCCACCGGGCGTTAATCTTGTGGGCCTATTTTCTTTCTGAGAGGGCAATTGAGATGCTCGAGCCGCCGGGCCGCGTACTCCAACCGCAAAGCCGCCGCCAGGCAAGGCCCCTCCCCCTTTTACATCATCGTTGCCTCGGCTTGCAGGATGTTTCCGAGTCTCTGGATTCTTCAAAATCAAGTTGGCGGGATGGTATTACAAATACTTTGGCATGTTTTGTCGAGTCTACAGCGAATGATTGTTTTTAGCAAGGCCAATAATGAACGGCCGACGCTCTATTAACCAAAAGTTCGGCTTTCTCATATATGCTGGTACCTGATCAGTTATTCAGACTTCACTGTCGCGATCTCGGGGTGGTGGGATGCACTGCTCGTTGTCGTATCCGGCTTTCAACATGGCCACCGCGATGATAATTTGTACGGTTTCCCTGGGCGTTACACGGCTAGCAAGAGGGGTATAACATCAATCTGGGCCAGCCTGAAAAATGACACTGACGGGAAAGGGCCTTCTTTTTTGAAGCCACGGACATCAAAGCAACCTCATGCAGAGGCCGGACGTCGCTCAGACTGATGACGCACGAGAGTGCTTGAACTTTTTAACAGAGGTAAAATGTATCAATGCCATACCTATCCTTCGCTGAAGGTTGCCTAGCTGGCGATCAGGTACCATGCAGCTATTTCTCGTGTTCGCCTCCCGTGTTTGTCTCCTCGCCGGCTTGTGACTGATGAGCCCCGCACGCTGGGCCTCAATATACTCATCTTAACACAGGTAGCTCCGGTAAGCCGTATCCAGCCGTGAGCTTTGTCCACGAAGCACCCCCTCATCGCAGTCCCGGACCTGTAGACTAGACCACAACTTGCTGACGGGGTGCTTCGACGTTGGTGTCTCGGCCCCGATGATAAGCTTCCTGTCCTTACCAAAACCAAGGCGGGGAAATTAACCCCCTCTTTCTTTGATTTGGAACGTACCAGAGCGAGGACCACGTGTTTCTTGAGTGGTAAAGTGTGTGTGTTTTATAAGTATCTAACTCAAAAATCCGCGCCCCGGTGGGGGCGCCGCAGGATACTGGTCTGGGTTTTGATGCCCAAGTCACTCGTTTCGCCATTTTCTTTCGTTTGTACCTTAAGAGTACACCATGGTAGACAAACAGCCCATGCCCATCGCCATAGTGGGCATGTCCTGCCGCTTGCCCGGGGAAGTCTCTAACCCGGGCGAGTTCTACCGTATGCTGTGTCGGAAACGCAGCGGCTGGTCCTTGGTGCCCAAAGATCGTTTCAATGCCGAGGCGTACCGTCATCCCAACCCTGACAAGAAAGGCTGCATGAACTCACAAGGCGGCTACTTCATTAAGGATGACATTTCCATGTTTGATGCCGCCTTTTTCGATATCACCAAGAAGGAGGCAGAGTCCATGGGTGAGTACTAAGTCATTTTCTGAGGGTCAGATGTAGAGAACACCAGATTCGCTGACCCTGGATCCTAGACCCTGCCCAGAGGCTTCTCCTCGAGTGCGCATATGAAGCCTTGGAGAATTCTGGGACGCCGCGAGAGGCGGTGTCAGGTAAGAATGTGGGGGTATTTGTCGGTGGGAATTACGGGGAGCATCGTGTTGGCAACCTGAGAGACCTCGACCACATTCCGAGCTTCGATGCTACCGGAAACCAAGGGGCCTTTCTTGCTGGCAGGCTAGCATACTATTTCAATTTGAAAGGCCCAACGTTTACCGTCGACACGGCCTGTTCATCCAGTATGCATGCCTTGCACTTGGCGGTCCAGAGCATTCGGGCCGGGGAATCGGAACAGGCCATTGTCGGCGCCTCGCATCTGATCACTCACCCAGACATTTGGGTGTCCATGGGCAAGCTCCGACTATTTTCCGATGCCGGCAAAACCTACGCTTTTGACGACCGTGCTAAGTCCGGATACGCCCGGGGTGAAGGCGCTGGCTGTCTGATCCTGAAGCCGCTGGACAAGGCTCAGGCCGATAACGACCACATCTTCTCGGTCATCACACATACGGGGATCAATCACAATGGCCGCACGGTGGGCATTGTCGCCCCCAGCCCGGAGGAGCAAGAGGAACTCCTGAAAAAGGTGTTTTCGGAAGCCAACGTCGACCCCCGTGATGTCGGGTTCTTCGAGGCCCACGGGACTGGAACCAAGAAGGGCGACCCTATTGAGGCTACCGCGATTCACAAGGCCGTCGGCAAGTACTTCACGGAGAAGGATCCCCTGTACATTGGGTCCGTGAAGCCAAATGTCGGCCATCTCGAGTGCGCAAGTGGCATTGTGTCGGTCATCAAGTCGGTGCTGATGCTCTACTACGGCTTCGTTCTCCCCAATGCCGACTTTCAACGGCCCAACGAGGCCATTCCATTCGAGAGTTGGATGCTGAAGGTTGCCACCGATCAAAAGCCTTGGCCTGCCAAACGCAAATACGTCTGTGTCAACAACTTCGGCTTCAGCGGATCCAACTCCACCTGCATCCTACAGGCTGCTCCCCAGACTCGGGGCCTGGAGATGGCAGAGAACGGCGCGTATAGCCCGCTCAGACTGTTTATTCTTTCGGCCAACGACGAGGCAGCACTTCGGAACTCCATCAAGAGGCTTGGGATTTGGATCGAGCAGCACGCCGAGCTGTATCAGACAACGATGCCGCGAAACCTGGCCTACACCCTCTGTCAGCGTCGGTCGCATCTTCCTTGGCGCGTGGCCGTCGTTGCGGGTATGTGCAGCGGTGTTGCTAGTGCGCTCAATAGCCACGACGCCGTCCCAGCCCGGGCGCCCACAGAGCCTCCTAGAGTGGCGTTCGTTTATACAGGCCAAGGAGCACAGTGGTTCGCTATGGGTCGGGAGCTGCTCCAGACGCACCCCGTCTTTGCAAACGCAATCCGCCGTGCGGACGATGTGCTAAGCGATATCGGTGCCGATTTCTCCGTCTTTGAGGAGTTGCTCCGTGACAAGGCGTCTTCCCGGGTTGGCCAGGCCCACATCAGCCAGCCGATCTGCAGCGCTGTCCAGCTCGCCCTGACGGACCTCTTTGCTGCGTTTGGGATCCGGCCAGCGGCTGTGACCGGCCACTCCAGCGGCGAGATAGCAGCAGCTTATGCTGCGGGTGCCTTGACTTTCGAGTCCGCCGTGGCGGCGGCGTACTACCGAGGCCAAGTCATCCTGGAGCTCAAACGAGATCACGCAGACCTCAGGGGAGCTATGATGGCTGTTGGTGCCGGAGCAGTGGACTTGCCCTCAATTTTGGAGCGGGCGAGCACCCCAACGTCCCGTGTCGTTGTCGCATGCGAGAACTCCCCCTCATCCAGCACGTTGTCGGGGGATGAAGATGCCGTCGACCGGGTTGCTGTTATATTCGACGAAGAGGGCGTCTTCAACCGCAAGCTGTTCGTGGATGTTGCTTACCACTCTCCTCACATGAAATTATTGGCCAAGTCGTACCTCAAGAGGGTCAGCCACATCGAAGCTCCGGTGAACATGGAGGATTCCCAGGTCGAGTTCTATTCCTCACTCTACGGCCGCAAGGTCAGTCTCAATGAGCTCGGACCCCAATACTGGGTGGACAACCTTACCCAGGCTGTCCGCTTCTCCACGTCGTTGAAACAGCTGTGCACCGAGTTTAACCCTGATGTTCTGGTGGAAATCGGCCCCCACGCCGCTCTCAAAGGGCCGATCATGCAGACCATCAAGACCCTCGGTCCCGCTGCGATCAAGATCTCATACCTTCCCACCCTGATTCGTGGCGAAAATGCTACGCGGACGTGCTTGGACACGGCCGGCCAGCTGTTCGTGCGCGGGTACCCTCTCGATTTCTTTGAGATCAACCACCGCCGAGAGGAAGATGAGAAGCCAGAGGTGATCCCTTCGCTGTACACCTATCCGTGGTCGAAGCAGAAGTATTGGGATGAGTCTCGCCTGAGCCAACAGCATCGTCTCAAGCCCTTTGAACGAAATGACTTGCTGGGAACAGTGGCGGACTGGTCCAGCGGTCTTGAGCCTACCTGGCGCAACATTATCCGTACCGAGGACTTGCCTTGGCTCAAAGAGTACCGGGTTCAATCGCGCATGGTGTTCCCCACGTCTGGGTTCTTGTCCATGGTCATTGAGGCTGCCGGCCAACTGGCATCCTTGAACGGACTGGAACCCCCACTCTTTGAAATCAAGAACTTTGCCGTGTCTGAGCATCTTTTCATCGAGGACGGCCAGGAATGCGAAGTCCTGTTGAATCTACGACCCCACAAGCTGTCTAGTGGCGCCCAACAGAGCTACCGTATCAGTATCACGTCGTACGAGGCCAGCAGGAGCTGGAAAAGGCATTGCACGGGGACGGTCCTGGCGATATCTCGACACCCTGAAGCTTCCCCCAGCGGCAGCCTTAGTGATGATGACCAATCCGTTCCTATGTCGCGCACTTCCTCTTCCTCCGGCTCCCAGCGCAGCTCGGCCCGGGGCATCCGGCGCCCAAGGATCAAGCCGAGTACCCAAGCGCAAGAGGAGAAGGGGCGAGATGAGGTTTACAAAATGTTCTCTGCGCGAAGCATCTCGTACCCCGCCTCATTCAAGGGCTGGTTCAACGGTTCTTTGACGAACGAGTACATGACAGCGCAATGTCAACTGCCGGACACCAAGTCTACGATGCCAATGGAGCATGAAACACCTTACAAGGTTCACCCCGTCGTCTTCGATAGCATGATCCAGGCGGCAACCATCGGCCGAGAAGCGCTACGGGGGGGTCATCTAACCACGTCAATCCCCAGTTTCATCCGCCATTTAACGGTGCAGTCGCAGTACAGCGAGCTCATGCGAAATAGGTGTGCATCGAGTGTGGTTATCGAGCCAAAAACATCGTCTGTGATGGTTGAGTTGTTTTCTAGCGTTGGAGAATCCCCCACCGACGTGACGGACGCTCTCATAACCCTCTCGGGGCTCAAGTTCAAGACCCTCGCAGCCGCACGGTCGACGCCCGTCGGGCCCCGCGAGTTATGCTACAAGGTGGATTGGATAGGGCTGCCAAAGGCGGTTCCGCAAAAGCTGGAAGACAAGTATGAGAAGGCCGCCGTCATGATTGTTCTCGGGCACCAGGACGATGCGAAGAACTCGCCTCTCGGTCAGCTATCTGCCAGGATCAGGAACGAGACAGGCGGCTCGGCGGGTATCTGCACAATTGACCAGGAGGTCGACTGGAAGGACTTCTTCGTCATCGTCTGGGAGGTGGAAAGGCCGCTACTGTGGCCCATTAACGAATCCCGTATTGAGCAGGTCAAGAATCTGCTGACCCAGTGCCGCGGTGTCATGTGGGTGACACAAGGGGCCAATTTCGATCCAACGACGCCCAATTCCAACCTGGCCCTCGGTATGATTCGTACCGCGCGTTCGGAGATGAACGCAATCGCATCCACCTTGGACCTGTCCTCAGAGTCCGGCTTGACGAACACGCAGAAGGCCCAGCTGATCCGAGACGCTTTCGTCGTTTCGGTTTTGTCTGGCAATGACGATGGAGAGATGGAGTTCGCTGAGGATTGTGGGAGGCTCATAGTCCCACGGATTCACCGCGACTTGTCGATGGACACAGAGGTACACCGCGCTCTTGGGTTGGCCGCTCCGTACCCCCAGCTTTTCCACCAACGGGGGCGCCACCTTCAAATCGCGCGAGATATCGACTCCACATGCCAGGACGAGCTGTACTTTGACGAGACTCCGAGTGGACGACTCGAGGACGATGAGGTTGAGATTCTGATCGCCGCGAGTGTTGTGTCACGAGACGATGTTACCTCTGGTGGCGGCGATGAATCGGGAGTTGTTTTCCGCAGCTGTGCTGGGACAGTGACGCGGGTGGGACGTGCAGTGGATAATATCCATAGTGGGGACAGAGTCTGTGGTCTAACTGCGGCCTCCTTCGGAACACACGCCCGAGCACGTTGTACGAGTGTCGCTATCATCCCAGACAACGTGCGTATCGAGATCGCGGCGTGTATTCCGGGGCCAACCCTGGCTGCCTACTACGCCCTGGCCAAGGTTGCCAATGTCCAGCCGGGTGAGCGCGTTTTGGTGCAGCTCTCAGGCCCGACCGGGCTTGCGGCGCTCCCCGTAGTACAGTATCTTGGGGGTACCATCTATGTCTTGGTCATGAACGACCAAGAAAAAGCAATGGCGGAGCGCGTCGGGGTACTGCCTGAGGAGATACTTGATGGGCGGAGCATTTATCTGCGGCAGGAGCTGGAGGAACTCACTCAAGGCCACGGCATGGACGTGGTCCTGGCGCTTTCTTCCCAGGATACGACAGTTGCTTGGGGATGTGTTGCTGACTTTGGACGGTTCGTCCATATCAAGACTCCCGGGCTAGACAAGAGGACCCGGCCCGAGCTGGGTACTAACGCCACGTTCTCGTCGCTCAACATGCTCAGCATTGCGGCACATCGGCCCAGGGCGATGGGTGAGACGCTGAAGATGGTTGCCGAGAAGGTATCGAGCGGGGAGTTGCGACCCCCACCGGTCATCAGCGTGGTCCGCCCCCCAACCCTTAGCCAGGGCTTACGGGCAGTGCGTGATGGTGCCGTCGAACCGGTGGTAGCCTACGTTGACGAAGAAGGAGAAGACTACGTGAAGGTGAGTTATAATTAGAGACAGCCCTAGGAACTGAAAGAACGGGAAGAGCTGATAGAACGTCCGCCATTAGGTTACTCATGAGCTCCCAGGGCCAATTTTCAACCGTAGAGGGACCCACATGATCGTTGGTGGAACAGGAGGGCTTGGTCTTTCGATAGCCAGGTACATGTTGGAACACGGAGCTACCACTATCTTGTTGCTCTCGAGAAGTGGTCGTACCGACGAGAACCAGGGGCTGTTGGATCTGCAGCACAAGGCCTCGGAGCAGGATGGGGCGCGTGTCATCACTATGAAGTGCGATGTGACCGACGAAATGGAGTTCAAGAAGATCTTTGAGGAATGCCAAAAAACCTTACCCCACATTTGTGGCATCATCCACGCCGCGATGGTTCTCAGGGTAAGTAGTAGCACTGCCTATTCCTTGGGAGTTGCTTGCTTGGAGCGTTATCATCAGCTAATAGCGTGTAGGACGGGCTTATCGAAGACATGTCGCACGATGACTATCAGGAAGTCATCCGGCCCAAGGTTCGTGGCGCGACCAACATCCACAACGTGTTGATCCAGTCCAAGGCAAGTTTGGACTATTTCGTGGCCTTGTCCTCGGCAGCAGGCATCCTGGGGAGCCGCGGTCAAGCCGCCTACGCTGCGGCGAACACGTTTCTGGATTCGCTTATGCACCTCCGTGCGAGCAAAGGCTTCCCTGGAGTGTCCCTCGACTTGACAGCGGTCACGGGTGCTGGATACCTGACCGGGAATGCAGAACGGCAGAAAGATATTCTCCGAAATTTCGGCCACGAGACTGTCGATGAAAAGGAGGCCCTCGCATTGGTTGGAGTGGCAGTCTGCGGGATTGCGAACCCCCAATGTTTGACTGGAATGAAGTTGCATCTTGGAAAAGACGGCGAGTGGCCCTACTACGCCAGCGACGCCCGGTTCATTGACCTCAAGGCCGAGTGTCTTGCGGAGGCCGAACGGGAGGGCGTGGCTCCAAAGCAGGCGATCTCCACGGGGACCGCGTTCCGATCCGCCAAGTCCGATGAGGAGGCTATCGGCATCGCGGCACAGGGTATCGTGGAGAAATTGTCTGAGGTTCTAACCATCGCGGCTGAAGATCTCGACGTGGCGAGGAACATCACATCGTACGGGCTAGATTCTCTTACTGCGATCGAGTTGCGTAATTGGATTGCCAAAGAGCTTCGAGCCAACCTGCAGATTCTGGAGCTGTTGTCGAGCGGCACGATCAGTGACTTGGCAGCTCTGATTGTGCAGAAGACCCGAACGGCATAAAAGTTGAGGCCGATTGTATCGCCCATGCGTCATGAGTTTTAATCTTCTCTTTTTTCTTTCGACACGGGGCGACTCACTGTTTTGAAATGTTTTTATCGTGTTATCTCGCAACTTGGGCAAGGAAGCTATGGGGAATACGACATCTGGTTTAGACGAGAGATAAACAACCCGCATCGAGTTCACCATGACACAATTGAGCCACATGTGACAGTCACACAACGTGTGGGAGTAGATATTCCATGATGGCGAGGCCGGTAACACTTAAGGTTGCGCTGGTACTCCGTCAGGGTTGAGAATTCTGCAGGAGAAGGTTGCTTCGTTGCCAAAGGGAGAAAGTTACAGAGGTCCGGGAGCATGCTGAGGCGATGTGCCCGGAGAACGCCCCGCCAGCAGGGACCAATTGGTGGGACCCACCATCAAACCACTGCACAGTGAACAGGAGACAGCCCCGCCTCACGAGGTGCCCGTGGTCACTCCCCACCATGAGACGGGACAGGTCGGGTGGTAGCTGGTTGCACACCTACCCTCCGCGTTCAACAGCACAAATCAAACGGGCAAGCAGAAGCGGGCTTTATGGCACTTTGGTGATCATCGGACCCAAGCTGTTGCAAAGGTTCGTCAAAAATTCTGTTTCAGTGTCACAGCCCCGGCGGACCTAGCTGGCGATTGGCTCTGGGGGGGTTGCTTGCGTGTTGGGCGACGTCACCAGCCTCTGGTTGGGCCGGCCTTGGAGACAAGGAAAAGGGAGAAGAAGCCAACGGAATGCTACCGTTGGGGGTTTGATGGGGTTTGCCGCCACACATCTGATTTGATCTCGTGGATTTGTCGACCAACGGCAGTGAATCCATTCCAGAAAAAGGTTGCATGCAGCACGCGGTGATCATCCGGCATTTCCCTTCTCAAGTTCATCTCCCCGGAACCCCGACCGAACGCCCGAGAAGTCGGCATCGGGTACCTAGCGAGAGCCTCCAGAGCCACTCTCTCTGCCCAAAAACCATATTCGCTCGACTTGCTAAGCACGTACCGCTGTAGGCGGAACTTCTTCTGGACATCCCGGGATGGCGGAAACACCGCACCCTGAAGCAAGGTCGCTCTCAACGATCAACGATATCGCAGCCAACCCCCCTCAATACCCGCACCACCCGGGAGCCCGCGAGTCCTTAACATTATACATCTCCCGTGTACCCGGGACAACCGGTCGGTGCCTATTTGGTCAACCATGTCGCAATTCGTACCTAAGCTAATTCTTCTCAGATATTATCTTAACCACTTCGCGGCCGCAAAAGAAGAACGTCACCGGCGAAGATGTTAACAACTCACTGTACTATATACGCCTGGATCCCCCGGATGAAGGTCCCGTCGCCAGTCCGCCCTGGCGGGATGACGGTGCCGTCCCTCGATCTAGTAGCGACAGTATCAGGGGGGCGATTCCGAGAAAGCCGCTGCCCGCACAGTTAATCCCTGAGCCCGAAACAACCGACCGTTTTATGGCCGGCAACACCGCACATCCATTACCGCCTTCCCCGGCCGCTTGCTCGCCTGTGGATGTTGTAACCCATCTTCCGGCCCCTCCAACATTACAGCATCCCATAACAGACACCCAAGTCCAAGGCTACCGAGAAAACCCAATGTTTCGAAAGGGAAGATCAGACGCTTTCCAAGAAACACCGGGACAGCTTCCTGGACCCGTTCCAACCGCTGCCCCGATACACAGAAAACCGTTGGGCGCTACGCCGTCAACCGCAGCGGTAATACCACCGTCAGCGGCACCCTATTCGCATGATGCAGGCAACATATCCGGGGCCAATGCTGCACAACCTCGCCCAGCGACGCCTACAAAGGCGGATGCATCCAACGCGAGGGTGGCTTCGCCAGGCTACTCTTCGCGGCAGCAGGGTATAGTTGCATCACCTGGGAAGGTGGGAGGTCGGCCTTCTTCGGTGTTGTTCTCACTCACCATAATCCGAAGAGATCCAACGTCGGGTTCCCAATGCAATGTCGGCCGTATCACGTCATTCCAGACCAATGTCCCGACCCCGGAACACGCTGAACCGTCGCTTGACCCCAACAACATGGGGAACCTCCTCGCACAAGCGCAGAAGATCAATGTTCGGCTTGACACATCCGGCTACGCAAAATACCGCGACATGCCCAGCAAAGCAGACATAGAGGCGGCCAAGCCGCCCCCGGCAGGGTATTCGTTTGCACAACAGATAATGAAGGCCGGCCATGTAGAACTTGGGGAAGCATCCGTGAAAACCCCGCCTCTGAATCCGTCTCGGCAAGTTGCAGGAGTTGGCTTCACGCGCGACGTTGTTATGACCTACGGCGCGAGCTTTTCGTCAAACTTCAAGAAGGCGTTCCAACGAAAAGATCCGCCAGTATCTGGGGGCCTCGCCGCAGAGGCAGGACTTGGGCCGCCCGAAATTCTCACTTCGCCCACACCTCAGCACGCACGCCATGGTAGCGCTTCGACGATCGGATCGGTCGACTCGGTCGACGGCAAACAAAGGGCGCTGTTGACCGCCACCGCCGCTCCGGGTATGAGGCCGAAGGGTTATGCGTTTTTGAGCCCGTGGGATGGGAGATGCGAATTTCGGACGAGCGCCGACGGGCGAAGCCTCAAGTGCCGACACATACTAGACAATGCGAACACCAAAATCGACCCCAGCGAACTTGCGAATAGCATCCGTGATGCTCATGCGATGGGCCGTTCGCGCGGCGACGAGTTGACCTCTGCTTTGGTAGGCGCAAAGCCGGTCAGTGAATTACGATTTAGCTTGCCCCATGGAAACTCCCACCGGAAGAATCTGTCTGGCCAGTTCGGGAAATTGCTGCAACCAAGGCGGTTAGGCAGCGACGACGATTATGGCGACGACGAAGGCTACAGTCCCGGGGATGCTCCCGGTCCGATGGATCTGAGTTTGGGAAGGGAGCACGCGGGTGGGGGCGCAAGGGGCAAGCGGGCTAAGCTGGGGAAATTGATAATTCACGATGAGGGACTGAAGATGCTGGATTTGGTGGTGGCAGCGAATGTTGGGGTTTGGTGGAACAGTTGGGGCCGGATGATGCAAAGCGAGGATTTGTAGTTAAACAAACGGAACCCATGCTTGCCATGTCAATTGTTTGGCACTTTGGCACTCTTGGCACTGTAGTGGCCGATCACGTGATTTACATGTCCCACTCGATGGCCCTCCCCAATCAGGACCCATGAAATGTAATCGAGTTCACCAAATCCCAGGCCGGGTGCGAGCTTCAAGCTTCAAGACTACGTCAAGAGTCGCCGCCGGGCTAACTTCCAGAGTCGCCTTCTCCTCCTCGACTCCCTTTTCGCCGACGTAAACGCGATTGACCCGACCGAATTGGCGCGCCCGGTAACGCCGTCACATACCCCGACGCTCCGCAACTTGGGAATTTGCGCGAAAACCTCAAGATCAATCAACCCCTTGCGCCATTACAAGCTCCCCCCCGACATTGAGGAGACGAAGGAGCGACCCCGTCGGCACGATGATTGCGCCTTCAACCGTGTCGTTGGCCGCGCGCCAGCTTTCTTTGGCTCGCGGACCTGTCGCCATCTTTCGCACCATCCCTTCCCAGGTGCTCGTGGCGAGGAGGGGTTATGCAACACCATCGGGTCCGCCCCCCAAGAACTTCCGCCTTAAGCCGCCCGTTGCGTGGGATCAGGAAAAGGAGAGCACATTCAACCGAGTCGGTAAATATTTCCTTTTGACGGAGATGTTCCGAGGCATGTACGTGCTGCTAGAGCAGTTCTTCCGGCCGCCGTAAGTATTTTAAGTCCTGCCCTGGTCGCTGGTACTTGCGCTAACGTGGTATTTCCCAGGTACACGATCTACTACCCCTTCGAAAAGGTGCGTTAACGAGCCGAACCCGCCGGCAACTATGGTGTTTCCTTGAGAGTGCTGGGATAGCGGACACCCTTGACAACATGGGGATTGACTTGCATGGTCTTGAGATTGCTTTTGCTCGGTTGTAACTGACGGCATAACAGGGCCCCATTTCCCCTCGGTTTAGAGGTGAGCACGCCTTGCGGCGGTATCCTTCTGGCGAGGAAAGGTGCATCGCTTGCAAGCTTTGCGAGGCCATTTGCCCTGCGCAGGCCATCACTATCGAAGCCGAGGAGCGTGCAGATGGCTCCAGGAGGACGACTCGCTACGATATCGATATGACGAAGTGCATCTATTGTGGTTTCTGCCAAGAATCATGTCCCGTAGATGCTATTGTTGAGTCCCCCAACGCAGAATATGCGACGGAGACCCGGGAAGAACTCCTCTACAACAAGGGTATAGTCCAGTCATCACAACTTGAAGCTTTCTACTCCTTACTAACCCTCCTGCCAGAGAAACTCTTGTCCAACGGCGACAAGTGGGAGCCTGAACTGGCGGCAGCAATTAGGGCCGACGCTCCGTACAGATAAGAGGTAACCTTGCATCATGTTGCGCGTCCTCATTGGGTCGCCGTGGAAAAAGTGGTTGTAGACGAAACTTGTACATATTGTTGCCTGCAAACCGAACACTAATTTGTTCCTTGCTACCATCCTTTTGCCACCAACTCGTTGTTTCAAGTTCCCCCAGATATTCCACGCACTCTACATGACGGTTATGCCAGACAAGCTTGGCCTTGAACCGCAACTTCAACTTGGAGCAGGAGTGGAGTACCGAGCATGAACCTGTAACCCCACCTGGAACGCCCCGCTCTCTGCCTTATCACGTGGTCATGCACGAGCCACCAAAGCTTGCGTCCTTGTCCCGCCGAAGCTTCCCAATGCGTATCGAGAAATTTATCATCGAAGCAGCAGCGTTCACACCAACCCCGCCCACGACCTCACACCAAGTCGGACCAATTACGAATTCCACAGCGATTGTGTTTTCGATATTCCGACTGAACCGACAGGATGCTCCGGACCGCTATTCTCCGCTCCGCCGCCGCGGCAACACGGGTCGCCGTTCGCCCGGTTCCCCAAATCGCGAGCAGGGTGACCATCGCCCCGGTTATGCGAACCACATCATTTGCGCCCAAGGCGGTCGCCTGGCAAGGAATCCGGTGCTACGCCGCCGGCGGCTCCCTCGACAAGGAGGAGGTCTACGAGCGTATCAGGCAATTGTTGGCCGCATTTGACAAGGTACGTGAGGTTGTGGCGCTGCTGGACCTGTGGAATTTTGGATGTGGACCGGGGTTTCTACGCATTGTCTATTCTGACTTGCGCCCTGGTTATTCCGGTCTCCTTCTCAACATGACCCATCGAGTTGTGCAGATATGTGACAGAGCTAACCTTTCTCGCCTTAGGTCAACGATCCCAAGAACGTGAGCCGCAACCCACCCCCCAACACCCCTACACTCTAGATCGTGGTCTTCTCACGCCATTTCTTCCTGATTAGATTAAAGAAACCGCTCACTTTTCCAATGACCTGGGGCTGGATAGCTTAGATACGGTGGAGGTTGTTATGGCCATCGAGGAGGTGCGATTCCCCCTTCTACCTTTACCGCTAGCGGTGTGCAACTTGGGACCTGGCTGACAACAATTGCTGGTACAGGAGTTTAGCATCGAAATTCCTGACAAGGACGCCGACAACATTCACAGCAGTTAGTACTTGCCGCATTTCCACGTATTGCATTCTTAGTTGCTAATCAGTGTGCACCCAAACAGTTGACAAAGCTGTCGAGTACATCCTCAGCCAGCCAGACGCATACTAGATTTCTTTGCATTCTTCCTGTACCATATAAACACCATGCCCATATGCAACATACAACCCCCCTTTAGTCTGCGAGAAGATATTTAAGCCGGAGGTGGCTGTATTTCGTCTCTTGGGTTCCACACTTCGCTCGCCCTCCAAGGCTATGAAAAACGTACACTCTACCCCACCAATAACGGGCAGCCGCGCCGGTTACACCCCATTCTCTGGTGGGTTTTAGGGGGGGCTCGGAACTAAGTGTGCCTTCCTCATCGTACTTAACGGATCGGATTCAGGTCCAACCCCAAAGTCCGAACCGAATGTAGCGACAATCCGTAAAGTGTGGATGTTCGCTGCCACTGGGCGGCCAAACCTTCTTGTCGGAACAGTGACCGTCTTACCTCGGCTGTACAGCCCGATGAAATTGACCGGTCGGCTCTCCTCAAAACCGGCCGAGTGCCAGACACTTCATATTATCTACCGAATTCTATGACCCAGAAGTTGCAAGAAGAGATCCGGACCGTGCGATAGAGTCTGTTACACCGGACGGAGTATTAGCCCTGTGCTTTCACGGCACTCGTTCTATAAGCGACGTCAGAGAAACACATTAGGCATATCCACAGCACAGTCCGATCCGTACAAGAATCATGTTAGCAGACCTGAAACGCCCCCACATTGTCTATAAGGTACAAAATTATCCCAACAACCCTGCCACTCGAAGAGACAGACCACACAATCCAGCATCGCTGACAAACCGAGATTTAACGCCTTTTGTGAACTTGAACGCCAAAGCAGATATGTTCAGGACCGTGCTCGCCTTATCGCTGTGCTTCTAAACGTTTAGGACTTGCTCGTGCGCTCCGTCTGGCTCGTACCCATTATCAGCCTTCTCCAACCCCCGCACTTCTTGTGTACATGTCGACCGCCCCATGTTCCTCATTGGGCAATACTTCAACGTCCAGCGGCAGTTTCGGCGGTATTGCTGACAGCACTCTTGCCGCCGTTTGAGGTTGTGGCACCGACTCTATTTGTCGCGGCCACATTCGCGTAGCTCCAAGTGGTACTCAGAGGACTAGTTGCACCGGGATTCCCGCCCGAAATACGTTTCCGGACCCGAGATTGCGCTTCTTCTTCTTCCTCCATCCTGAAAACGAATGCAGAATCTTCTTCGTCAATCGGGGTAGTGAAACGGCCGGTAACCGTGGGACCAATGGAGCCGCTGCTAATGTGCCTGTCCAAGGCCCGTTCACGTTCCCGTTCCTTGCCAATTATCCCAGATCCGCTTGGCTTGTGGCTTCGTACGGCCGCCGGGAGAGGATGTGGGGCAGCTCCCCCGGGGCCGCTCTCGGCCAAACGGGTTTCCCGGAGCTGACGGGTGAGGGCAGAAACCGATTCGCTCCCCGCATCCGCTGAAAACCCTTCCGAGTGTTCCGGCGTGAAAGCGGACGCAAGGCTGGAATTCCGCAGCGGGCTGCCCACATGCCCGAACGCTGATACATGTTTCATCGAGCGAGTAGAAACCCCATCTAATTCATCTTCTTTCTGGCGTTGGAAGAGGGGACCCCATCGGCTTGGACTGGCACCGAGCGGGCTACCAAACTTCGTCGACCCTATTGGGAGGGATTCGGCTCCCGATTCCGCCGTATCCGTCATTCGCACCGTACTGGTCGACCCCCTTCTCGCTTTTTCCGCTGGCGTCAGGACCTCGTTCGCCAGAGCCCCCGGTACGTAGTCTTCCTCAAACATAAACTCTGGTTCCCAGTCCCGGTCAATTTTCGGGACGCTGCTGCTGATTAGGCGCGGTTTCGCGTACCGCATTGCGCTACTGTGCATGAGCCGTTTCCCGAAATACTCCTCGCCTCCCAACACGGAGCCCAGATTCGCAGAACCGACAGGGGGGCTACTGCCGAATCCAGCGGCGTCACCTATGCCAACCCCAGAAGGGGATAAATGTTCGTTATTTCCAAACGCGGATGTATGCAAGAGCTTCAGGGTCTCTGATGTGCGGGCGTCTCGCGCGGAATGGAGTGATGGAGATGGGGATTCGAGGCCAAATTTGGAAGGCACCGATGCGGGCCAAGGTCCGTACCGTGCAGCCATCGAAATGCCGTTGCTGTCAAATGATGCAGGCAGAGGAGCGTCCATCACTGAAAGACCTTTGGCGTTGGCTGGGGAGAGACCCAGCCCGAGCCGGTTTGTATCCTCATCGCGTGGCGACCCATACACAGAAGCCGGGTTCGAGCTGTAAGTGGTGTCGATCGTCGGCAAACCACCTTCCATTATCTGGTGTCCATACGCCTCATCCGGACCACCAAATTGACTTGAGGTTGTGTAGGGCGGTAGTTGGTCCGCCCGCAGAAACGAGTTTGTCAGCGCGCTGTTCGATGGTTGGTGATACGTTGTCGGGCTGACGCGGGTCCCGAGCGCCACGCCCGGCGGCGCTCCGATCGTCACACCGTTTTTCCCGTAGTTGATGCGGCGGCCGTCGGGTAGCACGTGGATATTGGCGCATTTCGGACCAAACTTGCAATTTCCCTGTGGCGCAGAGTATGAAGAGTCAGTAGGATAAGCGATGAAGGGCTCGGCCAAGGTCGGCAACGCTTGATGTCACGACAAGGCTAAGCTGGGGTAAATTCCGGGCACAAACCTTCGCAAAATACTTGCAAACTGTCTCCGACGCTGTGCTCAAGTCATGGCTGAATGGACACGCATTTCCCGCCTGGCAAGCTCCTTGACGAAAGAATTTGCAAGGGACATGAGCAGTGTCTAGTAGAAGAGAGAAGCACCCATGTTAGCACAGAAATGTTCTCGCCTACCTCTTCGCCAGGCTAGCACTCCATTAACGCATGGTTCCACGCGAGGCTGAGGAGGTTGAAGACCTTCCGAGGTCCGAGTCGAGCGACTTACTCGGTGGGCTTCGTGGCCCGTCGAACCGTGCGGCGGGCATCGCGCCCATAGCAGCGGCTGGGTGGCCGGCTTGTTGTGGAATATTAAGGCTACCGCTGCGTACATGGCGATGCTCGTTTGGGTGAGAGGTTGCCATCGTTGCGATTCCACTCGGAAAGGGCGGAGCGTGTGAGAAGTTGTTGCTTGTTCCGCAGACGAAGGATGGTTTTGGACCAGTCGCTGAGGAGGGGCGGGCCGATGCGCAAGGCTGATTGATGAGGGGCAGCGGGGTCACTGAAGTGCGCGCTCCGGGTACCCCTAATTATCGGGGGTTTTGGATGGTTTTGATGCATAACAGGTCCCTACAAGCCAGGACCCAACGGAGGTCGGGATTACACCTAGGGTGGAAACTGGCCCGGCTTCCAGATCGACCATCCATCTCACCCTGCGTCTTGTTTTCGCGTCATCCATACCCGTTGATAAAGCCATCAGACCGAGCGAGGCGGTTATCAACGCCGAGTCGGGTGACAATCGGAACGCCGGGTCCCGTGCAGAACCCTGAGTAATGTGGAATCGGAGGAAAGGATGGAGGTTGCAAAGGGTGGGATGCATGAATAACGCCCACTACATGTACAGGGCTGATCCAATGAGCAGCGCAAGAGACGTGAAACCGCAAGCGGCGAACGGCACACCGTCCTGGCCAAATGATCCATGTCAGCATTCACGCTAATTAAGGTATAGTTAGTTATCTGGGTTGCTCCAGCTTACGTGAACGTTGGAATCGACGGCCTCTTGGTCGCCACAACGTGGGCAAGATTTACACTCCTTGCGCGAGTTACACCCAAATGTCACTCGTGATCGTCTGACGAGCTGCTCATTCTCATCCATCCGAGGTGGTGGGTGCCTGGGGAAACAGGGTTCCCCACTGGGTGGCCTGTGACTTTCAGCCGGCGGGCTGTGTGGCGGGAGAGACACATCCTCCTGCAGGAAGGTGGGGGGCCTCCACGGGTAATTGAATACAGCCCCGATAATAACATCACCACGGCAGGCCTCGGTTCGCTGCTGCCCTGCAGCGTGTGACCACACTTCCTGGCTGGAAAGCAGTGTACATACAGTACCGAGGCTCATCAGATCATATACCCAATTAACCCCTGGCCAAGCGTGGGGAAAGCACAGGAGTTTAGGTTTTGCAACCCCAGCCGGGCCGGACACGCCACTTGGCGTCCGAAGGTGGTTGCCCCCGATGTCAGATGAGGAGCGGAGTTTGACACACGCGTGACGGCGCAAAACAAATTACTGCCTCCGATGTACCAAATCCAAAATTGTCCCATTGTCAGGAAATGTACCGAGGTCCAAGCACTTCCTGCCTGGATGATAATTGTACAATGAAGCCAGGTGATGCCAAGGTTTCGTGTCAACTTGTACCATGCCCAACCTTCACTCAATTACCGAACTACCGGTTCTGATAAATACCTCGATGTAACTTCGCGGTTGCTGAAAATAATGGTGCTTAAGACTATGAGATTGTGGTATGTAATGTCAATGGCGTTGTCAAAGTTCATTGTCTGTCGATAACTATCCAATTAATTGTTATAATCATGTCAATAATTAGCCATTAACTACTGCAATTCGTATTAAATCTTCAGGTTATATCGTCAAAAGTCGCTACTCAAGATTGAACTGTTCTGTTAACTATGAACATGTCAACAATAAAAGTGTCGTCTGCTGTTAGCTAAAGTTTCTTAAATTGACTTACATCAACTTACAAACATGATGTTCAACTATGATGTTAGGTAGCTGGACGGTGCCATGATTCTATTTACCCTGCGAGGGACGATTTTCATGAACAGGTCGTCCGGATTTACGGGACAAGAAACCGCCCTAAACCGAGGATCGATCATCGGTGTACTCCTTGTTGATCTAGATGTCAGATGCCGCCCTTTTGTGCCACACGGGCGAGCGCAAGGGTACCAACTTGTAGTCTTGTACTATTTCCATCTGCTTTGCCATACTAGCCAGATAATAACCGGAGCGTTGCGATGAGTGAGTACCCTAGCCCACAGACATCAGTGAACCCTGTAATTAACACCTAGAACGTTGTATACAACGAGACACCGTCCGGTTATGAGGCAAAGGTGATGACGCCTTGGCATATGCGTGACCCTTAATAGAAAGAATGTCTGGAATGAATGTTGATGATGGCTGAAGACAAACGCCTAGGGGTTAAGTTTAGGTAGCGTCCTACGAAGGATGGGAAAAAGGACACATAATTAGTTGAAAAAATGTGGCTGTAAGTTTACTGGAGAATACAATGAATGGATTTTAGACCCCACGATCTAAAGGCTTCGTTTGTCGTTGGCAATGCTGGACCAAGTCCGTTTTGATTCACCCCGTGTCTATGATGCGCCGATGGTAATGTTCCAAGCTAGAAATGCCCCAACCATTGTTCCAACCAACGTCGCGGCCATCCGCTCATGCCAGACCATGCAAAAATATATCCCAAGCGCCTTCGCCGCTACGCCGCCCAGAATGCCCATCCATGCGACAAAAAAACCTGTTTCAAACCACGCTTTTCTCAGACTCTCTTTGCGCGCCCGCTCTCCACTGGCTCGCATGGTCGTTCCCCATCCATCCGCACCCATCGTCAACATGCTCCAAAGGTGCACTGCAGGGAGGGGAACATAATAAAACAGGATGCTTGGGGCAACCCATAAAAGTCCCTTTCCTGTGAGACGATCTGGATTTCTCAAGAAGTTGTACACAAACCCGACGAGCACCCGAAAGAGAAGATCGCTGGCGGAGAAGACGATGAGCTGTTGAGAAGTGAAGAAGTACCATATGATGGCGATGGCACCAATGGCAGGACCGAATTCGCGCTTCGCCATTCCGTAAAAGAGAAGCGGGTGGCTGGTGGCGTAGACACGGGGATGGAGCAGCGATTCAATATGTGTCGCTCTCGCCCACCGAACTTGCTGCTTGAGCCATCTTGCCATTGTGGTTGGCGTGTCTGTCGCGGTGAGAACGTCGGACGCGAAAATAACCTTCCAGCCTCGGAGGAGCAGATTCGTCGTGAGGTGGCGATCCTCGTTCACGATCATGCGTTTGCCTAGAGCTTTTTGCAAGTACCACGGGACCAAGATTTCCGGAAGAGCAGCTAAACGGAACGCGGTGCTGGGGCCACTTTGGCAATCGCTTGTTCCGGTGCAGGCCGGAGTTGATCGGGTGAGATACAGTTCACCCCAGTACACAGCAGATGCGAGTTTCGTGATGGTGGTCTCTTGCGAGTTATGAATCACAAGTCCGGAGCTTGCCCCCCCGGCATTAGGATCGTGGGCGATGGTATTGATGGTGCGCTCCAGCGAGTCGGGAAAGACGATGGTGTCCGAATCGGACGACCAGAGGAACTCCACGCCCAATATGTCCGCAATGACGAGAGAGAAGATGTATGCGGTAAACATGATCCCTTTCTTGTGCATGTGCCGTTGCTTGAGACACAGGTGGCGGACTCCGCCTGGTGCCCCGATCCCGAGATTGTGTTGGACTAAGATGCTTTTGGCCAACTCAACGCAATACTGCATCGCGATGGCGTCGGCTTCCGCACCGTCCAGGGGCTCATCTTGGCGGCGCATTTGAGCCAGAGCCTGCGATCGAACTCTCTCAGCAATCGGCCCAAAGGGTTCAGGGATTTGGATCACCGCCGAACGCTCAGGGTAAGTCTACACCGGAAGTATCGTGTTAGGGTTTGAGATGGAAACTGAGGTGGGAATGTGTGATTTCGTGCCTTCTTGAAAACTTTGACCATGTCCTGGTCCTCTTCTTCATCTCCATCAATTCCTGCCAGCAAAAATACGCACGCCTTGGAGGTCTTGTAACTCTCAAGGGCCCGGGCATACAACGCTGGGTCTTCGCGCCATCCGACAACTGCCGCCAGACATTTCAGCTTGGCCGAGGTCGGTCGTTTCTCGATGTCAGGGATGTGGTGTTCCTTCTCCGTGCTCCCTTCGAAGTCGTGCTCAGAGAAGCCGAGGTATCGGCCGTGGAAGGCTGACCGACGCCCCTCGATCACATAGCGGTTGAATTCTGTTAGGGCGATCGTGATGACGATATCTAGAGTAACCGGGTACCGGCTGTGCGCGGTCGTTAGATAGTAGAGCGGGATCGCCAGAGCACAGCCGATCACGTTGATGATCTGGCGAGAGATCGGAACACAGCGGCCCCTGAACCCGGCATAGCCCCGGTGATCGGCGTCCCGACCGAACGGTTTGTCGTCAAGGAACATCACCCGGATTGGCGTGTTTTTGTGTAACGGCGAGGAGAACCAGGAAAACACGGCCAGGCACGCTGCGAATCTCACGATGGTTTGGAATCATTCTATTTGTGCTCCGAGGGGGGGTCCGTTCTCCCCACGCGATGCCTGGTACCCCCATTTTCGCGGGCCGTATAGAGCAGAGCTCGTGTGAAATAAAGCTAGGCATCTCCGCCACAATCCATGCATCTGAGAAAAGTGTTTTGAGCCGCGACAACGGTTTGATTCTTGATTGGGCAGTGATCTGCACAGCCCCTGAGCGGGAAGCATCGGAAATTTCGCTGAAAAGAATTTCGTCAGACGGCCTCATCGTATTTCACTCGGCATCTCCGTTTAAACCCACAGGCCTAGGCGCGAACACCGCGATTGATTGGGTCCTTGTCAACACGCTGGGTGGTGCATGGATCGTGTGCAAAATGAAGAGGATCTAGGCCTTGGCGCGCTAGGTGAGCAAGGCGAGTCAATGGAACGACGACCGAGCCGGGAACCCGAAAAAAAACCCTGGCCGCCGAAGAGGGCGGCCGAAGGCAGCGGGCGAGATCTTGTGGGCGAAAGGGGCTGAATGGGACCGGACAGGCTAGCCCCTGCATTCGGGACCGAAGGTAGAAGAAGAAGGAGCGGAAGCTCGCTTTTGACGATCGAGGATGAACAACTTGCAGTTTGTTTTTGCAGTTTGTTTTCCGTTTGCCCCCCCCCCCCTCAAAGTTCACCAAAACTCAAATTCAGAGGCGGTTGAGCTTCCAATTTGCTTTTTGGGCGGCCTTGCCATCATGGTTGTCACCTACAAAAACAATCGGCTTGTGCCAGCAATTATTATCACCATTTGTTTTTGGGTGATATACTATCTCATTGATCCCGATGTTAACAATCTGGGGGATTCGGTAGCCGGATGGGAGTTTAGCCAGGACCCAGAACGGACAACAGCACCACCACCACTCCGGATTCCGACAGATCCAGCGGCCGATCTGATTCCAGCGGGACAAGATTCGCCGTTTCCCGTGGCTTCCGGCGGAAACACTCAGGGCGTCCGATTTGAGACGTATGGGAATCTCTCAGCAACTGACGTCTTGCTCATCGTGAAGACGGGTAGCACATCGATGTGGAAGCGTTTGCTTGTGCATTTGACAACAACACTCTCCCCAGACCGCATCCCGTCTCAAAACACGGTCGTTTACTCGGATTCGCCAGAGAGTATCGGCAACGTACACATCATCGACGCGTTGGCAAATATTACCGACGTCACGAAGGCGCTGCCTGATTTTGATATTTACCGCCACAACCCGGAGTATGCCGCCCACAATGTTTACGTGGAAGCGGCGGGCGTGGATGGCGACAACTACGGTCCACCGGGGGGTTGGATCGTTGACAAGTACAAGTTTATCCCCTTGCTGCAACATGCCGGGAACAACTGGCCCCAAGCCAAGTGGTACATCTACATGGAGGACGATGCCTACCTGTTTCTTCCTAGCGTCCTGCGCTACTTATCTGCATTTGCGTGGCAGAAGCCGCATTACCTCGGGAGTTATGCCGCCAAGTCGGACATTGTGTTTGCGCATGGCGGCGCTGGCTTTGCCCTTTCCCGAGGCGCGTGGGAGAAGAGCTTTGGAGAGAACCCGTCGTTGTCTGAAGACTACGAAGCGTACACGGCCGCCCACTGCTGCGGCGACCAGGTGCTCGGCCATGCGCTGAACAAGAACGGTGTGCGTTTTGGGGAAAACGACGGTGACGAGAAGTTTACCTGGGGCTTCAACCCTGTGGTACATTGGAGGTTCGGTTTTAGCAGGTGGAATTGGTGCAGCCCGCTCATGTCCTGGCACAAGGTCCATAATCGGGATGTAGCCCGGTACTTTGACTTTGAGAAGTCTTGGGATTTTACGGTAAGCCATTGCCTCTCACTCCATTGTTTTCATCCGTTTGATGCTAAGCAGCAGATAGAAACCCCTCCTTCATCGTGACTTCTTTTTGGCGATGGTGGCCCCAAACCTGCAAGAGCGGGCCGAGTGGTGGGACAATCAGTCAGGCTTGTTTTCGGTCACGTCGGCGAATCAAGCCGCTCCTCCTACACCGCAAGAGGAGAATTATGACGTCTCGTTGTGGAAAGCCGCGTGGGTGTCAGAAGATGCTTGCGAAGCGGCCTGCCGGTCCTGGACGGCTTGTGTCCAATGGAGCTACGTGGAGGACTTGTGCAACATGGACGACAAGCTGATGATGGGGCAGGGATATGCCCCCGCAATGTCGGAAAGGAAAACAGCACTGAGGAGAACAAGCGGCTGGTTGAAGCAGAGGTTGGACAGTTGGCATTGTGAATGAAATGACCTTGATGATTTTCTCGTTCTGTCTCCCATCTAGCATACTAAGTGTTAATTAATCACAGCGGAAACGTGACACGTTGACCCTGTGAGTGAATTCAGTCAGAAACGCCCACGTCTGGGGTATGCTTAACTTCCCGGGTCTCGTTCCGGCTAAGAAGCGAGCTAGGTACAACGAAATCACTATTAACTTCCGGATGCCTTGGCGCCGCTCAGTTAATTGTATGATTCAACATTGACTCCCAAGTTTCGGCTGGGCGACCCGCACCCTATTCAGCTGACTACCTATCTGAAGTTTATTTGCTGCCTATGCCAACCAGCTCAAAGAACTCCTTCCTTAGTATCTCATCGTTCGCGAAGGAACCTAAAACTGAGCTCGTGACGGTCATGGCCGTCGATTTCTCGACACCTCGCATGGCCATACAAAGGTGGGTAGATTCCATTACCACGGCCACCCCTCTGGGGCTCACCACATCCATCACGGCTTTGGCCACTTGCTTGGTCAGACGCTCTTGTATCTGAAGACGCCGACTGAACATCTCGGCAATCCGCGGCAGTTTCGAAAGCCCGATGACAACGCGATTTGGTACATATGCGATGTGCATCCTCCCCAGGAACGGCACCAGATGATGCTCACACATGCTGAAGATTTCAATGTCCTTAACAATCACCATCTCGTGATGATTCTCGTCAAAAACAGCATCATTGACGATATCTCCGATGACTTGCGTGTAACCTTTCGTGAAATGCATCAGGGCTTTTGCGTATCTCCGGGGTGTTTCGACAAGTCCGGCTCGGTCCGGGTTTTCGCCGACACATTCTAGTATGATGCGAACCGCCTCGCAGATTTTGTTGAACCGTTCTTCTTGATCATGGCCAGCTAAAAATAGTTTAGTGATAGGTGATTTAAAAAGCTGCGGGGGTCACGCGACCAAACTGCTTACAAGAGCTCGATGACTTTGCTGCTCCGGTATGTGGAACGGCGGCAACCGGGTTGACTGGCGACTCCATTATCGCGACTGTAAGAGTCCTGCTTAGAGAATGCTTTAGAATTGATTTCCCTTGCTTCTCGGATATGAGTGACATGAGCCCTTCGACTTACTGTTTGAATGGGCTGGCTGCGAGTTAGAGTGGGCGATGGCTGCCGCTGACCAAACTAAAGAGAAGCCGATGCTTGAGATTGAATCAAGACAAGAGCCAAGTCGGGATGAGTCCGTATTTGACGAGCTCGCACATTTCTGGTCGTGTTTAGCAGGTGAAGAACGTGACCATCCTCAAACAATATCGCGTTTGTACGGTTGGCCTCGGTACGTCTGTCTCTGCACGTTGTCGATGCCGGAATCCGTGGCTACCTAGTTTTAATTGAGCGTATTACCTCGTATTCCTTTGGAAATCTAGCAGCTACCCGGAGACGTGAAGCAAACATTTCACACACCTCACCGTGCGTAAATTTTGATAAAGTTACATTTTGTCCAAGGTCAAGATGCCAAACTCAACCACGACCACACCACCAGCACGACCACCAACACAATCAAGTCGTTGTTTCTTCGAACAACAGTGACCCTCAACTTCCATTCGCAATACCACAAGTCTCACTCTCACAAAATGTCTTGCACTCTTGATTTTCTCAAGGAGGCGTTGAAACAAGCAGCATCATCAGCGACAGCCTCTTTCCCGAAACAGCCGCTCGTCGACACTGAATATGAGGCTGGGTTCAAAATCTTGTCTCAAGGTCATGGATGGAAGATTTACCAGGAGTTCATCATACCGCAACTTTGCGAACTTCTGGGTCACCTTTTTGCTTCTCACCGCGAGATATCGGTTCTCGAGATTGGACCTGGGCCTGCAACAATTCTTGAGCAATTGCCAAAGGACTTGCGCCAGAATATTGCCCAATACACGGCTTTCGAACCCAACGGACTGTTTGCCTCAAACCTGGAGAACCGACTTAGGATCCCGGGCAATCAGCCGCCGGTATTTCCAAGCCTCAATAGGCCGGCCAACATCAACCGGATTCCTTATCGATCCGTTGACTGCGACGCCTGTGGCGAGGAGCAATTTGACGTCGTCATCTTTTGCCACAGCTTGTACGGCATCGCCGGTAAAGACAAGGCCGTCCAGCAGGCCGTGCAAATGCTTACCGCCAAACGAGAGTCTATGGTTCTTGTTTTCCACCGCGAAAGAATTTTCCTGAATGGTTTGGTCTGCCGCCAAACTGCGTCATTCCCCGAGGGAGCTGTTGATGTGAAGAACGAGGACGCTATTCTCGACTCTTTCGCGGCATTCATGGTGGGATTCAGCACCACGGAGGAGTGTGTTCGAGCGGAATGGCGCAGTATCTGTCGCCAGCTTGGACGTCGTTCCCCGACCGACCAAACATACCTTTTGTTTCGTGCACCCGAGGTGATGGTCGTCCTCTCTCCGTCGGCGCTATCTTTACCAGGACTTGCTATCGCGGGCGTCCCAACAATGAGTGGGGATAGAATCGTCAAAAACAGCATCGCACGTCACCACCGTCCAGCCGCTATTGCGAGACCGACCAGCCTCCATCAGGTCCAGGAATGTGTCCGCTGGGCTCTCAAAACCAACACTAGCTTGACGGTTATAGCGGGCGGACACAGCGGCCAATGCATTCTCCCAAACGTCGTCGCGTTGGACATGGGTGCTTTTAACCGCATTCACATTGTTCCTTCGGAACAGGGTGTGAGTGGCCTAAATCCGGACCCTTTGGTAGTGGCAGACGCAGGCTGCAATGCTGGGGACATCATCCGCGGGACCGTCGCGGTGGGATTAACGGTGCCCCTGGGTGCCAGGCCTAGTGTCGGCGCCGGACTTTGGCTCCAAGGAGGAATTGGACACCTCTCTAGGCTTCACGGGCTGGCTTGCGACGCCATTGTTGGCGCTGTAGTGATCAGGGCCGACTCTGCCGAAATTGTCACCGTCGGGATGGTTCCCGGGAAGCACCGACCCGTGGGATCGAAACATATGGTGGATACGGATCTGTTATGGGCGCTCAAGGGTGCCGGATCGAATTTTGGGGTTGTGGCTCGTGTTATCTTCAAAGCCTACCCAGCCCCAATGTACACGGTCCGACACTGGATATTTCCCCTTGTTGACATCCATGATGCCCGCCACCGGTTTGATGAATTCGACAAGGCGATTGCGAAGGCATTACCCAGAACATCAGCCTCAGATGCTTATCTGTACTGGCACGACGGAAACCTTCGTCTCGGCATAACAGTGTATCAGATGAGCTTCGACAACGCTGCACAGATGCCTCTTTCCCTGTCCATCTCGGCCACCCTGGGACCAGAGCTTAGTGTTTCCGTCGTGGATGGTGTAGGTGCATTTGAGAGTGAGATGTACATGTCTGCAATGCATGGGGGGCACGGAGGAGGGAGGACGTCCTCTTTCAAGCGCTGCTTGTTGCTCAACAACATCGCAAACCCCACGGTTGTCGGCATTTTGGCTGCGGGTTTGCAGGCCCGTCCTACACCCCTTTGTTATTTCCATCTGCTTCACGGCGGTGGGGCCGTTGGTGACGTGCTTGCTCATGAGAGCGCGTTTGGTCTTCGCGACTGGGAATTTGCTTGTGTCATCACCGGGGTTTGGCGCCGGGAGGAGGATGGATCCCACGTCGCCCGAGACGTCGTCGACTGGGTGTACCGCGTCGCCCGGGACTTATTGCCAGTGAGCTGTGGGGGGTACGCTGCGGACCTCGGACCAGACCCTCGGGATCAGGCTTTGGCTGCGAACGCGTTTGGGGCCAATGCAGCGCGTCTCGCCCATTTGAAGCGCGTGATGGATCCACGCGGCATATTTGGTTATGCGTGCCCGCTTCCAAGGGTATCACCGGTTCCTCAGCTGATTGTTCTTGTCACCGGCGACAGCGGGGTTGGGAAAGATTACTGTGCGCTCGTCTGGGATGGCATGTTCACTGAACATGGTATCCGGGCACGTACAGCAAGCATCAGTGAGACGTTAAAGCGCGAGTACGCAGTGGCTACTGGCGCTGACCTCCCAAGGCTCCTGCATGACCGCAAATACAAAGAGCACCATCGATCTGACCTGACCAGATTTTTCACGAACCAGGTCCGGGTCCGGCGTAGTCTGCCGGAAGATCATTTTCTGAGCTTAATCTTGAGCGCGGAGCACGTCGACGTCCTCTTCATAACCGGTATGCGGGACGACGTTCCCGTGGCTAGCCTTTCGCATTTGGCCTCGGAGAGCCGGATGATCGAGGTCTGCGTGACAACTAGTCTCGAGACGCGACAGGAGAGATTAGGCCGCACATTTGGGGAACTTCCGCGCTTGGTGGGGGGGACATCCAAGGGTGACGCCAGCGGCAGCTGGAACCCGGGCGTCTTGGGCCCCTCCGCTGATTTGACCTTTTCGAACGACGAGATGGGGGTGGACCAGGCGAAAGAGTTTGGAGTCACTCGTCTCCTGCCGTTCTTCCGCCCAGAGCTCGAGAAATTAGCGGGAATGGTGGGCCGCATTCCTGACTTCCCACGTCCGGGTGTTGACTTTCGCCACGTCTTGGGCATCGCACAACAGCCTGGCGGGCTCGATGCCTGCACATCCCTGCTGATGGACTTGTTTTTGAGAGATTCTCATCACATTGACACCATTGTGGGCTGCGAAGCCGGTGGGTTTATTTTCGCCTCTGCGTTGGCTTCGCGGTTGAGTCTCCCCATTGCCCTGATCCGCAATGCTGGTAAACTCCCCCCACCCACTATTTCTGTGGCAAAATCGGCGTCACATATCTCTGCTTCCGAAGGGCAATCGCTGGAGAGCCAAATCGAGATGGGACGAGATGTGATCCCATCTGGTGGATCCGTGGTCGTGGTGGACGATGTCCTCGCAACAGGACGGACGCTGAGCGCGGTCCTGCGTCTTCTCCGTGAAGGTGGCGTCGATCTTAGGCGCGTTCGCGTCATGGTGGTGGCAGAGTTTCCGCTCCATCGTGGTCGGCGACTGCTAGTCGAGCAGGGATTTGGACAAGTCAACATCCATGCCCTTTTGGTTCTTGGAGGTGTGTGACATGGGAAGGTGGGTGGGGAACTTGGATGCCGCTGTGCCGACCCAGGAGCATGACCGATTACAAGGGATGCGGGGATGTGGGAGGAAAGTGCGTGTTTGTGGCTTGTCTTCTTCAGCTATCTGTCAAGAATACGTCAATGGATCTGTGTTCCTGAACCTTATTTTCTGGAACAAGCGTGGGTTAACAGATTGTCCATAGTATGGAGCGGCCACGATCTCAGTGGTGATTCACTGTTGGTCTAATTAGCTATGTTGCGCGTGGTGAATGATGTGCTTCTCTGTGATCTGATCTTCGTGTTGCGAGATCTAATTATGAGTAGCTGCTTGCCCGGTTAGGAGACAAGCCCAAATGGAACTTTTTACAAACCGGGCTGGTTCTTTCTCCTGTAGCAGAACTGCATCATCCCATCTAAAGATGTCGGATCGTTGCCATCTTCGCGCGAGGTATGGGCCGGGTATGGCAAGTTGGCAACATCATCAACCCACATTTGGATGTCACCGTCGCATGGTTCGGTGCTAGTAGCACTTGTCAACCATCAACAAGAAGAAGCTGAATGTTGCCTCGTCGATCTTAATTCTATGATTTGCAGCAGCGCACGCGGACCAAGCCTTGCGCGGTCAAGCTGAAAAATCGCAAAGAAAATGAATGATGTCGTGATCTTGCCAAGTGATGAACGCTACACCAAATGGGTCAGCGCCAAGACAAATCTCCCCCCATATGCCGAACACCTCGCGCGGGACCCCACGATCACGACATCGCGCCCTTGGCCCGAGCCATCCCGATCTCCCGCCCATATTCCCAATAAAGTACAGTTGGGGTAGGAACGCGTCCGTCTGGACTGCTTTTGCGTGGGATGGTTCTGATGGGTCAATGGTCATCCCAAGCAATCGGTTCACAGTCGTCACAGAGAGCACGCAAATATTTTGGCGTGGTCGAATTTCGGCGATACCAGCACGTTTAGGAGACATTACGTACCGAAATCGGGATCGAGCAATGCTGCTGGTTGGTGGGGTGAGGTGCTTCTGCTTGTTGATGAGTTCAGTTCACGATCGCCTATAAATGCTGCCTATGCCCAGACTTTTTGAGACTCGCCTGGTGTTTCCTTTCAGCCCGTCGTCTCTCTCGTGACGACAGTCCTTGGTTGCGACATTCACTTCTGTGATTGTGCAGTGTCATTCCGTAGCATCACGGGTTCTCAACATGAAGTTCTCGCTTCAACTCTCGGCCTTGGCCCTCCTCAACACGGCCCTGGGCGCTACCCTCCACGGACGGACAGGCCCCCAGTTTGACAAAGGGCAGCCCGACAACGGCGCTGGAAAGGGCGGGCCTCTACTTGGTATGTTAAAGGCTGGCTTAAACTTTCATGTGGCGATGAGGAGAGCTTACTCTGTTCCAGGGGGTACCAACAAGCAGATCGATATCGACAACCAGGACAACCTTGGCCGTCAGTCCACTGACAATGGCATTGTCCCTAACCTGAAGTGGCGATTCTCGGACTCCAAGGTCAGACTGTTCTACGGCGGTTGGCTTCGCGAGCAGGTCATCCAGGATTTGCCCCAGAGCCACGACATCTCGGCCGCTCAGCAGCACCTCGACAAAGGTGGCATCCGCGAGCTTCACTGGCACCGTGTCGCCGAGTGGGGCTTCGTCTATGCTGGCTCCGTCCGCATCTCTGTCGTCGACGAGTTCGGCAGATACCAAGTTGAGACGCTCAACTATGGTGACATTTGGTACTTCCCCAAGGGTGTTGCCCACACTGTCCAGGGCCTGGAGGATGAGAACGAGTTCCTCCTCGTCTTTGACGACGCCGACTTCGACAAAATTGGGTGAGTACACTGAGGAATCCACTCCAGGAATGGAATGAAAGACGCTGACTAAAATAGCACCACCTTTAACGTTGACGATTGGGTTGCCCACACCCCCCGCGATGTCATCGCCAAGAACTTTGGCCTTGACCCTGCCATCTTCGACAAGGTCCCCAACCCGAACCCCAACATTCTCAATGGCACCGTCAGCACCAAGAACGTCACCGGCGGCCCCGCTGGTGAACTCATTGGTGATGCCTCATTTGTCTACCGCACGCTGCAGCACGACCCCGAGCCGGTTCCCGGCAACGGCGGCACGTTCTACAAGATTGACTCGACCAACTTCCCCGCCAGCAAGACCCTCGCCGCGACCTACGTCACTCTGAAGCCCGGTGGTCTGCGTGAGCTGCACTGGCACCCCAATGCGGAGGAGTGGCTATACTTCCACAAAGGAGAGGCTCGTGCCACCGTCTTCATCGGCAATGCTGCTTCGCGCACCTTTGACTTCAGCGCCGGTGATACTGCGGCCTTCCCTGATAACTCGGGGTGAGCTTTCCCTGTACCATTAACTTTGAAGGTCCTTGCTAATTATCAATAGCCATTACATCGAGAATACTTCTGAGACCGAGGATCTTGTCTGGATTGAGATTTACAAGTCTGACCGCGTCGCCGACATCTCGCTGACCCAGTGGCTTGCTCTTACCCCGGCTGATCTCGTTGCCCAGACTCTCAAGATCCCTATCGAGGTCGCTGAGCAGCTCCAGAAGGAGAAGCAGGTGCTACTTCCCTGAATGCCACAGGGTTTGAGGCAGCGCGTGGGCCGGTGATTGAGAAGAATGTCAAGTAATAGTAGTCATAATTTTGTAGTCTCTAATTCTCAATGGACATGCGCACTTCCGCGGCGCGCGTGGTTCTACATTCTGTTACAAACATCAGTGTTAAATTCATGACTGCTGTTTCTCTTCAAGTGTGGGCTACCGTTTTAACCCCTCCTACTTATTTTCATGATTGTAGAGCCTTCGAAGGCGGCGAACGCAAGTTTATTGCACTATCACTTTGATCTAACAAACACGCTTTATGAGCTCGGGCGATGTGCTGTAGCCGTAGTGCTGCTTCTCGGCCTCGAAATACTGCAACTGCTCCTGGATCTTTTTCTCCAAAAACGCCCGGCGTTCATTGGAGGCTTCAATGAATTCCCTAACACGCGGGACAACTTCTCTCTCGTGTTGTTGATCGCGCTGTTCCTCAGTGGAACGGCGAAGCTTGGGGACCAGCTTCCTGAAAATCGGGTCCCAATACACCAGATAGGCATGCTCGGGATAATTGAGTCCTATGGCAATGGCGCCATGACACCTTTAAGCCAAGTGTCAGCGCGAATAGTCAAAAGGCTAATTGTAATTTCCATTTGGAGAGGCATTGCGGAGAGGCATGGGGGTAGCACCTACCATCCCACCAAAGGTTCCCATTCGGTTGACAAGCTCGGTGGTAGGCGGGATGCCTCCTCGATTTCTTGGACAGCAGCACGTAAGTAGCCAACTTGCTTGTTATAGTTATCCTGGATGAGCAGAACAAAGTCTAGCTGAGAACCACTGAGCTAAATCGGGGGCACCATGAACTGTAGCGGAACGGCCCGACTCCATTCCCAGTCAACAATGCCAACAAGGTTGTAGTCCTGGTCAAACAGAAGGTTGCTTATGACATTCTCCATATCGCCGTGGACTAATGTCGGTCAGCCATTTCAAGTACAAAGATAATAGAGATAGTGGGTGTTTGGGTTGCGCTCAGACGTGCAAGGAGTTCAGGTGATAATATTTGATATAATTACCTAGAACGAACGGCCCTTGGTTCACTGACTGGTCCACCCACTCGTCCTGAACGAAACGTCGGAAATGGTGAGCGGCATACAAGATTGAAGCGGGCTCGTCTTCGTCCATGCCTTGGTCTGCCTCTTTATCAAGTTTATTCTGGGCGAGCCGGAGCAAGCCATCAACAAATTCGTTGGCCGTAGATACCGTCTTACTCGGTGGGAAGATGTTGCTGGCTTCTAGACCGTCAAGCTCCTGAAGGGCCATGTCTATCGAGAGGGGGCGGTGGCAGACGTTAATCTGTTCAGGCGCGCAGGTCAGGGCAGATGCGTCACGCGAAGGTAAGCCCAATGCACCGATATGGGGAAATTCAAGTTGTCGTAATTGGACGTAGACATCAGCTAACTGTTGATGGAGATGTTTTGCAGCTGGAGTTTGAGGCTCCGCAAAAATCAAAGAGCCCCATGTATCGCTTCCGGGTTTAAAGCCAAGGTCTTTGAGGTTGTGGCCGTCGACGAAGTCCATGATGATATATGGCAGACCGTTCGGCGACGTATCCGAAAATGCGTAAGCGTGCACTCTAGGGATGGGAATAGTGGTTTTGGCGATCAAGTAGCTGCTGGATATTCAGCGAAGGCGTCATGACATGTGTGATCCATCAAGATGGCGACGACGGAATATGGGGGAGGGGAATCAACCCGTACCACATTGTAGCCACCTCAATTTCGGTCTTCTCGTCCAGGATGCCCTTGGGGAGGCAGACGGGGATGGGCATCCGTACGACCCAACGTTGCCAGGGCGACTGGAACTCAACGAAGAAGCAGACATTAAAAGCCCCATGTTGCCGCGGCCGGAAAATGGTGCATGGGTCATTATGGCGGAAAGTTGAGGCGAGGTCACAGATCTCGGTGTCGCTGAGAGAAGCGACCCATTGTGCTCGCGCCGCCTGAATCTCATCGGTCTTGATTTGACTCCGCATTCTGAATGGAGGTTTCAAAGATACTTGGGACAGATGATGGGATTAAGGCATGCTGTTTGGGTTTCTCCGTGCGGTTATCGGTATAGCAGTAATGCGCAACTCAAAGAATTCGCTCGCTGCACCTGGGTTGTTGGGGCGCCGTTAGGCTGTTGGCCGTTGGCTGTTTGGAGTTGGCCTCGGGCGGTCTCACTCTCAGTTGCATGTGTTGTGAGGGATTGTGGATACAGAGGACGGAATCTAACTGTTGTGTTGCCTATTGGCGGTGGTGGTGATTAAAGTGGGCCCAGTGTATGTTTGGCTCAACAAGAGGTAGTTACATCATAAAACAGCAATGAACTGGAACAGCAAAGCCCAGGCTACGCGCCCATTGGCCCCCCCCATCATGGGACACACCCGCACGGAGACACCAACATCAGGTTCAAGAACTGCGCTGATGCTCGTTGGTTCGTCATCGCCGCAACAGTGCATGTTTGTTCTTAGGCCGCATATAATGTCACCAAATGGGCTGAAACGAGTCGGAACAGTGTATTCTGGTAGGCCTGAAACTGAGAAGGATGTTGGGGGCTACAAAAGCCTCTTTGGGGCACCGTGGGGGCATCAAAGCATGGCCTGGGGTGGTTGACCACGATCTGCCTGGAAACAGTGACGGCCGAATCGCATCTCACTGCTTTCTTTGGCCCCCCAAGTTCGAATTAGTCCGTCGAGCGATGCAGCCCAGGATTGGCGCCCTATTGCAGGGCACATGAGCTGGTCTAGGTGGTCCGGAGATGGCGTTCTTGTACTCAGCCGACCTATAGTCAGGCGCCGCACGCCCGTTTCGAATTTGATACGAGTACGTTGCAAGCAGTGGTCAACCTCGAAGAGGCCTGTCTTTGGAGGCCACGGGCCCGAAGTATGATACCGTGGTTTTGGGGTGCAATTATTTTGTCTGTTGCGCGGCTAAGGTTATGGATATAAACCACGAGCCTGGTTGCTCGTTCATGTATTTCACCCGAAACTGATGTAGACACAACTTCCCAGACTATATCACAGCTGGACTGAAAGCAAATCCCCCGCGCTTCCTACATACTCAGGGTTCCCTAACGGTGATACTCAGGGGAGAGCAGAAATTTCACCACTGCTACCGCACCAATACATACACCTTGTGTGTTGCTTCACACCGGCCTATCCCTGGTTTAAGCGGATTGCTTGAACTGCACTAAAGTCAGGTAAAGAACTCATATTTTTGATGGCGATTCGTTGACAGAGTTCAACTGACTTTACGGGACTGCATTTAGACCCGGGCTATTCAGCAATGAGTTCCGGACAAGGAAGGGGGAGTGGTGGATTGCAGGACACGGCATTATCTCGGTTGCGGGACATGAAAGATTTCCGAACACAATAACGTCGAAGCCTTGCCCGAGTTATACAGCAGAAAAGACAACAAATAGTTCCGTTGGCACGACTACGGGAGCAAATGAGGCGGACTCGCGAACTTATGCGTGGAATTAAGTCTCGGATCCATGAGAAGGAGAGTGTGCTTATGCTCCTATCTGACAGTGCAACCGTAGCGAAACAAAACCGCAGACGCCCTAGGAAAGATCCACAGCAGGAATGGAAGGACACGAGAGAGGCTCCAGAGGAGGCGTGAGAATTTTGAGGAGGAAATACGGAGATTGGAGGACGCATTGGATGGACATAAGTTCGAGCAGGGGAGGGCCGAAAAGGAGGCGGACAAGATTGAGCAAGATATAGAGCACCTGGAGGATTATGCACGGGGTATTGAGCGAAAAATTGAGGAATTGAATGTGCAAATTGAAGATTTGGAAATACAATTGAAATCCGACCGACGAGATCCCAGGGGCCAGCGTAGGTTTGATGGGGAGAGATACGCTGGGGGGGCTAGGTTTCCAGGAGTTGGGCCTGAGTTTCACGAAGCATTAGGAAAGAAGGTACTTATAGTATAAACAGCGAAGTGATGGTGAGGTTTTAATAGAGAATATATAATTAGAGCATATAGATCCCACTATTTCCCTCACCGCCCACTTGATTTCCTCTCTCTGTGCGACGACGATGATGATGAAGGAGCTTTATAATGTCACCGCGTTGGCGCCTTTCCGCGTGAGACAGTACCGTGACCTTAAGATGGTCACACACATTCGCCTTAGCGTCGTGATTGAGCAGCAATTCCACTGTTTCCCGGTGCCCCTTTCCCACAGCCCAGAAGATCGGTGTCCAGCCATTCCTATCGAGGGCCTCAATGTTGGATTTGGCTTCGATGAGAATTCTCGCCGCTTTAGTTTGACCACGGCTGGCCGCTAACGCCAACGGCGTCAAGCCATCGTTATCTCTCGTCTCCAAATCGGCTTTTCTGCTGATGACAATGGACATGGCCTCACAGCATCCATAGATTGCCGCATGCGCCAGGCATGTTCGGTTGTCCACATCCGGAGCCTCAAGGTCTACCCTTTGGTCTAGCAAAAACATGACCATTTTCTTATCGTCATTTGCTGCAGCTAGGGCGATTACTGAACGTCCGTTCTTGTCCCTCGCCTCTCGGTCTACCCCCTCCTGTAACAAAAGTCTCGCCATCTCGACGTGACCTTCAGCGGCGGCCCGAAGCGGTGGCGTCATTGTTAACCCGTTTCTATCGGAGAGGTCAACCGTCGCCCCTTGGCGAAGCAGCTCCTGTGCCACGTCCTTGTTCCCGAACTCGGCGGCCCATGATAGAAGGGTTCTTCCACCTGCATCATGGGCATCGACCGTGAACACTCCAACAAAAAGAATAAACTTAATGGTTTCATCTCTTCCCATAGCGGCGATCTTCCTGAACATCTGTGCCTGGGCTGCGGTCGATTGGGTAGAGCGCGGGTCCCGTCGGACACAAATCCGTTGCTCCATTCGATCGGTTTCTCGTTCGATGCCTTCGCGGTGTTGAACTAAATGGAATCATTTGGTCGTCTTTCGCTCAAAGAGATCCGATGTTTCTGAAACAGGACGGAGCCAGATGCCGACATCTCGTCCACCGTTCTCCGTATGAACCAGGGCAAGGCGATCTCCGCGGTCTCTGATGGTGATGAGGGGAACTTTGAGGTGAATTCCCAGATTGTCAACCGTCACCGGCCGGGAGGCGAATGGATCGGAACGCATGATACCGCCAGAGTGCCGGAACGAACGAGGATGCGCAGCTAAGAGACCACCTGGTCTCTCGGGGCCATCACCGTCCTCCTTCCACACAAACAAGCTGAAGTCGTCAGTGGTCTTGAGGATCTCCTCTTGGAGTCGAAGGAATGATTTTCCCCCCTCCCCATAGAGCATGGGAATGTTGATCCCGAAAATGCCCATCAAACAATAGGCCAGGTCCTCGGTAACCGTCGTCACCCGGTTCGCGGCCCATGACATCTTTTGCGCATTGCTGGCCAGGCTCAGGTCACAACCCCGGAGAATCTTTTGTCGGGATTCCCGTGGTTTCGGAGATTGCTCGTCGAATATCCGGGGGCGACTTGCGGCCAATGGTTTCCCAGTCGCTTCGGAAGAAGATTACGGTGGATGGGGCGAGGAGCTCTTGGAGGGTCCAACCGCGGGTGAACCACAAGCTCCGGGCGAAATCTACTGCGGGAACGTCTGAGAGATAGGCAAAGCACACGACCGCGTCGCGGTACCACTGGTACATGGAGTTGACTGCCGTGGAGAGTTCGGTGCTGTTTGTCTTGTCGATGCAGCAGGTATCGATCCAGAGGTAGTCGAGGCCGTTTTTGGCGGCGATGCGGCAGGAGTTCGAGATTTTGGAGTAGCCCTCCTTCCGTTGGACGTGTGGGTCGTGGAGGTCTTGGAAAGTAATTTTGTTGGAGGTCCATCGGTGAGAGAGAATGGCGTAAAGCGGCGTGTCTGCGTCGCTAAACGTCTCGAGTTTGCCGGTAGCTGTGTTGAGGAGTCGCATCTTGGGTGGTGGATTGAGGGATGTTGTCCGAAACAGATGTACTAGTCGTGGGCAGTATGGGGGTCTCTGGTCACAAGAGACCACAACCGCCACAAACTTGGACTCGCACGTCAAATGGCCAGTTTGCCAGTGTCAGCCATGAAAGACCGCACGCTAATATTTGGAAGGTAGGGGGCTAAGGAGTCTGCACGTTCTCCGGCATGCTGGTGTCTAGAACACTTGTCCTCAACTCAACCATGTTCCCATCTACTTTCGTTAGCCCAAGCTGCCCAGCAATCAACGGATGATTCTCATTTGGGCCTCATGCGGCCCACCTGTAGGGCCTTGCAACTATTTCATTTCATGGCTGCATGTGCGCACACGACCACATTTCCCCTTTGGAGGGCGGTCTTGGTCAAGAGTCATCAAATTCGGGCGCCGCCGACCTATGGTTGGGTTGGAAGGCATGTTGGGCACCGTGGCGCATCGTGGAAATTGGCCCACAGAAGAAGGCCCAGGCAGCAGCAAACAAAGGGAACTTCCTCCAAGGCTCCAATCAATTGTCTTCGAAGCATCAACGCTTCCAGCTCACATGGATGCAACATCAGCTTTGCCCTTTGATCTGTCACAGTTGCATCCAATTGAACTTGAGCGTCGAGTCCGCGGGATACACAACGAGTCCAAGAAGCAGAGAACTTTGGGATCGTCCGAGTATTCGTGCTCTGGGCCTGGTGTTGGTATGGTAAATTAATTCTGTGTGGGAGCGCAGGTGATAAGTTATTATCTTGGTATGAATTGGCTCCTTTCCCATACCTTCAACCAGCCGTGAACTCAACATTCTTAGTAGCTTTGGAGTTTTGCCACCGAATCCAGCTAGCATCTTTCGCGCACGCACAGCTAAAGACATGTGGAAGAATCCAATTGTTCGCTTGTCCGCCCATCCCCGCCGCCGCCCATCCCCGCCGCCGCCCTTACCCGCTACGGACCGACCCACCAGGCAAGGCGACATCTGGATTGCGCTTGTGGGTGTCACCGGCAGCGGTAAAAGCACCTTTATCTCCCACTGCGTGGATGAGCCCGTTCAAGTCGGCCATTCCTTGAAGTCCTGCACCGAGGAGGTGGCTTTGTACTCCTTCAATCATGAGACCGGTGTCAAGGTCAACCTTGTGGACACCCCTGGATTCGACGATGACAACATGTCCGACTTGGAGGTTCTTCGTATCCTGGCAGGTTGGCTGAGCGTGGCATACGAGAACAAAATCCGGCTGAACGGTATCATTTACCTCCACCGCATCACCGACGTGAGAATGCAGGGCTCAGGGGGAAGGAATCTCAAATTATTCCAAGCCATGTGCGGTCTCGAAGCCTTGAGCAATGTCACTCTAGCGACGACTAGGTGGGGGGAGATTACGGAAGACCTTGGGACGCGCCGTGAAAGAGAACTCGAGGAAACCCCGGGCTATTGGGGCTGGATGAAGCAGAACGGATCGCGCATTGAGCGTCATTACGACACCCGTGATTCGGCCTTGCGAATCATCGATATCTACCTTGACTTTCCGAGGAGGGTATCGTTGGAGATCCAGGAAGAGTTGGTTGTGAGAAAGCAGCAGCTCGAACAGACTAGTGCCGGAAGGGAGGTGGCAAAAGACCTCCTCAAGCAGCGCAATGCGGCATTGGGCAAACTCGCCACTGCGGAGAAATTGATGCAAGGGACGGGTGATCATGCTATCATGATGGAGTTGGAGAGAAACAAGACGGAAGTGGACCAACAGATCCATCTGTTGGAACAGAAACAGCGGGAGCTCTTGTCAGGCTTGGAGAGATACAAAGCGAGAGGGAACATGAAGCAGGCTTTCGATGCTGCTGCCCAAGATGCCAACGGACACACTGGGGCCGCAGATTGGCGTGCAGTCGCTCGTCCGATTGGCGACAGTGTTATCAACGGGATTTGGATATTGTCCAACTGCAAAATCTCCTTCTCTGAGTCACCAGACCATCTTCTCACCATCAACGGTCGGACACCAAGAAACAGAAATGGGGAGGGGTGCCCTTTCGACCTCTGCGTCAAGACAGAAATGGGGCCAACAACGCTTGGGTTTATCCCAAAGGCTTTCAGCATTGTGCCAAGCATGCGCTTCTGCGGTGGCGGCGTCATCACCATTTGGAGCGGCTTCGATCAGGCATTTATCCAAAGCTGCAGGGAGGTTTCCAAGAACGGGTACAGCACAACTCATTGGGTTGAGGCCATGAACGAACCCGCAAAAATTGTGCAGGATAGCTCTGGTAGGGTCAGATTAGTGCACACCGGAGCCTCTTACAATGGTGTCGTTGGTTAAAGGTTTAAGGTGGCGTGTCTACGCACCCTCGACTTGAGGCGCTTGCGGCGGACTCCCGCATGTATCACTCTTTCCACAGATTGGGCTGCGTACAAGGCACCTCGGAGAGCGGTTGGTGCGACAATTGGGCTGTGTTGCGTATGAAGACTGGCGAGTCTTATGACGCTGTCGTTGGTGGTCTCGCTGGTTAAAGGAGGTTGTGACGGATTCTCTTGCATTTCACTGGTAACTAGTTAGGATTTCATTGGGTTTTATATTTGTTCCTTGGGCCCCACTGCATAGCTTCAGGCGCGGACAGCCGTCCCTCAGTCGTCAATGAACCCTTTCCGATGCGTCAGCAAATACCATCCACGGTTATGGCGACTTCGACCAGTTCTCCACATGTTGGGCATGTTTGCAATTGTGTGACTATCCAACGGGCTCGTAATAATTCGGGTTTGAGGTTGTTCCAACTTCCAAGGCAGGTACCCATGACTTTGTCGTCGGGCTATTCTCCGCCTACGATTACCGCACTCTTGACGGGAGTCTTCAAAACCTTCTCGCAAGTAGGAAGGTTGCCCGGGTGCGGAATTGCGTCTAGATCATCACATTTCAAAACATTCATTCTTGAGTGTCAACTCGTCCTTTGTTCATGATTACCTGGTCTCTTTCACTGTGTCATTTATACAACATCAAGAATGGAATCAGAGAGTCATAACTGCTCTGAGTGTGAAGGGCAGCCCTGGAGCACAAAATGCTCTTGTAACGATCGGTTTTGTGACCCTTGCATGGAATCTCATCTCACCCCAAAGAAAATCCGTCAAGGGCATTCAAAGATAGACACGCGATGTGCTGATGACGCCTGGAACTTAGTCACAGGCGATTTTTCGGGCCTCGCCGACTCCGCAGCTGATCTTTTTAAGCAAGATGAAGCGGCCAAATGGTTCGGAATCTACACCAGCAGGAAGAAGAACCAACGGGGCAGCCAAATCGTCGAGACGCCCCGGTTTTTTGAGCTCGCGAACGAGTCCCTCAGTCACACTGAGAAGAGCCCCCAACGCCAATACCCCAGCATTTGCTCCTTTGTAGGGGACACAGGGGCTGGGAAATCAACGCTGAGTACGCCTCTGCCAAACCCTTTGTCAACGTGTTGTATTTCGTTTCAACTGGCAATTTGACAATGCAGTCAGATTCCTCATCGCGCGGTCGGAAAATGCACAGGCGGAAGATCTCTCGGAAGCACCTATGGCAGGGGCAACGGCCGGTGCTGTGGCAACCCTTTCGACTACGGGCGAGGTGAACCTCTACAAGGACCCCAAGTCGTTTGGCAAGACGACGCCGATGTTCTATGGCGATTGCGAAGGGATGATAGGCACCGAGCCTGTTGCAGCTCAGCATCAACACGAATGGTCCAAAAACGGGCGACGATACCCTGTTGAAACCTCCAACGGAGAATCGGTTGACCGTCGAACAGCAGTCACAACCATTTACCCCCGCTTTCTCTACACGTTTAGCGACGTTGTCTGCTACGTTACGAGAAACCAGAAGACATGGGCGAACTCGGCCTTGAAACTCCTCGAGTGGAGTAACGTCGGCGCGGAAAGCAGCATCAACAAAAACGTCTTGCCTGCGCTAATCATCATCCTCAATGCCTCGTCTCTCGAGGAAAAAACCTGGCTTTGTGACGGAATGGAGCCTACCGACGCCTTCTTCAATGCCATTGACGCTGAGATCAGCGCAAGCTCCAAGTTCGCCACACTTGCACGAACGGTATTTGTGTCTCGGCAATATTACGAAGTTGTCGAACCATGGCTAATCATCATGCATTGACAGGGCGATGGGGAGATTATGACGATAAAACAGTTGTTCGCAAGAAGTTTCTCCAGTGTGTACGTGCATTACATTCCGCTTTACGGGTACAAGAAACTCGGCACTGCACAACGAATCCTGAAGCAACGGGACTTTCTCATCGAACGCATCGAGTCCGATGCCAGTCGTGTTCAAAATGAGCGAGACATATCCTGGGTACGACTTGACTCTCGACAGATGGGACATGTCTTTCAGCTGGCTTTTGAACACCTTGCCTCTCAAAGCGCGAACCCATTCGACTACGAAAAATGCCGGTACATCGTTTCGGTCCCAGTCAAGACGGAGCAACACTTTGCGCAGTTTCTTGCCAGGACTCTCGATTCGATGTCAAAAGAAAGGCTGGAGAGTGTTGCAGCCGTCTTAGCAACGAGTATCGTCAGAAATGCGATCCCAGATAACGAAAAGGGTCAGCCTGCACGTTCCTTAATCGCATTTTCCATTTCCACTGACCTTGTGAAACGCGGCTTGATTAGGACTTCTGCTGCTTAAGCCTGACAATGTGTTCCGCCAAGAAATCAGAGACACTTGCAGCAAGGCGATTGAGCTCTTCATCCAGAATCACGCGAAATGCGTGTATTACGACACAGCAAATGGGCGCTGCGTCAATATCCGATCCGGTCATAGCATTGGCCACCAAAATGCCAGCGGATTCTTGATGAAGAACGGGGATTTCGTCGGTCCAACTTTCGACCAGAAAAGCTTCATAGCCACAATCAGACAAAAGGTCGAAGACGCCTTATACGATACTCTTCACAATAACGAGACGGACGCTCGACACAAGGATCTCCGGCGCCTTGCTGCCAAAGAGCACGGGAAGAATCTGAAGATCCTGCGAGACTCCTTTACCAAGGTTCAGCTCGAGAAGTCTGACCCTTTCACAAATTCGGGCGCCAATATGTGTTTCGGCTGTCTTTTTGGTCGACCGGAGTACAAGCTCCCTTGTGGTCACAGAATTTGCTCGAACTGCATCGCAGACTTCGACCATGTTGGTTCAGAGTCCGGGCACGCATCCACCGAGCAAGCGTCAACCGAGGGAGTACCCTTTACCAACGGCGAGGGCCACGCTATCAAGAAACCCTGGTTCTCAAACCTCGTCAGCTGTCCCAAAGACCTCAAACCCGACGCCAACTTAGAGTCCGAGAAGCCGGCTGAAAAGGACTATCCTGGCCACGTACGACATCACGAATGCATCCTCTGTGGGGCTTCATCCGCATCGTTGGAGGGATATCCGGTTGACACGAAAATCCTGCCGGATTTCGCTGGCCTTCGCATCCTCTCAATTGACGGTGGGGGGGTCAGAGGCATCATTGAACTGGTGATTCTAGAACGGCTGGAAACTCTAATCGGACTCGGCCTTCCCTTAAACCATTTCTTTGATCTGATCGTTGGGACAAGCGCGGGAGGCATCATCGCGCTGGGACTTGGTCAGCAATCTCGACGCGTCGTCGAATGCATCGAACTCTTCGGACTGATCTGCTCAGAGGGGCTGCGGAAACGACCTCTCGCCATGTTGGGGTCATTTCTCAGGGCGGTTCGGGTTCAGAACTCTGTTTACCGCACCGAAGATTTAGAGCGGGCATTCCAGAAGGCCTTTTCCAACAATAAATGTCAGAGACTTGGGGGCATGGACATGGAGACTCCGTGTCGCGTTGCTGTCACCACCACTGCTGACCGTGGTGAGGCTTTCCTGCTGGCGAATTACGAGAAGGGAAGCGATAGGGGCTTGTATCTCCACAACGATATTAAGTTGTGGAAAGCGTGAGTGTTCCTTCCTGGTTATCCTGGCTACCTTTTTCTCATTATTTCCGGCTTCGTTAACGCTAATATGCTTCTGTAGAGCCCGTTGCACCGCGGCCGCCCCCATGTACTTCGATCATGTCTCTCACGCCACGCGTGAATGCCGCGACGGCGGTCTCAAGGAAAACAACCCAACACAAGTCGCCCTCAATGAAGCCCGCAAAATTCCAAACTGCAGCACCCACCCCCTAGATCTCATACTCTCCATCGGCTCTGGGTTCGCCGACAAGCCCGCATCAGCCCCTAACAACAACAGCTCGGGCATCCGTCTCATACCGGAATGGCTCTCCAACCTCTTCGCTACCCTCATCAGCACCATGAATGGAGAAGAATCCTGGCAAAAGTTCCACGACAACCACAAAGGTCACATCCAAGAACGCGCTTGCCGCCTCAACGTCAAGATACCCGGCCCCGAAGAGCCCAGTTTCGACGATATCACCACGATCGACAAAATGGAAGCCGAAGCTCGCCAATACAAGTTCGTTGGATCCGTCCCGAACACGCTCACCTCACCTATCTTAGGTCCTGCCCCATCATGCATGATCCAATGCGCTGCTGACCGGCTTCGCGCAAGCCTCTTCTTCTTTGAGCTGGACAACGTCACTCAGCACGACCGGGTCTCGCATGTCGAAGGGCACATCTTTTGTCGACTGCGCCCTGGGGAAAAGGGGTTCCGGGAGCTGCTGGAACAGTCGAAACATTTCGTCGTGCACGGGAGGAAGGAAGTGGTGTTAATACCCCCGCTCGTTCGCGACGGTACAGTGCCAATGCAGATCAAGGTTCAGTTTCAGGAGCAGAGGCTTTCAAAGAATATCAGGATTGATGTCAACTTTGGGGGGGAGTATAGTGTTGCGATTAGTGGGTTTCCGGTTGAGTTAAGCGTGAGTTTCTATTTTCTAAGGGTCTTAAACTACCTACTATCGGGTTGAGTGGCTGACCGCTAACTTTTGGTGGTAGACTTTTCTTACCTACTGGCAGGATCGTGGAGGCTTTTTGGAAGTGGCCCCATTGGAGAGGGGGAAGGGGTTGTAGAGTGATTTGTGGATTGAGTCTCAACAATGGGGAAATGGTTGACACAACTGTTTGTTCCCCCAGTGTTCTTCAATACCGTATGACAGCTCGGCTCGTTAGTGCATCCTTTGATGCCCTCCAAATGCGTGGCACCATTCCACTATGCCCCGCGTATATTTGGGCAAGCTTCAAGTTACGGTCGTAAAAGGTGAGACGGGCTTGCCGTTGGTCACAACCGCCTCTTACGCCATCGTCGCCTGTCGCCCTGTGACTATCACCATCGCACGTCGTTCGCTACGCCACCGCCTTACCTGTGGATCACAGCCACATTTCCTGAGATACGCCACAGAATGGCGTGGATCCACCCCACAAGTACAACGTTGTCCTCTGGACGGTTCCCCTGAACGTGGAGATTTTCGCAGGCCACCCCGCCGAGCCGGCTCGCTGTGGCCAAAAAAAGCTACACACTAAAACAGATAGCTCAAGTCTAATCCATTAACATTCGATCAAATCTTGGTAAATTTTGATTGATATACTATTGTTTGTCTTTTTTCACTTTTTGGATTTATTTCTTTTTCTCTTCTTTCCCTTTTTTTTGGTTTATTCTTTTTGGTCTTTTTTCACTTTTCTAGCAAAGTAAGTTATCCAGGGACTTGGTGTGCCGCTTTTTTGGCCATAGCGAGGCCGGGTACCTCCGACGTTATTTCAAGCAATCAAACCCCCAATTCCCCCCAAACGCCCCACAACACCAGTTCGTGCCTTCCTTGCTCCCCTCGCAAGTTCCCAAAGCGAGCTGTATTCTTCTGTAATCGCACCGGTTGCGTACACATTCTATCATCACCATCGCCATTAGATCCATTCACCCACATGGCCGACGATCGACCCATTCTCCAGCTTAAACAGCTGACTCTCTACCCGGCAACGTCTCCATCGAGCGCAGCTCTTGATTCCCCTATGCCATCTGTGGGGTTGCCGGTCTCAGGCGCCGATAAGATCGTCGCCGAAATTCGCAATCGCATCTGTGGCCGAGCCGAGGTCAAAGAGGAGTGGTGGTGTCTCAGCCTCACTTGTGACAAGTTCAAGGAATTTGAGGCGCGTTGTAAGGCTTAGGGGGGTTACTGTAAGGAACTGGCCCTATAGCGGAATGCAGATAGGCGTTTATTATATTACTGAGAAAGCTTGCAGAAAGAGGACTACTTGGGGTTGTGCCTTGCCCAGGGCTCCTTATATCCTGATGTCCCTCCCCCCCCTGATGTGCGCGCTCTGGAGTCGGGCACCTCGGGCTCCACCTCCGAGTCGGGTCCGGGACAGGTGTGGGCCCGGAGCCGGAACGGCACCAGCCCGCGAACGTCTCGGAAGAGGGACAGCCCCGCCACGTCAACCCAAGGCCATCGGCCACGACCCAACACTACTGCTCATGGCCAAGGCCTTGCGAGGGGCATGGCCCTAGGCCTGAGCCCTTGACAGTTACCGCTGGCCAAAGTAGGCAGGCTATTTATTTATCACCCAACACCGCATCCGCTGGCCTTTCATTATAGGTACGACGACTTCCCGTAGCTCGGCAAGTTCGTCCTACGTATAGCGGGCACTGTCCACGAAACCTTTGTCAAAAAGCAGGAACGCCTTGTTATACGGCTGCTAGATATTATCGGCCACAGTAACAACCAGCTCGCTGCTGAGTTCGCGAGGGACATAGACCCGGCAGGAAGTCCCACGACTGGGAATGATGATGGTTGTTCCCATTGCCCTGACAGTTCGTTTGGGCAGAAAAATGCTAGGGCACATTGTGCTATCTTAGAGGTCTCCCATTCACAACAAGGGAGATATTTAGCATTCCTTACAGAAGAGGATATCCTGGGTTCAAATGGGCGGACCCAAGTCGTTATTGGGATTGACCTTGAATACCGGTCGGGGGAGGGAAAGGAAGCTAGGGTCATTGTGTGACGACCATGTTGCCTTGAGTCGATGACATCCCTGGGGAGATGACTGTTTCGTTTTCTCAGCTCTACGAGATGGTGCAGGAGGCAGAAGCTAAAGCTGAGCGCAAGGATTGTTTCCGCCGGGAGATACAGCGTGAGAGTCCTCTGAAGCGGCGAAGAGTATGGTCACCCCCGTAGCAAATCACGACATACCCTCCTCAACAACAGGTGTAGGACACCTCGCCGTGGCCAAAAAAAAAAGCGTCAGACTAAAACAGGTGGCTTCAGTCCAATCCATTAACATTCAATCAAATCTTTAGAGATTTCGATTGATTTACTCTTTTTTCGCCTTTTTTGCGTTTTTTTTTTATTTAGTCTTTTTTGTCTTCTTTCACTATTTTGATTTATTCTTTTTAGTCTTTTTTTCACTTTTGTAGAAAAAGTCAGTTATCCAGGGACTTGGTGTGCCGCTTTTTTTGACCACAGCGAGGACACGTACTATCCGCATAACCGAGGCCGCCGTGCAACGGTGCAGGCCGCAGACCAAGGAACCGCTCAACATCTCCGGCCATAAAAGCGATCAATGCGAAACTCCTGCTGAATTAGGAACATCAGAAGCAGGATGTGCTTCGGTGTTTACCCCCTACTGCTCTGAGATTCGATATTTAATTAACTATCAGGGTAGCCTTTCCAGCTCTGAATACACACACACACTGTGTTACATTACCCCGCATTTCCTTTATCACCGTGCATGCTACTGTGTAGCATTGTGACCGGTCCAGGCATGGGTAGGTATTCAGCTCTCGAACGTGTGGGGAAAACAGCCCCTCGCTGGATTCCGAACACTCCCCATTCCGAACACCAATTCCCTACAAACTCTCAAAAATGCACCGTTTTCAATCCCTTTGCAAGGACTTTATAGTGGTGCAATTGATACCATATTGTAAACGACGTAAATAAGTTGCAGTAGCTATATCATTCTTTCTTTTTAATTGAATCTAAGGGAGTTTATCCAGGCGATCTTGACGTTTTAAGAATTATTAGCTACTCACAAATTACTAGCCGATCAGGGCCGATTACGTTGTATTCTACACGTGTACGTGCAAGATTTATTATAATAACAGAAAAAACGTGGGATTCGGCACACACCCCCAAAGTTCCAAAATGGGTCTGCAGTACTGATAATTTCTCGTTCAAGAGCTTTGAGCATAACTGCGGCGTAGACTTTCCGATTGGACGACAACAGCGCTGGGAGACGGCTGGTGTGGTTGTAAGTGTCCAGCTGAGGGTGTGATAACCCTTTGGGTCGAAAGAATCCGGATAGTTGAGACTCGACACGCCCGCAGAACCCACCGACAAATTGTTGATGTACAGGTACTTATCCAGGGTATAACTGGTAGAGTTACCTGTGAATGGTGGGAGGTTGCAGTTCAGAGGCTCGTCGGGGCATCGAATCAAGTTTGTTGAGCGCACCTCATGACACGCGATATACACCAGTGACGGCAGGCTTTAGCCGAGATTTGAAGATCCTGGATAGGGACAGACAGATTTCAAACCTAAAGTTAAATACCGGCAGTGTGCCTCGAGCGCGGATGAAGTTTTCTCACTGCAGTGCACACCAGACACGAACCAAGAAAGAACCCAGCCGCTTGACTCCCAAACAAAACGGTGGAAGTTTCGAGATTTGTCTAACGACAAAATGTTGACTAGCGTTCTCTCCTTCACGGTATGCTACCTTTTGGAAGCGTCAGGCTATATCTTGTTCCTTCTGACGTTTCCGTTCTGTTGAATACAGCCCGAGCAGGCAGCCACCGTCACGGAGTACTGCACAAATCATTCTGAGGATGTCTCTCCCAGCCTCAAGGAGCTTTGGGACCGGACTGTGTCCGAGTTTGACGACTCGGACAAGATGTCTTCACCGCTCCAGTCCGCCACGTTCAAGTTTCTCGCTGAACTCTTGAGACCTCGGAGGAGTAGGTAGCCCCAATGTACTGTCTTGATCCATTATCTCCTGACTTGCGGGGCCTAACATGCCGACCTAGTCCTTGAGATCGGTTGCTACACGGGGTATAGCGCCCTGACGTGGTACGAAGCCACGATCAACACCCGTGCTGAGATCACGTCCCTCGAGCTGGACTCCAAGATGATTGCCGCCTCGAAGAGGACCTTTGCTCGCTACGGCGTCGAGGACCGCGTCAAGCTGATTGAAGGGCCTGCCCAGGAGTCCCTCCAAAAGCTGACAGGCACTTTCGATCTCATCTTCGTCGACGCTAACAAGGACGGCTATGAAACCTACGTCAAACAGATCCTCGACAAGAATCTTCTTGCTCGGGACGGTGTCATCATTGCCGACAACAGTGAGTGAATCATGCCTATCGTGAAAAAGTCTTGACTAACAGGCGGCCCTTACTTAGTCTTCGCCCGCGGCATGACCATCTCCGAGGACTGCAATCCCCACCTACCCGAGAAGGTGCGGCCTTATTGGACCGCCAATGGCAAAGCTCTCCAGAAGTTCAACACTTTTCTGAAGAATGATCCTAGGGTTGATGTCGTTCTCCTGCCGGTCTTTGATGGCCTGACTTTGATCAAGCTGAAGCCCCTCCTGAACTAGTTAGAATGGCCAAGTGCGGCAAACTGCCAAGCCTAGGGGTTTTGACTATAACGGGATGTATTGTATCGACCAATTCGAGACGTGTAAATAAAAATCATGTTATTGGACCTTCACAACTACGTTTGCGATTCGCTCTGTTGTCACGAACAGATCGGTGGCTAAATTAATATGTTGGTTCGGAGAAACGCTGCAGTGACATGCAGCTCCTCAAGGTGGAAAAGGTGTGCGGTGCAACGTGCAGTTGCATGTGTACCACGCCCGACCCGTCTTATAAAGCTTCGACGGGAATGGACTACTCACTCAGATCACAATCCACTTTCGGGGTGACACATGCTTTTAGCTTTAAATGTTCGATGATCATACCTAACTACCATTTTCTTACGTTAATTACATTAGTCACTCAGAGAAAAGTCGTCAACTAAATCAACCGCGTGGTCTTTCGGGCGGCTTCCCGGTGGAACATCACACAGTCACTGATCTACAGTGTTCTGATGGTGGAAGGCAAAGAAGAGCGATTAATTATTAGTGATAAACGTAGAAACACTGGTCGACTGGATTCGGCAAGCTTCCAAGTTCTTTTCGTGTTATCAATGTTATATAACACTAAACCGTGGAGATTATGTTCTCTACCTCTTCCGCAATCGCTAGCACTTTCTCTTCCTCTAGTCTCCGACAGACCACCTGAAGTCCAATTGGGCTGTCGTGGAATAGACTGGGATCATCTACCAGAGTATTGTATCAGCATCAAAGTTCGAAAGGAGAAGGGCCGACACAAAGATGAATGGGCTGGAAAATACATACATTGTGCGTGAATCATCGCGTCGAAATCACTTTGAGCCTTGAATTCTTGATACGGGAGGTCCTTGGCAGCGTCCGCCTTCCCAGCACGTACGACAGCAACCGAGTAGTCCAATACGGTGTAGGCAGCCGTGTATCCGGGATAGAGACCCTTGCCGCGCTCGTAGCCAACAGTTGGAGCGACAGGGACAATAATGGCGTCCACTGCCTCGCCATTGCTCGTCCTGGCGCAGGTTGACTCCCAGTATCGCAGGTAGCTGATTTGAAATTCATCCCTCCGGCGCTGGGAGTCCCACAGATTGTTAACTGTTTTGGGCGGCAGGTGGCCGAATGTCTCCCCGTACACGGCTGCGAGTTCAGGGACCGGTACCTCGCCAGAGAGAGAGAGTTGGTTATGGATGTCGCGCCCGGCGTCGGCCGTGAAGGCTGCCCACTAGGAAGCGTCAATAGAAGGATAATTACCAAATGGTTCATGGGTGGCAACTAGAACTTACAGCAATTTCAAAGGCTTCCGAGTGCGCAGGGGGTTCCCACTCGATTACCTGGTATAAAACAAATGCTTAGCCTGAAATCTCCTTTGATTATTACCTCTTTTCTCAAACACGAACCTCGTAGCCGTGCGCTGTTAGTTTCTGAGCAGCCTCTTCCACAACTCGCCCCACGGGAGGATGAGGTGTCACCACACCGTCATCACGCAACACGCCAAAGGTAAGTTTCTTCGAGGCAATCTTTTGCCGGGCTTTGAGCTCCTCGCTGTCCCGCCAAGGGAGCGTCAGCACCTTGGGGTCCGCCTTCCACGGCTCCACGCCGAGAATGGCCCGAACGAACAACCTGAGATCCGCGATATTACGACCCATTGGCCCAATCACGGATTCTAAGGTTTGGTGGCCAAGCATCTGACGCCCAGTTGAGTCAACGATCAATAGTTCCAAAGGGGCAGTAGTGAGAGCATTTGCTCAAAAGGGTACTAACGCTGTTTGCCACGCCGAGATAGGGGAGACGGCCGTGGGATGGCCGGAGTCCCACGATGCCGTTGAACCCGCTGGGCAGGCGGATTGACGCACCCACATCGGATCCCAGACCGATAATGCTGCCACCCGCCGCGATCAATGCCCCCTCACCTGTGAGTCGTGTGAGTATTCCGGCCCTGGGCAATAACGTGTAAGGGGACTCACCTCCAGAAGATCCGCCAGATGACAGGAGCCTATTGGCAGCATTGAGGGTGTAGCCGACAATGTTATTGTTGGTCTCAATGGCCTGATATGGAAGAATTGTCAGTCCTAAGGAGCATCCTGCGGCGTTGTACAAGGACTTCTGGTGCAGAAGAAGCTCGTACCATCAAGCTTGTAGGAACATTTGTCTTGACGAAGACAATCGCACCCAGCTTTCGTAGCTGTTGGACAATCCAGGACTCGGACTCGGTGGTCTCTTTCTTCCCCAGCCAGCCGACATACCCAACGGATGTCTCGGTATCCCTGACGCGGAATTGGTCCTTCAATGACACGGGCAGCCCGTGAAGCGGCCCAACAACCTTGCCCTCTCGATCGTAAGCGGCATCGAGGGCCTCGGCGTCAGATAGGGCTGGGGTAAAGTTGACTTCAGAAAGACAGTTGGTCTGAGAGAGGACATGGTCAGTTCAATTTACCTCGATAACGCGGTGCTCTTGCGGGGCAAGGAGATGTCCGTGGGCTACGGTGGCTTGGTAGCAGTACTGACAAGCTGATGTGCAATGGTAGCCCTGTGACAGAATGCCTTGGTGACCTGAAGTGCCGTGAGCTCCCCCCTGGACAGTTTACCAAGAAGGGCGGCAGCAGACAAGGTTTCGGTGATATCTCTCTCTTCGGTTGTCAGGAACTGCGCGGAGTAGTGCGTGACATTGCGGAGAGCCTGGGGCGTGGGAACCGAATCGATCCGCCATTCCGGAGGCAGAAGCCTCAGAATCTCCTCCCGCTTTGCCTGGCCGGTGGCTTGCCACTGCGGGAGGGTGAAAGAAGAGGATGATGATGCTGCCATGGTTGATGGACTCTCAATTCCCGGAAAGTCAGGCTCGGTTAGTTCGGAACGAGTGATGGTTGAAGGCACATGCTGCTAGCCTGTCGGTGAGAGTCGGCTGCGTATATTCGCTTCGGCCTGCAAAAAGCGAGGAATAGATATGACGATTGTCGTATTGCGGTATGCTCTTTCTTTCCGTCGAATTAACTCGTGTTCTGGGTTCTGCACCTCGTCGTTTCCGGGACCCGGTCAGCCGGTCTAACTTGGCTCCGCTATGGTGTGTGGTTTGTGATGCGACATGGCGAGGTGACAGGTACTTCTTAGGAAGTAGGTACATGTACTTAGACTTTTGACCTTTGTCTCCACGGCGCCAGGGCCGTCCCGTCCCACGCCACAGTCGGAGTGCGTGGAATGCTACAGCGGGACAATTCCGACAAATCACTACGCTGGGGGTTTGCAGTTTATGGACTTACATAAGTAGTACGCCTGTTGTTGGTCGTCTCGATTCCAACACGGCTTAAAAGCTTGGCTTCGGCATATGCACCCCAGGAAACAACGTAGTATTTACACTACCTACCCTCCACAAACAAGCGAGCCCCCCCAATGTATCCTCGCTTGCCCTTGTGCCGCTTTTCGTCTGCATTTTCCGCACTGGAATCTTGCAATACATGGCGTGGTAACCACGCGATCGGCAGCTGGGTTCTGGGAGGTTCGACATGTTGTTATTTCGGCATGCGTTTCGGCATGAGGATCTCGGCTAATTTTTGCCATTGTCTAGGGAAGACCATTGACAAAGTAGAGTAATTAAGGGAAGTGGTAAGCTTGGGAAAGTGCAGGCGCTTTGATGGACAAAGGTCAACGCGTGCTGTGCCAGGTGGACAGTGCACAAGAGCGTTGACACTTCGGGCTCATCCAAGATTGCCGCCGTTTGAATACCACAAAGGACAACTGGACAAAGATGGCCGCAAACCAGCTGGTTTTAGCTTTCTCCGAAACTTCCTACAACCCCTCAGAAGTCGTTGAGGTCCATCATGGCCAAAATGAGCTCGACGAGGCAACGCCTCTCCCACCGGGCTGCGCGTTGGTCACATTCCTCGCCGCCCCCATCAACCCCCAGGACCTGATGGCTATCGCGGGTCGATACCCCGTAAAGCCCGCACACCTCCACTTAGGCAAACCCATCCCCGGCAACGACGGCGTTGCCCGCGTCGAGGCTATTGGCCCTGCAGGCACCAACAAGAGTAGCCCCGGGACAACTGCCATACAGCCTGGCGACCTCGTCATCCCGCGCCGGCACGGCTTGGGAACTTGGCGACGGAAGGCCGTGCTTCCCATTGACGGGCTAACGCGACTTCCCCTGAACAAATCCGGACCGAGCAGCATCGACCCGGTCGCGGCCAGCATGCTGCGCACCGTCTTCCTGCCCGCCTACCTTCTCGCCGAGGACACGCGCAGCCTCCGCCCAGGCGACTGGGTGGTGCAGAATGCCGGCGCTAGCACCATCGCACAGCTAGTGGCGCAGTTTATCCGGCGCAAAGGCGCGCACGTTGTCAGCGTCGTGCGTGACCGTCCAGACCCCGTCGACCAGACGCTTCCAGATGCTGGGCCCATGGATGTAGTCCTTACGGAAGGCCAGGTGGCTGTGTTTGGCGTCGGCGCTCATCCTGCGCTGGAAGCGGCGGCGGCGCAGGGCCGCGTTGTGTTAGCGCTGGATGCTGTGTTTGGGGAGTCGGGCGAGAGGCTAGCTGGGCTGCTCTCCAAGGGAGCTACGTTTGTTAACTATGGCTCGCTGGGAGGCGCCGACGGCGTATTGCGTCTTTCTCAGAGACTCATCTTCTGGAATGAGATCAAGTTCCGCAATTTCCGTCTGAGTGAGCAGCTCGGGAAGCGGTCGGAACGCGAGCAGGAGACTTTGCTGAGTTGGTTCGCTGGGTTGATTGCGAGCGGGGAGCTCCGAGCGCCGGCGGTGGACAAGATTCCGGTGCCGTTGGATGCGCCATCGGTGGATAGGTTTCAGCAGAAGGTGAGGGAAGTCTTGACGGCAGCTGCGAGAAAGGAGATTGGGTACCGGAAGAGTGTCTTCGATTTCGTGGAGAGTTCGGAAACGCAATTGTGTGCCGATAATTAGGTGTAGCGATCGACCTTAGAACATTTCTAGCAGGCTAGTTGGAAACACCATGTAATGACATTTGCATCACACCAACACGCTTAAGCTGTCATGTCAGCCCCAGGCATAAAAGAGCAGCATGCTGTCCACAGCGTGATGAAAAATGATCAAAAGTAACTATCCATAGTTCAATGTTTCCATTCTGCGCTGGTTAAGGATGTCTTTGCTAGGGTACCTTGGCTTCCAGGCGACATCCATCATAGCCAGTTGTTTGCATGGGTTTCAAAATGAAGGTGACTGTAATAACCCACTTCCAAGACGCTAATTACAAACAAACTTGGGGTTCTTGGAGCGATGTTGTATCAATCCTTGCACCGCCTCTCCTTTTCGATCGCTGTAGCGTTGTACTTTCTCAGCGAACCCTCCAACCCCGGAATAGGGCCGTCTGAGTCGATATTCACAGTCTTCATGACCCGGGCGAGAAATGAATAAACGCCATGCATATACAGAAGTTCGAGAATCTCCTCCGTGTTAAGTACCCCCTTTACCCGCTCTAGCGTCTCCGGCGTGATGCGGTTCTCAGCACCGCTGAGCTCTTCGATTGCGCGTGCAATGAGGCGGCGACGCAGAGAGAACAGGGCTTCGGGCAACTCCATATGCGGATTCTTCAAAGCGGCAAGCTGCTCGTCGCTAAAGTCGAAGATGCGCGCCACCGGCTCGTTCACTTCCCACTCATAGGGTGCGTCCAGGATCGCTGCGGTCCGCAGTACAGCTGTCTGCCAGTCTGACGAGCGCAGCGTGCGGTTTGCGTGCCACTGGCTTGTCAGGAGCTTCATGAAGGGCGGGAAGTTGACGGTGGAGTGGCCCAGAATCTAGGTCCACGGTGGATTAGCGGAGTCTTGTGCACAGGACAAGATAGGTCATGCCCATGCCTTGAAGATGTTGCGCTCTACCGGCAACGCTCGCATGCCGGCCTTGACTTCCGGCGGAGCGGTCTCGGCATCGAGGTATGGGAGCAAGTGCTCGTTTGTTGTCTCTTGACTGTTCCAGGAGGCCATGACTGATTCAAGGTTGTTGGATAGTATGAATGGAGTAGAGTATCTTGACGAGGGCCGCTAGTATACCGCCAAGGTTTGGGGCCAGAAGGCAAGATGGCGGTTCATTCGTTCTACGCAAACTTGGGCCCTGGCCAGCATGCAGAGCTGTGATCTCAATCTGTTAAGTCTTACTGACAAAACGGGGACCATTCGTGGGGCGCGGGTTAACGCATGGTATGCTCGGTGTGTAACCCTGTGCGGGTGTATATGTATCACGGATCAGCTCCGTACATGTACAGTGTGAGCGATCTTCCCCGCATTTTAATGTCTTGGCAAGGCAATAAGCGTTTGCCAAGCCTGAGTCAAGGAAAGCTTGTGTCATTTTGTGATGCTTGTCAAGGGCACAACTCCGTTGTTAGCGCAAGAACACGTGTAGTATATCGAAGAGCATGAATCCTCGCGTGCATAGTGCTTGGGTCCGTTGCAAAATTCCCATTGGCGGTAACTACCATGTTAGGATTCATTCTGCCCGCGGAAGGACAAGATTTGTCTCTTTCTTTCCACCCTTGCGTTTCATTGTGGGCCCTCCTGCCTTTGCCTGTTTAGGTACGCGACAGACCAGGCCGCCTGGACAGAGTGCCCGTCGGTCAATAAAAGCTTGGTCCGCGGAAAATCCGCCCTTGCGTTGCATTGCGGTGATGGCTGTTTACACCGAGTGTATTTGTACTGTGTAGGCAGGTAGCCAACGGACCGGGCCGCATGGACAAACCACCCGTCGGCCAATAAAACCTAGGCCCGCCAAATTCCGCCCCTGTTCAGCAGCAAACGAACAAACAAAGCTTCACCTGCCACGGCTGGGAAGCGAATGGTAACCCGCAGCGGGAAATGATCTGTAGCTCTCTCGTTCGGTACGTATTGTTTGCTTAGAAATCATCAATCCTCAGCAGGGTGGCTTCTTCTGACCCATTTCTCGGCAGATGGCCGCTTTGTTCTTTTGCCAATGCCAGCTGTATGCCTTTTTCTCGAGGGCGAGCCGCGAATGTCGTGACTGGCAAACTTCAAATTGTTCCTACACCAGAACTGAGAAATTTTGATACCTGACTCTCAAATTGTTTATATTCCCTTTTTTTCCTTGGTTTAGACTTTTGCCAGAACAAAAATGGCCTCATCCGACACCGAGAAACACTCCGCGTCTAGTTCAGGGCTTGACACGTCCGGAAATACAGCGCAGACGAAGGATGCCGTACCGGCAGATGCGCCAGCCAAACCCTCCGACCAGCCGCCGGCGCCGCCCGACGGAGGCTTGCTTGCTTGGCTCCAGGTCTTGGGCTCCTTCTTTCTGTTCATGAACTCTTGGTGGGTTCTCGGCTGCCTTTACTTGTTCTGGCACGCCTTCCACTAACTGGCAAAAAGGGGCCTTGTCAACACTTACGGGGTTTATCAAACATATTATGAACTTGATCTCTTGCGCGACAAGACGCCCTCCCAGATCTCGTGGGTGGGCTCTTTGCAAGCATGCCTGCTCCTTGTCATCGGCGTCGCCACCGGGCCATTATTCGACCTCGGTTACTTCAACCTCCTCCTCTGGACGGGTTCTTTCCTCGTGGTCTTCGGCATGATGATGACGAGCCTCTGCACGCAGTACTGGCAGGTGATGCTCGCGCAGGGGCTGGTCGTCGGACTCGGCTTCGGCTGCCTGTTTGTGCCGAGTGTGGCTATTGTGTCGACCTATTTCACCAGTAAAAAGTCCTTCGCCACGGGTGTCGCGGCCGCCGGCAGCAGTCTTGGCGGTGTCATCTACACCATCACCTTCTCCCGCCTACAGCCCCGCATCGGCTTCCCCTGGGCCACCCGCGTCGTGGGGTTTCTCGCCCTCGCCGGGCTGTGCGTCTCCTGCGCCGTCATGCGCGTACGCGTCCTGCCGAAATCGGTTCGGAGGCTGCTCGAGCCGCGCGCCTTCCTCGAGGTCCCTTACACCATGTTCACTATCGGCCAGTTTGTTGGTACCATGGGAATGTGGGTGCCATTCTACTACGTCAACAGCTACGCCATCGCCATGGGGGTCGACTCCACCCTCGCATTCTACCTGGTGACCATCCTCAACGCAACGTCCATCCTCGGCCGACTAGTGCCAAACTACTTCGCGGACAAGACCGGCCCACTGAACATCATGGCACCCGCTGCAGCGTGCTCAGCCGTCCTGGCGTTTGCCTGGATCGGGATCAAATCCACAGCGGGCCTGATCGTCTTCTGCGTCCTCTACGGCTTCACCTCGGGCTCGTTCGTATCGCTGCCCGCCCCGACCGTCGTTACGCTCTCTCCGAGTCTGAATGTGCTGGGTGCCCGCATGGGTATGAGCTTCTCGCTAGCCGGAATTGGCATTCTGATTGGCAATCCCATCGGCGGTGCTATTCTGAACAGCAGCGGGTGGGTCGGCGTGCAATGTTGGGCCGGTGCTACCATCGCTGCTGCTGCTGCGGCGAGCTTGGTTGCCCGATTCGCCAAGAATCCCGCGGTGCTCGGCAAGGCGTGACTTGAAAGTAGTGTATGTAGTGACTTTGTGGGAAGTTGGCGAGGTAGCGTCCGTAAAAGGGGGCTGGGGGTTCTGCTTTCGCGAGGAGGCTCAGCGACGGCATTGTACGGCGGTTTTTGTGACTTTCGGCATCACCGGCGGCATGAACGGCGACATTTCGAGAAGGGAAGTGATGAGCGAGCTCATTGGAGGTAAATAGGCGAGTGGTCGGAGATAATCCGCTCCATTGCGGTGGATTGGATGCATGTACATAGACAATCGTTGTAATCCTGCTGTCTTACTACTGAGCAGCTACCTGCCTAACCTATGCACTTGACTGTGATGCTGAGTAAACACGGGAAAGGGAATATGTCCTTCACCCAAATGGTTACATTTGTGTCACGTTTCCGATGCGGCCGCCTGCACATCAAACCATAGTTGGCAAAAACAAGCGTATGCGACGCGACGTAGAAACTCGCCGAATCTCGTGACCTATCTCTTGTCTTGCATACCGAGATCTGCATGCAACTTACACAGTACTGCAGTGCAACCGAAAAAGAAGGGGCGAACTCGGCCCCCAAATGGGAAAACTCCACGACTTCCTCGCACATGGTGTAGCGAATATGGAGACCGAGACTGAACTGAATGATACTGTATGGAAACCCGAGGCGACGCACCCTCAGGCAACTAACGCTCCCAGGATTCGGTACCTTGGCTGACAGGAAGTCAGCGAGTGTCGGATAAACTCTTCGACAGCCCAGCGCAAGAAACTGTTTTTGGCTGCCGGGGTCAACTCTGGTAATTAAGTGACGCAAACAGGTCAGACAATCGGGGTCACAGCACCGCAAGTGTGGGAACAGTGTCAATACCAGATCAAGGTTTGGCGACACATGTAAATGAATGGCACAAGGCAAGAGGAGGGTCGCTAGCGGTGATTGTATAACCCTGCCCCTTGGGTTGGGCCTTGAGGAGAGTATTACGGTATTAACATATTTAAGACACGATTGTGTCATTCCCTTACCCCCTCGGTATCTGGCAAAGGATCTGATCAACCGTGTTGCTTCTCTCTGGTTCATCAGACTTCATCTGTGACCTTACCGTAAGACCCATTACAGGACACACTGTTGTGCACCCACAGAGGTGCCTGTCTGTCGAGCTCCAACATGCATCTGATACAGCAACAGGATGCAGACGCCTTTCTTGGGGACCCCTTCGTTACTGTTTCGGACCTGTTCGAAGAGCCTAAGCTGCCGCATGCCCCCACCTTCTCTGAGATAGAGAACGAGTTTGAAGCCACTGCGGTCCAGAAAGACATCGTAGGCGAAGCGATCCAGTGGCTTACCTCCGAGCTTCGTCTTCCAAGTTATACCGCAAACCTCCAAAACATTGTCAACGCATGGAATACTCTGGCAGCATACCGTGAGTCTCTTAACTCGATGTCGTCATTCTGTTTCCTAGCTGGCCTGTTGACCCTTGGACCGTAGACACTAGCCTCCGGTCCCATTTCCATGTCCACCAGAAGAGTGGTCGGCTGGTCGTCCGGGTTGTCAGGCGGATCGAACCTATCACCCTCGCCGATGCGCCGGACAGGCTTTCACCCGGCCGGCTGGCCCACGTCACGGTCGCGGCTAGAAAGGACGGAGACTTGCAGCTGCGTCTGCGTTTCCGACGAGCTCTGATCGACGCCACCTCACTTGACCACATCAAGCTCGACTTGTTCTTGCTCCTTTGTGGTATACCGCCCCAGGAGCATATCGGCTTCCCCAACTACACTCGCTTCTTGCGGCAAACAAAAGACTCAACAAGGTCAAGAGAGTTCTGGGCCAGTACGCTTATGGGAGCGGTCCTACGGTCGGCCGTCCTCCCGCGCGAGTTTTTGGGACAGGCAATAGCGCGGCCAAGAACGTCTGTCACCACCATCGTCAACCCTCTTTCGCTTGGGGGCGATGTGGCTATTTCTCGCAGGACCGTCCTCGAGCTCCTCTGGGCCTATGTATTAAGCGTCCATGCTGAAGCGGACGAGGTAGTCTTCGGCACTGTCCAGAGGGATGCCAGTTTCTTCGGATCGGACTCTTGCATTGGATGCCTTGATCAGACGTACCTTGTCCGCCTCCACATATCCGGGGAGGACAGCATTGGCGACGCCGCTGCGGCGCTTGATGCCTACCATGGCTCTGCGTCTGCTCACGGGTTCCTCGGACTGAACGCTATGCGTGTCCACTTGCCAGAACAAGTTCCGGTTGAGGCTGTGTTCAACTATACACAAAGCTCCAACCCGCAATGCATTGCCCCGGGCTTGAAGCAGTTTCCCTTGATCTTGACAATCTGCGACGCCCCGGGACCCGAACTGAAGCTGATGTTAACTTACATTGCCGACATTGCCAAGGCCGACGCGGAGATTCTGCTAGAACAACTGGTCACGGCCATCCAGAGTGTGTCAGTCAAGCCGGATCTAGCGAATACTCCCCTCCAGGACATTGACCTTGTATCGGCTGCGGAGCGGGCAGTTGCGTTGACACCGCCGCTTTTCAGCGGGGTGGCCGATCAGCCCACGCTTCCGGATCTGATTGAGGCGGCCGTCTCTCGGCATCCGGAGCAAACTGCGGTCCAGTTCGAGGACAAGGCGTCGCTCACATACCGCGAGTTGAACGCTCTCGCAAACGGGGTTGCCAAGACGCTGAAGCTGCGCCGAGGAGACATTGTCCCGTTGCTCATGGACCGCTCTGCAAACCTACCCGTGGCCATGCTCGCCATCCTCAAGTCGGGCGCCTCGTACACGATTATGGGCACGGATGTGCCGTGGGAGCGCAACGCGCGTGTCGTGGCTGAATGTGATGCGGAAGTGGTCTTGGCAGACAAGAAACAAGCACATGCCGAGTTCCCAGGCACCAAGACCATCAACATCGAGGAGCTCCTTGACGCAGCTGCCTCCCATGCAATCCATAATAACGACCTCGCCGGCCACGGTATCAAGAGGCCTCGCCCTGGCGACCTCTGCTACATCATCTACACATCCGGCTCCACCGGAAAACCCAAGGGTACCATGATCACCCACCTCGCCGCGGCCAACGGCATCCTCCACCACACCTCCATCGCGCATATCCCACGCACTCTTCTCTTCTACAGCCCCACGGCTTCCGCCGCGCAGCGCACCTTCAACTCGGTCCTTATCCACGGCGGTACCATGGTGCTCGCCAGCAAGGAGCGGCTCGCCAACGACCTCGCGGCGGTCATCAACGACCTCCACGTTGACGCCGTGGAAATGACCCCGACCGCCCTGGCTCTACTCCAACCAACCGACGTCCCGCGCTTGAAGCAGGTCACCATCGCGGGCGAGCGGATCCCAGAGCCGCTCGTCAACCAGTGGGCCGCCAACGACCGGCTTGTGGTGCGCAACCGCTACGGGTCGAGCGAGTGCACGCAGATGAGCCACGGGCGCCGGATGCGGCCACGGGAAAACCCGCGCGTGCTCGGCGAGCCAGAGGACACCACCTTTGCGTGCGTGCTCTGGCCGGGTACGACGCACCTTGTGCCGGTGGGCGTGCCGGGGGAGCTATGTTTAGCTGGGCCGCAGCTGTCGGCGGGCTATCTAAAGGAGCCCGGGCTTACGGGGAGGGTGTTTGTTAACAATCCATTTTCTGAGCAGCTTGGAGAGTTGTACAAGAAGATGTACCGCACTGGTGACAAGGTGCGCCGGCTTGCGGACGGGTCCATCGAGATGCTGGGCCGCATCGACTGGCAGGCCAAAATCAATGGGACCAAGGTTGAACCTGCTGATGTGGACCGCGCGCTGGGTGAGCATCCTGACGTGGCCGCTGTCGCGACGGTTGCCGCCGAGGTTGAGGAGGGCCGACTAGCCCTCGTGACTGCTATCGTGTTGGTCAAGACTCGCGTTTGGGCGCAGGTGCTCCCTTCAATGCGGCCGTTTGCGGTGAAGGCTCTGCCACCTTTCATGGTTCCTAGCTTCTGGCTGCCTCTCCAACAGTTACCGAGGAGCATGAACGGAAAGGTTGATTTCCACGCTCTGCGAAAGGCAGCATGCGAGCTGGGGACAGCCGGGCTCTCGCAGTTCCTTGTTGCGCAGCCGCAAACGAGACACGACCCTGGTGAGGATCCGGTCGACGACATGGAGCGTGATATTGCCCGCATCTGGGCCACGGTACTTGGCCTCGACAAGACTCTCGTCCGGCGTCACCACTCATTCCTGTCCCTGGGTGGCAACTCTCTGCTGGCCATCAAAGCAATTGGTCAGCTGCGCAAGGAAGGACTCGTCACCGACTTTGCCAATCTCATGGCGGACAAGCCACTGTCCGAGGTAGCCCTCTCTGTTTCTGAGCACAAGTCATCGCAAGTTGCTCCCGAAGTACCACCGTTCTCGCTTCTGGGAGCAGACGCGGCCAACTTCGTGGAGCGTGTGCAGACAGAGTTCGGGCTGGACCTCGTGGAAGCCTATCCCGCTACACCGTTACAGGAAGGGGTGTTAGCCACTCTGAACCAAGAAGACGGAGATCCCTACACATACCGCCGCGTATGGGATATGGAAGGCCTCGATATCGAGCGGCTAAAGGACAGCTTCCGACGTGTCCTCGTTGCGAGGGACATCTACAAGACCGGATTCGTGCCCCGCGGGCGAAACTTGGTTCAAGTGGTCCGAAACAATCTTGGCCTTGCCTGGGAGGAGTGGCATGGATCCCTCGAGGCATATTTGGATCATGACAAGAAATTATTCATGCCATTGTCGGGACCCCTGTTTCGCACCGGACTTGTGGCGAACCGCTACCTTGTCACGACGACGCACCACGCTCTTTGTGATTTTTGGTCTCATAGGATCCTGTTCCAGGATGTTGCTGCCGTATATACGGGCAGAGAGGTGCCGAGCCGGCCCAAGTTCAACAACTTCATTCAGTATCTCCTCTGCCAAGACTTGGTACCAGCCCGGGAGTTCTGGGCATCCTACCTGCAAGGTTCGCCGAGATCAATCATCAACTATGCGCCTGGGGAGAAGACAACAATAACAACCAGGCGTATCACGCTGAACTTGAAACAAACCACGCTGGGATCACTCGTGCATACCGCCTGGGCCGTACTCCTCTCTCACCATCTCGGGTCGCACGATGTAACATTCGCCACTGCCGTCTCAGGCAGAGAAGTGCCTCTTCTAGGAATTAGCGACATGGATGGGCCGACTCTTACCACGGTGCCGCAGAGAGTCAAGCTTGATGACCAGACAAAGGCACTCGGGCAACTGGTCAAGGATGTCAGAGCCGGCTTCATGCAGGTCGCCAAGTACTCCCAGGTGGGACTGCGAGCGGCACTGCAGGCAGGTCAACTAGACCCGGGCAGTATCGACACTCTTGTCAATGTGCTAGTCAAGAACGAAGATCCAGAGTTCGTGCGGGATGTCTTCAAACCCCACGGGGAGCGCCCTCTCTGGAACTCTGGGCCTTGGACAACACTCGAGGTCGAGGAACTGGGCAAGACCTCCGAGCCAGCTGAGGCAACCATCGAGGTCCGTTTGTCCGGTACCGCCGAAGCTCGGCGACTTGAGTTCCTGGCCGACTCATTCATCAAGATTGCTACTGCCATCTTGGAGTCTCCGGATCAACCGTTATCGAGCGTCCATGTTCTCGGAGATGCTGAACAGAAATACTTGTTAAACACCCTCTCAAATCGCGGGACCCTCGTGGTGCCATCTCCGCAACTTCTCCATGCGCGATTCGAAAAGCAAGCGGAGCTTGTGCCGGACGCCATCGCTATTGACTGGGAAGGTGTGGAGCAGGTCTCGTACGGGGAGCTCGACCGGCATGCCAATCAGATAAGCCAACTCTTGATCCAAAAAGGGGTTCTACCTGGAGATGTGGTTGCCCTCATGCTGGACAAATCTATCGAAGCTGTGGCTGCTATCCTCGGAGTGCTCAAGTCGGGTGCGGCATACACGCCCCTGAGCGCGGAGAACCCTGCAGAGCGGAACTCGTTGATTGTAAGCGAGACCAAAGCCAGGGCTGTCATCATCCATCAGCAAGACGCTGACTTCGCCCTCCACCACGTACCTTCTTCGACGGTGTCCATCGTAATCAACAATGAGGCTACAAAAACAACCTTCCTCTCAACCCAACCCAATACGAAGCCAACCGTAGCGACAACACCCTCCCACCTCGCCTACATCCTCTACACCTCCGGCAGTACCGGCCAGCCCAAGGGCATTCAAGTGCCGCACGGCAGCGCCGCAGCCGCGGTCGGTAGCATGATCACGGCAGAACGCCGCCAAGCCGGCGAATGGCGCACCCTGCAGTTCGCCAACCTCGTCTTCGATGCGTCGGTGCAGGACCTGTTCAACACGCTCAGTACGGGTGGCACGCTGTGCATGGCGCCGACAGAGCGGCTCCTGTCGGACCTCGCGGGCTGCGTCCGCGCCATGCGTGTGCGCCAGGCGATCCTGACGCCGACCGTCGCCGGTCTGTTGAGGCCTGGGGACGTGCCCGGGTTTGAGACGCTTATTGTGGGTGGCGAGCCCCTTACGCGGACCGTGGTGGAGGCGTGGAGGCCGGCGTGTCGTGTCTTGAATGTGTATGGTCCTACTGAGACGTGCATGGTCGTGTCTGCGAAGGAGGTTGAGCTGGGCGCTGGACCGACAACGAGTATTGGCAGTATTGGCAGGCCGTTTGAGACTGTCATGGCATTTGTGGTCGATCCGGCGGCTACCGGCGAGCAACTCGCCAAGGTTGAGGATGCCGGTGGTTTCCTCCGGCCATATGGCACGGTGGGTGAGCTGTGCATCGCCGGTCCGCAGGTCTCGGCTGGATACGTCGATCGGCCGGAGCTCACCGCTGCGTCATTTGTGGAGATGAGAGCGTTGGGGGGAGTAAGCGTTTATAGAACCGGTGACTTGGTCAGGTGGCTGCCCGGCGGCGAGCTGGAGTGCCTTGGCCGCAAAGATAACCAGGTCCACCTTCATGGTTACCGTGTCGAGCTGGGAGAAGTGGAGGCGACGGTGCGGGCGTCTGGTCTGGTCAGGGATACTGCGGTTGTGGTTGTGGAGGTTAACAAGAAGCCGCAACTTGCTGCCTTCTGCATCTTTAACGGAGACAAAGACGACACCACCACTACGACTGCTGTTGCTGCCATCCAGCCACCGGAGCAACACCAAAAAGTCATCCACGCATTGAAAGACTGCCTGGAGCACTCCCTCCCTCCATACATGGTCCCCTACGCGGTGCTGCCCATGGTCGACTTCCCAAAGTTGCCATCGAGGAAAGTTGACAGAAAGGCCCTGGGAAGGCTGGCCGAGAAGATGGACTGCGTCGCAATCTACCCGTATGTCCTCAGCAGTACTGTTGGGACAGAACACACCGCCGTCTCAGTGCAGACAAACGACGAGGCCATGCTCGAGGCGTTATGGGCCGAGATCCTGGGCGTCCCTGAGCAATCATCCATCGGCAGAGAAGCCAACTTCCGTTCCTTGGGCGGGGACTCCATCTCGGCAATCAGTTTGGCTAGTCTGGCGCGCCAGCGTGGTTTTGCGTTGAGTGTTCCGGATATACTGAGGCACCGCACCCTCAAGGAGCTCGCAACGAGCATGACGGAGCTGGATACGGAGATCGAGTCCTCCGAGATCTTTGAGATTCCCGACTCAGTCAAGACCCTCATAGATGTTCGTGGGTTGAGCTGTGATCGAGATGTGGATTATGGTATGTATCCCCTTGCCGGGGGAAGTTGTCAAAAGAATCAACACTGACAAGTCCCAGTCTATCCAAGCCCGCCTGGACAAACCGAGTTCCTGAGGCAAGGTGCCCGGGACAAGCAGATGTGGGTGCTCAACACTGTCAGGCGAATGCCACCCTCCATCGACCAGGACCAGTGGATTGTGGCGACGGAAGCACTCGCCAAAGCCAACGACATCCTGCGAACGTCCTGGTTGCAAGATCCAGAGGACAATAAATGGTTCGGCGTCGTGCTGCGAAACGCAAAGCTCTCTGTGCAAAGGTTCGAATGCCAAGAAGAAGCTGAGGCTTCAAATGTCGTTGCTAAGGTGTACGCGTATCGTTTCACCTTCCCGGAGCCCTTCATTCGGTACGTGACCATCACTTACCCTGATCGGTCATGGGACCTCGTCATCAAGATGGATCACGCCGTATACGACGGCACCCTCCTGCGCATCTTTGACAATTGTTTCGGCGCCATCATTCGCGGCACTGAGATCCCGAAGCATGTTGAATTTCAAGACTTTGCCTTTGCCGTCTCCGCGGCAAACAAGTCCCGATCCCTCAGGTATTGGGCGGCGAAGCTTGCCAGCACGGGGGCAAAGACCATAAATGCACCACTCGTAACTAAAGCCACACCATGGCTTAAGGCGCTGGCCCCTTGCAGCACCGGCCTCCTACGAAATCCTTTGCCTGCCGCACGGGCTGAGATTTTGGAAGACCTGGCCGCCAGCCTCGGTGTCTCTCCGTCATCCATCTTCCAGGCGGCCTTCCAGCTCTGGCTCTGGCAAACAGCCGGGCGCGGTATCCAGCCGGTAGGGTTTGACTACCTCGTCAGCGGCCGGAGTCTACCAGGCAACGTGGCGGCCGCCCTGCCCGGCGATCCACAAACCATCAACGGCACGGTGGCAAATTTCCTGCCTTTCGTCGTCTCCGACGTCGAGTCCACCGAGCCACTCTCGGCATATCTAACGCGCACTCACGACGACTTCTGGGCGGCGACAGACCACGGCGACGTCGGGCTGGACGACATGTACGCCGCGGCAGGCCTGAATCGGGCCGGGGCGGGAAACCGCGTCTTGTTCTTATTCCAGCCGTTCAACCCTGCGTCGCCGGTCGCTGACAATGACCCGAACGGGGGGCTCAACTTTCGGTGGCTGGTCATGGCCAAGTCGCGAGTGCGTATGTTCCAGCCTTATGCGTTAGTTGTAGAGGTAGCTAAGGCTCCCGGGGGTGTGCACAACTTGACCATGTTTTACGACGATACCCTATTTGAGCGAAGCGAAGTGGAGGCGATGGCGGCGGAGATGGCGGGCATGATTGAAAAGGTAATTGCGGCGTGTAGAGGCAAAAGGCCGCCGACCGTCGGGGACTTGTTCACAGAGTATTAAAATGAAGAGAATAAGGTAGTGTGGAAGGAATGCCACAAAGGTGATTCCATCTACAAAGCTCCGGGGATTGTCTGGTTACTGTCATGGGGTAAAGTCGCGATTCTCCAGGACTTACTTATCTGACTAGGAACCACCAACATCTTTCTCAAATAGCATTCAATGCGGCCAGACCTGGCAAGGCTGAACAAAACATGGTTGACAGGTAATAATTAGGGCTAGCTACTCATTGCCGTAGCGAACAACGTCGGCCTTGGCGTCTATTTTCGAAACAGGGTCTATCTCTGGGCTGTTGCGTGATCGTAAGAAGCCCACCGTCGTTGTGATGAGCTGTTGTTCTGCCTTTCACAGATAATCAATGTTCCATCGGCACTGGATCCTAGATTAATATAATTAGGCATGTGCTTCAGCTAAGCTTTCGAATTTGACCAAGGTGTTCTCTAGCGGACTTCCTAGCCAAGAGCTTCAGGAAGCCATGCGAATGATCTTTTACCAAGGTTGTATGTAGAAGCAAACGAATGATGTGTTTATTTATGTGGTTGCTTCCACTCGAGGCTACGGGATAACTACCGCAACCAAAGGCTTGGTAGCCAACAATTTGATCCTAACTGATAATGAAGGAAAGTCAAGAAAGAAAGATTGTCCTTCTCCGTACCCAGTCTGTTTGCAAACAAGATCAACAGGTCCAAATACCCAGACTTCCCCCACACATGGTAACCCCACACGTGGTACCCCCACACATACCATGTTGACCGGGTCATTGGCAAGGCTTGCTCTATCAAAGGTTGCTACAGATGCTCGCACCCTGGACGTCATAACCATAGTTCTTGTTGCTTCCAAACAGCCACCAGCCACTGCGGTATTGGCCACACTTGGCCGAGATCTGTGTGTTTGCCAAACTGTCCTCGCTCGCGAAACAGCTCTGTCCGCCTGAATAGTCACAGGTGTACGCGATGGTCCCGCCCACTGTATGGAACCAGATCGCCTGTGGATACGTCTTGCCGTTCCCACAGGCTTGCTGAAGCTGCGCGACCGCATTGTCGGTATCGCTAAGGTTGAGGTCGTGGCCGGTGCACTATAACACACACGTAGACGTCAGCGGTTTGGCTTTCAGGCCAGGTTAGTTATATTGCTGAATTGTAATAACTCACTCCGCTCTGGTCCCGACGGGTCAGGCTAGGCGCGTGCCGGATTTCCCGCTTGGTCGCGGACGGTGCAGCAGCGTCGGGCAAATCGGCCAGGTCGACAAGGTACGCATGGAGCTGGCCGGTCTCATTGAGTCGGACAGCGTAGAGGCCGTCAGCAAGGCCAGTGGGGACGATGTAGGCCTGGGTCGCGGCCACAGTGGAAAGGATGGCGAGAAGGTTGGTGGGCTGCATGGTGAATTGCTGGTAGAGGGAAGACTCTTGACAATATTGTGAGAAGAAAAAAGGCTAAGTCTTGGGGTTTTCAAGGCAATGGCTGCAATAGAAGAGATGTGCTGTGACCACTCGAGCCTTCTAGGTGCAGAAGCAGGCTGATTCTTATACTTTTTCGTTCTGGCCTGCCCCATCTTGGCCCCCATGTCGTTTCCCAGGACTTCTGTTTCTCTGTCTTTGTTCCTCTGTCTCTCTTCTCAGAGTCAACTGTTCGGGCACTCAAGGACTCGAATCCTGGCTCGTGGCGTCGTCATCTGTGTCTGCCTTTGGAGATCCAAACAGAGACATCCATTTGTTGCGATTTCGCCCCCAAATCCAACTGTCGAACCCATATATCGGAACTTTGTTTCTGTAGTTGGGGGAGTACAGAAGCCAGGAAGGGGTATGTTGTCATCGTCCTCAGCTGGCAGCATAGCCTTGGTGGTGAATCACGACCTGCAGGTTACTGTGTAGTATACGAGCTGTGGCTTGCTATAGGAACCTCATTGAATAAAGGAAAAGCCTGTAAGGAACTTTTAGCATCCTACCCAGCTCCAAAAGCCTGTTCCACCTATCGTAAAATCGCCAGCCGGTTACGCGTCCTCGGATCGTCCTAGTGATGATTTGGCCCCCACTGTCACTTAAACATACACCAAAAGCTGTGACGACGGTGCAGCCGGTGAGCGAGCTTCCATCAAGGATCAAAGATGTAGACCTAATAATCCTTTCTGGCCTGAAGGTCCTTGGTCCCTACACCCTTCGAGTTGGGTCTGATCGTGGCCCTGCACCGACCTTCGTCTAGTTGACGCCACCTGAGTTGGTTAGCTAATAATTATCTGTTTGTCTACTTGTTTGGCTTGTCTCAGCCAATAATTATCGGCCATCCTCAGTCTTAGCTACAAATTGAGCGCGTTGTAGGCATTTACCATTGGAGCTGGCTCCTAATTACACCTGAGATATGTGCATCTTGATGATCTTGTGTTCTAAGTAACACGCCTCCGATATTTACTCCACCGGGGTTACAAACCAGACAGACAAGGGGGGTGAGCAGGGGTTGACTAGGACAATAAATTCTTGCCGATGCTGATTATTCGGCCCTGGTTCTTGTAGCAGCCCTGGCTGTCTCGCTGTGGCAATCCCCCGGGCTGTCTGGTTTGTGACCCTGGCGGTGTATTGGGGCGTGCCAAGCCTGCCTGATCCTTCGGAGGTTGTTCCGACCCTGCGGCGGCCGTGTGCCAAAAGCTTACATGGTTTCTTGTGTTAACGACGGAGGAATCAAGCTCCGGTCAAGAGAAAGAGGAGAGCGGGATTTATGCACAGCTGAAATTGTGAAACATTTAGCAAGCTACCTTTGCTTGTAATGTACAGGAATGTGCCGGATGCTACATTGATCCGTTGTCAGCTCGTCTCAATCTACCTATCATCTGAGAGCAATGCAACACATGATTTCCTAAGGGATTTCTCTGCCCGACGAAAAAGAATCCCGGAGATTGTCGTCAAGTTGCTAGAGCCGGCGGGCGTGGTGGCGGGCGCAGCCAGATGATGTCTTGGCAAGGCGGACGGCGATCCTGTCGTAGCGGCCTCCTCGACGCTGGACCGCGGTATCGTGACAATCGAGGGGCATCAGGTATTTGCCTTGGTCAAATCCTATCTTTAATGACGTCTGGAATGCAACGCCACGGTTCGTTATGGTGAAGGATAGGGCGTCGTGGCGGAGAAGGTCGGCGATGAGCTCCATACGACGACACGAGGCGAACTGCCGCGGGAACTAGGCGAGAACGCCGTAATACTAATTACTGGGAGCTCGGGCTGTGCTCGTTTTTGGACCACGCAGAGAGAGAGAGAGAGAGAGGACGTTTGTCGATTGGGCAATGGCCTCTTGCAGCCGGATGAGGGTCTGACCACCCTCGCCGTTATTAGATCAGTCGACGCCAAAGATCGGTACTCAGCAGAGAATATGCAGTGACCTCCTCGCATATCATCAGTCGATTGGCGGCCCATGAGATCCTTGACGATAGTTCGAACAAACTGGAAAGCTTCCCGGTGGTTTTTATTATTGTGGGTAGTACATAACACAGCCCAAGCCGCGATCCGGCGTCGTTAATTAATTAACTGATCTTGTTCACGGTCTGGGTCAGTCTGAGCCTGTGATTGTAGTAAGAAATTTCATTAATGTACGTTACACGACGGAGAATAATGGGTGACTTTACCCGTCCCATTCGGTTGAGGCACTCAAACCTCTTTTCTAGGGCCTTGGGCAAGGGTAGGGAGAGTCTACGGCTCTGTAAAGCTGCCGCAGTTAGCATCAAGCGTGTAAATGTTCAGCATCTCAGATTCCCGACGCCTCCCAGCACAGCTTTGCCGGGTTGTATAGCATCACAACACCCCGATGCTACAAGCTCCTACACCTCCCCATCCAAGCAGCCCTGCGTTTACACGTAACCCAGTGTCGATAAGCTACACGCGGCCGCTGGTGTGGTGAGCCGAGGATCTTCGCCCGAGACATCCCCTCCAGTTAACGAACGGTGCCGTCAAAGTTGGTCAAACCATAATCAACACCTTTACCCCGAGCCCCTCCTCCCCGGCCACCATCAACGCACACTTGAAACAGCTCCGCCCGCCGTCCCTCTGCCAGACCACCGCATCCACCCCCTTCTGGCTGCACCACGCGCGCGCAAACGTCTCGGCCACGCCCCCACCCGCGGCGTTGATCACCGTCGTTGTGGCGCCCGCCGCCCCAGCCGTGCCGGGCTCCGAGCGCGGCAGATCCTCGAGCGCCAGCACGCGGAAGGTGTATGCGGCTGCGCGGCGCGGGTCGACGCGGTGCGCGGATCCGCCTCCCCGGCGCGCGGGCGCGGCCACAAAGACGCTGTTGGCGTGTAGCGTGATGGTCCCCATGGTCCTGCTGCGCACAAGCCGGAAATCGAGACGTGCGCGGTACTCCGGGGTCCGCACGCCGCCCACTGGCGCGCCCGGGAGTTTGCTCAGCCGGAGGGTCTGCAACGTCACCGTGTCGGCGGGGCCGGGCGGCGGGGCCGCTGTGGCGCAGCCCGCACGCTTGCTCTCTGTCACGAACGCTGGTATGTTGCGGGTTTCGAGGGCGTCCGGGTCGGCAGGGTCCCCCGTGGTGAAGGTCGGCGGGCGGGCCTGCAGCTGGACGAGCAGCCCAAAGGTGGATTCCGGGAGGGACGGCGACGGGCATGGGCCGACCCAGCCGCCAATGCACCTTATTGGGCTCACGTTTGCGTTGTTTGTGTTGATGCCGTCAGCCCCGGCGATGGCCGTGGACATAGGCGCCATGACCTTGCCGACCACAGAGCGCACGCATCAGTACGAGGCTTGCGGGTACACGATACCGTAGCTCCCTTTGCGTGGCTGGATGGTGGCGCGAGGAAGGCAGTTGCGCAGGGTGGGCGACAAGGCGGAGAAGACACCTATGAGGGAGGACTGGAAAAGAGCGCCCGGGAGGAAGAGCCCATTTATCCAGTCCCAAACACACATGTCGATCCCGGCCGTGTTCTCGGTGTCGGGGTCCCGCAGATTGGCTGCCGTGTCGTGGATCTCGTCGACGTACGGCCACTTCATTTCCTTGGCGAACTTGACGATGCCGTCGATCTGCTCCTCCTTTGCGTGTCTGGTTACCTGAAACGCGTCGGTGTCTTCCCTGTACTCCAGCTTGGTGCTCCACAGCTCGGCGGCTACCAGGTCGTAGACGATGCGCGCGGTGATGCCACCGTGCCACTTGCTCTGCGAGCGCGCGATGCGCAGCGTAACCTCGCGCGCCTTCACCATCTGGAATAAGAAATCGATCATGCCAAAATTGCCGCCGCCGCGATTTGGATCCGAGTTGGCGAGGCAACCGATGCTGCCGGTTGACTCCAGGCTGGGAACCGGTGACATCCTCATGTCGGCCAAGAGGTCCGAGATCTGGTGCCGCATCTCGAAGCCCTCCTCTGGGTCGAGCCACGTATAGCTTCCACGAGGTATATTCAGCAACCGTCTACGGGCTCAAAGGGAGCAAGGGAGAAAGGGTGGGAGCGACGTGGGGGGTTGAACGTACTCGCTAGGCCCAAGAAGCTCGCGGAGTTGATCGTGGCCTTTCTTTTCCGTCCAGTCCTCGCCTAACCCGTTCTTCATGGTGGAATTCCACCGCTGGAGGGCGAAATTCGAGGTGAGTGCTGGAGTGTTCGTCGCTCGCAACCATCCTTTCTGCGACTGTTCTACTTCCTTTACCGCTTGTCTCCAAAACGTCATCTCCCGCGCGAAGCCCGTCAAGGAAGTCGACCCAGGAGACCACCCGGCGTATCTTGGATCTGCTGCGACGTCCACTTCCAGCACGTTTTTAGCCACGCCTAGAATCGAGTCCGGGATAAACACCAGGTCTGCGAGCTACTCGTTAGCATAATTACCATCACACGATACGATTGAAAGTTTGAGTTGAAAGCCTTACTGAACGCCGGGTGGAAAACCGGTTGGATCTCGGACAAGTCGGGGACCTCCCACTGGCCCGAGACCCACGCATAGCATGATAAGCTATCGGGCTTAGAATAGACCTTGTGTATTAAGCGTCAATTCTGGGTTCCGGAGGACCGGTGGGAGGAGGTGATGCAACAGGCAGAGGAGACGGGCTTCGTGATGTTGGAACAGCCGCGGGCGACGGAATCACCGTCGGCTGCGGTGTTTCTGCTGTCGGTCGAGGTGCTGCCGCCGGGTCCGAGACGTGCACAAGTCTGGGTTGCAACCTCCTCGGGACGCTCTCTCCCGTCGTGGAGAGCATCTCCAGTCGCAGGCTCGCCGTCTCCGAGACGAGGTCGGCCACTTCGTCAGCGGCGCTGACGAGATTTTGGAGCTGGTTGACATCGTTACTCTGCATGATCTCGGCGCGCATCCTAACGCGGGTCTTGTTACTGACGGCCGGCAGCAGCGACATCAGTGGGTCGTTGATGGCCTTGAGCTCGCTGATCAGGGCCCGAAACTTGGGCTCATCCACCACGGCCCATCGCGCGCGTGTCAGGGGAGTTGCTTGCTTCTGGGCCACGGTGGTCCGGTCTTGGAAGCTGGCGTACGTCTTGCGGAAGGTGGCTGAAAGGATCGCGCGAGTTGGCCTGTCCGGCGTTGACGACGACGACGACGCCACCGCCGCCGCTGATGTAGCCGTCGCAGTCGCCGGGGCAGTAGAGGCCATCAAGGCGTCTGGCGTGCCCTTCCTCTTGCTTTCGGGCTGACGCACTAGCCCGTACCGCTTTTGGAGTTTCTCGACGTCTTCAAACACACGAACGAAGCAGGCCAGTAAGCCGGCGACCGCCGTGCGTAAGGCTGGCCGTTGCATTGACTCGTCAATCACTGCGAGGTCATCTTCGGTGGCCGCCGATTTGGACGAGTCGAGGGTTACCTCGGTGAGCCCAACCGAGTCGCCCCAAATCATGAGCCGAACCCTCTCTACTTCGAGTTTGGTCTGCAGCAGCTCGCGGTCCACGCCAAACCGAGCGGCGGCGGACAGTGCGTCGAGCAGCTCGATGCAGGTGCTGTAAAGGCCCGCAAGACCGAACACGCCGATCGCTAAGCCTGCGGCTTCCATATTCTGGTTGTTGTAGTGCTCGAGGTCCACGGTAGGTTTTAGACTGATAACATCGTAAGACGTCTTTATGGTTTGGCAAAGGATGGGGCTCGATTCGGGCCTTGAGGACCTGGTAAGATAGGTACCGTACAGATGAGAGAGGTGTGACCATGTGAGCCTCGCCTGCCTGCCGGCCGTAATCCTTGCCCAAAAGTCCGCCACTAACTAATGCTGGAAGCACGCCATGCAGGGGCTGCGCCACCATTAAACCGGTGTGGATGGGTGGACTGGGTGGATGAAGACAGTACCTAACTACCGGGTGAACAAGTTTTGGCAGGCCAACTGGGCCTGGTTCCCCTCCGAATTATCGGCTCGGACATGGATATTCAAATGGCTCTCGACAGCGCAAACGGGTGGTACCTGAAGACGTATGCACTTTGTGACTTTAGTTTGGCCGGAACTTAACCACCCTTGATTTCTTTATCTACAGATACACATTTGCTGGATCTCGATATCTCGGAAACTTACCCTGCTTGCTCACAATCTTAATGACCAGAGGAAATTGGGACAGGAGCATCACAGCCCAGAGCGCCTTGTGTCAGTCAGCACGAGCAAAACCCGGTGTAGCGTTTCCGTTATGGCAGCATATTTCTCACTTGCCTGGAACGGCGTTTTGGCGACAACGACATTGCCTCCCTCGATAGAGAGCAGCCAGGCCTCCCAGTCGGCGCCGCAGAAGCTGTCTGGACAGGGCTTCAAGGCCACGGGGCTCACGTCCTCATAGTCCAACCGATCCCAGTGAGATAGCGAGGCCGGGCGCACCAGGGCCTCCAGTGTCTTCTTATGATCCGCATCCTTCCGCCCGAAGCGGGCACGGAAGGCCTCCTGCTCCTCACGCTCGAACTCGAACTCCAGATAGTCCCACTCGATGCCTTAGAACTGGGTCGGCTCGGCCTCCAGCTGGTCGAAGACGTCACGGATCGCGTCGGCGGCGCTAATAGCATCGGTGGAGAGGTATTGTCTCGGCACCCTCAGGCCGAAGCCCATGTTTCTCCGTTCCTGGTCGCTCGGCCGGTACTTGTAGCTGTGGACGCTTAGGAAGTGTAGCTCCAGTGACGTCGCATCGTACTCGTAGACCCAGTAAGCGATGGCGCGCCACAGGTCGGCCCATTCGCCCCAGCTCCGGCCGCGGCCGCCCTTGTTCGTGGTCGCGATGGCGCCGGCTACCACTCCATGCTTGCCGCCCTCCCACCCGTACCACTGGCCCGCGATGAGCGTGCGCTCCGGGTACTTACCAGGTGGCTGGCCCATGTACATCAGGCCCATATACGCGCCCCCGCCCATGGCCACGCTGATGGCCGGCCCGATGGAGCATGGCTGCGGATCCGGACCGACCAGGGTAGAGCGAGCGGCGCGGCATGCTGCGGCCAGCTGGGCGGGGAGGTCCCGGGGCAGGCCGACGGAGCTGGGGTCGGTGTTGAAGTCTACTACCACGGTCTTGCCGGCGTTGTGGATGGCGTCCGCGGGCGCGGTCAGCTTGCACGCGTCGCGGTTCGAGAGTGTCTGGCTTTTAGAGTACCGCTTGGTGAAGAAGGCGTGCAGCTCGGACCAATCTGGGTGGTTGTAGATGGACCGGAGGATGGATGCAAATAGCAGCGTCGCCTTGAATCGCTCAGACTCCTGCTCGATGAATGCAAGTTGGCTGATGGAACGGCCTTCTTGGTATTTATAGGGAGGTATTGGGTGAGTCCCCAAGTCTGACAGAGGATAATGCTGGGGCCAAAGAAAAGAATGATCAAAGAACACCTACCTCTCCGGGCTTCCATGACTAGCCGGTCAAAAAGTTATAAGTCACCGGACTACGCAGGTGCAGTGCCAACGGAAGGGCGACTTCCATCGGGATGGCGGGCATGGTGGACGTCCTGTCGTTCTGTCGTTGATGAAACCCACCTCAGGGTCCTCAGTTAATATTACAAGTTGAAGCCACCCTCTGGAGGATTTGTTAGTGATGCGGTCACCACTGTCGGTCAAGCCTTGCGGTTCAGGAAAATCCATGCAGCCCAATGTGAACCCATGCTGACCATGACGGGTGATCAGCGCTTTAGTATTCGTACCAAGCAGTTCCTCCTTCAGTCGGCGGGGGTGGCTATGCCCCCTCCCACCCCCCTTCAGGCCCCTGTCCAAGCTCCAACGTCTTGGGACAAGGCTCTCAGGCGTACCTATCACACTACTGTGGTCGACGGTGGATTGCAATCACATCAGGACAACACCTGTACGTACTTGAATTATTTCGTCTCCAACGAGGTATTATATAATACCGTGTACGCCGATTAGAAATTCGAAACCCAAGAGCGAGAGAAAAATCAACAACTGTAACCATGGAAGCGGTAGCTCTGGGGTGACATGGTCGGCCTAATTACCCGGTCTCCTCCACAGGCATAGCTGCGATCGCGCAGGCTAGTGGACGGAACGCCCTAGTTACCACGTTCAAGAAGACCTACACGCGGTTTCGAACATCGGCGTCCCAGACACAGCATGCCGCATCGCTGGCTACAACGGTGCGGTGGGCAATCAGGGAGAAGAAGCGATTCCAGCGTTTCATCGACGACCTGCGTGGATTCAACGACAGCCTGGTTGCATTGTTCCCCGACGTCGGTTCACAGGCATGCGAAGCGATGGCGGCCGAGATCAATACGTCGACTGATCTTGGCAGTCTACAAGTTATCGAGCAGGCCGTTGGGGACCTAGAGAACGGCGACGAGGGACTGGCCGAGGCAGCCAGTTTACGCATTACGGAAATCTCACAGCATACGACAAGTCTCGCCACCAACGACGACGACGACGACGACGCGGAATCAAGCAGCACTGCCATCCAGGGAATAAGGGACGTCAACATGAAAATGCTTACCCAACAACTAGAAAAGCTGGGCGTCGCCATCAAGGCAGAACTTAAAGGGTCACTACAAATTTCCGTCCAGGATTTCGGGTTTGGAGACCACTACGGTTCCCTCAACTGGCGGGGCATGGAAAACAACGAGTTCGGGATCGAAGAGGGCAGGGAGAGAGAATATGTCCAATGCCCTTACCTTGCATGGTGTAATATGCGCCCCGAACCCCTGATGATCCTGATCCCCATCAGACGTCTCCTTTTCTTCCGGTTTTCCCAAGATCCAAAGCTAACAAACTGCATGCTTTCCTCAGACTTGATGTACGCATCAGAAAAGAACGGCTTCGAACACGGCGACTTTAGCCACCGAGATAGCGAAGCCAACCGCAAGTTCGAGGGCCGCTTTCCCGGCACGCGGACCGTTGAGGGCTACGGCGCCTCTTTCGGCACCTGGGCGCGGGTCCACAAGCCCGACTTCCCCCCTCGTCCCGTTTTCTGCAGCACTTTCGATGTGCCCGCCCACACAACCCCGGAGCTCATCGATCTCCTTTCCGACCTGCACCGCCGCAAGTCGCTGCCGTGGAACCTGACGAACGAGCGCGCGTACGAGTACCTCGACAAGCTGCTGGGCATCCGCGCGCACAGCAGGATGGCGCCCGGGGTCTCCTTCGACAACTCGATGCAGGTCATGGACCTTCTAGATACATTGAACCGCAGCGACCTCTTCGAGGACCTGCGCTCCGGCGGGTCGCTCGGGGCCCAGGCATTCCCAAACTTCCCCAACTTTCTATACCAGATGGTGGTGGCCTACGAACTGAAGCTGCGGTTGAAGGACCAGGGCTTTGGCGGCATCAACGCCCGGGTCATCGCGGCGATGCAGGCAGCCGAGCGGTGGGTGGACGGGGTCTCGATCAAGGTGACCAAGGGCTCGAACCCGCACGCCGAGCTGCGTAGCCTCGTCCACGAGCGGCAGGTCGAGGGTTTGGTGCGCTTCGCCGAGCTGCTCGCCTGGCCAGCGCTGGGGGAGATGCGCGAATTCGTCGAGGACGCTTACACCGACATGTGTGCCGGCATGCACCTCAGCTTCCACCTGTGGGACTGGCTGTTCGGCACCATGCTGCCCGGGAAGGCCTTTGCTTTCACCATCATGAGCGCCCTCGTGGCCGCCACCCCGAGTCTCCTGCCGCTCGGCGCGCCCAGATACTACGAATCCGGGCTCGTCCTGGAAAACAAGTCGTATTGGCGCGACAAGTGGGTGATGGGTCGCGTCCTGGGCGGTATCTGGGGCGTCAGGGCTGCCAATGGCTGGGTCGGGCCGTGTCCAGTGCCGGCAAAAGGCAGTCGTGAGCGAGTTTCCAAGAGCTGGCGGCGTGTCGTGGCCCGAGACACGGCCTTCGCGCTACCAGAACGCATCGCCCCGCACGCCGACGCTGACGAGTCCAGCCTGTTCTCCAGCTTGGACCGTGTAGGTGGCAACTCGTCACACGTCGAGTGGGTGCGCACCATCGGAGACCCGACGAAGTGGGTGGTGCCGGTCGGGCCCAGCAATGCGCCGGACACTGTGGAGCTCCGGGCCTTGGCGTTGAAGAGTATCCCTCGAGAACAAGCCCTGGACGAGTTTGGGTCTCAAAAAGGGACCGGATTGTCGATCGCTGTGGACCGCAGTAATACTGTCACTGTCTCAGTGCAAGACGACCAGGGAAACGAGACACCGATCGAAGACGATAAAGAACCGGCACAGCGAGCTGTTCTGGAACTGACCATCAACGGCCAGCCGGTATCATTCACCCTCTACAACAACCCCATCTTTATTGCCGCCCCGAGGTGTATTGATGGGCCTCATCCCGTCCACGAGCGGGACTTACCCAAGATGCAGCACATCCTGCGAGTTGGCCAACTCTCAGGCCATATCCACAATGATCCCCGGGTGCTAATCATTGACGCTACTGGAGGGGGCGAGTGTGAGCTGGCGGCGAGAGCGTGGTGTTCCGAATACGGCCAGCATGCCATTGTGAAACGGGGAACGGGGCCATGCATTGCCTGTGCGGTGAGGGCGGCGAGTGCCGAGGGGCTGGGCGTCGGTTGTGTAATATGGACCTAGCATTGTCGTTGATCAGATGTCCGCCTTGAAATGGGTTGAGCGAGGAAGAGGGAGGCTGAGCCGGACGCCAGTCTACACTAGATGCGAACGAGCAGGGTAATATGGGGGAGTAATTATCTGGCCAATTCTGTAAAACATATCAACTCCGTTCCACAGGATCACCACCCATTTGTTTTCGCAACATGCTTCCAACCCTATAAATAATACACCTCAACAAACTACTCACCATCTAGCCATAACCCCTTATTTCTCCAAGACAAAGACCGCAGGGGCGGCGAGGAGGCGGCTTGTGATGAGCATGCTCGTTCACACCAGTCTTGGCTTCCAAGCCTGGGCAAGCGAGTCGACGGAGCCAGAGGTGCAGGACCCGATCGCTTGCGGTGACGAGCGGGATTGAGCCTAGCCCCGGAGGGAGGTCCCGCCGGCTATTTGTAGGGACACGTCCATCTCCCCGCATGCCGGCTGACTTCCGCCCCAGACAAGCCGGTCTAATGCAAAGAGGGATCTAGACAACCTCGGGACTCCCGAGCATGCGCTTCAATGGCCGGGTAACCGTCTTAATATCCCCTCATTAGGGTACGGTTCCTAAGACTTTTATGCTGGGCGTCCCTTGCATCAGCCGCCCAGAAACCGGTTGGGCCGCGGACCCAGCTACCAGGTTGTCGTCTTGGCTGGCCTTTCTGCTCGCCAAGAACCACGCTCCAAACCCCACGGGCGGGTCGCGTAATTTTTAGCGTGCATCCCCGATTTCCTTTCCGGGAGTGGACACCACTGTTGACCTGTCCGATTGGGTGCTATGGAGTTTAACCGGTCGACAATGGCTTACACGACCTGCGGACCATCTTTGCGGCAGTTATGTAAATCTTGGCTCAACAGTCAGGCATGCATTGCAGAGTATAAGGCCCGCTATTGTATCATGACATTTTACTCAACCCTTCATTCACCCTTTCAGGAGACTCCCGAAGTAACCCACACAAAATGCGGTGTCTCTCTGTCATGGTCGCCGCCCTCTGGGCTGGCGCGGTCAGCGCCATGCCCGCCTCTGAGTCCTCGACATCTTCTCTTACTTCTCGCAAACCCGGAAAGCCCGGAAAGCCCGTAACGCTGCCGGAGGAGTTCGAGTGGAAATCCACCGGGCCCCTGATCGGCCCCAAGGACGACGACCGCCAGCTCGCGGGTATCAAGGACCCTACCATCATCGAGAAAGACGGCACCTACCACGTTTTCGCCAGCACGGCCAAGGCCGAGGGCTACAACCTTGTGTACCTCAACTTCACGTCCTTTGACAAGGCGGACTCGGCGCCGTTCTACTACCTAGACCAGGCGCCCCTAGGTGTCGGGTACCGCGCAGCCCCAGAGGTCTTCTACTTCGCACCGCACAAGCTCTGGTACCTCATCTACCAGAACGACAACGCAGCCTACTCGACCAACCCGGACATCAGCAACCCGGCCGGCTGGACGGCGCCCAAGACCTTCTACTCGGTGCGCCCCAAGACCGTCGACGACAACATTGGGGAGGGCTACTGGGTCGACATGTGGGTCATCTGCGACGCCAAAAACTGCCACCTCTTCTCGTCGGACGACAACGGCCACCTGTACCGGTCGCAGACCAAGGTCTCCGAATTTCCCGAGGGCATGAGCGAGCCCGTTATCGCCCTTGAAGACCCTGACCGCTACAAACTTTTCGAGGCCTCGTGCGTGTACACCGTCAAGGGCGCTGTCGGCAAGCAAAAGTACCTGCTGCTAGTCGAAGCCATCGGCACCGACTCGCAACGCTACTTCCGCTCGTGGACGTCGGACAAGATCGACGGGGAGTGGACACCGCTGGCGGATACCGAGGAGAACCCGTTCGCGCGGGCGAATAACGTCGAGTTTGAGGGGGATGCGTGGACGAAGAGCATCAGCCACGGCGAGGTGGTCCGGAAGCTGACGGACCAGACGCTGACGATTGATGTGTCGCAGCCGCTGCAGTTTCTATATCAGGGCCTGGATCCGTCCAAGGACTCGGGCGAGTACAACGCGCTGCCGTGGCGTCTGGCCTTGATCACCCAGGAGAAGACCTCGAGCTGCAAACCGCGGGAGTGATTTGTAGTACCTTAAGCTACCGTTCAAACCAAGGATGCATCCCATTTGCCACCTTTGGTAAAATAACTTAGTTCGTGAAGCCCGGTAACGCAATACAATGAGTACGATGAATACCATCTTAACACGTCCAAACCCTTGAAACCACGGAATGTAAACCACAAAAAGTGACAAACACACACGCTGTGACTTATTTTCTCGATGTTGTTCTAGCATCGAAGGCTGAGTTGGTTTCTCATAAATTAACTTGCCTGGCTGCCGACAAGACGGCAGACGATCTCGCGCATGGCGACGTCGGTGACCCGGGTGCACGTGTACAGCTAGTCGACCACGGCCGGGAAGCAGTCGATCTCTTCCCAGCAGAGCTCGTGCGTTAGGGGCTATTGCACCTTCGCCCATCTCCATTTTCTTGACAGTCCCCAGTAAATTAATCATCAATTTTGGGAGTTTTGGCCCGTGATCTTGGCGTGCTCCAGATCTCAGGGCCTTGCGAGACGTTCAAAACCGGGAGACGTCGAGGTGCGTCTCACGAGACAGGGGAGGTCGCCGCACGTCGTGTAGCCGCCGTGGAGAGCTGTGAAATACTGTGGCGCCGATAGAGTCGAATAGAACTACAATCTTGACCCAATCCGCTCTTGTATTACAGTTACCCCGGTCACACCATGTTGGAAACTAGATTCTTTGAACTGCTTCCCCTTTTTGTTTATAATACCTGGGAACCGCCATCAAGTTGCAAAGAATGGCAAGGCTTCATAACCTGTTGGAAGGGTCCTAAGCTCACTCCCTAGAGAAGTTGGCTTCGACCTGATGGTTGCCAGCCCAACCTTGACTGACTGAACCAACCCGGTCGAGAAACTGCGCAGTTTGTACGCAGGGCGGTCAAAACACGGCTGGTTTCCCTTTGTCAGATGAATGGTCAGTACGTAGGACCAATTCCGTAATTGCTACCAGCCCCATCGTAGTTCATGAACGTATCCCATGCACCCTGTGCTCGTTAGCTCAAACTTCTTGACATTCCCAAGGCTGAGTGACAAACCAAATCAAAATCCACCCCAGAAAAGTCCGTCTCCAACGAGAAAAACCCATTGGAGCCACCAAGCCCCGGACTCGAAAGCTCGAAGCGTGTCTCTAACGGTGCCGCCACATCTCCCGAAGTATCAGCTGCAGCCCCAGCAACCCCGGCAGCCCCAGTACGAAAACCGGCCATCATGCTGACAAGCAGGCGATAGACGCCCCCCGCCTCCTCACATGCGGCCACGGCCTGGGCCCAACGGTCACAGGACTGCTCTAACGCCTGCAGCAGCACGCTGCTGTCCGGGGACGCACCCGCATCCGCATCACTAGGAGAAGCCTTGCGCCGTAGCTCCAGCTCTAGAAACAGCACCATGGCGCCGAGCGTCATCATCTGCCGGGTCTGCCAGTACGCGTGGAACTTCGGCTCCAGTGTCTGCTGCATCTCGAGCAGGGCCAGCGCGGACGCGACGCACCGCTCGCGCGCGAAGGCGAAGCTAGCGTCGCCACGCGCAGCCAGGGCCATGAACCGGCGGTGCAGCGTGCACACACCGCTGTGGTACATTCCTAGCATGCCAAAGTATGACATGTCGGCGGCGCCCGCGGCCATGTGGTCCAGGCCGCGGCGGGCGTCGCGCAGGGCGGTGTCGACGCTGCGCAGCGCCTCGCACGAGCCGAGCGTCGGCGCGCTGTTAAAATCGGCCACGCGGCCCAGCGCACGGAACAGCCGGCCTTTGACGATCAGGTAGGTCGCTGCCGTAGGCTCCGTTAGCGGCCGTGACGGCGGCGCCGGGGCTGTGTCCACGGACAGCTCCCAATCGTGCAGGTTGCGCGGCTCGGCCGTGTCCGAGGCGACGGCCGCCGTCATGCGCGGGAAGCCGCCGAGAAAGGAGGCCATGTCGTCCATGCTCTTGACCGAGAACCAGAGACGCCGGCGGTACTCAGCCTGGAGTGCCGATAGGCCTGGGATGCGCGAGGGGTCGCGGTGGTAGCCCATGTTGATGGCCGCGCGGACGACGACGGCCGACATGATCCACAGGCCGCGGCGGTTGTCGTCTTTGCGGTTGAGCTCGGCCGTGGCGTTGAAGCGTAATGTTTCGACGGTGTAGGGAAGACACTTCGCGATGTCCCCGTTCAGGAGGCACTGTGATGTACGCACGCGATAAACCTGGAAGAGCGGTTCCGATATGCCCTTGTACCTTTGTGCTTCCCCATGCTGTTGATATGCAAGCATCGTGATGCCGAGAATGGAAAACAGGAGGCCGAGCCACATAAAGCTAGTCCGGGACGGGTTCTCCCAATGCTCGTTATACTGGTATGATAGATCAGACACGGACGGCTAGCGGATCTAGTTGGGAGTGCTCTGTACCTCGCGCATGAAGGTTGGTTCGTGGAGGATGGCTAACACTTGTGTAAGCCACGGTTGCGGTATAACAAAGATGTCCACGGCTTACGGGGGAGGTGGATCGGGAATGCTGGGCTAAAAAAGTACGACAGTAGTTGATCGACTTCGGGCCTAAGCGGTAGAGCAGAGAGAATTTCCATTCTTTCCATCGGCTTCACCTGGTTGAAAAGCAGACTCGATCCGTCGACGGTATAGGAGAGTGCTGGAGTAATGCTATGGTCGCTCTGGCTCTCATCCTCCTCCTGGGTCCAGGCTTTCTTCAGGTCTTTAATCTACCGTCCCGACGAGTTAGGGCGAGTGCGCGAGTGAAGAACATGAAAAGCTCGGGATAGAGTTGGACTCACCTCTTCAAGCACGACATGCCACTCGTTCCCGCTGAGATAGACGGAATGGCCGCCATCCAAGACCGTCTTTCCAACACCTGGAACATCTTGGGTGGACACGGCCGAATCCGGCTCGGGGGTGGGACTTTCAGGGGTATAGACTGTGACTTCGGCGTACGTTGAGACAGGCTGCCGCTCCTTGATCAATTTCTTAACAAGAGTCTCCAAATTGTCTATCCGTTGGCGCAGCCCTCCCCCAGCGGCCGGGACCTCGTTGGCGGCACCGGCACCATCCTTTCCATGTCCGCGGAATTTACAGGACGGTTGCTCATCTCGGGCAGTGCAGTTTTGACAGGGGTGCTGCCGGTTGCATTTCAGCCTGGATCACGTCAGCCATGGTGACCCCCGAGTCAATGACCTACTAGCACCGGCAGTAGAGATGGAAGGTAGGGAATCACACACTTCCTTAGGCGGCACGGTTCGCACGACAGGGCTGCCCGGTTACGCCGATGCGGTCTGGTGGGTTTCTCTGCAGTCCGCTCCGGTGAAACAGGCCTCTGAGCTTGCATTTTTGCGTCTTGGTGATGGCGGGTGGTCGTCGAGCTTGGCCAGTTGTGGCTCCGGATGAGTTGGCAAAGGGAAGAGGGAGACAACTTAAGTGTCAAAGTCCATGGGGATAACGTTCGTGTGCTTCCAGAACCAGCTGGCAACAGCTGTCACCAGCCACTATTATATCCGCGGACATAACGCTAAAGCCCTGCTTACCCCTGCTGCCCCGATTAACCTTGAACTTGAGAGCGGCGATTACACAACAGGGCGAGTCTGGTAATTATATAACGCCATTAACGACGTGGTATATTCCAAACAGATCCCACACTATGGCCCCTCGCCCACCCTTTCATTTCCCTTACGGTACAAGCACCTACGACTCGCAAGGTTCACAGGCCACTGCCACTAAGCCCTGATCAGGAGCGATTTACCATGCCTTCTTTCGGCGACTTCGTCCATACGCAGTTCTTCCTCAAGATCCCCACCCCAACTGCCTCGTTCGGCTCCAAGACGATCATTATCACCGGCGCAAGCGGAGGCCTGGGAAAGGAGGCCGCCAAGCACATTGTCCGGCTGGGTGCCAGTTCTGTCATCCTCGGGTGCCGCAGCTTGTCTCGAGGCAATGCCACCAAGCGTGAGATTGAGGCTCGTTTGAGATGCAGTCCCAGTATCCTGCAAGTTTGGGAGCTCGACATCGAGTCACCCACGTCCGTCAAGCGGTTCGTGGACCGGGCGAACGCACTGCCCCGGTTGGACGTCCTGATCAATAATGCCGGTCTCCAGAGCCAAAAGTTCACCGTTGTCTACAACACGGAACGCACTATTGCCGTTAATGTCATCGGGACCTTCCTTCTTGCGCTGCAGTTGTTGCCCAAGCTCCGTGAGACAGCCCGCAACTACCGGACCACGCCTCACCTGACCTTTGTCGGGTCGGCTCTGTACGACGTTGCTAGGTGGCCCAATCACCCCGGAGAGGATATATTTGCTTGGTTTGAGGATAAGGCGCATTTCTCTGCGATAAATCAGTGAGTGCCTCCCTCTCAAGGAGAACAGCTGCTAAGGAATGATTCCCCTGACCCATGATTTTTTACATCCTCTACAGATACAACCTCTCGAAGCTGCTGCAAATGTACGCAGTCATCCAGCTGAGCACCATCGTCGACCCAGTGGGCAGCACCGCCAACCCCAACCCCATCGTCATCAACTCTCTCGACCCGTGCTTCTGCAAAACGGGGCTGCCGGGAAACGATCTGTCCATCCCACTGAAAGTTGCCCTCCGCGTCTTCGAGCTCACGGCTCGCTCGGCTGAAGAAGGGGCCAGTCTCGTAGTGCAGACTGCGTCAGCTGGTCGCGAGACCCACGGCTTGTACATGCGGGCGGGCAAAGTAAGAAAGTACGACCCGATCGTCCAGGATGCGAAGAAGGCCGCGTACATCTGGGAGCTCCTGTGTAAGAAGTTAGAGGGTCTCCAACCGGGTATCCTGCAGAACTTACGGTGAGGGATGTTTGACTTTATAGCGGCAGAAATCGGGACCTATGTATTATCTCGGTGCTGCGCTATATCTGGTTATACGTATTAAAGCCGCAGTTTCCAAGGCTCCTCTGTTTGTTTCGTATTTAGTAAACTACCGTACCTAATAATCCAAGATGGTATAAAGCAAGGAAATTCCAGTGGTCTAAATGCACGTGAAAGGTAAGACTCGGCTAAAGTGTAGTTATACAGTCTTCTGAAATAGCATGAATAACACAGTATATATGATTAGGTACCTAGGTACCTATAGAAGTCAACCTTAGATGCCTAGGATACTGTAATAACTGACACTGAACTACCTAGCTAGAGCTAGAAGAACTTGAACGACCAATACTCTGACTTAGCAGTATAACTAAGGAGTGTTAAACTACAGCAATAGATCTCATTAGTTACACAGCCTGTCACGCAGTTTGCTGCAGCTGCTATGGGTGTCAACGCGGCCTGTGAGGATCCCCCGGTGCCCGATGTGCGATGCGTTCTACACTACGCTGCCACTATAGGGTTAGGGTTAGGGTTAGGGTTAGGGTTAGGGTTAGGGTTAGGGTTAGGGTT